ACATACTCTTCTTAACAAATGAACACTTCCGGCACGGATACGATAAATATTTCTTGAGAATTCATGAAGAGCAAATTGAAGAATGTGGCCCGTCAAATGTCAATCTTAATGTGGTGAGTATTTTAAGAATTAATCAACTAAAATCTAAAAATATACGAAACGAGGATGATGACCTCTGCATAAGTTTTATCAAATGTCTCTACACCCATGTAAATCATAACGTCAAATGATGGTTTGGGTTAATCATTAAAAAAACACAAAAGCTTTAATCACATGAATAAGAATTGATCCTTTCTTTTAGCAAATATTGTATTAAGAAAAGTGAAAACCATGAAATATGATTATTTTTCAATACATTATTGATCGATCGGGGTGTGGTTTGAGATATTGACGTATGTGTCTTGAAATGTGATTGGGTGCCGTGGTCCAATTAAAAAACAAAACGGTATAAAAAGAGAAACTGAGAATGGATTCCAACATAAAAAATATTAAGAACTCAAGTTAGAAATAATGAGAATGCAATTATGGCAATAGCTGAGGGGTTCACAAGTAAGTGTTCTTCATCATTTTGTACAATCATTTTTTTATTTAATTTTTTTATTTCAGAGAAGAAAAAAACATGATAAAGCAATTACAAAATACAAATTACAATACCGTTACATTGAAAATGTACATTTTACAATATAGTATTGACTTCACGTTAGTGTTTAAGAATTTATGAATCTTTTACCTTTGGCATTTTTTTTTTATTTAAAATCAGTGTCATTCGTTTAATTTTGCTTCCATGATTTTCCACTTATCACCTCTGCCAACTTGTTTGTCTATAGTGAAATATTACTTCACCTTTAAGTGTTGTAGTTCTATCATTACATGGAAACGAAAGTGTGCAGTATAACGCGCAGTAAAACACGTGTTGTAGTACAAATAATATCATTATTAAAAAGTGTTAAGCGATTGGAATAATATTACCATTTGAAATCAGCGCATCATAGGCTCAATCATTTCTGGATCAACAGTATCAATAGCTATATCTAAAAGAAATTAATCTAAACTATTAATTTCTCAGGTGTACCCAGGTGTACATGTACTTTGTAGTATGCCACGTTTTATCTATATTTAGTTATTTGACATTTCAATGATTATGACCGCGTTCCTCAATTTGAGCTGATTTAGTGTTGCGTATCTAATTTGCATGTCGCACAAATAGAAAACGTTTATATATACTACATAGCCTACCATACTTAAAATTTTTATATTCATTTATAAACTTCTATATTACTTTCTAATTGGTTTTGTATTGCACAACACTATTAAACCAAACAGTTTCATCTTCTTAATATCAAAGATAGGAAACAAATTTATTTGAACTCTCGTAACTTTCTTCCAAAACGGAATAGTATTATTGTATACGACTTTGAAAATTTATACCTTTTGTATTATTTTGACTTAGTTTTTTTAAGCGAGAACTTAAGTAATCTGTGTTCAGGGTATGTACATTTACATTTCTTTGCGGGAATTTTAATTTTTGAAGAAATATGTGGTTCTCTTATGGATTTGATCTGTTTTTCAATTGTTGCCATTTGTTCTTTTCTCATTATACATAATGGTTATAGTTTGTTTTTCATGTATGTATAATTTGCCTGTTGAACTTTATACTCTTTTTTATACACAGTTGAGCAATTAGTAAATACCGAATGTGACATTTTATTGAGGCAAGAATATATTCACTTCACGACCCCCGATAAGAAAATTACATATTTAACCGTATAATCTCATGCAGCGTGCTTTTAAGAAAGTTGTGTATACATAGTATAATCGGTTATTGGTCTTTACTTTAAAACACAAAATTAAATCTAGATTAAAAAGCTTTGATAAACCATTGAATAATATTAATACAAATGCTTGTTTAATAAACAGTGTTTTACTTTAGTGCCACCTGTGACTTATACATATTATATCATCATGATACATCATATATTAACCAAAAAATGAATCTTGATCCATTAAAAGTTTATTAATCTTATCATAAATAGATTCAAATGAAGTTTTCGTGGTGTCCTTGTATAAAATTGACACTAAGAGAATGTGTCAGTGTGTCTCACATTCAAACCGCATTTTCAAAATGGGGTGTTCGGGCATCCAGTTTTAAAGATTCAAATCATTTTTGGCTACTAAAGTACCGTGATGTGAAATCTTATATCATTCTGCACACACCTTTAAAAGGGATAGTTGCTTTTAAAGAGGTTTTAATTATTCCGCATGGGACAATGTGGCAGTCGTTTGGATTGGTTGGTGACTCAATAAAAATCATGTTAAATAAACGATGAAATAACATGAATAGAAATGTTTATTCAATTAATGTACTGTACTTATGACTAGAATCCACGTCACGTTTGCTTTACAAGAATTTCGGATTTCACACGGTGGAAGTGATTTGTTGAATTTTTGGCCTTGGTAACCTATCCTGTTTGTCGATCATATTTTACATTATTTAAGTTATGATTACTTTTTCTGTTAAGGAAGCAATGAACATCTACTTATATGTTTATTTTATTACTTAGCTTTCATTTAAGTAGTTCAACAATGGGGTGTGGTGAACTTGTAAACAAATGAGTATTCCGCTCTTTGACTCAATTCAAGACAAGATATCTAAATTCAAAGTAAATAATATTAAATTACTTTTTAATTAAGTTTAAGTGTTTGCGTAGTGCCCCCACAACAAGAGAATTCGAACAAGTGACCGCGAGAATAAACTATCAATGGGAGTTGACCAAAGGCATAAAGTGGCAATGCATATCTTAAATCTTCACTTAACCAAATACAAGCCTCGTTCAAAAAAAACTTAAAAGTCATTGGCCTCGTTTCTCAATATCCTCCATATTATCAGTTTATTGATTTGCAGTATTTGACTTAAAGAAATCATTAATCTCAATGTTAACTTTTGCGTTAATATCTTCAATAGTACATCTCGGACTTGACATGAAGCATATGACTGTCTGCAGATACTGATAAGGCTCGTTTGAAATATATAATGCCACTTAAAAGTTTCAAATCAAATGATATATGGCTATATAAACCTTGACAATGATACAGCTGTAGAAGCTCAGACTGCTGACCATGATATTATGTTAGATATGACCAATAGATTTAACAAACATGATCATTATCTTCAATCCGGCCACATCAACGGTACATTAATAAAAGTATACGGTAAGTATGATGACCCAGTCAAATGTCACCAAGGTCCGCAAACCATTCAGATCGAGTTTAATACATTGTTGATAACGATGGACACTTTACATTCAAAATCCATCAATACTGCGATTTGTTATAAACTCTTTGTACATATATGCAAAATATCATGGACATGGTATGAAAAAGGAAACTAAAATAGTTATATAGTTGTACTTTGACCTTGACCTATGATTTCATTAACTTGACCGGTAGATATACATGATGACATTAATGCAAACCATATACCCGGGACCATATATCACCAGAAATGTCAATATATACCAGTCCACCCCTCAATAAATTCCTCCACATGTATAATAATGTAAATAAATACGTAACTTGCACATACTTTCACGTCCATACGTTTCTGGTCGATTTTTTAAGATTAAAAAACTTCATTTTTCTGAAATCTACATAGTTTAATTTTATTCCAGATAAAAGTAAATGACATCTGCTCGAATGGCCACTAAGGTGTGGGTTGATAAGCTACCAGTACACGGCACAACCCCCAATGACAATCATTATGAGGATGAGTATAACTACTCATCAGACATACCCAGTGTACATAGCTATACAACAGACATACCCGAAGTACATGTTGTACCTCCAGTAATGATTGACCCCAAAGAATCTCTAAGGAGACTGGTGCTAAAGGGACACACTCAAGATGGATATTTACAAATACCCAATAGTAATCGAAAAAGGAGAAATGGTGTTATAAACAGTGAGTACCAACGAAATGGTGATGAATCCAATGACAGCGTGTATAGCAAGAATGGAAGCATCGAAGACACCGGTAGTTTCACTTACGATTCAGGCTTATCATTATCAAGCCAAGGAGAACGTACTAATCCGCTATTTGTGCCAAATGATTCTACAACATCCACCAATGCCATGTTCCCCCAACCCGGTGTCCACGAGTCAAACTCCACAAATAACTCTAAGGGATTTGTGTCTGCTGCCAATTTTGCACCAATCTCTTTCCTCCCTGACGCTCAAAAAGAAAATAAAACAAGTTTGGAAAACCAAAAAGTGTATAAAAAATATCCAATGTATTTACCACCCTCTGAAAGCGCAATTACGTATCTGGATAAATTTTCAGACAGTGGATTGAGTATCGATACGTATGACGATATCCATGACGATGGACCAAAATCACAATACATTTCTAAAAATAATACTTTAGAACGCTTATCGAAATCACAAACTTTACCAGGGAAAGAAACTGATAAATCTGATGAATATCATGAAAGGACAACTTTATCAAACCCAGATCTCTCTTTTATTAGTGGTCTCAGAGTTCCGGAGAATATTGCTGGAAATCGAAACTCATTCGTTAGTAGTGCGGATAGTGGAATTAACACTGTAAAAATTGATATCGTCGATGAGAATGATTCGCTTGGCAGTATTGGATCTTCGTCTAAGAAGGTGTCTGGTGATAGCGGCTTGTCTACAAGTATTGAAAGCACGGAAAATGTTCCATCGACATCTTATGATAGATCTAGTGGCCAACATAAACAAATAGTCAATGTTAAAAAGGTTAATAACAATGCGTTGGATAATAGACTTGATGACTTCAACGAGGCATCTTATGATGTCGAAATCGCCGGTGGTTCGAGTGGTACATTCGGAAATGATGAATCTCACGTTCAAATAGATTACCCGAAGGATAGTTATTTTACAGAGAAAAAATATGCAACAGATAGTCTTTCATTAGCGTCGGAATCGTCTAGAGATAATAATAGTGAGATCTTGAATGACATTGAACGAAACATTTACCCTGTTGCAAGATCTGAGGGAGAAACTTCCTCAATTTTGACAATTTCAGATCAATTTCAATTCCTAGAAGAAGAGAGTCTCAGTTTTGATTCTGTAGACGTCCATACACCTAAAGAGCAATTACCTCAAGTCGTTGATGACGATATCGAAGATGGAGTAGACTTTGGAGTAAGTGACGATCCTCTTCCAGAAAAGGAAGATACCACTAGTGATTTATATGTCCACCTCCATGTAACAAAGGAACGCATAAAGGAGTTTATGGATGAGGTTAAGGCGAAGAAAGAAAACGAGGAGGAAGGATCCGACGGGGAAAATACCTCATATTATACCACATCAGAAGACGAAGCCACTCCTGGAGATGACAACAAGGAGGCTCAACCTAAAAAAGAAAAACGAAAGAAGCCAAAAAGAAAGAAGGAAGTAAGCAAACCATTCAAACTTAGTCCATTGGTTTTATCAGCAGAGAGTATAGCACCTGGAGAAGGCCCAGCAGACATGGCACCATCCAGTGAAGTCGTCATTGACGTAGAGAGGATCCTTCCACCAAGACGTACTGGTGAGACAGCACGTATTGTGACCAATGAGCTATTACCAGGCATCACAGAAGGTGCGGAGATTGATGAGACAAAGCAACCAAATGAAACGGAAGAGGAGACAGTAGATAATCCAGACGAAAAGGTCCAGATTACAAAATATCTGTAAGTGTGTAACAGTAGTGCGCCTATATACTAAAGGCACTTGTCCGAAAATAACAAGTTCAATTAATCGATTTCTAGTCCCAATCTTCTGATATGAATATCCCAGTTAACGTCCTACTCTTTTCGGATTGTTTCTAATGTATTATTTCATCATTTCAGACCACAGGTTAAGAAGAAACACGCTGCAAAAATAACTATGGCCTACAGGATGATTTACATCTTGGGTAGCGTTGGATTGGTTATTGGAGCCATGGCAGCATTCTACGCCCTGAATCTCAGACTCGTGCGTTTCGGTATGGGGACCCTCCCCTGGGCACTAACAGTATACGGGGTAGTGACCATGGGTCACTACATTTCGGAGTCGTTTTTCGCAGTTGCAAATAAGATTAAAATGACCAGGCTGGGATTGAAAGTACAAGGTGAACAAAGGGCTTCCTACAGATGCAAGGGGAAAGTGGCGTTACAGGTAAGCTTAATATTAATGTATCACAGTATCACACCCTCAAAATAGTTTAATGAATGGTGACCTTTTCTATAGAATCAAATTCAAGAAATGAATGAATCAGATATCCATTTTATGCAGTTGTTTCGTCCCCTCGTATCACCACGGAATTTGCATCTTATCTCCTTTGGGGAAACTGCATTTATCATTGTGCTGTATACCAGTATGAGCCTCAAAAATCATAGAAGACTATAAATACTCGATCAGACTTTGTTAAATTTGCACCTGTATGTCTTGTAAATATACTAGTATGTCATTTCCTGTAAAACGTTCACTGTTTATCCTTACAGATTGTTGGCTACAGAGAAGATCCCGATTATTTTCGCAATTGTATCATCTCAGCTCGGGACTGCTACGGTCCTATTTACGTCTTATGCGTGGTGGTGGATGGACACGAAGAACAAGATGCTTACATGGCCGAGACAATTACAGAAGTTTTCGGGCATGAAAACACCATGCAAATTGTTCTTGACGATCTTGCTGCTAATATTGAAGAAGAGGCCTGGAAGGAGTTGGTTGTCAACCCAGTTGCTGAGTTTCTCGGGGACGGCAGCGAATACACAGGCGCAATACGGGAAGAGGGTTGCGAACATAATTTCAAGGTCCTCACAATTAGACAATTTCACGAAGGGAAGCGTTCGGTAATGCACTGTGCCATGAGACTACTGATAGACGTCGGAATTGATTATATTATGATGACAGATTCTGATACTCTGTTGGAGCCAAACTGTCTTGCCCATTTGACGAATCTGCTGGAGTCTGACGATGAACTCGGAGCTGTCACGGGAAACGTTGGGATCTTTAACGCAAATGAGAGTCCCATCTCCTTCCTTAGTGCAGTCAAGTACTGGTACGCATTTAACATTGAACGAGCCGCACAGAGTTTATTCGGGGTAGTGTCGTGCGTATCAGGACCTTTAGGACTTTATAGAACTAGAGATGTCAAAGTTGTACTACATGACTGGTATTTCCAAACATTTCTTGGAGTACCTTGCACGTACGGTGACGACAGGCATCTGACGAATAGAATCCTGTCGTTGGGTAGGACTGTAAAATATACACATTTGGCAACGTGTACCACGGAAACACCAACTCAGTTAATCAGATGGATTGTTCAACAGACACGATGGACGAAGTCATTTTTTCGTGAACTTGGCTTTAACTTATGGTGGGCATTCAAGGTGAATTTCTACCTCACGTGGGTCTTGTTATATCAAGGCGTTTACCCGTTTTTCGTTTCGGCTAGTATCATCACACTTCTGTTCTCAAAATCACCTAACAGCATGGGGACATTGCTAGTAGTCATGGTGGCAGTGAGTGCATTCAGGGCCACATTGGCCACCATTTTATCAAGACAACCACGTCTTTTAGTCTACATCATATACAGTTTCCTATATGTACTATTCATGATTCCAACTAAAATGCACGCAGTACTGATGTTGTGGGACACCGGTTGGGGCACATCAAGTAGACTAACAGTGAAAAAGGGAAATCCAGTTCATCTTACTCCAGTGATACTTTGGTGCAGTCTGTTAGTCACTGGTGTTTTATACAATCTGATAACAAATCTTTGGATCTAGTAAAAATTGTACATTGAGACAAATTAGTCAAGTCAATTAAATTGATATCCTCATTTGTTGTTTTATGGATATCTTTGAGAATGTTGTTATGTATGATATAAATATTGGTGCAATATTAAAGATACCTACAGCTTATGCAACTCTTATAGAGTAATACTCGATTCAAATATGCAGTATTTTGGCTAGATTTTTCAAAGCATATAAAAACCATAACTTGGTAAGGTTAACTTCTTAGTATAGTGTATAGTTAGTGACATCAAATATATTTTATTCACATGTTCTCTTCAGGTGTATATGTAGTTTAAACAAAGATTCAGTAGTTTCACCGTTTCTTGATTGATTTTGACATATTTGATCTTTAAAATCAATTATTTGCTTAAGGTTCAATTAGGGTCGCTCTTCTTTGAATAACCCACCTAGACGCAAATTATTTCTCAATAAGTTTATAATTTTCATGTTTATATTCAATGTAAAATGCTGAAATTACAAGTTCAAGACGTATGTACAACAATTAACCTCTATAGAATTTATTTAAATGTATTTTTTGAAAATTGATTTGTGTCCTTAACTCACATTCATCGACACATACTCGTAATTTAAAACACCTAAAGTATAAATAAGCGCAGGAAGCTAAACGCGGTGAAGTATTTTTGACGATCAATTTATGAGATGCAACACTACATACTTTAAGAATGTATTTATTTTCTCAAAATGTAATGTATATAGGTATTTATTATTTATTTTATAAGAAATTGTTGAATAAAATGGAATTTTATAAATGAATAATTAGTGTTTCTCAATGTGTTATATTGATTTAATTTGGTGTGGCCATGGTCATTTGTCCCCTTCAAAATATACACTCCCCTCCATAAGTCTGGCAACTGAAAGTTATGTTTAGGTTGCATATCAAAGACTGTTAATGTTTGAATTTTTCCTTTACTTAGAATAGTTCGTGATCCAAAAAAAGAAATACTAATTGCCAAACTATTGGAGGGAAGTGTATATTGTAACTGTGCATGTTTTGCATGTTCCCTATATTATAGTACAACGTGATCTAAAATAACTGCCCTGTCAATCAAAATAATCAATCCTTGCAACTTGGTAAATATCTAAGCACAAATCACAAAGGGAAAATATCAAAAACTGTGAAGAAACTTACCAAGAAAAGCACTGTAGGTGTAAACTTGTCACAAGAAAAGTAGACCATATATTCCAAAACCATGATCCAACATGAAAAGAAATAATGTTTAACATCCCCCAACCCCTCCAATCGAGGACCAATACACTTCATTAATTCGTGACACGGAATTTACAACTTACCTCATCTCCTTTGGCGAACCTATATGTGATTGTTCCATATATACCCTCGTCCTTATCAATCGCTGCAACAGTCCGTACAGTTGTACCAGGTGGGGCGTCCTAAAAGTACAGGCATCCTGATATCTAAAGGAACTGTTGATATTCATGATACACATCTTATACAATGGTGAAGTTATTTCCAAACTGCATTAACGTGGAATTTTTTCTTGATTTTAAACTTCATCATTATACAGCGATTATGTCAACCATAGAGATTCCCGAAAGCTTAAAGTCAAGAAGCATCTACATGACTCCCTGTGCCGCAAAACATCGGATGCAAAGAAGTTTTTAATAACATTTAATATTCTTGAGTGGATCTCTAATGTATAAAGTAATGTGGTAAGCTGAGCCTTGAAATATTCACCTCTGATATAGTAGCTTGGTAAAGTAATCCTTGTAATACTTAACTCTGATGAAGTAACTTGATAAGGTAAGCCTTGAAATACTCACCTCTGACATAGTAACTTGAAGGTAAAACTTGAAATATTCACCTCTGATATAGTAGCTTGGTAAAGTAATCCTTGTAATACTTAACTCTGATGAAGTAACTTGATAAGGTAAGCCTTGAAACACTCACCTTTGAAAAAGTAATTTGGTAAGGTAATCCTTGAAATACTCACCTCTGATATAGTAACTCGATAAGGTAATCCTTGAAATACTCACCTCTGATATAGTAGCTTGGTAAAGTAATCCTTGAAATACTCACCTCTGACATAGTATCTTGGTAAGGTAAGCCTTGAAATACTCACCTCTGATAAAGCAATTTGGGGGGGTAATCCTTGAAATACTCACCTCTGATATAGTAACTCAGTAAGGTAAGCCTTGAAATACTCACCTCTGATAAAGTAATTTGGGGAGGTAATCCTTGAAATACTCACCTCTGATATAGTAACTCGATAAGGTAAGCCAGGAAATACTTACCTCTGATAAAGTAACTTGGTAAGGTAATCCTTGAAATACTCACCTCTGATATAGTAACTCAGTAAGGTAAGCCTTGAAATATTTACCTCTGATAAAGTAACTCGGTATGGTAATCCTTGAAATACCCACCTCTGATATAGTAACTTGATAAGGTAAGCCTTAAAATATTCACCTCTGATAAAGTAACTTGGTAAGGTAATCCTTGAAATACTCACCTCTGATAAAGTAACTTGGTAAGAAAATCATTTGATTACTCACCTCTGATATAGTAACTTGGTAAGGTAAGCCTTGAAATAATGGATAGTTGTCATTCACATCTCCGACATATACGTTTGGGTACTTGTTGATCTGAAAGAGGAAAAATTCAATAATAATGTCTCTTTTTCTGTTCATTTCAATGATTGTTTCTTGATATACCAAAATAATCTTGTATCAAGGCCTTGTTTACCCCATCTTAACATAAATCTAACCTTCTACATATTAGGTAAAGACAATACAACGTATAAAGTAGCAAGCTAAGGCAATAATAATATGCAACATGTCCCCGCCTACCATTTGTTACAGACACCGACCGAGAGGAAACCCGACCGCAGATCGCCGACCGCCGAACACTGTCCACAAAAAGTTAGGGACTATATAGACTATAACAATATGTCACCACATCTGGTGGTGACATAAAAACAAGTGAACTTAATTGAAGACTAAAAATAGTTGTAAACTCACTGTGTTGATGCCATCTGTAGCAGTGACAATTAAGGAATACTGGGATATAATCTGAAAAATATAATAATACAGGGTGGTCCAAAAAGTGAACCCTGCAACAGGTTATATTTTCCTTAATACTTGCATGAATAGACTCATATTATCACATGTTGTAGAGAAAGGTCTAAACTTTTGGCTGATGCCATAATTTAATCTCAGTCTTAAATTTTGAAGAAATCACAAGAGTTTAGCAAACATACCTGTGTAAATTAGATATTTTGCAAAGTTTTACCAATGTGATTCACAGAAATTGTTGAAACACATCGGATGATCTTAAACAGCTTTCGGTTAGAGATACAAGTTTAAAACCCTACCATATGACAAAAGGGACACTTTTTTAACAGAAAACACATTTCACACTTTCGTTTATCATTTTGAAGCAGTTTTAACCGTTCAACAGTTCAGGGGTATGTTACCTACACCAACAGTTAGAGGAGGGCCGCTTCATCAAATATCTTTAAAAAATCAAAAGAAAATCTAATAGTCAATGTTTGAGCCATATTTCATTAGAATCGGACCATGATTTATGAAGATATTGACATTTCAAGATCATATAGGGGTATGTTTGCGATTTCACTGGAAAATGTTATCGTCTATGGAAGCTTACAACATTTCTTTGGATCACAAGACATTTGCAACTAACAAAGGTAGAATGCTAGTTTTAAGCAATAATGTGCGGGATTCAAGATTGAACAAAGCGAGAAAATATTAATTAAAACTGCAGCTTATTAAAATGTCAGTGGAAGGGTGTTGACCTTCCTCTACAACATGTGAAAATAAAAAACAATTCCTGCAAGTAATAAGGGAAATATGGCCCGTTGCAGCGGTTCACTTTTTGGACCACCCTGTAGAACATACATAATATCAATTCGCACAATTTCAAATGATATTGCCATTCTGAGTATATACGAATCATTTGATCGAAATTTGATTATTATGATGTATTTACCCAGAAATGTTTCACTTGAGAGATAGTAGTAGATTGAATCTCTATGAACTTGCTGATGCTGTTTCTTCATCCTCAAACCAACTTATAGACACCACTAACGGCCTTAGCAATAGTAAAACAAAATGTATTGTACCTCTCTATCTAAGGGTGACTTTAAAAGTAGTTCACCCTTCTGCAGGTTTGCGGAGACGCCTGTCTCGGGCGGATGCATCATAATATGGAAGACGGCATTGGCGGTTTGACCTTGAAGGGTCACCGTGACCTTGTCAGCTTCCGGGTCCCACACCGTGAACTGTACCAACGAAGATCCTATGATGGAATAAGGTTTGTGGGTAAACAGAAAGATGGCAGCATGGTTTGCGGAGATCAATGAAGATCAAACCACACTGCCATCTTTCTATTGTTAAAATAGCTATTAGCATATCATGCGAGTAATCATCAAATACTTTTCGTCCTACTTATGGAGTGGGTAAGATGTCTTCGTACTGAATAATGTATGCCGGTGTAAAAGAAATTATGGTCCCCTGGGGATTATGGTCCCCTTTCCTTACGGCCCTTACTGGCCCTGACTGCGTATAAATAATAAGGAAAATAATTGTAATTAGGTCACCATATAAATCAATAGAGAGTAAGACCAATATTTGATAGGACCACCTACCCTTTTACACCTGTATTCTTACAATTGTACTAACAATGCAAATATAGTTTTGTATAGTGTGTTGAGCTTGTCCATTGAAGCAATCGATACCACAAAGGGTCTATATCCCGGTCTATATCTATATCCCCAATCCATAAACCCTTAAAGGCCCACTTTGCATTTTTTCAATGTTTTAGGGCAAAATAAAGACTTACTTTAGAATTATAGAGAATGTCCACTCCTATGTATTGATAAGAACCTTATATTTCATTTGACACCAACAACAGCTCAAACGAACCGCATCAAAGCTTACATTAATTATCAAAAATATTTCCGATCTGTCAAGCTTTATATATCACGTTTTTATCAATGTCATTGAAAGATTGCGAAGTTGTTTGTATTACATGATACATTCATTTTCATAGTAGTGTCGCCATCGAAAGTAATGTAAAACATGTACTTTGTTTAGCATGTGCGTGCACTACTAATGGCATAGCCGTAGGCAGCGGGGGTTCGATGGGTTCGAACGAACCCCCGGTCAGGATCTCCCAAAATATCATTTTGCAGAAAAATGCATATAACCAGAAATATTAAATTACTGTGCTATTTGAAAACTACATATATGAGCAGTAAATGATTTAATATTTGTTATGGTGAACATGAGAGCCTTATTTTGTTAAAAACATGTCATAGTGAAGTTACATTTCCCTCAAAACGTTTGGCAACCTTAGGCACTGGGTGAGATTTAAAGAAAGACCCCAGAGCATCATGAGATTTTACATTTAGAAATAACAATAATTTCGCAAAATTAACTTAAAAGCTGCTTCTTCTTGGACAAAATAACCCATCTTTGGCAATGGCTAAATCAGTCCTTTGAAGAAATTTTGTTTTAAGCCAGTTCTGGTCCAATATGAAGTTATTGACAGTTATTGAAAACTATGCAGACGTCCCATACTCCGAATGATTTTTACAACATTGACGAATAAATATATGGAATAGTCGCAATATTGATAAAACACATGTTCTTTCAAATGTGTACATCTCCGTTTTGTTTTATTTCAATTAAAATTTAAAATATTTCTTGGGACGTCCCTGGGGCTGGCAAGTCCCGAAATCAATTGTGTTAAATAATAAAAAACGTTGTGAAATGAATTATTTAAAAGCGTAAATCATTTATAAACACAAGCATTGTTCAAATTTATTCATTCTTACATGTGTTCAGTATTTATTTACCCATCACTTTTCCAAAGAAAATCAATCATTGCAAAAAATGATTTTATTTTTTTTCAGATACACTCCACTCATCTAAGAGATTGTATGGAATTCAAATTGTTATCGTTCCAGTTTACTTGCTCTCCATTTTCATGTCAATGTCATGATATGTTTAGCAAATAAATTATATAATAAAAGAAACATTGAAAATCATATGGTATTAATCTTCAAATAACGAAGGCCTAATTTGTTATCAAGCCGTCTGAACTTAACAAAATAACAGACGCTTGTATTTATATATGATTAATTATATCAACTAAAACGTTTTATTATCAATTGCGGTTGATCTGCTCCGGGGGACTTACCACTGAGCTCCGGGGACGTCCAAAGAAATATTTTTAACTTCTTAAAACATATAGCATAACCGAGACCCATTTATTTGAATAATAGATATTTTTATCAGTAATACCACTATCCCGGATAGTTTAAAAAGCCTTCGTGTAAACGTTGTGAAAAGTTATCATAGAAGAACGATCTTTCGGAGTATATGGGTGTTTGCGTCAATTTCAATAACCTTGCATTTGATCCGAACTGGCTTCCAACAAAATTCTTGAAAAGCAATGATAAGCCATTGCATGAGGTGATTTATTTTGTCCTAGATGAAGTAGCTTAAGTTAAAGAATAAATTGTGCGAAATAGTTGATATTCCTTTGAAACAAATCATGCTCCAGGGTCTTCCAGAAATCGGACGAAATAATGGTGGATTCGGGGCAAATCAGATTTCAGGATATTTATTCAGTAAAAGATTCACCGAAATATATTTTGATGCAGAAAATTAATTATAAGTTGTCTGGCTTTTTGCACGTTGCCTGTTTATTTTACTTTGTGAACATTAAAGTTACAAATCATTTTTACGTCCTGTGTTATTTCAATGGGAGAGGTTTCTTGATAAAGCCTATTACTTTCAGTAAATAAAGACATCATTTTTGTTAAATAAAATTCAAATTCAATTGTCTACTTAACTTAATGAAGGTACTAAAGTGAATTATATTTCCCCTCTCAAAATAGTTTTTTCTTTACAAATTATGCATATAAGAATTCAAACCTAAAGATGCTTTAATACATGATCCAATGGGGTAGTTAGGATTGCCAAACTTTTGGAGGGAGTGTAATTGTACAAATTGCATTATTTAAAGAACCCTAATGGAGGGGGGGTGGGGAATTTGTGAATAACATAAAAACAGAACCCCCGGTCACCAAATCCTGGCTACGCCACTGTAATGATCTCTGAAATTCAAATGCTTTTTTCTCTGTGAGTTATTTTTTCTTGGTTCAATATTATAGCAAATCAAACTTTGTTTCATATTTGAGCGAGTGTGTGAGTAACATGTTTCAATGATTCTTTTTTCTTTTTTTCTTCTAAATAAGTATAGTGGGCCTTTAATGGCCCCAATCTGTTAAACAGATCAAATATCTATTGGTAGATGAATGAGTAATTGTAAGTCATTGTTAGCTCTGCCTTAAAAAATGAAAAACAAAATATATCTTACCGACTTTGGCATTTTCGTAAACGAGTATTGTGCTGTCGAATGATCTAAACTGCGGATGTCTGTTTGCAAATGACACTGAAATAGAAAACAATACACTATTAAATATTATATGTGAAATCCTCACAATACGATTTTGAGATGCATTATCTATTGATGAAATCTTTAGTTTTCCTAAAGAATACACTTTGGAGGTCTTTAGAAAATAGACATGACAAATATGAGCCCAAATACTTTCTAATAATATGCCTTCGCATTTTTTACAGAGCTTCGTCTTGTATATTGCTGTGCTATGGAGTTCAGAATGTTAAGAGTAACCGAATATATTTATAAATGGGAACATGATATTTTTTAAATTAGGACTGGAAACACAACCACTAACAATAATGCTGTTTAGCTCTATCAAAACACTACCGCCATCTATTGACTGTTTGACGTACTAAGTGTTCAATAAGTTAGAACCCTATGTCTTTTTTTAACTTTGTACTTAGGATTTGGTCGCAAACCACTGTTTATCAGAGACAGTTGATTGTTTTCTCAGAATCGTAATACGCTATATATCACTCAGGGTCAGGGATTTAATATAACTAAGAAACTAATTTTGATATCGTACACCTTTGCGTCCATCTAATGGAAAACTAATTTTGTAGCTGTGGTAACTATGACAACGACAGGGAATTTACCAGATGTGCCTTCCAGCGAGGCATCAAATATGAAACGTATAAGTTTGGTATTCTCATCCAATATCTAAATTGATACTATACATTCTAACATGAGCTATTTATCACCATAATTATTTTTTTGTAATATTGATACATGATATGAGAGTATTCTATTATAACTCCTCTTTTCGAACACTGCTATCTAACCACCATTTGCATCCATATGCCCTTCTATGTTGTATTCCTTCTAGAAACGGTTGTTCATTCAAAAAGAGAGAAGTAGACAAAATGACATTTTTTCACAATTGACGTTTGCTTACATTTATTTACGACGATTTTTAACGGGTTTGTACATGTTTGTCATGGATACGTCGAGCTCTCATTAATTGCCTATATGTATCATGAATAAGCCTTCTTTGCACGAGTGGATTATTCGACGCACTATTCACTGACTGATTGTATGTTTCTAATATTTTTTCAAAAACGATAATTTAATTAGCAATCTTTCTGAGATGGACAGTGTCTCATAAGCCAGTTTTGGCTTGTGGCTTTTGAATAATTATAATCGTGTGTAAAATAATAGGCCTGTGACACTTTAATAAGATTATGGCATTTAAAATTTGAGTGTATTTTCTTTGGTTTTTTTGCACTCGTTGTTGAGGTAAGTTGCTACTTCACTTGTTGGTATCCAGGCCTATCCTCAAATACTACACCCTTGGTATACGCAGCTAACGAAAATTGACCGGTACGGGTCAAAAGCTGGACCGGTACGGGTTAACAGTTTTATTTGAATTTAAAACAGCCATTACTTGCTCAATATTGACTTTATCGTGTCTAATTTGAAATATACGATGCCTCTCGATGCTTTTAAGTACCCCAATTTTTTACAGATTTTTAAACGGACCAAAAACTCTCTAAATGCGCATTTATGCTCTTTTCTCTCGAGAACGACTGTCTCATTTTCACGATAACTTTTATTTAGTACTTCTAACATATAAGATCTATTTTTCCCCATCAAGTTATGATGCAAATGACATGCTATTTACATCTTGTGAGTTTCAATGACGCGCGTTTGATTTTATAAAAATGCCAAACTTTGTGACAAAGAATTTCATCCTGCTTGCAGCGAGAAGACGGACCGGTTCGGGGCAATAGCATGGACATAATTTAGGAATCTTTATACATGTGTGTTATTGCGTTACGAACGACTGTCAGTTCCAGAGAGACTGTGTTATTTTTGTGATGTTAATGCCATTGAAAATGAACACCATTTCTTGTTAAAATGTCCGTTTTATTCTAGTATCAGAAATGATTTATTTTCCAAGGTTCAGAATAAAATTACAAACTTTCAAAGACTTACTGACGATGAGAAGTTCTATATCTTGATGTCAAATCATGAGATTGCTGTTTATGTTGCAAAGGCCTGTGGCCAAATGTTTAAAAAAAGAGAACATAAACTGTACAGTTAATTTTGATGAATATCGTTTTATACATAGTGTCTTATAGGCCGAACACGGCCTGGGGTAAGAATATTGAATGCTTTTAATACGTTTGAATTTTATTACCATTTGTATTTTAGCTACATGTTTGTATTAATATATGCCCAGGACACTTTAATAAATTTTACAAATACAAATTTTACAAATACAAAAATATTCGCTGAAGAGGCTAGACCGTGAAATTTAAGGCACAGTGAATATTTGATTGAACATGGGATTCATTTGGATATTTCTTTAAACAGTGAAGTTTAATGCCCATGACACATTCCAGATTGACAAAATAGTGAATTTCCGTCAGCGAAAAATTGGGCTTTAACAGTATTACTTAATGTTAATTTAGAAATATTTAGAAATGGAGCTGTTTAACTAGAGAATATATTGCAACAATATGATCTAACCTAGATCTTTGTGTTAATTAAAGCATCTGTTTTGGAAGTGAATTCATGCAATTTTCTTCAATAATTTAGCAGAAATAATGGCATCAAAAGGTGCGTTTTGTAAACTTCTATTCCATAACTAGCTTTCTTGGCTTTCAGCTTGTACCGTTGAGTGTCATTTAAACCAGAGTGACGGATCTGGACAGATCTACATTGTATGTAATTACATTGTATTCTACAACCAGTAGCTTGTATTTTTTCATGACATGTCAAAGACGATATAAATAGCTGCATATGAACAATATATATATTCAATATAGCAAATGAAAAATATTCACAATCGACATATAAAATGCATATACAGATACAGATCACGAATTATAGATTTATGAGCTTTCCATTGATCCGAATCATCCAAATGTTGACTTTTTATATCATTATTCTGAAACCAGTAGCAATTTCATGCCTCGTTAAGTGGAATAGAAAAATGCATAAATGTCGTGTTATTAGTAATTACGCTCATTGAGCACTGAAGAGCAGAGAATGGTTAAAGTAGACCTCTGCTAATGAGAAAACAATGTAGTATTTGTTTCATCTTCAATTCCGCTAATAGTCATTATCAATTAGTTGTAGCTATGGCAATGGTGTTAGTAAAGCAGAAATGTTGATTTTTATAATTAGTTGTTGTTTGAAGATGTATAAAGAGGGGTGTGACATCTCACGGTATACTACTTGACTTCGCTATCACGTTGTTTCTTTCATTTTATATATTTTAATACTGAATATCAGATTTATTTTTTCTGAGGCACAATCAGGAAATAGGGCTCACATAATTGCAAGCAAAGCATACAATTTACTTTTAAGCACAAATGTGTAAATTCTGTCAAATAATAAACGTATAAATCCACATCTATTGAAAATAAAAATATTAATTCAAAGCTCTTGTTTTCCTGGAATAAAGTATGAAATTCAGGGATTTTAGAAATTTATCTACAATGAATAATATGAGGAGCAGATATTCTTAAAATGTTTTTAAAAGGGTTGCTCTTTAGATTTAATTCTGTTTTTAATTGTTGTACCAGTATTTTGGCAGGAATTTCTTTGTTGGATTTTGCCCACTTTCTATAAAGTCCTAACTGCCTTCTGGTTTCGTATCCTTATTAGGAAATACACACAGGAATACAATACTAATGCAGCATCAGATAAATAAAACACACTAACACAGGTTATCTAATTTGCACTACATATGATATGATAAATAAATATAACATTTACAATAATTATCTTGAACTTCAAAGAAGCATGGCGTGGGCTAGGTAAGACCAACCTGAAATAAAGCTGATAGAGAGTATTAAATGCGATGCAAAATATGGAGTCTTTTGTCGAGTCTCTGGACACCTTTTTCTCACAACGACTTGACGCAAAAATCGAAACCTAAATGCATTCAATTTGATTATCTGTACAAGATTCAAATTAAAGAAAGCTTAAGGTGTACACGCTCCAGAGGCAATTTCTCCGTTTCATTAGACGAAATGACTCATCCAATTACAAAGGTATCTCAGAGATAGTCATAACAGAAAAAAACATTCAGTTTCCATGGCAACCCATCAAAGTCAATCAGGTGGACATGGACCATTAACGTTCCAAATGAATTCTACAATTATAACCTTGTATTGATGCTATAATTCGACGAAGAAATTAAGTTTCGTAAAAGAGACAGGCATACGCCATTACAAAAGTATTCCGTTCGTTTTTCATTCGTGTGTGCAAATACAGTAAATCCTGTCTAATCCGAACACCCCTGGGACCGGCCAAAAGAGTTCAGATTAGTGGATGTTCAAATTTTAAGGTTTTATAAACATGTAAGTCAATGAAAAAAATGGGACCAAGAAAAAGTGTTCACATGACATTGTGAGGTGTTCAAATTAGAAGGGTGTTCAGATATTCAGGTTTCATTGTTTATAAAAATTCTATAACAAGACTCTCTTCGTGTATATTAATTTGACATATGATTCATAAGCATTTGTGACATACACAATTATCTGACGATAGCAGATATTAACCAACGCGGTGAACCACACCTCTTCTCATTTTCTTCCTTGCAAGTTATAATGATAAAGGACCTGAAACATCAGAATGGATATTAACCTGTAACTACTCATTATGATACATATATCTTTCTGTTTTCGAATAGCGATAACGGAAACTGAGTGAAGGCCGTGATCTCTCACGGTGCAGCCATAAGTGATATAACTCGTACACCCACAGACATGGACATTTTACCATGATTTAAAAGAATCTTTGATATTCAATTTGTTTTGAAGAAAAATAATTATCTGAGAACAAAACCAGTTAGGAAAGCATATCCCCAACATCCAACACTGTGGTCTTATCACATAAAAACGGACTTAACGCCACATCCCCAGCATTTGGGGCCATAAGACCATGGGATGTTTCATTCATACTGAAGGTCTTACTTATCTGTTAAAGTCATTGCAACGTTGAAAAACTGAATTCATCATACTGATCATGAAAAACTGGTTCATTATATAGCATTAAGAACAAATCAAAAATATTCCTAATACTCTTTGGCATCGAAAATAGGTTTAGATACTAATTCACATACAATATTTAACCATGTAAATTACTTGTCATGCACCTAGGGTCTTAACCTCACGTTTCTCATTACGTTGATACACGTTCAGCCAAGATGAAAACTAATTCAATCCTCGCTAAGTCACTGGTGATCCACTCGATTACGCTGGTTACCAAAACGAACCGTTTTGGTAACAAAATGTCGGAACGTCGAAGGCACGATTTTTCTTTTTTCCTTATTTCACGCGTTGTAGGCAGAATCCCCACGACGTTTTTTCTCACAACGTGCATCAGTATCATATGTTTTAGAAAATGTACATGTTTGCTAAAAAATAGCTCAGAGGACAACAGAATCGTCGATTTACTTCCTCACTTAAGTTACAGAAACGGTTTTTCGAAAAACAGTTAAGATCTGCACTTTTAACCCAAACCGTTTATGTAACTTAAATGAGGAAGTAAATCGACGATTCTGTTGTCTTCTGAACTATTTGTTCGCAAATATGTACACTTTCTTAAACTTATGATACTGTGTTAAAAAATGTCGTGGGAATTCTGCCAACAACGTGTAAAATAAGGAAACGAGAAAAATCGTACCTTCCGGATGTTCCGACATTTTGTTACCAAAACGAACCGTTTTGGTAACCAGCGTAATCGAGTGGATCACCAGTGTAAGTATCCTAAGTAGAAAGGCTAACAAGTCCTAATTTTAAGTGACATGTGGAAACTGATTAACGAAGCCCTATCATTAGAGTATACAGGCGTTAATTACAAAATACATCGTAGATTTTCGACAGCACGAGGATTACTTTAGTTATTTGTCAACTGAAAGGATGACAGAATACAAATGAGAATATGTGTAATCTCCATTTTTGCTTATTTCTCCCTATGGTTAGAAAGCTTCGTTCTGTGTTTGGCCTGAAATTTTATTTTGAAAACATAATGGTGGAATGTAGTGGTAAATGAACAAAGAATATTATATATGATCTTAATCCTAGATTATGACATAAACGTATTTTAGTACTATTTATAACTAAACATTATACATAGTCATACAGTATACCAAATCAAGAGAACAGTTCAACCCGGCATAGTAGACTACAGAGCCAAATGACTTCTGTCTAATTCCAAAATACTACAAATATTTCTGTAAGACTAAGAGCTAGTTTAGTGAATGAAATATTATCGGGCCTAACTAATAATATAAATCCCCACTGGTGAAGAGCATAATCGGATTATTCTTAAAAAAATTGATAGCCTATAACGAATGATCATGCATGGATTACTCAGTTGTGGTCTAAACCGAGGCCCTGGAATTGATGTTTGGCAATGCGTGTAACATAGTCTCGCTTCAAGTCATTCTGAACCTCTCTCCCTATATCATGTATATACTTCACCATTTATCTTTGTAGGGGTGGGTCGGTTGAGGTTTCACAAGGGTTGATAGGAGGCAACGGCATATTCTTACCCTGCGCGCATAGTAAGAACACTGGTGATCCGCTCGATCACGCTGGTTACCGGAACGGTTTGCTTCGGTAACAAAATGTCGGAACGTCGAAGGTAGCTTATGATTCTTCTTTTTTCCTTATTTCATGTGTTGTAGGCAGACTCTCCACGGCGTCTTTCTCACAAACGTATATCAGTATCATAATGGACGGTTTGGGTTAAAAGTGCAGATCTTAACTGTTTTTCGTTACACCGTTTCTGTAACTAAAATGAAGAATTAAATCGACGATTCTGTTGTCTTCTGAACTATTTGTTCGCAAATATGTACATTTTCTTAAAAATATGATACTGCCAGTACACGTTTGTTTTAAAAATGTCGTGGGAATTCTGCCGACATGTTGTTACCGAAACGAATCGATTCGGTAACCAGCCTAACCGAGTGGATCACCAGTGAAGAAGCTCTCTTTTAGGAAGCGGAGTCGAACGAATGAAAGGGGTAACATATTCTAGTATACAAATATTAATTCTAGTTTATAGCGCACATTAAAGTAGTTCCTTGTTTCCTTCCTTTTGTCACTGCAATGATGACAAGGCATTAACATGACAAAATGTCATCACCTAGTTGCTCACAATATTTTGAGTTCAAACTGAAGTCATATTTGAATTTCTGAGAACTTGTAGATAATTTGGAAAGAATAAATTGGTCAATTTGAAGCAAGTTGGAAGAAGAGCTTTTTTGGCCCTGTGAAGGTCATTGAAGGTGTAATCTCAAATCTTAAGTCAGATTTGAACTCCTGAGAACTTGTAGATGATTTGGAAAAAAATTGGTCAATTTGAAGCAAGATGAAAAAAGACCTTTTAGACCGTGAGAATATCATTGAAGGTCAAATCTTTTTGTTGACCTTTAGAATGTCATTGAATGTCAAATGTATAGTCAGAATTGAACTGTGGAGAACTTGTAGATAATTTTGAAAAAATGGTCAATTTGAAGCAAAATGAAAAAAGACTATTTGGCCTTTTTGACCTTGGGACCGTCATTGAAGGTCAAGTCTAAAATCTAAAATCAGATTTGAACTTCTGATAGCTTGTAAATGATTTTGAAAAAAATGATCAAATTGAAGCAAGTTAAAAATACCTTTATGACCTTTTTTACCTTGAAAAAGTCATTGGAGGTCAACTCTTAAATATAAAGTCAGATTTGCACTTCTGGGAACTTGTAGATGATTTGAAAAAAAAAAATTTATTGGAAGTTGTAAGAATTGTTACAGACGCCGATCAATCAAATCATTTATCCTTTATCACTTCAAAAGGTCGTGCTCATATTGAGATCAACAAGTTGATAAATTCGATATTGCTCAAAATCATGTACATGTATAACACTAGGGTGGCAAGTTTGTGAATCAAAATCTCGATTTTACTCAGTCTGTCATCCATACCTGAGGTCTGACCTTCAATAACAGTCCCCTTTTCAAAAGTTGTTAATATAGTGTAGAAAAAACTTTCGTTATGGTTAAATTGAGAAAATCACGATTCTCTTTTTAGAAAATAAGCCTTATATTTTTTTTAAAGTGCCAAGGTGGGGTCCTTCTAAAAATTACTTGCCATACTGCACATGAACTTCACTTTTAAACGCAGATGTAGAAAAAATGTTTAAGAATATCGTGATGTGTTCCAGAGCTCTATTTTGGGACCAACTATAATATTTATGTATTGTATCAAGTATTATAGAAAAATGATACGAATTGACTTAAATCTGAGAACTTAACTCTATATAGTTTTTCGATTTATAATGTAACACTTTTAAAGTATTGGTTCAATTCAGTATACGATTCATTGAATTCCCTGACACAGGGTACATCGATTTTAAGGATTAAATCATACCAAGGGAGGTATACACTGGTGGATCTGGGGGGCAGAGGCCCAGAAAAATTTGGTCCTAAAAATTTTGGGCCAAAACCTTTTCAAGGGCCGTTTAATGGGCCTTTTGGGGTAAAAATGGGCCTTATTTTTTAATTTTAAGCCAAATTATCAGGAAAATGGACCTTAGGTTTTCAAAATGATGGCCTTCTTTTTGATTTAAGGGGCCCAAATTTTGTTGGTTGGTTGGTTGGTTCCTGGATTCGCCCCTGGTATATCACTACAGTACATTTGGACTTGCTGATTCACACTAAGTCAGTAAAAGTTAGGTCGAGGTTGTGATAACTTTATTTAAATGCCTGTTTATAACATTCTACATGTGAGGTGTAATATCAAATATGATTTGTTTCAGTTGGATGATTTATAACAACATTTATTGCAAATAAGTCAAGCATGGCGAACTATATCAAAGTGGAATTAATAACTTGATGTAGCATTCGATCTGATGGATTCTATATTTAATCGTGCCAATAGTCTGATATGTCGACTTGTATGTAAAACATTATTAACCTGTTAATTCATCAAGTGGCATATGAACTATAATGAAGATCGGGAGTGAAAAATATGAACATTTGAATCAATATAGCTGTACAAATAAACAGATGAATATATTACAATAGTTTGAAATACCATCAGATGTTATCATCGTCAACAAATGAAATGAATTTGTGATAGATGATGCCATCAAATATGATCTGACGGTAGTATAAAATAAGATACAGAAACATCTTAAATTTTCAGGCGCCGTCATACCTGTTTCATTCAATAAGTTACTTTTGAATTCTGCAGCGTTTAAATATATAAGAAGGGTGCCTTAGAAATGTTAGATTAATACTCTGCATTGGGTGCTTGTCACCTGACCATGATGCTTGTCACCTGACCAGTGTTTACAATTAACCATTGGGTTTCCTTCACCCGTTAATAGTTTAACCATGGTTCTACTTACATGGTTTAAGTAGCATGGTATTACACTTTGCTAGGGTCCACCAACTAAGGGGGGTTAAGTCTTATTGAACCATTCTGAATCTGAATAAGGACAGCTTTTCAAAGTCACGTGACAGTAACCCACCTTCTGATAGGTTTAGAGTGCCATATAATTGTGTTTTAGCTAGGATGAACCATTTTCTTGATCCTAAGATGTATTGCGTTTAATATTCTTTAAATTGCTTGTATTTCCCGATTTTGGTCCGATAACTTGTTCTTATTCTTCGGTGTAGATTTTTAAAAATGTAAAGACTCACTCCAGAATTCTCTAAATATAATTAGTTCTTCAAAAAAAAAATTGTCTCGGCAATTTTCATCTTCTTAATTCAGTAAATTACAATTCAGTATTGCTCATTGGACAGAAATAAACAAATTAATGATATTGTAATATTATAATAAACATAAACGTAAGATAAGTAGTAATTTAAAAAGTATATAGATCTTACCTGTAAGTCGGAACGCTAGAGTCAGAAGGAAAAGAATGTGCATTTTAAACACAAAAACTGCATCTAATATATCCATAATTTTGTTTCGTAGTCCGCATCCTCATCGGTCAGTTATAACTCCATCGTGTCTTTCGTGTTTTCAAATAATTTCGCAAAAATTCTTTACATAAATATCTTACAGCATTATTACGTTAGACACTTTTTACATAACAAATTCAGAAATATGTCCCACTTTTTTATTTATTGATATAAAATTATTTAAAATATTTATCGTTTTATTCCATTCAATTCAAATTGTTACTAGTAATCCATTTGAATTGTGAAGAATAACTCTCGCTGTACTATCCCTCCATATTGCAATTACGTATAACTAGATACATGTTCATAGTCAAACAGCAATCACATCCAAATTGATGAGTAGTAAATTAACAGGTGGTTGCTATGGGAACCGATGCATTAACAAGACACTCTCCGTATATGTGATGCACCTGTACAATTCTGGCAGTAGACGCTGACTATAATGAACTTACTAATCACCAAGCTAATCATCGTCCTAATTGCAACGCGGAGAGTGATGCTTCATTTTTATTCGTTTTTATCTCCATGACCGATATTAATATAATACTTTAACAGTGCTATGATATATATGTACATTGCTGATTGGCAATATGGTTTTATCAGGACAAATGAGGATGATTTTATAGAAAATGAAATCAGTCAATTGATACACCAAACTGTCCAGAATACGTTCGATTGATTCAATAATCTGTATAAAAATCTGTCAAGTCAGTTGATACAATGATCCATATTTACCAAGTCAATTTATACAGTAATGAAGACTAACTGATGCTCTGAGCATCGTTATCTGTATTTTTTCTTTTATGTAATAAAATGCAACAGGTAAACTCATTTAAAATGCTGACCTCAAAACACCTCGAACCCATCAAAAACACGAATCTTGGTTTAATATGAGATGTTAAGGCTCTCTCTAGGCAAGACTCACCTAAGACAAACATTCAAATTGTTTTGTCATATTCGCATATTCTTTTCATAATTCACGTAAAGATTATGTCATGGGTTATTGCAAAAATAAGCTCATCAATGCTGACGCATCTGTAATGACGATGCTATTTGTATGTACATAACTGTGGAAGGAAGATTGCATGATTATATGTGATTTCTAATATGAAATTACAAAACCTAGGAAATATTAAACCCGAGTCTTCATTTGCGATTACATCTCTCAATATCGTGGCAGAGAGGTCGTGATGAGTATATTTATAAGACCATTGTTAACTGCATTCTTTACATGTCGCTCAGACACCACGACTAAGAAGTAACAAAATGTTACACATGGTAACATACAGTATGTTGCGAATTTTGGAACCCAGAATTTGTTGCGACGGTAACTAATATTGTCTAACAGAAGTATAATTGTCTTTTTCGCTTCGTGTTTTAAGTCAATCTGACTATATTTCTCTCGAGTGATTCTTTATGCATATATTCAGAAATGTACAGAAATGTAGAGAAATAAGCGAGTCTCTCATACGTCGAAACTGGCGGGGCCGTTATTCATTGAAGAAGGTTTAGTAATTGTAAACAGTGTGAGACTATAATAAATATTTTACTAACTATAGCTACATGGAATATCAGATCATTTTGAATGATATCGTTTTTATCGACGTTGATATCAAACATAACACGAGTGAGCGAAGTGTATTAGAAAGCCGAACATAGGGTCAAGGGACACTAAAAATTTACAAGTGACATAAAAATAGTTTAGGCCTATTCCAAAAGTTTTCGAGATGACCGATTTCAAATGACGATCGTCTTCTATCGTACTGTATAAGCTTACGAGGTTTTAAAACAGTCAATAATCAAATAAAAAAATTATGCGTGACAAACCAGACGATGTACCTCTAACGACATATAGATCAAAATGTACTTGCGACGCACAGAGATCAAATCCACAGAACGATAAATCACATACAGGCTCAAAGGGAGATGATGATAACTCACCTTTGCCTACTGTGGAGACAACGTGAGATCAAAGTTCCAATTCTAACATTTTTCACCTGGTTAATTATACACGGTGAATCTGTTAATTAGAAATACTACACCGATTAAGACTGTGAAATATTACGTATACCACAGTAGGTATCTCACAGTCGTTCTTTGATATAATACCTTTTCCGAGTATTGTTGTTCAGCGGCACACCAGATCAATTAGTAGCATCGTACAACGTAAGAACCGAGCTCGTAAGTGAAAAAGGAGACAGGAAAGTCGCGATGATTCCTACATGATTATTTTTATGTTTTCTTTCTAATTATCTCCAAACGAATTCAGACCGACTGTTAATGAAGCGGTAGCCTTGTTTCAATGCCCGGTCTTGGAGAAATGTATTTTCTATATGATTGTATTTTTTATATGTATGTTTAAATTTGTTTACTGAGGTTGTGAACAAAATATCACCACCTCCTAAGATTGCAAATGGTTATAGGTGTAATAATTCGTTACTGACACAGATACCCAAACGCCAAGTGTGATCAAATGGATCAGAATGATTTAAGTATGGAAAAAACAATATGTCTCCACTTCTTGGTGGAAACATAAAAACTGAATTTCTAGACCAATTTGTGTTTCAGAATACTAGAATACATACTGGTAAATAACTACTGTATTTTAGAGCACATTTTTGTTCATTCTTTCCATGAAATATCAGTACTATAATTATAAAGATGTGCGAATTTTCCAAAATAGTTTAGGAAAAGAAAAAATGAGAGTATTCAAAAAGCATTTGATGTCCCCATTACGGCTCAAATCATCAATACAATGATAAAAATAAAATGATATCACAATATGATATATCTCAAAGGAATTGTGAAGTTGATTGTTGACAGCAAGATCAAACATTCTCATTAATAGTTCATCAGATTTATTCAATACACAATGGAAACTTATTGCATTGTGCTTTTAAGGTGATAATAGGTGATAATGGTAGCTTATCATCTCTGAGGTTAATTATCACTAATTCAACGAGAGGACGATTTCATTATAAAAAAATACAGTTATTGATAACATTAGACATGCATTTCTGTTATAACAATAGTAGGTTTTTTGTAGGCATAAATGCTGTATCATATAATCTGCAAAATGAACCCATTCCCATTGACTCGGAAATTAAAATTAATACATATGCCTAGGTAGAGTTCATCAAATTCGTCACCGATTTCCAAAATTTCAAATAGTTTGGCGACTATATATATAGCCTAAAAGTACACGTAAGAATTTGGCGCATTGAACACGTGCTCCATACATTTTTCAGTTTGTGTTCGATTCTAGTAGTTTGTACTTGTCTTCAAACTCTTGTGATTTTAGTAGTATCTAATGACAGTGACGATACTTGAAGGGTAATATCCCTCTGCGTTTTCATGCGATCCAAAGCAAAGTCCATTTTCTTCCACACTCATCTGATATATGACGTCATCTGAAAATAAATTGATGTCCAGCATGTTAAATTTCACACCTGACATTTGTTACAAATACCAACCGCCGAACGCCAATTGCCGAGCACCATCCACAAAAATTGGAAACTATAACAACATGTGACCACTTGTGGTGGTGAAATTATAACATAAACCTATAACGAGCGAAATTATAGCGGTGTGAGATCACAAACTAGAATGTGACCAACAAATTAAAAAGACGTGTTACAATTCTTAACGATGCTTCACTTAACAAGCTGACAAGACCTTGCACATCCTGAATATCAAAGCTCACCCTTTCTGAACTCCAAGTAGGAAGGCTCAGATGTGACGTGATCTTGCAATGCACGAACATTAACATTTATAGCAGGGGCCTCCTCATTCTCTGTTCCTTCAATGTTAGCCAACTTTGGTTTAAGTTCTTCATAAATTGAATCCCATTGATCTTCGTCTGTAAAGCATAAATGGGAAAACATTCTTACACTGAAATTCTATACGACTGTCGTCACTTCGCTTACACTAAATGTGTTTTTTATTAACAATTTTCTACCGAACGCTTGACGAGAGAACGGGAGACAACGCGTCAACGAGTTGTACTTCGTAATTCTAGCAGAGAGCTTCTTCAGAAAATTGGCACACGCAAATAAATAAAGCAAATGAATAATTGATTGAATACGTTTAATCAACGTATGGACTTACCACTGTCCGTCCAGAAGTCCTCATTTGGATCAGCTTGGTATTTGTCAACGTGTAGGGGTGACACTGCTCCTACAGGTTCAAGCTCTGCATAATAGCCTTCATTTCCTGAAAAGGTTTTCAACACTGAATTGCAACGAGCGCATTATATCATCTTGGTATTCCTGGTGCCTCTAATATAGCAAACCCTAAAGTATCAACAATGTTTCAGATAAAAGATCACCCTGTACTTTTTGTCAAATGTTATTTATGATTCGCTATAATTGTTATTTGTCTTTCATCAATATAATGATAAATATTTTTTAATGCGACAACCATTATGGCATTTACGCTGATATTGCTACAGGAACCTCTGTTTTGGAACAAGCACTGGTCATCGAGATTACCTTTTCTGTTAGCAGCAACATTTGGTTTAGTGGAATCATCTCTTTGGACGCCAAGCAAGCTGAGAACACTTCTTTGTATTGTATCGGTCAATGACCTTCCTTGCCTCAAGGCCCAGGATTTTCTCCTTTTTGGTTCAGTTTTCAAAAAATCGTCATATTCCTAATAAAAATGCATTTTTACTTATTCAGTGATTTAGAATTTAAATGTCAATCTTTATTGATACTATATAGCATTAGGAAATAAAATTGCGTTGTAAAGGGGTCGTAAAAGTTTTAAAGAATTGTGGTCCAACCTGAAAACGAGGCCACTGATGTCTGCACTCCACCCCGTGCTCTCTAGACCAAATGGCCAAGCAATCTTCAATGCTGATATTTTCCGCGATTGCTACGACATTTTCATACGTGTCACTGAAAATAAAATGCATGGTAAAAGGGTTGAATAATTAATGTTGCCAACTGTCAATACTCCCATTTTACTTTTTATAAATTGACATAATATTCGGTACCGTGTGCGAGTCTAGGCCTAGTTATAAACTACAAAGCTCTCTTTTGGGAAGCAAAGTTGAACGAATGTAAAAGGTAAAATGTATTCTTCCTGAGCAAAAAAAACTAATATAGTGACTCATTCATTTTTTACCCACAATATGCACCAGTACCAGTTCCGTTTTTCTAGATGTTGCATCAGACCTTCCAATCTTCCTTATTGATCATGAAATCAAATACTTAAACAATCTCAGGGAAATTAATTCACTGCGTAAATATTACTGAAATCTATACTTTATAAATATTGTAGCAAAGTAAAATTATGAACATTTTTGGCCCATCTTGTAGATTTGCATGGTGTGTTTTATTTAAATTAATACCATAATAGGTGTCCCTGAACAATTTGCATCAATGATACCTGCACATGCATGGTTGATCTAAAGCCCTTATGAAATCTAGTAGGATCCGAGTTGTCGTTTGTAGCCTGTTGTACTCGATATCCTGACATCTTTCAAACGCTTTAGTCATTTTCTAGAACAAAAAGGTATATTATATTGATTATCACGAATAATGAATTTGTGTTAATTTGACTGTACAATTTGTTCTACATTGAAGGTTTGGCGTGTCAAAAGATGTATTGTAAATGTAAAGAATGGCCACTCCGTTCTTGGATTACAGGACACTATACTCCTCCATTTCTGACCTTATTACCTCTGCGGTATTCTCAGATCCTTCCCCAAACCACATTCTAAGACATGGTTTGAGAAAAAAAAATTAAAATCTAAAATATGTATCTTGATGCACGACCCTAACCTTCTTAACTTACCTCGATATAAATTTGTTTAGGTCCATTATTTAATGATTCGATGGACCTCAGGTATTCCCTTAATGTGTTTTCCAGATTCACCTCTGTTTGTAGAATCCTCATCTTGAAATTTTCATCAGATTCTCTGGACATCCTTTCGCGCCCATTCGACGAGGCATCGTGGTATTTATCCGTCGCTTTCTGGTGTGCTTTGTTAGCCTTGTAATAGTGCTGGAAGATCAGCGAGATGAAAACAGAGCCAGAGACAGACAAATATCGCATGATCATAGAAATCCAGTATCAATTAACTAATATTCGTCCAAGAAACGGTGCAAAAGTCGACCCACAGAATAGTACAAAATTATATAAAATTATATAGAATCACTTCTACGAAATACTGTACCTTCTTCGCACTCAGCATAGTATGGAGTTGAATTGCATATTCACGTTGAGCATTTTCGAATTCAACTTCAATGTCCTTTGAAACCTGACATTTCCCTGTTGTGTGACCTCTGTGGTAAGTGGACATGGTAAATCTGAAATAGTAAATGCAAATGGCTTTCCTTTCTGAATAATGACACCCGTTAACGTTGAGAATCATATAATTTTACTTTGCAGTTGGCACACTTCATGACATCAATACATGTGACTTACACCATGTTATGTTTTTAGTCATTATTTCACACTTATTTTGGGACTCACGACTTATTATATCGCATATTGTCAACTTAATGGTTGTGAATAACTGGCCATCATTTTGTGTAATGGGTTTGAATAACGAAATCTAACCTTCCCTCTTATCTTAAATAAAAGAGAAAATCATAATTTTGCCAAGATCAGCTAAATCAAAAGGTTAACGGTTCGATTGTTTAATTAAAAATGATTCAATGATGAGACCGTTTCATATCTTGTCCTACGGAGTCTGGACGTGTTGTCATTTCATCTGCCATCGTTTTGTGTATATCAGCCACACGTTCGCTAGCTTTAGCCATCTCCGCAACAGCGGGTGCTATGGGATTTCTTTTATCTTAAAATACATACAACACAGAGTATCTTATAAGTGGCCGTACATTATAAAATACGTCGTTAATAAACACTCAAAAACAATGCCCATGGTCTTTTTAAAAGAGGGAACATTTCTTTGCGAATGTATCGATAAGTGTGCACATTTATTCTAAAAACTTACATTTGTATGCATCTTTCTTCCATTTTGTCCCCCATTCTCTCAAGCGTTCGGAATAATCTCGTTCTATATCAGATCTCTCTTGTATCATGTCAATAAATTTGTGGCAATATCTAAAAGATAAATCAGTTCAACGTAGGAATACTTCTATCCATACTTTCGAAATTTATAACCATCAAACTACAAAGGTTCACGTAGGTTATCGCAAACAATTTCAGACAGTTATATCTTGGACTAAGACTAATTTCTGACCATGAAGACGGGTATATCTTTTAGATCCATTCACTGTCTCAAAGAAAATTATATACAATAATAATAAAGTCAAGCGGAGTTGGAAATATTTAACTAGCAATCAACCCATCAACACACTTTTTCAAAGATGTTGACCTCATTTTCACCAAAAATGCAATCATTTTTTACAATGTTTAATGTATAGTATGTTGATTGGTCCATTGGCCCTTTAATATCCCTTAGCCTGATTAACTAAATTATCATTATGTATACTTTTCTTGAAGATGACAGATGGGTCTAAAAGATACACCAATGTTCATGATCAGAAAATATTCAATATTCAAGTTAGCCTAGAATTGTCTGAAATTGTTTGCGATAACCTACGTGCTCCTTTAATTGTATGCAAAGTGAATACCCGGTCAGTGTAAAGGTGGCCCCAGACTATAGCACATGTATGTATCTTTTAAGAGATTTGTATTTAGTGATGCAAATATAGCTCTCGGATACATAGATGCCGGCAAAATTCTTTTGGAGTGGGGATCAGAACCTCAATAAATATAGGAATATTTATTGAGCTAGCCTACATAGGCTATATAGCCTATTACAAAATAATGTACCTGAGACTAAGGGTATGAATTTCAATATTTCCTGTCAGCCCCTAGACCCGCATAGCTTGCGGCCCTCCGCACCCACCCTCAAAGCTTAGTGTGGGCCACACTGGGCGCCAACGTCAGCGGCAAAACCTTACTTAGTTTGCACAAAGCTATCTCCTGAGAATCTGGCTATGTGCAAATAGCTTATAGTAAGGCAAAACCTGTCCTTACGCAAAAGACACCCCTCCCTTTGAGAAGTCCATCGGAAGGGCCTGTAAATTTTATTTGAAAATGAGTTCTGTGTCATTTGCCTCTAGTCAAATAAAAAAAGAGACCAGCTTACATCGAGCCATTATCTACACGTTGAATATTGTCTTCGTAGCATCCTATGTCCCAAAATGATTTGTGAGCCATATTATTTTAGAACCAAACACAAAATATTTCTCAGCATTATTGATTTCCGGTTTGTTATGTAAATATATTCATTACGTCACACAACAAACTTACATTACGTCATATACGTTTCCATGACATTGTATTTAGTTCGCCTTTGTTTTTGTTTTTTTACTTTTTCATGAGTCTGTTTTTGTATTTTTAGTTATGTTGCTTTCTAAATGATTTCCCTTCTGAACAGCGCTTCGAAAATTTCCTCAAAGAGTTTATATTTTTGATTGATGATTTTGCTGTGCCTCGATTTAGGACCCATGGTCATTATACTTATGAAGGGATTTAAGAATACAAATATTTCATGTTCTAATTAATGAGGTCAAATGAAAAATTCTTTAGCCTGTTTCATTGGGGCTCTGATCAAAACCCGAAGCGTTGCAAATTGCCATTATTGAGACCAGTTACTATATCATCCATCCCATATTTCATATCACCCAGTACGTCATCTGCAATATCATTAGCTTTATGCCTTGGTCACATTTGCTCCGATTTTCACTACCTGAACATGTTATTTTATGGTACAAAATAAAGTATGAAGGCATGTGCCAATTTCCTTGCTTTTTTCAGGAAAGTATCATTACATTGTCTTCTTTTAGAATATCTGGTAGGAGTTCAATGGGAACTAGAGGAAATTCTGATATTTCACACTTTCTATTTTTCCAAATTTTCTTTCAAAGTTTCCAGACAACACAGGAGATACCATTGTTTCCAGGTTTACTAAAAGTAGACAGTGTAATGATACTTTCCTGATAAAAGCAAGGAAATACACACATGCCTTCTTACTGAATTTTGTACCAGAAAATAGCATGTGCAGGTATAGCAATTTTTACCAAAATGTTACTTTTCAGCTGAGCCTTAACGACTACAATCGTTTGAATACAATCTGAGAGCATCTGATAATTAGAGGAGAGGTTTAATATAGGTAAGAAGTTATTTTATTCTGAATATGGGAGGTCATGGTGATAGCAGTGTACAGTAAGATAGTTGTAAATATAGATACGTTACCACTATACACTGTAATTTCATATTGACATCACAGTCGGGTTTCAAAGCAGGTAATAATGAAGGCGAGAAGGGTAGTATAGTTTGTTAACATCTGCTTTCTTTAGATACGCATCCTTATGCAGCTGGTACATAAGAGGATTGGCAGCCATAATTCAAACCAGATCCTTCGTTGACTGGCATCAGGGCATGGACCAATTTGGTGATAATATTACTCATATTTTTTGCTGCCACGGTGGTTTGGATATTATCATGATACTCGAACACTAATGCCCTGGCATCTCCCGATTTTATTCGTATGGATATTGTTTATCGTATAAGAGGGTGAAAAATTGTATATTGTATAAGAGGGGCAAATTTTATCTTATATCGTTTATCGTATAAGAGGTGTAAAAATATGGTAAATGGTATAAGAGAAAATAAATGGTATATGGTATCTCAAGGCACCAGACGGTTAATTATATGTTTAAAAAGAATTGGGGCCCTCGGAAGGCAAATTATGAAGAAATGGTGCCCTGAAAATCTCCATTGTGCTGACTCTTTTACTGTAATCGTGTTAGAAAACATGGACGAGTAATCTCTCAAATTGGTTCTACATTCCAGGTCGATCAATAAGTTTTGAGAAAATAACTCTCAAAGGTTTTTGCCATTCTCATTCAAATTTTCACAGGAGACAGTGTCGGATAAGAATGCCAAATGTCACTGACTCTTCAAAACGTTGGTGAAAAATATGGTCACTATAGCTACTTGTGTTTCAGGGTATGTGGGATAAATCATTAAAATATTTGAGTATAAAGTGTTCATACAGCGTATGTTTTAATTCAAGCATCATTAGATATATTCTTATATTGCAAAAGGTGTTTATTTGGTCTTAAAACTAATCAAAGAAAGGACCACGGACGGTATCACAACTGATTTCAAACTGTCATGTTGGATTTTGGCTATCGATTGGGGATTTGAACAGGTGCATATGTTAGGCCAATGCAATAACTCCAAATCAAGCACTCATAGAGGTGATAAAATGATTTGGACTTTGAGACAGGGAAGGTGCAAACACCCCAGATACGTTTTTCTGAAATGTTGCCCTTTTCACACATGTTTTTTCAATGTCTGGTGCATCAATATGTTGCATTTCGTAGACATAGTCAACATATTTAAAGGAAATATGATTCATTTGGATAAAGTGGAAAACAATATTCCTTATGTTATTTTAACATAGGGAAAACTCATGTTTTCAGCTTAATTTTAGTCGACCAAAATTGATATCTTTAAAACCCCAGCATGAATCATATTTTCCTGTAGAGATGTTGACCGTGTCTCACAGATGTTTAAAGGACTGGAAATCAGGACAATATTACAGAAAAAAACATGTTGATTGGGTGTGTGTCTTTATCAAAGTCCAAATTATTTTATCATATCTTTGGCTGCTTGTTCTGGAGTTAATGATGGCCTAACTCATGGATCTGTTGAAGAAAATAGCAAAAATCCAACATATGACGGAAATCTGTTGCAATACCGTACGTGGTCCTTTAAAAGAAAGTTATTTCGAGTTGCATAGAGTAGTTTTCATTCTCATAAACACATCTTTGCCTTGAAATCATTCGTGAAACAAGTGGTTTGACTTTTATGGAAATTTGTTTAAATTGATACACTCTTGTTTGACTTATACTGTTTTTAAGGCTGCCTTATCTGAAACCCCGAAGTGTCTCTGTTTTAAATGATCAAACAATCAAGTCTCAAATTGCCTTTATTTCAAACTCTAGTCCAGACTCGAGTCCAATCAAAAATGAATCATCTACATGGAAGTTTGTGAAGTTCTTTAATAATTGTTTCCGAAACTGTTTTCAATACTTAATATTTTCAAGGTGACTCTCTTACAAAATTATTGTGCATTGTGAATCTTCACTATCTTCCTGATAGTGTTATATGATGTATATATATTTACCTCAGCAAACTTTATTTTCAGAGAACACATGATGAATCTTTTATTCCACATTCTCAATTTTGCATCAATTATGTTTCAAGAAATTCCCTGACTCCCTATGAGGGATTCCATTGACATTAGAATAAGTCATGGGAAAGTAGGTCATAAGAAAGAGGTACACTGAGTTCCTACCATTCCAATGATGCGATTTTTGAGCTAATTTTGAATATCTTTATGGCACTTTTATAGATACTGGCTTTAGCCAATTGCAGAAATGTTAAGTTAATGTTTTGGTCAAAGTAGATTGTGGAATCACTAAAGAGAAGTCAAGAATCGTATACCATAAATATGTTTTAAATCAACTCCACGGGGGATAAGCAAAACGAGGGCAAAGCCACGGACTGCGACTCGCGTAATTCAAAACGAGGTTACAACGCATTATAGCTGAACAATGGCGGTAAGTCCAAACTTAATTTGGAAGGCATGTTAGGATTTGGGGTAGATTATTGGTTTGGATATTCTACAGAATAGCTAGTATGTTCCAGTCGGTGATCAACATATTCATACTCCACCTGCAATGGCATTCTTGGTGCTCGGCTGTCCAATAGTTTAGCATGAACACAAATGAATTCGAAATCTGCCACAAAAAATGTAATTTTGTCAATATTTGTCCCTAATATACCGATTTAAACAAAGGAATCAGAAATGTCATCGAATTAATATAATTATTCATGTTCTGTTGTTACAATTACATCTTCGTGTGTTATTTGGTAAGCGGAAAACGTACAATTACATAGAAAATTGGAATTTATAATAGTCGCAGTCCATCCATCTGCCCAACGCAGTCCGCGACTCAGTGTTGCTTTATATCTGAAGCTGAACGCAATCACAGCCAAAGGTAGATAGCACAATGTGTGTACAGGTGTGGCCGAAATGGTGCAACTTTGGACAAAATTGAATATAAAGGGCTATTTTAATAGACCTACATCGTGTCTCAATCCATTCTGCAAATATATACAAGCTGTCAAATACAGCTGAAATCATGAATTTATGGTAGCTAGCAATATTGATGGACTGTTGGAAAGATCATCCAAAATTACATTAACTCACCAACTCTCCAATTATTTGATATTTTCCCGATATCTTAAATACTAGTTAATGTACCCTTCCCCAACAGCTTTTATTTCATCATCAAAAAGTTAATTGTTTCGCATTTCTACTTATAAAAAGTCTCACCGCTATCCAATTATCTATATATTTAACCCTATCCACAAATTGGTTTGTAATAAACATATTACGTTGTCATCTTGCGCTCGACTGTTCTGCCAAATACGCTATTGAATTGCCATATTTCTAGGTCTTAAACGATACAATATAGCAAGTTGGGACATTGATTCAGGTAATAGATATATGTTAATCAACGTAACTTTGAATGATAATCTGGATGCTGACTTTCTTTTCCTGAAACAATAATAGCGTAGGAATATAATTTACACTATCTTATTTATTTCGTGTTCGCGGCTGGACTGCGTTGCTTAGAATATCAATGGAGGCTGTGTTGCGTTGTTGAAATAGCTTTGTTTACTGGACTGCGTCCACTATGGATGCGCAGTTTGAATCTAATTTACTCCTCATGAACACATTCTATTATCAAATCATTTTCACGAATTATACTCGGAGCCTCAACTAACCTTTAGATATCAGAAACGTGTTAAAACTCCTTTCAAATGTATAGTAAATTAAATAATATGCACATATTTTACAGGTAAAATCAGAACTTTGCTACTGTTTTAGCTTGATCTGGACAACTGCTTATTTTCTTATCTACAGACCAACAGTAGATACAGAGTAATATTTTGGTCACCGATTAGACACTATGATAGCATTTAAAATACCTGGATTTCTCTATTTTGTCGGAAGAAGCAGAAGGCACTGCCGGATGTCCCTCCGTTTTGGCGCTGGGCTGCGGTGTAAAGTAACGCGAGTCGCAGTCCGTGGCTTCGCCCTCGTTTTGCTTATCCCCCGTGAACTCGTTCACCTGAAAATAAAAAGTGGTCACAGAATTTCTGAACATGCGGATGTACCCGAATGGTGCCTCAGTCATAATGTAATAAATGAAATCATTGTGGTAAGTATGTGGGGTATATTTGTCTTATAATAATACATTTACTGTAGTACATGGATTCTCTCCTAATATTATTTCATCATAAATATCAAATATTCGATCAACAGCAGTTTCAAAATAATCGTATATTGTATTTCACCTAAACTTTTGTAAAATATTGTATATGGTATAAGAGCTGTGAAAAAAATTGTATATGGTATAAAAGGGGTGAAAAATATTGTATATGGTATAAGAGAGCTGAAAAATATTGTATATGGATTTCCAAGACCCCCTATACACCCCCCCCCATTCTTGGTTTATTAAAATTATTTATTCAAAATATACACTGGGCAAAAACACATATTTGAACTATAGTAAACATGGTCTGTAGATGAACATTGCATAGAAATTATATAGAAATATATTATGTCCATATTAGGTTCCAATCCAGGTCGAAGAACGGGTAAGAATCATGATAACTGCCAATCCTCCTTGCGTTCAGATCTCAAGTTGAAGCTGTTGAAACATAGCTATAGTCGAAACCTTTTGTATTCTGGCAATATTTTCAGGTAAATCCAACTACATCATGGCAAAAAGAGAATTCCAATACCAACCGATTCATAGAGGCTACATACTTACCGAGGCTGCCCAAATTGACAAGAAACTATACGATGAAATTGCTACAAGCGGGATTCGGAATATTGTTGGGGACTTTATAGTCGAGCCTAAAAAGAGCAAAGCTTGGGAATTAAAAAAGGGTCAAGTTTGTAGAATAACTGTGAAAGAAGGGTCGCAAGTAGGGGACTTAAACGTATGGAATTTACACAACTTCAAAGAGAGATTTTACTCTGGGAAAACGCGACAGATTCATGGCTCTCATCTGAGTAAATATGACCGTCTGTGGAGTTGTTTTCCGTACCTGAACCCATTGGCTACAATCACCGCCGATAGTTTGGAGGATTATGGAATTGACCCCGAGGGAGGTTCTGTTCATGATGTCATTGGTACAATGTGTGATCCATTCACGCATCAGTTAATGACAGGGAAGCCTTCGGTATTTTCGTGCTACCAAGGCCTCGTTGACGCAATCAAACCTTGGGGGTTAAAGGAGAGTGACGTCCATGATGTCTTCAACATATTCATGTGTTCTGGGTTCACTAAGGACACGCATGAGTATTTCATACGAGCTAGTCCAGCGAGAGATGGTGACTACATTGAGTTTGTGGCCGAGATGGATTTGCTGGTTGCCTTGAATGTCTGTCCTTATGGTGACGTTTCGATTACATGCGGGAATGTCGTGCCAGACTCGATGTGTCATCCTCTACATGTTGCTATAGGTCAACCGATGTAACACCGGCGACTGCCAATAGATGGCACAATTCTGTGAGTTTGAGCGTATATTAAAGGTGCAAAAATTAGTGCATGGACCAGTGTCAAAATATGTTTAAGTTTTGATATTTCATCAAGACTAGCATATATCTTTATTATCTCCAAAGAAACCACCTGGATGTACATTATTTCAGCTGATATTACTCTTGAAACGTGGTAGATCTTAAAATCTATAAGTGGGACTCCCTTTATAGAAACTTTGAACTGAATTTACACTTCTTAATGCTGAAATAGATAGCTTATCCATACAAAATAGGAATGCCAAAGAAGACATTAAGCCAATTTTTTCCCTAATAGCTGATCAGAAAAAGTAACAATTTTCGAATTTTCTCTCTGCAGGCATTGTTGCCCCTTTATTCCTTCAGAATATTGCTTCGATGATCATCACATGTGTCAACAATTTGTATTATATTCAACAGATTCTAGTATAAATATAGGAAAGCAGGGGAAAATAATTAGTATGATACTTTATCTATTTGTATTCATCACAGCAAAAACTGCACACAATTTAAAAGCACAGAAAGTGAAGAGTGGCCTTCGGATCTCACATATATCGTCTATCATGTCTATTGAGTCTTCAGTATTGTCAATACACTGGCACTGGGAAAAATCTTCGTATTATATAATACTCTATCTGTATTTGTATTTATTACAAAACTGCACACATTCTAAAAGAACATAAAGTGAAGAGTGACCAGCCCTATTCGAATCTGCCGTGGTAATCTATCATATTGTCTATTATTACCACCTTGCAGGGCCTGTTCTAGGGGTTTTAGTACTAGTTGAGAAGGCATTTAAATTGCTATATTGACGTGAGCAATATTGTGTCGGGCGTTAATGACTTTAGTCGGGCAATAATGACATTATCCGCCTGGCTATGTTTCCCGGGAAAAGTGATATCGTTCAGTGCGTAAGATTTGCTATTTCAAATTTGCTATTTCAGCCCTGGTCATTAACGGCCCTTGGTCCAATATTTCACTATATTGCCCTTTGAAATGACGTTATTGTACTATTGAGTCTTCAGTAATGTCAATGTCAAGCAATGATTGTATTATAATATAGACTACCTGTAATATATTTTGGAAATTTTGGAATAAAATTGATTCTATGGATGTACTGTTATGCACTTTCCTACCTTTATTCTAACTTACGATGATAAAAATACAATACAGTGGTATACTATACAATGGTTGGTTTTTTCGCCAACACTATTTCTAAATCGAACGTCAATGTAAGAAAATGGATGAACTTCCTGGATACGAGTTTTTTGATTTCTCGATTTAAACCTACTTATACGTCATGATGCGAATTATCATTTGGCACAAAGTTAGACGAATTTTAGTCTAGCTTTTAGAATTGCTCTCGGTTTGGAATTTGATTTTTAAATAAAGCTCTAATTCATGCATTTAGACCATCGCTTTTGTTACATTGGTAAAATAACGAACTTTCGTCAATGTAACAAAAGCGAAGGACTAAACATATGAATTGCAACTTCATTTACAAAACAAATTCCAAAACGAAGAAACTTATGAAAATAAGACTATATTTTCTAGCTTTGTGCCAAATTATAATCGAATCTGCAACTTGACTTATATGTAGGTTTAAATCGAGAAAACAAAAAAACTCGCAACCTGGAAGTTCATCCATTTTGTTACAATGACGTTCCTTCAAAATAAATAGTTGTGGAACAGTGTACATAGTAGATATTTCCTCTGTACTGAGGCTACCAATTTCCGTGCAAATTGTAATAAATATATAAATATATTTTGATAAACCTAAAAAGTATTATGCTGAAACCGAAAACAGATGCGGTTGACTGATCTATCTCCCAAACTCAACTGCTCTCATCCAATCACCGTGATATATCTGTAGGTAATTATTTTGAAGGAGCCGTCATCTTCAATGTGATATATTGCTTTGTAAGAACAAATTAAAATTAATTTAAATGCAATACCAAATAAACCTAATAAGTCCAAAAGCCGACAAAAACTTTCGAATCTATTTTATTCGAACACAACGATTATACAGATAACATGAATTTAAAAATAAAATTTACTATTATTTTCAACACGGCATGCATGATTCTTGACACATTTACCATAAATAACCAATGTATATCCATCAAGCATTTAGTTTATTCACTTAGACGAATGAATTACTTTTCTACATTCCATACAAGTCATAGGAATAATCATTTTCTTTTTTGTCATGATCATGATTTCGTATTTTGCCGTTGGATTCTCACCTTCCTCCTTTTCTGGTATAGAGATACGGTGTTTACCTTTCATCCGGAGAATGTCCTTTGGAACAGTGGAATATCTAGAGATAAGCTAACAATTTACAGATTTCGTAAAAGAAAAGAGCTGATGATCCTACAAAAAAATCCTACCAAATATGTTCAAAACCGACAATAACTTTCGAACCTAATTTATTCGAGTAAAACGAACATATAATATGCATATAAAATAAATTTTTAAAATGTATGATTCTTAAATACTGTCTAGCTTATGCTTCATTATGTTCGTGACACCGACTAGGATTTTTCAAATTCATACTATTTTTCATATACAATCGACTCATCTAGCCTATATTTCTCATTTTGCATTTCTCTTGGATACAGTCATCATTCATTCTCTGTTTTTGTCTTGATTTCATACTTTGCCATTGGGGAATGTCACGTCCTTAATAACAGTTGAACATTTAGAGATTGGCTAATGATTTGCAGATTCCGTCCCATGCCCATCGTTCCTCTGCCAACTTTCGAAGCCTTTTCTTAATTTTGTTGCTGTTTTTATCATTATTCATACCACCCAGTGCTTCGGGGTAAAGGAACTCCAAGGCTTCATTTACTTTTTCAGGGAAGATCTGAAAGCGAGAAATGCAATTGTCATAATTATGCTAGTTATTATATATGAAAGTGATAATAACAGGAAGCCCCTGTGTTCTATCTGTTTGTAGCTCCCAAAATGACTCTGATCATTTTACATTTACCAACAGACAATGTGACCATCTCAGACATTAACATTCATATCATTGACACGTTCCCGATGCGTAACGGTCATTTGTCCCATACGGCGGGTTAGAATATACGGCAGTACCTCTCACTCTCCATTTCTACAAACAACAGTCTCTTTAAGTAAAACCTGTCTTAGTGAACACCTCTCTCTAGTGAACACCTATCTCTAGTGAACACTACCTGTCTCTTGTGTCGTCCTCTGCACATACTCTATTGACTTCTTATAAATATTAAATTACCCCGTCTGTAGTGAACACCTACCAACGTTGAACGTTTTCAATATGCATAGGTTTTACTGTATTCTCAAAATCTAAGTACCTCTGTAAAGTGTTCTCCGTCAGCTGCCTCGAAGTCACCTCCAGGGTTTGTTTCAAGATGCATCTTGGACTCCAACTCAGGGTCAGCCTTCTTCACTTCGTCCAGTACATCAACGAGACCAGAATGGTAGACACACAGCGGCAGCACGCCAGCAGCCATCGCTTCAACAGCTACCATACCTGATAAGACGTGTGTATTTAGTAAAAAATCCAATAGGAAAATTGGAAAAAGTTTGTTTGAGATCCGAAGGCACACAACGGCAGTTCTCTCTCTAAGTCAGTAGGAATAATATGTATAATAGTCAAAATGTTGACCATTAAAAATAATTCAAATGAAATGAAACAAAACGCCCTACTCCAGAAATCGCTTTCAAAGCACTGTACATTTGAATTATGTACGCAACACTCTTTTGCTTAAATAAGGACATACATAATGCTTTCTCTAGTATTGCCTGGGACCCCCTCTTACTCTTTGCTGGCTGCAGATAGGCTTGCATTTTGCCTGATTTAGAATAACGGAAACTGACTTACCAAACGCTTCATTTGCTTTACTACTAACAACGACGATATCAGCCAGAGGTAAGATGAGACCTAACTCTGTGTGGTTCAGACATCCCGTCACTGTGATTCTGGACAATTCCTGCGCGTCAAGGCGATACGGAAAATGTTTTTTGACATCAATTGTAGATTGCAAAAATGTCTTGCCATTCTCGTCTGGACTTTGTGCCGCCGCGCGGAACAGTTCGAGGTTACCCGTACCTAATGCATGGATCATTGCCTGGAGATGCTCTCGGAATCCCCCAAATCCTATAAAGACTAATCTCGCTGTCGGGAACTTCTTTAGGATCTCCGGAAAACATAGCAATATCTCTGCTACTCCTTTTGTGTTGAGGAACTTACCGAAATACATAATGATCGGTTCTTCTTTAGTGATATTCGGAAATTTATCCGGAAGATCACTGTCACATACTCTCTGATTATATGTCTTTCCGATGTTTACAAGCTGGGTGTGGATGTTCGTGGATTTATATCCCACTTTTGGAAAATTGATCTTCTTTGCGTCTCTGCCATCATTTTCTTTAGCTATATGCTTTCGTATAGTGTCCAGAAATTTATTGATATTTTTGAAGATATTTCTGCAAGGTGTGAACACATCGGGGTCCAAGCCTGGCGGAACAATGACCAGTTTATCATCCAATTTGAGTTCTTCGCTTTCTGCTTCAAATGTCTCCTTCACCTGTCGTACAATATGATTGGTCCCTGCTATGATTTTATTACATTTCTCGATCGCTTCAATCGCGTACTTTTTGTAAACGGGATGGGGAGCCAACACGAAAAGAATTCCACTTCCGTGAATTTTGATGTCAAAAGGAACATCAGTTCCTTCGAGGGCACGTTTAACATTTACTGGAGACAGTAGGGCATGATTGGCGAGGACTTTATCACAGCCCCATAAATCCACTGCTTCGCGGATAGCCTTTGATGTCAGTTCAATATGGCGTTCGATTTCCTCGTCGGTACAGTTTGGAATCGTCTTGACGGTGTACCCTTCGTAGTCATCGTACACGTATACCGGGAGGAGGCCGTCTATGTCTGGTACAATTACACGAGCTTTACCCCTGGCCACTCGCTCTTTTGGTAAAGGGTCCTGGAAAAAACGAGCAATAAGTTGACATGTGTGCCACAACAGGAAAGCTATTAACAACCAATAAACTAAAATTGATTCAAACATATCAAGGAAGGCGTTATTAAACCACATGGGTTAACTAATTTAGGGTATCTTCCTTATTGAAACAGTGTAGTTTTTGATTACCTTTGTAATATAATGTATGTCATATCTATATCTGAATATATGGCGAGGGTTGTCCCAAAAGTAATGCACTATATGCTCTTTCTTTAATATTCTTCGATTCAATTACCATTTTGTGTGAATTGCAAATGAAGTGTTATCTGTTCATGGCCAGGCCCGAGGGGAGGTACCGATTTCTCTAATCATGAAAATCTCTAATAAAAATGTTATTCTATTTATATTTCTATCTTTCAAATGATCAAAATGTTCGGGGAATTGTTTTAATTTAGCATGACGTTAACCAAGCATACGTAATGATATTCAGTAGAATGTGATGTGTTTAGTCACTGGCAGTTCCTATATCGTACTCTATTGCCAGAAAATTTAAATATAAAACTAATTAGAGATATGATTTCCTATATGTATATCATAAAACAAAGAATCTATTTCGTATGGCCTTATTGGGTTGGTAAGTTATTGCCTATGAGTCTATTTTAATTTCCAATCTTGTAATAAACTTTATAACAACTTTGATGTGACATATCTACAGTTGGACGGCGCAGTTGTCTTTGTCACCTTGGTGTAAATTACCTCTAGCGGGTAAAATATATTTTATACTATGCGAATTGACAAAATTTTACAAACCACGCTGAAAAAAACATAGTCACCCATTCACGTCGTGATAAAATTGCATAATTTATTTAAAGATATTAACAATTTTTAATAGTGTCACGACTGTTTCCCTGTACCAAACCAGAAAGTACGACATCATAACCCCAAAAACCTGAAGTAATAAAACTCAGGCCATGTATAAGCGTCATCAATTTTATTTCATCATTTATTTACAAGCAGTGATTGTGTCCTTAAAGTGGTACACTTGTACCATCTGTAAATATACATTTGGAAATGTGTTTTCTAGCACGTGTATCACAAAGTCTTCATTCAGTCTTGCAAATGGGTTTGACGGCCCTTTCTTTCACATGCACATAAAAGTTTTATGTTTTTTAAACAGGCCTAAGGTGGACCAAACACTTCTGTCGATCTGTCTTCCTAATTAATAATCAATACTCTTATTTGACACTCAGTCATCAGTTATTTTTAAATTTAAAATTGTCTTTTGCAAAATATAAATTTCGATTTTGCTAAGCAATACATAAATAAAACAGTGACTCAAATATTTATTTATATACTGATCCTACGAGAAATCGCTAGTCTGATATGGGTGCAATATAAACAGTATACCACAAAAAGAAGCAAAATAAATAACTGACCTTCGGACCTACGAACTCATCAACCCATTCGTATGTTTTAGCCCTTGGATCCTGGCAGAATATAGTGATGGAATGGCCCTGTTTCTTCCATTGGTGGGCCAAGTTACACGAGTAGATATTAGAGCCTGTTCCACTTAGGAGGTAGCCATGTACAACAATGATATGCTTGCCTTGGATTTCATTCCCATTAGATGCAACTCCATTACCTTTTGGGGCTTCGTCGAGGGCTTCAGTCGTTGCCGGGTCCTGCACTTCCGTCATGATCCGAGCTTGAGATCTTGAAAAACCTTTTGACTTTTATTTGCTCCTTTTTCCGTCGATAATAAAGTTTTTCCTTTGTGAGTTCTGAAAGTTAAGAGTACAGTGACTTTTATAGTCAAAAGTTAATGTCTCATCTTTTATGTGAACGATAGAGGTACACGTATTCTGAGTATTTTGTTATCTTAAGTTTGGCATGTTAAGAATGAACGCTGATAAAACAGTTGTCAAAAACTACTTGATATGCTGATTTAATTGTATATATATCATCCAACGATCACCGGTAAGGTCGTTTCGAGCATATAGCTTCTTTCAAATAAATGATTTCAATGAAAAACATTAATACAGTATCAAACAATATGGCTGTAAGTAATATCAACACTTAGTGATATAACTAAAGCAATACATTACAGTGTCGTGCAATTTAATGATAACGTGTCTATTGCAATGGTTACGATGGCTAATGTATTTGTAATTTGAGATTTTTGCGATGTGTAATTCTAGGAACCTTTGTTTCATTTTAAAATTATCTTCCGCCGATGATATGATCTCATCAGACGTTCACCTAGTAAATTAACTCATAAAGTATTGTTGTATTTTCCTTGATATTGTATTTTCCTTAAGTACATGTAGTTTTGTATTTTCCTTAATGTGTTGTATCGAATAGAGAGTGCCAATGTTTTTCTTCCCCAGCATATTTCTATTTTCAATAAAAAAAATATACATGTAAGATATGGAAATTTCTAAAAGGTGAAGAATTCAAATAATATGAAGAATTAAAATAATATGAAGAATTAAAAGAATATGAAGAATTAAAAGAATATCACGAAATAGTCAGAACTGTTGGACCTTTGAGAAAACAAGCATGACATTGAATCGAGGAAAGGCATTTTTCGAAAGACCACCATCAACTTATCTCTGGTCCCCGATCCGTGATGCCCCTTTAAATCATGATGAGTCCAGTTCCTTAGAAACTGATTTTCCGCCTTAACTGCGCATATAATCCATTGAAATATAAGAGTGTACCTACTATCTTTAAATTGTAGCACATCAAGGCGTTTCCATCTATGTCCTTTGCAAAAAGACGAGTTATCTAAATCCTAAATTTTCTAGATAACACACCTAGAGGTCGCTTGTTAACAATCCAAATGAAATCAACGAGTGCTTAATATGATATGTATCCATAATAATACGTATATCATATCCAGATGTACTCCAATCAAAGCAATTGTGAATTAAAGATGCAGCTGTATTAGTAGTATTCCATTTGATATATTTTACATGTATCTTCGTTTAAGACTTGTCAGCACAAAAAGCAATATAGATACGCTACAAAGCTGATAATTGTCATATTATGTACACAAGCAATTTACAGGTAGGTTTATATGTGAAAGGATTCAGGTGTAATATTGATCATATGAAACGGTATATTCTCTGTATAACAAATATATCGATTTTCTATATGAACTGAAAACCCCTGGGCGCCACATAGGTTGTTCCGCACCCCCAAACCTGAACCCTTCCTCAGAAAACACAAAATAGACTGGAATGTGTCACAAATGTCTCCCTTGTGCTTTTTGAATTTTAACATTTTTATTGAGGATATGAAAGCAAGCTAACTGATATGATATTTCTGATACTTTATCGCGAAAATTCTTTAAAATGGTAATCAGACCGGAATCCCAAAGATGATATTCGCGTGCTCAGCCATTCCATGATATAGAACTACCAAATAGCAGTTCTCAAAATCCCTTTTTGGGGTCGGGCCATTAGATTTAAGGAGATTTTCATAGACAGAAAAATATCATTTTCGAAATATTTTGAAATGTTGCCACTTGTGCCTTACTGAATTTTGACTCTCCCACAGATAATTATAATATGATTCGATGTCAAGAATAAAAATCAAGATGAAAACGTCAAAGTCAACGGATGATGGAAGGTAAAGTAACAAAGTTCGAGTACATATTTTGGATTGAATCTAATTAACATTTTGAGATTAACTTGCATTGATAATTGTAAACAGAAATATGATTTATTTTTATAAATGATATGTAATACTATAAAAATATACTTACTTTTTTGATAAGTATTTAGTCAACTTGGTTTTAAGGCGATTGAACTTCGATCTTTGGTGCACCTTATTCACTCAAATATTTCCCCAAGTCAACCTTCATATATATTTGCAAGTGTAAATCACAAATGTATTTTGAAGTAGTTTAAGATTGATTACTACTATTGAAGTAGAAAGACTTCGTTTGTATATTTAACAGACCCCCAAAAGTTCAACGACAGTTTTAGTTTTTGTTTGAAAAATAAAGGCTTAATAAAACATTTTAATGAAAGGTTAATGAACACTAATGGTAAAATATGTATGCCTTGTATGAGTTTTATTAATCTAGACTAATATACACACTAAGTATTTTCCAAAAACAGCTAAAATTTACTTCTGAAAAAGTCTTAAAAAGTAATTTCCAAATAAGAGAGTAGAGAAACAAAGAAGTCGGATTCATGGGACTGGTTCCAGTGGCTCGTCTGTTCTGTTTGGTGCAATATAGGGTGACACAAAAAACGCCTCCTTCATGAATTGCAATATAGGGTGACACAAAAAACGCCTCCTTCATGAATTTTGTGTAGATAGAGTGTTCAATGCATGAAAGATTGCTAACAACGTTGAGATTTAGAGACATCATTTAGAGACATCATATTTGTTGCACCCTGTATGATGTTGTATTAAATGCAATCGCCAATCTACTAGACTTCTATTATTGTATTTCGTGAAAATCACTCCAATCTTGTATAAATAACATAATTTTAACAAATACTTCTGACCATAAAAAGTAATAATACTATGTACCATGTTTATTTTATTTATATGTGCAAATCACAAACTCGGAAGGGGAAACACTCCAAAAAAATTATAGCTACAGTGTATTGTAATTAAAGAGGATAAATGTATACTGACTAATGATGATTCCTTTAATTTGTTCTATTTGGTGGCGGAAATTGATCCGAAAATGACTGATTAGATGCCCGGGATTAGATGCATCGTCAAAATAAATAATAAAAACGTTGAATAGAACATGACATATGATCATCAGCAACTTTATGGTATTTCTAATGTTGTTTAGCAAGAGATTTCGACAAAGGGATGGTGTGAAAGTTTTTTTAAATTTAATTTTTACACTAAGCTTAAGACTGTCAAAACAACTTTCTTATTCGAAAACTGATGAAGTGAAGAAAAGGGCAAAAATTTTGACCCTGTAGAAAGTTTTAAGGGTGATCAGATAGGAACTGTTAAACATACTGCTTACTGTATTTGCAAATGGGTATGATAGGCCATAAGAAATATATACTTTGTTCCACGTCTCGATTAAACCCAAATTGTGCAAGAGTAGTACTCTTGTACTGTACAAGGAAAACAAACTTGATTGTTTAGAAAGGTATCAATTTGTAGGACAGATGAGAGACAATATACATGTATGTGAGTATCTGTTTTTTGCCCACCCTCTTTATGTCAAACTTATAGTAGGCTACTGGCAATCTTTACGAATTGTATTTTTCTAAGATAACCAGACAAATAAATAGTCATACTGCATCAACAACCTACAATAACTAAAATAATATCATTGCTCCGTCAATTAATGTGAATTTGTCTTGACCAGATCACCACCATTAAATATGATATTATTAATATGACACATTTTCGGATGGGAAGTTAACGCCAATGAATGAAGGCGATATTTATTTCTAGCCCGGGAGTAGGGCGCGTGCAATAAACGAAAATATCCGAAATCACGTGACACGTTCAAAATGGCGACCAAGTTCTCAGGTAAATTTTTTTAGATTTTGATGTTCTGCGTGCATATTCTGTCGATATTCTCCTATTTAAGACAACATCATTGGATTTTAGTGATTCCTTATGTTCAGAAATTTTGATAGCTTCCTCATTTGAGTCCAATTATATGTTCAAGTACACATAACTCAGTCTTTACAGCTGGAAAATAACATTTTGGTAAGAAATTGCTAGAAATAACCTGCACTGGCTGCACATGTTATTTTCTGGTACACTATAAAATATGAAGGCATGTGTTAATTTCCTTGCTTTTTTCAGGAAAGTATCATTTCATTACATTGTCTTCGTTTAGTATATCTGGTAAGAGCTAAGACAATGGGAACTTCTGGAAATTCTGATATTTCACACTTTCTATTCTGGTGGTTATAATGAAAACACGCGCTGGCGCACTAACGCACTGTTCAGAATGATCGATCCCCTAGGCCCGGGAACATGTATGTAAATCGAGATGAATATATATATTAGGTAACGTTTACTGTGCAAAGATTATCGCTTGTCAGTGTGTTTTATCTGATTTTAAAGGAAGATAAAATAAAAAGTAGCAACTTCCAGGATGAATGGTGGCAGATATGCGAATATGCTCACTATTTCATGGCGTTATTGAAGAGTCGGTGAGAAAAATGCTGTTTCGAAATCTGAGGGCCCCCGTCTGAAATAACTTGACTTATGACTTCATAATGTATATTTTTCGCATATTTCCACTTAATTTCAAGTCTTTAATGTTTTGTATATCTTTATCCTCTATATTTTTTGAAGTTATATCTTACATGTTCTTAGCAGTGGTAAGCTTAGGCATCGCATTTTTATTTTATTTTCGTGTCCGACTTGACATTGCTGTTTTATAACATTTAATTGTACCTTACTACTTAATTGAAATGTTGTTATGTTTATTTTGTGAAGCAATGCTTCTCCAAATTAATAATTGTGTGCATAAAATTTCACTGCAATTTTCACAGGACAGTTCAACAGGTTAATTGACAGTCAGTCAGAATGTCAGATACATACTGCCCCCGTCCCCCTCCTGGGCCACAGGCCTGCTAGCTGTAATGTTTCATATATAAACATGTACTCTATTGTTCTTCAAGCCTCTAATTAGATGTATATTATGTACAAATGTTGTTGCTTATATAAAGATTATTCTGTAGGGGTACCAGTTATGTTGCTAAGGAGACTGTGGACATCACAACACATCAGCAGAGCTAACCAATCAGCACAGGCCTCACTGAATACCTTATTGGACTCTGAATTGTCGGGGATCAAAGATGCTGGCACGTGGAAAGCTGAACGAATCATTACATCTAAGCAAGCTGCAGAGATTGGTGTATTAGGATCCCACTCTAAAATATTGAATTTTTGTTCCAATAATTATCTTGGTCTTTCAGTAAGTTCTGTTCAGAAATACTCACCATAATTTTCTGTTCAGAAATACTCACCATAATTTGAGATATGACAGTCAGTGTTTGGCATCTTTAACAAATGGCAAGTTGTGACATTTTGCAGGTTAACGCTTTTTATTGTACAAACTATTCACTTTTGTTCCTAGAGTAACCCTGATGTGATAGCTGCTGCCAAGGCTTCTCTAGACACACATGGTGCTGGACTTAGTTCAGTCAGGTTCATATGTGGAACACAAGTGAGTAACATTAGTTGCTTTATCATTCATTATTTTTCGTTGAGCAGATCTCACTAAAATGTTTCCATAATAGAGTCTTCAATTTTCTTATAAATGGAGTCTCAAAAGCTTGTCTCATTTCAGAATGATGGCCATTATAGCAATCCCATGTGATCCCACTACCCGTAGTGCATACTAGTATTCATTAATTCAAATTTCAAAAGTGAACTTTTAGCTAAAATAAATGATCAAATTAGATTAAATTGAATTTGAATTCAATGGAATATTTAAATGATTTCAGGCTATCATGAAACCGAGTTTCATTTCGTTCAAATGTTACTCTCAGAAGACAAATGGAAGACTACTAGACTAGATGTATTTTAATGTATACCTTTAATTTCAACCAGGACATTCATAAGGAGCTGGAGGGGGCAGTGGCAAAGTTCCATGGTAGAGAAGATGCAATACTCTATTCAAGCTGTTATGATGCAAATGCAGGTAACTATATTTAAAAAACAGGATGTCATTATCAGAAACTTCGTAATTTAGGAATCAACAATCAAGTGTTGCATGGATACAATGATGTCATAGTACTAAGAGAACAATGGATGTTCTTAATGGAATTCTTAACTGTACGAAGATTCTCTTAATGATCCTCAGGATGACAAGTTGCTACTATTATAGCCTAGCTACCCTACAGTAGGTTGTACAGCCAGTAGAGCTTTGGATTTAACTAGATATTAGGAGTTCAATGTTTCAATCCCACAAGGGTTATTAGAATTTAACTAAATTTAAATCAATGCTGGATATGTTTATCTTGCTGGCTTCACTTCATCTCTCTATACATGTAGTAATAGGGCACATGTTTATTGTTTATTTACAAACATAATATTTAAAATATACATGTGCATGTTATTGTAGGGTTCTTTGAGGTCCTGCTGAATGATCAAGATGCTGTCCTCTCAGATGCACTGAACCATGCCTCAGTGATAGATGGCATTAGGTTATGTAAGGCAAAGAGATATCGGTACGCACATGGAAACATGGAAGGTGAGTGGCCTGTGTATAGTAGATTTTGCAGACTAAAACTTATTTTGGTTTATAAAGAACTAATACATGTATACAATACATTTAAATTGTGATCTGTTTTCTCGAAAATGATCTGGCAAGGGGAAGGATTATGCCTTCAAAAAATGGAATGTTGTCCAAAAGTTATTATTGATAGTAGTATGATAGTATAATATATTGCATGCAAAACATTTTATCAACTTAATTTGGTGGACTTTAACAATTCAAAGGGCTGCCGAATTAAGTAGAAGTACAGTACATATGCATTACAATTTACCAACTATGTCATTTTAACTATTCCGTGCAAGATAGAGTCATTCTGATAGAAGCTCCTATCTATAGAGTTATTAAATTTATACATGTGATTTATCTTTGTTTGAAGAGTTGGAGTCACAGTTGAAAGAGAGCCAGGGTTGCAGAATGAGGCTCATTGCCACTGATGGTGTCTTCAGTATGGATGGGACAGTGGCCAAATTAAGGTATATACAGAGTGGGCCATGGCCAAAGAAAGCAATACCCAAGTTTAAAGATACTTAACATATGATACACCTGGTGTCAATTTTAACCTTTAAGTCCACAAGAAAACAAAGGTTTTTCAATCGAATGATTGTCATTTTGTTAGGAAATTATATATAAAACATGGCATGATTTCAGATGTATCTTATGAATCATTCATCTTTAAACTTAGGTATTGGTTTTTTGGCCCACCCTGTACATGTATATGCACTTTATATTTGTATATAAGAGGTGAACCATTTAACCCTCAATACATGTATATTGAATGTCTGTGTAGTGCTGAGTGAAAGTGCATCCTGCAATGGACAATCTTTTTTATTAGAAAATATTTACCATTTTGTCATGTGTCTTATTGTCTAAAAGGTTTTCTTAGATATATATCAAAACTGCCTGCAGAATTTACAAATGTACATTCATATACATGTACAAGACTCTTTTATTTCAGTAACATTTATATATTTCAGAGAGATCTGTGACCTGGCTGATAAGTACAATGCCCTGGTCTTCATGGATGAGTGTCATGCTACTGGTTTCTTTGGACACACTGGCAGGTAGGATGGCTTATACGTTTATTTTCATTATTTAAATAAAATTTATTTGAATAAAATAATCTTGTATCAATTTTTTATCAATTATGTTTAAGGGATGTTGTGCGCTAGCATACATTTATTTTTTACTTTAATTTGATGGAAATCAGTTAAATTTTCTGGGGAGGGGGCCAATCTGGCGTGAAGTTTATTGCATTTTCAGGCATCATTAAAATATTTTGCCAGTCCCTTTACAGATGTCATATTTACATAGTGACATGTATGTTTATTTCGATAGGGGCACTGAGGAACACTGTGGGACAATGGGTCGGGTTCACTTCATCAACTCCACCCTGGGGAAAGCCCTGGGTGGGGCCTCAGGGGGCTACACTACTGGACCAAAACAAATTGTTGACCTGCTACGTCAGAGGTCGCGACCATATTTATTTTCTAATACACTAGCGCCACCTGTTGTTGCAGTTGCAGCCAAGGTAACATAATAATATTAATTTAACTTGAAAACAATTGAAGGTGCCAGAGCCTATAGGATGAAATATATTACATTTTTCTGATGAAAGAGGATTATTATGCTGTTCCATTCTTACTGTATGTTTTTTGTAACTGGCATTCATAGTTGGCTTCTGTAAAAATTGTTACACATTTCCATGTCAGTTGATATACATGTTATTCAATTTTTATCATGTTAATGTTGTTTGATACTAAAAAACATTTAATAAACTTTAAAAATTCATTCTAGGTATTTGAGATCTTGTCAGAGAATTCAGATCTGCCAGAGAAAGTCGAAAGAAACACTCACAGGTTTAGGGAAAGGATGACGGAAGCTGGATTTACCCTAACAGTATGTACCTCATAATTCAAATATGCCATCAATTAAATGAAAATGTTGGTCAGCAGTTAAAATGCAGATCTCCTAAAATCTTAAGAAAGATGAGACTTCAACAAGATTTCAAAGCTATTTTAGCAAACCCTTAGAAAGTGTTGACATTGTTATACAAGCTAGTGTTCCTCTTATAGAGGTTTATTTAACATTAAGTCAGTAAGTCTTGGGACTCTGAAGTGTTCCTCTTATAGAGGTTTATTTAACATTAAGTCAGTTGGTCCTGGGACTCTGAAAAGTGTTCCACTAATTGAGGTGTTCCACTTTACAGGTTTCATTACTTGTATAAAGTTTGTTATTATTGTAGGGTGATCCTGACCACCCTATCTGTCCAGTGATGTTGGGAGATGCAAAACTTGCTAACACATTTGCTGATGAGATGTTAGGTAGGGATACTTAATGACATCAAACCCCAATAAACAATATGAAATTATGAAATAATAGATTTATTCATGATAACATGTATCTTTAAAGATACATGTTTGTTGCAATAAAAAATGAAGTAAATGTCACATATAAAGAATTAATTTCTGCACTGGCAGACTTGTCATTTGTTCTATAGAAAATATAAATCAAAAAAAAGTTCATCAAATTATTAAGAATTCCTAAATAGAATATTAGGTGGATAGAATTTTTCACACCAGGTTTAAATAGCTATAATTTACACTAAAATGAAGCACACTACTAGAATATATACATAATTCATGAAAATTCAATATGTGAAATAAGCATGTTTTACAATTCATGCATTTGACTTATGTTGCAGGCAGAGGTATCTACGTGATAGGGTTCAGCTACCCTGTTGTACCTAAGGGTCAGGCCAGGATTCGTGTTCAGGTCTCAGCCTCCCATAGTCTCGAGAATGTTGACAAGTGCGTCGATGCTTTCATTGAGATCGGACGTAAAATGAATGTGATACAATAGCCGATAAACTAGAATCTCTCTCCACGAGCTTATCCATATGTTAATTATATTATCCCCAAAGGATAAAACTAATGTACATGTAAATGGAAACGTAAGGATTCAGGATAGGCCTCGGGGATTTTGAATGTTCATGTATTAACATTCCAGGCAGCTACAAAACACACATATAAACAAGGCCTCACATTTTTGAGAAACTTAGAATTTTTCTAAATAAAAAGTCTCGGCCATATACAGTCAAATCTTTATATTTATTGGAATATACTTTCATTTAACATGTCTTTTTGCCATTTTGGAATAAATATAAAGATTCTCATCACCTGATTATTTTTGCTAAAAATTCTTTAAACAGAAAATTAACTTGTTTGGGCCTAACCAGAAGGGTATCTGAAAACTACTCTGTTTTTCAACAGTATTTAAGTACTGTTATGCTCAAGCTAACATCTACACAAGACTATAATAGGCTGTAATGATTTATGTAATATGATTGACACCACAGAGTAACATGTGTACATGTTCAATAATCTGATAAAAATCAGTATGTCTCATTGATATATCCATTCCATGTACTGTAGGCCTAATACTTTGATTTGTTGAATTCTTAAGTTAAGAAATTTTGTGATCTTAAAAAAGAATTGTCAAATTAAATATTAGCAAAAATCATTTTTTTTAAATATAAGTCAATGGGGAATTGGTCAGTTTCCCTATTGAAGGAAATATTAGCCTATCGAAATAATTTACAAAATTTGCCAAATATGTGAAGCACAAATGTCATAAGATACTGAGGACCTCATCAACTCTAAACTGTTAACTGACTTAGTTGTTCAGTTTTTTTTCATTATTGCATACATGTATTTTCAAAATCAGTTTAACAAAACATGCTTTTACTCTTTGGCATAACTTAGTTTATGTATGTTATCTAGAATGATAAAATCTCACATTCCGAATATTCATGTATACATTTATTTGTACACTTTTTTAGTGTGCCAATTGAAAAATTTATTGTGGATATTATTTTTACACATAATATTTTCTGTTTAACAGACCATGGGGTTATAGATTGAAATTGGAGACATGGGCTATTATGTAAGGCAGCTATTACAGGTATTCCAATATATCTGATATTTTTTATATATGTGTATAATAAAAGATATGTTATAATCAGTAAATGCTGTACAAATCATGGAGAATACCCTTTTATTCAGATTCTATTTGTTGGATTTTAACAAAATTAGCCAATGATCATGAAAAATATATAATTTATTCTGAATCTTGAGTCCTGCTAGGAGGATAGTAGAATCTACATCATGTACATGTAGTTTATGTAGCCAAGCAATATTATTTTACTGTATAATGCTTTTCTTTTGAAAATGATTGTAACTTTTTCTCATTTGGGAGTTAAACCATAATACTTGGCAAATTAATGTAACTTTGGATAGGCTTTAAAATGATATATGACACATACTATGAGCATGATCGAATATGTCTGCCTAGGGGGGGGGCCATACTTTCGGGACACCCTGTACATGTACATGTATAGAATCAACTAGGCCTACTTATGATAATGATACTGTAATCTCTATTACTTAAAGTTTAAATATCAAATGGTGGGGGTGCACAACGATCTTGAAAAAAATAAATACAATGTATAATTACAAGTAAAAAGTGTTGTTTTGTTGATTTATAGTTGCATTTTTAACATATACAATTACACTGTATGCATGTAGTTCCAGAAAATAATTAGCAAATCATGTAACTTGGTCATCTACATGTATCTCTATCTTGCACATTATTGTGGGGAATCAAGTTCATTAGGAACGATGGGCAAAAGTCACCGTCCATCGAAGAATAGCTTCTCAAATTGATTGGCAGACGAATAACCAACTAAGTCTAAAACAGCGTTCACAATACAATACATCAATTGCATTGATGATATTACCCGGTAATGTGTAAGTTTTGTTTCCTCTAGTGTAATTAACCTAAATTTACAACAATAGATTTGATTGGGCGAGAATATTTTTAAAGTTTGTCTTTGACCAATCAAATTTCTTGAAAGAAATAGGCTCGGAAGTAATTGTTTACAAATATGGCTGACAAAATTTCACAAAATTTAAAATCTCCACATAAATAGGTAATGTACGTCTCTACACTTATTTGCTATTGCATGTACTTACCCGAATAGATACTTAGTATACTTATGACTTATAATAAATAATACACGTGTGATAAATCGTTCCCCAGAGCACATCAATCTTAAACATTTAGACTGTCTACAGATCATGATTTCAATTTACAGTTGGGGACAAAAATAAATGACAGGTCGATTTTCGATCACCATTTCCTAATTATGGTGGTCTGAAAGCCCATAATTTCCAATATTGTCTAGATACATATCCCTTAAAATTTGTATATTTTACATTTTGTATAATCTCATCCACTGATGTATGGCCTCTTGTAAATTCTCTTATTTTTAACATGGGAAATCCTCACTTCAGCAAATCCACCTGTCATTTATTTATGTCCCCAACTGTAGGCCTACAATTACAGTGGGGAACATAAAGAATTACTATAGCTATGAAAAATAGTGTCGCACGACATGTAATAAATTCTTACCTCAGTGTATTCAGTGCTCTATTTTTTCCATCCTAGTAAGTCCAAATATAGTGGAATTTGTGTCCATAATGACAAATAAGAACTAAGGTACAGCCGGAAAATAACATTTTGGTAAAAAATTGCTATACCTGCATTACTCGAGTCTCTAGCCTTGGCTAGAGGGGATTTTATCTGGAATACTGTGAACTCCATTTGAAAAAAGCTGGCCGCCGTGTCATAAATTTATTGAATGTTTTAAAAAACGCCAGATAAATAAATCATTAATCAAAACGGACCCTGCTCGGCTCCTTGGTGAGATATGACATGATTTCATCAGGATTTCGTCTAAGATTAAAACAAAATGGCTCCAAGAAAAATGGTGATGTTCGATAACTGGACGAAAAGTCGTTAACGTGTGACATTAGTAACTGTACTGGCTGTAAATTCTAAGTTAGCGATACAGAAGATGTGAACTAATACACTGATCACTTTATGTGTGTTTTGGAATTTTTGGTGAGGTAATAAGACCAAAACTCGCCATTCAAATTGTGATGTGAAAAAATGGCGGACATATGATTTCAAATTTTATGATTACGACATGACCAGTTGTTCATGCAGGAATATATCTTTACTGGAAGGCCACGATACAGTGGCCTTAGAAGAAGGTAATACCTGCACACGTTATTTTCTGGTACAAAATTAGTATGAAGGCATGTGTGTATTTCCTTGTTTTTTCAGGAAAGTATCAGGTCAATGGTACATTGTAGCTCCTGTGTTGTCTGGAAACTTTGAAAGAAAATTTGGAAAAAATAGAAAGTGTGAAATATCAGAGTTCCCATTTTCCTGAAAAAGCAAGGAAATTGACACATGCCTTCATACTTTATTTTGTAACAGAAAATAACATATGCAGGTATATCAATTTTTTACAAAAATGTTTTTTTCTGGCTGTACCTTAACTGATGTTGCATCCTGGGAGTCAATCCTCCTTGGATCACAAACATGGCAATTCATGAAAACATTTGTTTGATTTGGTAGGGATTTATCCATCATTTGCAGGTATGAAGCTTTGGATTCATTTATTGTGCTACTTAAAGTGAACGGGAATTATTTTTCTACTGCTTGGGAGAGTTAGAGACACGAAACTTAGAATTTAGCTCATTGTGACAACTTTTGATGGTTGAGGTTTATTTTTGTTCCCCACTTAGACGGGGATGCCCCGACTCTGATGAGTTAGACTCTTGGAGTTTTGACTTATGTCGGGGTATGGTCACCTTCTATATCAGATTTATAAATAAAGACCCTACAGATGCATCTATGCATCTAGATTTTAATCAAATTAGCCTAGATCTAGGTGTAGTCTAAGCTTATACCCAGTAGAACGAATACATGTATCTTGATAATTCGGTCTATTGATCTTATATCCCTCCTGTGGGAAAAAGCATAGTGGACAGAAGCCCCCTCCCCCTTATGATATCGAGATAAGTCACAGTCAGCAACATCTATCTAATATAATGGAATAATATGTCCGGTAACTTAGAAACAAAATAAAATTCTAAATAATCTTTTTTCATGCCAGTGGCTTTGAACAGTGATATTTTATGTTTATCCCACGATTAATGTGTTATCTGTACAATAACAGCTATTGATATTTCTGATATTATTGAAATCCGTGTGATATTTTCCAGAAAATCGTTTATCAAACTCATATGCGTGTGATAGATGACATTGATACGTTAATTTTTATCTCAGGAGTAGTAACTCAAATGTATACAAGGCGCAACTCCTTGATTTCCTTTAACATTCATTTATAGCCCTGGGATCATACCATTCTTGTGATGGTCCTATATTTTTTATCTATTTTTCCAAACTATATTATTGTATGTAATGTACATGATGTAACTGTCTTACTAAAAGATGCAAATAAATTATACACACATGCATACATACATAGTACTAGTTATCAATATCACTGTGTTTATGAACCGTTCAAAACTTAAAACATAAGGATTGATTATGACCAGACAGGTATATTATTTCATTAACTTAAAGCAATACAACTCACACTGTGAACATTTGTTGTTTTGAAATAATCTGTTAAGTTACAAAAGAACCACAATAGAAATGTTGACATGATAATGGCAGCAGTTTAAATTTTGAATTTAGTTATGATACTGAGATTAAACATTCAATTCCCATTTGATCCTATGATCAATAATTATTGAATCATTTTTTTCATGTAGATCACACGATAAAGAATGGGTGAGTGATAGGGGCCATTTTGACGATGGAAGATTATGACATCATCAAAGAAATTGGAAAGGGAGCTTGTGGCTCTGTATATTTAGTACAGCATAAAGAATCTAAAAGGTAAATTAATTACATGTAATACGTTTGCATATAAGGTGTAATATAGTGTATTTTTATAATTATAGTTTATATTAGCCAGGTGTTATATTATTCCGCATTAATGTGTAACCTGGTCTTATAAATGAAGGGGTAAAATCCACAACTCAGTCCAACCCAGTGGGGACCAAACCCTTTACCATGGGCTTTCAACTAGTTGAAACCCCATGCCTTTACCCCATGTTTCCCAGTCTTGTCAAGTTCTCTGTCACTTAGCTTCAAGACTGACTTTTCAATATCAACATTGCATATACAGCATTCCAGGCATGTTTTAATTTCAATAACAAAGTTGCAACAACTGAAGAACCTTAATCAAAAAAACCTATTTACATTTTCAATCTTTGTCACTATACAACATTAAGTTGCAGTCTTGAATATTAGTCACACATCATTGCGCTATGCATATTAATATTTGCAGGCAATATGCATACAAGAAAGTACAAAGAGATGAAAGCAGAAAAACAAGAACAAAAGAAGCAATCCTGCGTGAGGCAAAGTAAGAATATTTTTGGAATAATTTTAACTCAATTTAGTGCAATTAAGTGCACCTGTCTCGATAAAGAGAGCTTTCAACTTCATTTTTTTATTATTTAAATGATCATTATGAAATGGGATGGGAATTTTTATCTTCTATATATTTTTTGGTATAATATCAACTCAATTTAGTGCATTTATCAACTGCAACTGTTACAGGAGGGTTTTAAATTTCCCTGTGATCTTTTCTCTCTCTTTGGTGCATTTTTCTCACTTCCATCTGTTCTCTTACCAAAAATGTCAGCGCCAGTAAATGTTTTTTACACCACCTCCATATGTTTAAGTCTGTCTCACACAGTGTATCAACAATATTTTGTCAAACGATTCCTGCCTTTGGAATATATTCTTATTTCCTCCAGGAAAAAATATACTTTGATTTTGATTATTAAGAATAGTATGATTTTGTTTCAGTATACTGTCGAACCTGAAACACCCGAACATAGTGGCTTACCACGAGTCTTTCTTTGATGAAGATGAGGAATATCTGTGTATTATACAGGTTTGTTGACAACCCATCATCCCATTGTCTCCTTAAGGAGAAGACATTAAGCCATGTTCAAGACAACCCCTTTCGAGGTTTCATAATGAACTGAGCAGTGTCATTATTGGTAAAAGAGTGATGTCATCACAGTGCATTGTGGTTTCATAATGAACTGAGCAGTGTCATTATTGGTAAAAGAGTGATGTCATCACAGTGCATTATAGTTTTATAAAGAACTGGACCATATTTTTAAAGGAGTGATGGAATATTTGAATTGCAATAAAGAACCAAGCATCATTCTTTATTGGATTTTAAAGCATTCATGCATGTACTTACCCATCCTGATAATGTACCCGGTTTCCCCTCATGCATTATGTGTTCATATGAAATAGATTGATGTGCAGAGAGCAGAGTTTATTTTTATCGTACCTCACAAGAGGTACGGTATTGTAGTCAGCTTGACGGGCGGCGGGCGGCGTCTCACTTTTCAGCTTGTCTACAGGTTTCCAGCCAAACCATTTGAGGGATTCAACTGAAATTTTCAGGGATGTTTCTACATATCAACGTCAAGAACTGATTAGTTTTTGGGCATTCTGGGTAAATTTTAAGGTGGCCATTTTGGATTTTCCGTCCTAAAATCTTTACTTTCAAGACTTGTCTACAGGTTTTCAGCCAAACCTTTTGAGGGATTCATCTGAAATTTTCAGGGATGTTTCTACATATCAACGTCAGGAACTGATTAGTTTTTGGGCATTCTGGGTAAATTTTAAGGTGGCCATTTTGGATTTTCCGTCCTAAAATCTATACTTTCAAGACTTGTCTACAGGTTTTCAGCCAAACCTTTTGAGGGATTCATCTGAAATTTTCAGGGATGTTTCTACATATCAACATCAAGAACTGATTAGTTTTTGGGCATTCTGGTTAAATTTTAAGGTGGCCATTTTGGATTTTCTGTCCTAAAATCTTCACTTTCAAGACTTGTCTACAGATTTTCAGCCAAACCATTTGAGGGATTCATCTGAAATTTTCAGGGATGTTTCTACATATCAACGTCAAGAACTGATTGGTTTTTGGGCATTCTGGGTAAATTTTAAGGTGGCCATTTTGGATTTTCCGTCCTAAAATCTTCACTTTCAAGACTTGTCTACAGGTTTCCAGCCAAACCATTTGAGGGATTCATCTGAAATGTTCGGGGATGTTTCTACATATCAACGTCAAGAACTGCTTGGTTTTTGGGCATTCTGGGTAAATTTTAAGGTGGCCATTTTGGATTTTCCGTCCTAAAATCTTCACTTTCAAGACTTGTCTACAGGTTTCCAGCCAAACCATTTGAGGGATTCATCTGAAATTTTCAGGGATGTTTCTACATATCAACGTCAAGAACTGATTAGTTTTTGGGCATTCTGGGTAAATGTTAAGGCTGCCATTTTAGATTTTCCGTCCTAAAATCTTGTCTATCGAGGCTTGTCTACAGGTTTCCAGCCAAACCGTTCAAATTTTTACATATGTTACACAGTGATAAGTTCTAGAGCTGAGTAACTTTTCTGCGGCCATCTTCCTTTCTTGGTCAACAAGACCACAATGCTGTGTTTTAGGTACGATATTGTTCACGTCTGTGCCTTGTTCTTGAATTCTCTTTGTATTTCCAGGACTATTGTGATGGAGGCACCTTGGATGAAGTCATTAAAGTACAAGCAGAGGTAAGCTGGCAAATGTGTATGTCTTCAATATAGAGGATTTCTAAATAATATGATAGATACTCCAACGCATTTGTATCTTAAGTTATGACATTTTAGATAGTCAAAGAGTTTTATTGTTTGTTTGGGTTTTGGTTCGTATGAGATAGTTACAATGAACATTGATGTTTAAATAGATTTTAAATCTCAGGAACCATATAACAACTGTGTCACCTTAATTTCTTTGTAATTTGTTGACCATCAATAAACACACTCATGTTCGACTTAATATTTCAATATTTCCAGAAAGAGGAGTACTTCCCCGAGAGTCAGGTTATGCAATGGTTTGTGCAGTTAGCTATGGCAGTGCAGCATATGCACTCAAAGAAAGTTCTACATAGGTATGTAAAGGGTGCAATCTCACAAGTTTCACCGGAAATTTTACACATATATAATATATATTCAATCTTGTTCAAATGGCAGTTTATACCAAATGTGTGAAAATCCCTTGGGCTCATAGTAATCCTGGATCTAAAAAGGTATAAATACACTAAGACTTTGTGCTCTAACCATTAAGGAAATGGATCACATTAAAACCTAGTGTGACATTTTTTGAGGCAACCCCTGGCCCTAAATATCAATAAGATATTGGGCTAAGTTAAGGTGCATAAAATTTCAATAGTGACATAGTCAAAGTATAATATGAACTCAAAGAGGTCTATTGTTTTGTTGTTTGAACACTTTTTCTTATAAGACACTCTTAAAGTAAATGTTTGATTTTATAAGGTTGTTTCTCAGACAAACCTTAGAAAAAGATTTTTTATATTATTAAACATAACACACAATTTTTCTGTTTTAGGGACTTGAAAACTCAAAATGTTTTCCTAACCAAAAAAGGCACTGTAAAAATAGGTATGTATTTTCTATCGCCTCATAGGATATGGTTTGCTATCAGTATTTATAAATGAAACAGACAAACAGACTTTTTGGTCGTGTTCTGAACATGATTTTACATAAAATGATCAGAGCCGCTAATTTTATTAAGAATTTTTGTAAGATGCAGAAATGTGTGTATTTTCAAAATAGCAAAAAAGTGCAGAAAAATAATGTTCTAACTCTCCTGAAACAAAACTGCCATTTGTCTGAACCAATGCTTCCATCTAAATTATGGTGTCCATGCTGGTAATGTACACTAGAGGTGTCAAGTATTAACCGGTTAACCGCCGATAATGCCTTGACCGGTCTGTGTTTTTATGGGCGGTTAGTTGACCGTGTATAATTCTGTTATTTCCCGCGCTTATTTTGCATGCTAATCCGTTTGGTTTTATGGTGTCAGTTTCACGTAAGCTACTCATACATGTCATAAGTCCCATAACTCCTTACAAACATCCAATCAGCAACTTTAATCCCTGCCACATTGCTTTCCCGCGCTTACTTTGCATTTTAATCTGTTTGTTTTTCAAGCGTCAGTTTCATGTGAGCTACTCATACATGTGATAGGTCCGATAATTCCTTTACAAACATCCAATCAGCAACTTTAATCCCTGCCACATTGCTTTCCCGCGCTTACTTACATAGAATAGAGTAAAGCTTGACGAACGTAAAAAATAAACGCCGATATATCATTTTTCCAATTTTTTCAACTTTCAAGATCGAAGATGAAGATTTCATTTGAAATTATCAGTTCAAATTTCCCGCCGGTTAACCGACTTTAACCGGTAAAAAACCCCGGTTAACCAGTTAATGCTCAAGCGGTTAATTGACACCACTAATGTACACCAATGGTCCAAGCAGCCTACTTTTTGAGAACTTAGTTTTTTCATCATGTGAGCCCACAGAATGGTCGCATTTTTCTCAAATACTGGTAAATGCAAAATTCTCTTCACAATTCTGACCAAATTGGTGTATTTTTCTTATTTTAAAATGGATGCAGTGGATAATTTGAAGTAGTTACGAACCCAAAGAAGGTGTAGCACTAGCACTCACTTGCTTTAATACTTGGGAGATCAATGATATGTATATATGTACATGTTTATTGAGTTTTAATTAATATTGTCACATCACTTACTTTCAGGGGATTTTGGTATCTCTAAAATGATGGACAACACTATTGATATGGCCAGCACATGTGTAGGCACTCCATGTTATCTCAGTCCAGAGCTCTGCCAGGACATACCATACAGTTCAAAATCAGACATATGGGTGAGCTTTTTTCATAAATAAATGAGTTTATTGTGGCAATATGCTTAAAAGTTTAGCCAATACACCTTTATCAGGTTAGAATGTTTGTTATGGTTAAATAAAGAGATTGGTGAGAAGTATGGATCACATGGCCATATAGGGCACTATTAGACTCCTGAGGGTTAAACAGGATCAATAAATTACAGATGCTCCATATTTTTTCACTTTGTTATTTATTATATTGTAAGCTGAATTGTTTCTTCCATGAGATGGTTGCATTTAAACTTGTATGACATGTGTGTTTTATCTTCCAGTTAAGTTGTCATATAACCTTAAGATGCTTTGGTGTTATTCTTGACTATTCCATAATGTGATATTGTTCTTGTAGGCCATGGGCCATGTATGAGATGTGTGTTTTAAGACCAACCTCCAGTAACATTGTCATATAACCTTAAGATGCTTTGGTGTTATTCTTGATTATTCCATAATGTGATATTGTTCTTGTAGGCCATGGGCTGCCTCCTGTATGAGATGTGTGTTTTAAGTCCAACCTCCAGTAACATTGTCATATAACCTTAAGATGCTTTGGTGTTATTCTTGATCATTCCATAATGTGATATTGTTCTTGTAAGCCAGTGGTTGCCTCTTGTATGAGATGTGTGTTTTAACTTCCAGTTTCGTTGTCATATAACCTTAAGATGCTTTGGTGTTATTCTTGATCATTCCATAATGTGATATTGTTCTTGTAGGCCATGGGCTGCCTCCTGTATGAGATGTGTGTTTTAAGTCCAACCTCCAGTAACATTGTCATATAACCTTAAGATGCTTTGGTGTTATTCTTGATCATTCCATAATGTGATATTGTTCTTGTAGGCCATGGGCTGCCTCCTGTATGAGATGTGTGCTTTAAGTCCAACCTCCAGTAACATTGTCATATAACCTTAAGATGCTTTGGTGTTATTCTTGATCATTCCAAATGTGATATTGTTCTTGTAGGCCATGGGCTGCCTCCTGTATGAGATGTGTGTTTTAAGTCCAACCTCCAGTAACATTGTCATATAACCTTAAGATGCTTTGGTGTAATTGATCATTCCAAATGTGATATTGTTCTTGTAGGCCATGGGCTGCCTCCTGTATGAGATGTGTGTTTTAAGTCCAACCTCCAGTAACATTGTCATATAACCTTAAGATGCTTTGGTGTTATTCTTGATCATTCCAAATGTGATATTGTTCTTGTAGGCCATGGGCTGCCTCCTGTATGAGATGTGTGTTTTAAGTCCAACCTCCAGTAACATTGTCATATAACCTTAAGATGCTTTGGTGTAATTGATCATTCCATAATGTGATATTGTTCTTGTAGGCCATGGGCTGCCTCCTGTATGAGATGTGTGCTTTAAGTCCAACCTCCAGTAACATTGTCATATAACCTTAAGATGCTTTGGTGTTATTCTTGATCATTCCAAATGTGATATTGTTCTTGTAGGCCATGGGCTGCCTCCTGTATGAGATGTGTGTTTTAAGTCCAACCTCCAGTAACATTGTCATATAACCTTAAGATGCTTTGGTGTAATTGATCATTCCATAATGTGATATTGTTCTTGTAGGCCATGGGCTGCCTCCTGTATGAGATGTGTGCTTTAAGTCCAACCTCCAGTAACATTGTCATATAACCTTAAGATGCTTTGGTGTTATTCTTGATCATTCCATAATGTGATATTGTTCTTGTAGGCCATGGGCTGCCTCCTGTATGAGATGTGTGCTTTAAGTCCAACCTCCAGTAACATTGTCATATAACCTTAAGATGCTTTGGTGTTATTCTTGATCATTCCATAATGTGATATTGTTCTTGTAGGCCATGGGCTGCCTCCTGTATGAGATGTGTGTTTTAAGTCCAACCTCCAGTAACATTGTCATATAACCTTAAGATGCTTTGGTGTTATTCTTGATCATTCCATAATGTGATATTGTTCTTGTAGGCCATGGGCTGCCTCCTGTATGAGATGTGTGCTTTAAGTCCAACCTCCAGTAACATTGTCATATAACCTTAAGATGCTTTGGTGTTATTCTTGATCATTCCATAATGTGATATTGTTCTTGTAGGCCATGGGCTGTCTCTTGTATGAGATGTGTGCTTTAAGACCAGCATTTGATGCCAATAACCTTGTCAGCCTCTTCTACAAAATTGTCAAAGGAGAATATCAGGTTAGTTTTACTTAGAAACTTAACATATATGAGCTTCAATCTGTCCTTCACTCAATAAGTATTTCTCTATATTTTTGATACTCCTTTGAAGTTTACAATACAGATATATGTATCTGCCCTTTTTTAGGACATACATGTAGCCAAAAATTGGCGAGGCAGTTCAAAATTGATTTAAATTGTATAGTGGTCTGTGCCATTTAACAAGCAATGATTATGTTATATGTATTTATTTTCCATATAGTACATTAAGATTTAGTTGAATTCTAATGATCTCATATACTTTTTAGGATGTTCCAGAACAGTATTCTGAAAAAATGCAAAATCTCATTGCAACCATACTAAATAAATCACCTGATGAAAGACCAAGGTATGTACAGTACATCATGTGTATGTGGAAAACCTTTGTTGCCTTAGAAAAGTGTTCCACTTAAACAGAGATTTCTATATTATTATGTTAATGGGTAACATGAATTGGAAATGTTTTCCATTTCAGAGAACTTCCACTATAGAGAGGTTTATGCATCATATTTTGTGTGGTCAAGTGTAGTAGTAGTACATGTAGTAGTTAAATCTTTATTTTGTCCATTCAGTGCCAGTGCAGTTCTACTGCAACCCTATGTAAAGGAAGAGATAAACTGCTACATCACAGAGAAAGAGAACTTGCTGCAACAGCGACAGAAAGTGTCACCTGGTGGTGGCGACAAAAGACGCTCAACAAGACCACAGTCCACTCCACTCAGGTGAGAAATTGTCCGTTATATATTTCAAAAAGAGTAGAATTTGCAAGCAATTGTGTTGTTGAATTTAGTAGAGACTTTAGAAATTCATAAGCCTCATCAATTCAGTAAAATGAAAGGGAATAATCGAAAATAAATTTTAGGAAGAGGTTTACAGTATTAAGGGACTCTTACACCATATCTGGAATTTTTTTTACCCCATTGATTCTTGAGATTCATGTTAGACTCATGTTATATTTTTCCTGAGCTTTTGCATTTATTAAGTACACATGTGTGTTTTAAAATCATGACTGCAAACTCCAGGCATTGTAACTTTTGTAACTTTCTGAATTCTGATGAAATATGTAAGCTTCATATAAGATGATTGTCGTATGAATGATTCCCATCATAGTCATAAAGGGACAGTAAAGGAAACAGACATGATGTCAATTAAAGGGATTGTTAACATATGTTTTTGAAATATAATTGCTCACTAATGTTTCAACTTTATCCTTAATTGCCTCTTTATCTATCATTATTGAATTATTTAGATGGTAGTAAAACTATACTTGGGACTGACCAACATTTATTACATCTTTAAACCTGTTTCACCAAACAAATATTCTTCATTAAGTATTGTATTTATTTCATTTCACAAGTTCTGGTCATACAAAAGTAGAAGAACCCTTTTTGGGTATATTAAAACATAGCCAGAAATTACAAAATCAATTCCTTTAAATTGACAATCATACACCCTATCTCTTCTTAATATAATATATTATGACATAATATATTAGAATTAACAATGTATTTCTAGAACATTTGCATTTGTAAATGTGATACAATATACTGGGATATTATGTATTATGTACAAATTGACAGTCATGTGATATACTTTATTTACATGAAATAGTGTACAGTATAACCTGTATATCCAATACCTCTCTTATCTGAACACCTCTAGCTCGTAATGAGATCTCTTTTTCTGTCACCATTTATATTCTCCCTTTGTCTGTTAAAATACTATACATTAAATTATTGTTTTTAACAGCAATTCATTGAATCTCGAAGATGACACACAAATCTCACAAAGTAATAACAGTTTGTAAGTATATACAGAATGCATGTTAGTGTTGGGTATTTTGGATAGCAGCCCATGCATGAACTCTGCATTAATCACTCATTCTTGGAATGGGGTAGTTTTCTGTAGTTCGTAATGTTTTTTTTGTAAAACTTTAAGGATATAAAACCTCTGATACCTCCTTTCCCCCCTTTCATTTTTTAACATTTGCAGAGGTCCTATATAATTGCATGCTAAATTATGAATATTGGTTACACTGGGTTTATAAATGCATGCTAAGTTATGGATATTAGTCACACTCACTAAATAAATGCATGCTATTAATTATGGGTATTGGTTGCACGCTGTAAATAAATACATACTAAGTACATGTAATGGATATTGGTTGCATTGGGGAAATAACTGCGTGCTAAGTTATGGTTATTGGTTGCACTGCATAATAACAACATGCTTAATTAAAGCAATTTGTTGCGCTTGGTAGATAACAACATAACTGTATAATAAGTTATGGATATTGGTTGTACTGGGTAAATAAGAGCTTGGTAAGATATTGATATTGGTTGCAGTGGGTAAATAAGAGCTTGGTAAGATATTGATATTGGTTGCACTGGGTAAATAAGAGCTTGGTAAGATATTGATATTGGTTGCGCTGGGTAAATAAGAGCTTGGTAAGATATTGATATTGGTTGCACTGGGTAAATAAGAGCTTGGTAAGATATTGATATTGGTTGCAGTGGGTAAATAAGAGCTTGGTAAGATATTGATATTGGTTGCACTGGGTAAATAAGAGCTTGGTAAGATATTGATATTGGTTTCACTGGGTAACTAATATTGATATTGGTTGCAGTGGGTAAAGAAGAGCTTGGTAAGATATTGATATTGGTTGCACTGCATAATAACAGCAGGCTAAATTTAAGCAATTTGTTGCGCTTGGTAGATAACAACATATCTGTATAATAAGTTATGGATATTGGTTGTAGTGGGTAAATAAGAGCTTGGTAAGATATTGATATTGGTTGCAGTGGGTAAATAAGAGCTTGGTAAAATATTGATATTGGTTGCAGTGGGTAAATAAGAGCTTGGTAAGATATTGGTTTCACTGGGTAACTAATATTAATATTGGTTGCACTGGGTAAATAAGAGCTTGGTAAGATATTGATATTGGTTGCAGTGGGTAAATAAGAGCTTGGTAAAATATTGATATTGGTTGCACTGGGTAAATAAGAGCTTGGTAAAATATTGATATTGGTTGCAGTGGGTAAATAAGAGCTTGGTAAGATATTGATATTGGTTGCAGTGGGTAAATAAGAGCTTGGTAAAATATTGATATTGGTTGCACTTGGTATATAAGAGCTTGGTAAGATATTGATATTGGTTGCAGTGGGAAATAAGAGCTTGGTAAGATATTGATATTGGTTGCATTTGGTATATAAGAGCTTGGTAAGATATTGATATTGGTTGCACTGGGTAAATAAGAGCTTGGTAAGATATTGATATTGGTTGCACTGCATAATAACAACATGCTAAATTAAACCAATTTGTTGCGCTTGGTAGATAACAACATAACTGTATAATAAGTTATTGATATTGGGTGGACTTGGTAAATAAGAGCTTGGTAAGATATTGATATTGGTTGCACTGGATCTGAGAGCTTGGTAAAATATTGATATTGGTTGCAGTGGGTAAATAAGAGCTTGGTAAGATATTGATATTGGTTGCAGTGGGTAAATAAGAGCTTGGTAAGATATTGATATTGGTTGCAGTGGGTAAATAAGAGCTTGGTAAAATATTGATATTGGTTGCACTTGGTATATAAGAGCTTGGTAAGATATTGATATTGGTTGCAGTGGGAAATAAGAGCTTGGTAAGATATTGATATTGGTTGCATTTGGTATATAAGAGCTTGGTAAGATATTGAAATTGGTTGCAGTGGGTAAATATGAGCTTGGTAAGATATTGATATTGGTTGCAGTGGGTAAATAAGAGCTTGGTAAAATATTGATATTGGTTGCACTTGGTATATAAGAGCTTGGTAAGATATTGATATTGGTTGAAACTGCTTTTTGACAAATCAGTGAAAAAGTCATGCATATTGTGAAGTCTTTTTAAGACATTTAAATGGATTTTAACTAAATAATCTTTGCATTTCTACTTTTAGATCGACATCAGTTGATTTTAATACAGCACCAAGTCCCTCCAACAAAAGGAAGCGCCCACAATCAAGTAAACCAGTGCCCAGTGATGATACCTCCGCCATAGAAAATAATCCATTCCAACAATGCAGTCATAACAATAATTCCAGCTTAAGGGAGGGTATGTCGTTTTTAGCTCCTTCATTTGTTCATTTTCTTGCTAAATATATATATGAAAGCATATCTTTCTAATCAGGCTACAAGATCTACTGGTATATATATTATACAGTCCGTATCATATAGTTTGTTTACATAAATACTGGATAAAGTAGAGTATTTCAGTAAAAATGATGACTTTATCCTAACTTCACACAGTAATCTCCCAAGCATTGAAGCAAATTTGTGTTGCACCCACTTAAAGTTACACTCACTCCACTTGAGAACAGTTTTGTACTTTTACAGTGCTTAGTATTCATTTTGATAAAAAAGTAAGATTTGTATGGACAACTTACCAATTGTCCAAAAACATTGTGGCCGTGGTAGATTTTCAAAATACTGAAATGTTTTAAAAATCAGTATTTCCAATTTTCCATTATGCAATATTAGATTTCCCTTTTTAATTGTCAAATCAAAGTCATTAAATCCATCTATAATGAGTCTTTCAATTGTTATGACATTCATTGTTGTTTTTCCCCAAATGTATTTTCCATTTTTGCAAATAGAAAAGCAGTTTGATGTACATGTACTTAGCCAATAGCCACCATGTCATGAAATCTGTTGTCATCTGTTTTAGTGCAGGCTACCTATGAGCCAAATATCAACTTGACCCCCGCACCCAGTATAACAAGTCGTCATGGGTATCAAATTGTTCGTCTTGTTGAGTACATTACAAAAACCAATTTTGACAGATTGAAATATGGGTCAGATTCGATAAATATGACATAATGTTATGTAATCTATTATTATGACATAGCATTTTTTGTAAAGCATTTTTAGAGGAAATGATAAAAGAAATCATGAGCTAAGCAAATGTTAATTGTGTATATACTTTAAAATAAATTTTGATAATTAGCAAAAATACTTTGGACTTAGAATTATGTAATTATTACATAATTTCCATTGTTTTGTGAGTAAAATTACAATTTGAATTGTTTTCGTTTTAAGATAACAGAATTTTTGTTCTAAATGATATAAACCTCATGTGCTAAACTAATTCAAGCAATAATATCTTATTATGATTACAAACCTTTATAAAAATTATTTATCTTATTGTAAACAATATATGTCACGCATATATAGCAGCAAATAACAGTACGTGAACGGTGTATTTAAGACACAATGATAATATCATTAAACATTTAATCAGATATACTTATCCAAATATTCATGCATATAAAAATCATGTAACTGTTATGCTCATTTTAAACATGATTAATATCAAGTTTTTACATATAAGGGCTTACACCTTTCAATAGAATCATTATATAATATGAAGATGTGATTTCAAACATCTTTATTCTAAACATCTGGATATGGTTTTTCCTCAACCATTATTGTGTTTTGGCAATTACCCACCTCTCCGGAACAGATAGACATGCACAATAATCCTGCAAGTAGGCATCTACAAGCCTGATTAGTGCAAAATCCATCTTTACAATAGATTTGGATAAGGTCCCTTGAATTTGAGAGCATCTGCCCCCATTGAATTCTTGTCATCTACACAGCCTTTCACATTGTAGAAGCTCATCTGATCCAAGTTTGGAAAAATTGCTGAGGTGATCAATGTTCTTGATCAATTTTGTGTAATATTTTCCCCAATTTTAGCAAATGAACAGGTAGTATCACATCCTGTAAGGGTGTGGGCTGCTGATAATGATATGCAAAACTTTCACCAAGTTTTCTCATATTATGTGAATTGGGATGAAGCGCTGCTTTGACCCCTGGCCACTGTGCATGAATATCTCATGTGACAATGTAAAGCACTGTGTGGTAGAAGTACAAAAACATGACCAACACATCAGCATCACTGCATCGAACAATTTCTCTTATTCTTACTTAGCCGTCTTTGACCTTTGTACTGCATGGTAAATCATTAGAGTATCTGCCTCATCAAGACATGCTTCCATATGATGCTCTGCACTGTAAGAGCCAGTTGTTGTTATGGTCAAAGCCTTCTCCCTTTTTAAAAAAAAAATTCTAGCTAAGATGATTGATTCATCCCTTTTTATTTTTTGTTGCATTTTGCGCACCCGATTTGCACGTTTTGTTAGAAATAAGCAAGATTTGCCTTATTTTACCATTCCTTAGAAACCATCTATAATTTGGGCCTACAAGACTACATATCTTGCGCACATCATCTTCATCCTTTTCGACTTGCTTTGGTTGGCATTCTTCATGAGGTTTTTGAGTTGTGTTGAATGTACAGATTTCTAACAGATTCTGCATAGTCGCTGGCGATGTGACAATGTGACTTTACCACCTCCCTGATGGACCTGGTTTTCTTACAGCTTTTAACAAAAATCTTCTGCAGACTTAAACATCAGCCAAAAACATCACTTCACTTGCCATCTCGATTCACTATACAGTTTAACAATCCTGGAAATAAGGCTGGGGTTGCTGTCAAGTGCATATCTCCAAAATTATTGTCATATTCTAGTATAGAATCTATACATGCGATGGTTGAATAGAATCTTTTGTGCTTTGTTGAACAGGGTGGTCAAAAATTGAAAACCTGCATTTTCGTCATATCTTTGTCATTTTAAGAAATTACTCCCTCTATTTGTACACCATTCACTTTCATACAACCCATGGGCTAGGGCTATATTTTGAGTTGGTACGCACACTCAAGGATGCCTGATTGCGTGGCCGAAGGCTGCACATCGCAGGGGGTCCGGGGGTATGCTCCCCCGCGAAATTTTTTTAAGGATGTTATTTGATGGAATCTAAGCGTTTTTATCAACTTAAAAGTTGACAATGGTAAACATACAGATACGGTAGGAAGCATCAATAAATTCGCAAATAAATTAATGCGTTTTAACACAATTTTAATTTTTTCAAATTCATTTGGTACGCCTGTGCGTATTTTGCGTAATAGGCGCTACGTCCATGCAACCATACCATATTTTATGACCATCTGACCAATAGTCTCAATTTTACAGCACTTTGAACAACATGCTTCAAGTTTGGGCATTATTGCGCTGTCAAACCTGCACATTTGTCAATGATCAGAATGCATTCTTCAGCAGGTATGGCCTGAATGGCACAAATGATCTTTGAGGTCTGTAATTGTCCTGAGCTCATACTCTCTATCTTTGCCGTATCCCCACAGATAGGGACCTTTTGGACTACATGTGCAGGTTTGCTGAAAGCACAATAGTGGCCACTGGGGCATGTTCTTTAAAGTGCTGAAACATTGTGACTATCAATCTGATGGTCATGAAATATGGTAGGCTGGTAGGAAATTGAATGATGTACAAATGTGTTAAATATCAGTGAGTTATTTCTTAATTTGACAAAAGATATGAGGAAAATGGCGTTAGGGTTTCCGTTTTTAGACCACCCTGTACATGGCCGTCTCTGGGCCTTCTGATTGTATTATATGCCTCACAAGTCTCCACATCAGGTCAGATTTGATTGTACTGTGGTAGGAACTGGACTTTGTCATCATTTCTAGATTTTCTTTTGATGAGATAGGATTCGGTGTTGGTGTCACTTTTGGTTTGACTCAACAACCGTTGGTTTTCATAGTTACATATATCTGTGTCTCCCAGAGAAATCTTGTTTTTTTTTTACGGCTCCTTGTTATCATTATTATTTTCTGATCGTTTATACAAGACCATGGCCATAGAATGTGTTGATCCCTTCCCATCAATAGTGTCTTCGTTTTGATCAAAGTTAACGATTGCAGCATCCACTAATAAAACCAATATTTCCATCATTGACAGGTTTCTCAATACCACTGAGATTTTTTGTATTTTTACAAAAATGGTGGCCATTTTAAATTGAGCAGTCATGTTGATAATTTCTTCTCCAGCAGAGGTCCTACACCCATAAGGCATAAGCCTATAAAATTTGAATCAAATATGTCAATCGGTATTTAAGTTATCACCCAAACACTCTTACGGACGGACGGGTGACTTTTCTATATTCCTCCAACTGCGTTTGGTGGGATAACAAAGTATTAAATAAATAAACTAGCTACAAATAACCTTTTGTTGAATGCATTCAGCAAGACCATCCTATCTGGATGGCCATAAGTTTTGCATAGTGACTCTGATAAAAGGGTTACTGTATGGCAAACAGAATAGAAAATCTATAAGTCTGTATATATTACATAATATTATAACCTCATATTAATTACAATGTTTGCAAATTTTGAAAATAAAATTGTGCTATCACATCCCTTTATTCATTTTTAGTATTTGTTGAAGTTAAACCAGTTTATCGCATTAAAGCGTGTCTTGCAACGTCTAATTTCACATTTTTTAACATTATTACATAATAATTACATAATTATGATTAATGTTGAATACATATTTCTTAATTTTGTCATCAATTTTTTTTCTGAAAGCATTACCACCATTATCTGTTGTTATACTTTGATAAAAACCTAACCATAGCTGTTTTAAACCTTCAAAACACAAAAACATAGAAAACAATAAATTATGTAACATTACGCCAATTATCTCGAATCTGACCCATATTTGAAAATGTCAAAATTGGTTTCTGAAAACGTCACATCATACCGAACAAAATGGTACCACATACGTCTTGTTATACCGGGTGCGGGGGTATGTCATAGAAAGAGGCCTCACTGGAATGCCCCTAGCCTGTACTATTTTACATGCAGAATTTGGCAGAGACAATGTATCATTGTTGATTTTTAATGCATTCACTATATACACCTTTCCCCTTCTAGCAGTACGAGTGGTCTGCAAAATATAAAGTCCACATATAAAAGAGCTAGTTGGTACAAAGTGCTACAATATTGAAAAGTTATATTTTGTTAATGTTCAAAGTATCAAACCTGCTTCAGAGTGGATGGTTTGAATTTCCCTATTTGCCAAAAATGCTAGGCTTTCTAATATTTTCAAATATTAATGTGAAAATCTATAAAGCTAGGGACGTTTCCATTGTGCTTACCAACATGATTTTCATTTAAAGTATCTTAGGATTGACTTTTGTTTTAGAAATATTACTTGGGTATGCTGTCACAATGGTTTTGCATTGTTTTAGTTAATTGTTTAACATATACTATTTTATTTACTAATCACTTAAAGTAATAGATGCAAAACTTAGCCAGCACAATGGGAAAATCTGTCAGTAAAATAAGATCTTAGAGTCTCAAAGAACCCCTTAAACATGTATTATTTAAAACAGATGCCTATAGGCCTAAATATATTGCTATCACAATGATAAGTAACTTATGCCATGTAGGCCTATGTGATATTAAATAGAATGTAAAAAACTTGTATTATTTAAAACAGATGCCTATAGGCCTAAATATATTTTGCTATCACTATGATAAGTTACTTATGCCATGTAGGCCTATGTGATATTTAATAGAATGTAGTGGTTACCTTAGTCCCTGTACTTGATGCTGAATAGTTGTCCATCGTTGTCTCCTACCAGAAGCTTTCCATCGTTGCTGATTGCAAGTGCAATTGGGTAGTACTCTCCATCTCTGTTTGTTAGTATATTCCTGAGGAACTTACCATCAGGGGTAAGAAGAAAGACCCTGTGATTCCAATAATCTGCTACAAAAATGTAATCCCCTTTATCTGTGCATACACCATGGGGAGTGCTATTGGTTCCATTGTATGTAAACATTTTTGTACCATCCCTTGCTATACCTCTGATATACTTGCCATCAATTATAATGTTAACCTGTTTACTGTTACTTGTGAGATAACGAGGATCATTGAATGTGCCAGGCTGAACATTTGCTTCCCCAGTTGATAAATCAACATGGTACACTTTTCTACTCTCTTCATCAATCACCATCAGTTCTCCTGCTGAGTTCATGCTGATACCCCCCAGGTATGTTAATCCTCTACATCTAACATCACGTAGATGACTACCATCTTCATCATATATGCTGATTCTGTTGGAAGAGTCATCTATGAATGCTAAATTTCCATCATTCATTAGTGCTACATGAGTAAACATCTTTTGCAAATCCTTCTTTAGGTTGTAGCTGGCATCATATATGCATGATGTAGTGTAATAAAAAGTAGAGTAAATACCCCTTCCTGTTACTACATGGTTACCTGCTGGCGTAACAGTAAGATCATGTATAAAACCTGAATGCAGACGCATGATACTGACAGTAGGTTCACATAATGGTGCAAGGACATCAGCACTCTTTTCTCCTGGTGCTTTCTTTTTAGTTACATCAGCTGTTGGAACTTTCACTTTGGTAACACCAGCTGTTGGGACTTTCACTTTGGTCACATCAACTCTTCCAAACTCAATTCCATCATCATCACATTTCCCTTGAATGAACTGAAAGTCAATCTTGGTGTTAAAGGCAGTATTTGGTTCTTTAGACCATTCTTCAGACTTTTGGTTGACCTGCTGTCTTATACCAGCTATTTCCACAGGATGGCCATGTTCTACCATGGTTTTGTACTTGTTCACCTGGCCCTCGATGATAGCGTTTTGAAGCTCAAGATCACCAAGGTGAGCAATGACTTGTTTGACATTAGATTCCTTTTCTTTCATCACCTGATCTAAGTGGCATTTGTATTTGTTACGAACAACTTCCATCAAACAGTTCATATCATTGGTTATATCAGCTGCGATTTTTTCAGCATTTTGCTCCAGTTGACTTTTATAGGCCTGCGTTTCTTGAATGGCCTGTTTATATATCTCCATAAGTTCATTGCCCTGTGTTATTACTGCACCAATGGGTTTCATATTCTTGGCAGCTACTTCTTTGATGTCCTCGCATGCATGACCAGGGTGATTAATGGGATAACACTGATAACAAAGGAGAGTCTCATCAACCTTACAGTAAAGCTCTAGTGGTTTACTGGGATGTAGCGGACAGTAGACATTGCGCTGTTTTATCGACTGTATCACAGTTTTTAGGTCTTGTTCGCTATCTCCTGTAAATTCAAGTATTTTGTGACCTTCCAAAAGTGTATCGTGAGTTTTTTGACACATGCAACACAATTTTTTGTTGCAATCATGACATTTGATTTTTGCTGGGGTGTGTTTGTTACTAGATTGTAGACACGAATCGCATTCTGGTTCTTTGGTCTGCTGACTGTCCTTATAGGCATCTAGCAAGAATGTTACAGTAGGGCTCACCTTGAACTCCCCCACTCCTTTCTCTGGTACGGCACAATCACTGCGACATTCTGGGCATTTCACAACTCCTTGGTTTTCACTCTTCTGTACCAAGCAATCACGACATTTCATGCAAAATGCATGCATACATGGCAATATCCTCGGATCTGTGAATGTTTCCTTACATATGCCACATGTTAGACCTGTTTTATAAGGATCATCTTTAATAGGAGACGCCATTTTGCAGCTATTTGATTGATGTGTAAAATGTTTGTAGCACCTGTATTGTCAAGATTGTTAGATCCAATAGTATATCGATACACTCAACTAATGTTCAGAAATAAATGTCTCTGGTATGGTTGTATATTAATCAATCAACAAAGTTAGCATCTAATCATAATATTCCTTATTATTGCTCTTAATAATCTAAATGCTCCGTCTTCCTTCTTGTAACATGAGTCAGTTTTCAAAATTTTATGTTAATCAGTTCTCAGAACTCGAAGTTGCCTATTAAGCTGCTATTAAAGCGACTTCTGAGAACTGTGGTAAGGTTACAATGATCAAATAAAAAACTGGTTTACATTCTGTTGTATTTGCCTATTGATTATATTTACATCCTTGTTGAATAAAAGTTAGACCTTTACAAATTTTTTAAATATTTATTAGGCTGCTGTGAGGAAAAAATCAAAATAGAAATGTTTTATGTATAGAATGGAAAAAAAATAGTGAAGTGATGAATGAATATTTAGAGAATTCATTTAAGAGTTTTTTAATAAATATTAGGTTAACTCATGCAAGGGTCAATCAATGAATAAAGAATGAATTTATCGTTTGTATAGAAATCAATACAAACGTTGTACAGTGCGTATCGGGTAAATTCATACACTGGGATTGTACTTATTTTATTTCATTTAATATGATGATTAGAATAATTATTCTTTAGTCCTCATGTAAAGTTTGAAACTATGTTTTTATCTATAATATTTGTTATGACAAAGTTATTTTAGAGATTTTGAAAAAAAATTGGGAAAAAAGTTGCCAGCTTTTTTCTCACATATTCAAATTGCCATCATTTTTCAAATAAAAGTTGCATTTTTTAATCATCAAATATTCCACTATTCTGGGAAAAAAACATTATCTTTTTAACACCAATGCAAAGATTGTTCAATTTATGACACACTACTTCAAAAATAAAATGTCATATTTAATGTGCCACTTCAATGTTTTAGAATATCAAAAATATTTTGAAACCTAAGTGATGTCTTTGTGACATGACTTTTGAAAAAAAATTCTATGTCAAACTTTGCTAAATATGCTAAACTTCAAAAATAAACCAATGTTCATTATCTAACCAGGTTAAAAGGAAGAATATATTATGTTTTAGATATTTAATTATTTATTTATTTAACCTCCAATACTGAAGAATAGTTTGACAATTAGAACAATATTGCTCTATACCTAATGCTAATTAAACAATTACAATATCATGAATTATACACATATCTTTATATTTGAGCAAAATTTAGACCCAAAATAACAATGGATACATTGGAAAATCAGCCAAAAAATCTGCTTATTGGTACATTATAGAAACATTCCTACATGAAATAATCAAGAAATTATCCCACTTTTCCATTAGGAACTCCATGCCTAAAATAATGTTATACAAAACCTCACTTGAAAGTTTCTTAAATGTAGGATTTTCCTTAATTAAATTTCCAGTCATCACCTTTCTGATATTAACATAACTTTCACAACCCATAATAAAATGGTAAAGATCCTCCAATGAGTTGTTATTACGTTTCTTACATTTCCTATTTTCTCTTAAAGGGTTCCGATTAGCATCCCGTATAAAAACAATATGGCGGCTCCAGGCGAATCAAATGGATCAGTCCATTTTTAAGAAATAAGGGGAGTTCTGTAAAATCCAGTTTATTGAAATTTAGATGCCAATTTTCCTTATTATACACAAATAGAAGATCCTGAAACTTCACCCATAAATGTGGAATTGATTTGTCAAAATAAAAATCACCCTTTTATAAATGTGTGACGATCTACAGATTGGTAAACCTTAGAAAGTATTAAGGGGTTTAAACCATCATTCCTCATTCTGGCTCCTACACATGCATAAAAACTACACCTTGCATCACTTATTGTGGCATCATTCTTTGACTTATCAGAATTATTAGGCCTATTTGACCAAACTTTAGCACCAAGATGCTTATATGAATTCTCCTCATTAATTACAAGGTTTTCAATTGTTATTGTGATACCTTCAGAGTGTTTTCTTTTCTGACTTTTTGTCTCTCCAAAAGCCATAATTGCGCTCTTAGGAACATTAAATTGACGCCACTTATTGGCTTAAAAAGGAAAAATCAACCCCACATTTATGGGGTCTGTAGAATTTGGCCAAAAAGTGGAAAGTCTTAACAACTGCAACATTCCCCTCATTTCATTATAGATAAATCTCTTTGGGAATGGCAATATCCAAACTGTAGTGAAGGGATGTATATATTGCTGCATACATACGATGAAAAGTGCTCAGATAGTTGAAGAATACAGTATATAAGAAAAATTGCCATGACTAACCCCTGTTTTTTTTCATATGCAGATCTGCAATTAATACATCTTTTTAAATAAACATATAAATTGTTCCTTTTTGCAGGTGACATCACAGTACCCTTTGCCTTTTGCCCTTCAGAAAGTGGAGGAGATTTACGAATTTACGTTCTCCATAACACAATGTTATTTATTAATGTCTATATGAAACATTTTCAGGTGACTACACCATACCAGAGGAGCAAGAGAGTGGTATAAAAGACTACCAAGATGATTTCGAAGACTCCTCTTCTGATTCAGAAATAGGAATAGATGAAGGTAAAGAATACATCTGAATCCCTTGGATGGATCTTGGAATTAAGAAGAAGATTCAATAATAATTTATGAAAAAAACATTTGGTGTATTTTGAAAAATTTTTCAAATTTTACATTTATATTGAGGTCCATTTTTAAAATTTAGGTGCATTTTTAAAGGGCTTTTTGCAAATCCCTCCCCAAGGTCAGTCACTGAACTCTACCCCTTTTCTCATTTTCATCTTTACCATATCATGCCATAAAAATATTAAATATTGTGTTAAGCTGAGTTCAAATGCAATGCAAGAAGGTCACTGTGACTTGTATATGTATTATATTTCTCATTTCTCAAATTGTTAACCCTTGCCAGTCTGGACCATTTAATTCAATTTGCAATTCAATTATTTTTCAAGAACATTGTTTTAGATATTGTCATCAGCAAACATCGAGGAATTGGCAGTTTTTAGAGATATTCCATGTCATATTGATTAAAAGTTCTTCTCTTTCATTTTTAACTTTACTTAATGTATGATAATTTTTCCCAAAATTCCAATGATTGATTATGTTTGAAGTATGATCTTCATTGAAGTTAAGATTTGATGATTATTTCAGTTCTCCATGGTTGATATCTCCCCCCCCCCCCCCCTCTCCCCAAATTATATTAACACCTGACACATGTTTTAACACGTAAGGCAAAAAATTTTGGTTCAATATCATTCATATTTCACTGCCCATTTGTTCATAGAATTCAAACTTCTGCTCAAAAGTTAATTTTGAATTGGTGGCCAATTTTGTGTCATTGATATTGTTATCCAAGCCAATTTCTATGTGTTGACCTACCACTTCTGTTTGTCTTGCAGACATTCCAGAAGAACTCCCAGAGGGTCAAGTTGCAAGAGACTCAGAATCTGAAGAGGAGGAGTACCCAGATGATTTTGAGGATGAATCTGATCAGGTTTGTTTGGTTATTATTCTTTCTAAATGTTTAGTTGTTTGGTGAGACCTAATTTAAGCTATCTTGGTTTACATGTACAATTCTACTATTGACTTCATTGACATATGTTCTTGAATGTTTCAAGATATTTATGATATTGCAATAATTCACACAATGATATTGAAATATCAAATTTTCCATCAAGAAGCTAAATGTAAAATGCAAGAGCTATTGGGTACACTAAATAGACCACATCTGGTTGGATGTTATTTCAGAAAATAGCATCATAGATATTTCATAAAGTCAATTTGAATACCTGTAGCATTTTTAGTTTCCACAAAGTGAACTTCTCAAAGTGAAATGGATGGGGGACATTATATTGCGTTAAATCTAGTTTATGCAACTGACCTGTATTTTTCTCATATAAAGCATAGACTTGTATCTTTCATTTGCTTAAAATGAAAATATAAAATTAAATAAAAAAGATAGAAAAACACCTTATTTTATTTTTCTAGGAGCTGGACCAAATGCTTAACCTAGCGAGGAATGTACATGACGTCAGTGAATTAGCAGATGACGATTACTTCATAGATGAAGATGGGAAACACGAGGCATCCTGTAAACTATTCATCAGAGAGTATGTTTTTTACATTGATATAGAGAAATAAAAAAGCAATTATTTATGTCTATTGTAATAAAACTAGAAAACTAAGACCATTGAGTCTAGTGCAAACATAAGTAATTGCCTATCATTACAAATTGATTGGTCTACATACATGTATTATTGGGACATTTTCTTGGTAGTTCATTTATCCATGAATTATATTTCAAGAGTTGGTACATTTCAAAATTAAAGAGTTTTATGGCCATAATGTGTCATTTGAAATAACAAGGAGATCTGTATTCTTTTAAGTTATTCATTCACTCTTCATTTATTTTTAGGCATTGCATCAATGCTCTCGGCCAAGACAAGTTTGAAATAACAAGGAGATCTGTATTCTTTTGAGTTACTCATTAACTCTTCATTTATTTTTAGGCATTGCATCAATGCTCTCGGCCAAGACAAGTTTGAAGAGGTGAAGAAATATTGTGAAAATCCAGTAACAGAAGAGGACCTTACGTAAGTTATTCCCATAAAATTCCAAAAATAGCTTTTCCTCAAAATATTAGTTCAACCTTTTTTACGCCATCATTTTGATTCACAACACCATGACGATGTAAACAATGTATGCAATGTGATGTTAAAGGAGCATCTCAAGCTTAAACCCTGAAAGAACAGTTGTCTGTTATATGCCTGAGATGACACGAGGCTAGTTTTGATTTTTGATATGAAAAGCAACATCAAGGTCATGAGAGAACAACTTTATACCATGTTTACCAGTTCTCATCTAAAAACCTACTGGTATTTAATAACATATTTAAACAAACATGAATTTTATTCATTATATTCCAGGCCCAGATTACGACATATGGCTGGGACAGAGCATATAGAAACGTGTTATCTACTCAGTGAATTGCTTACAGACACATAGGGACAGACACATAGGCTGAGTGGTTGAGAGACACTGACACATAGAGAAGCAGACACATATTCCAGGTGTATGACATACAAGTGGGAACGAGCGCTGATATGAATGACAGTTTTATGCTTAAATGTGTGTTCCACCGATGTGCCTGAATTATGCACTTATAAGGATATTGACATCTGGGAAGCACTTCTGACAAGTAAACATTCAAATTGCTAAAAATATTCAGTGTAGATTGACATCTTTTTTTGACAGAGTACTACCTCCTGGGAAAGGGACTTGAAATGCATATTCCCTGTAATCAGAATTTTATATAAAACCAGAATCAAAATTCTATATTTCACCAGATATTAATGCTCGCAGTGTGAATATTGCGGAAATTGACTCACAAGGTTTCTTCCAAGGTAGGGAATTCGACAGTTCAGTCATCATTTTGTCAAAATCCCAACATTTACCGTGAGGGGGTCGCGCACAGAATTTAGAATAGGGACTAATTATCTCGATGGCATTAGTTACCAGTTTCATTAACTGGTAACTAGCTCAGATCAGATACCAGACATCTCTGTTTCAAAAAACTTCAGATTCTAGAGTTGTTAACATTTGTTTTCTAGCACTCTGGTATCTAGTTTATTGACATATTGTTGATAACTATTTGAGTCATATTTGACACTAGTACAATTGTGCAGTTTGAAGTTATCAGTTTATGATCTTAAATTAATACAGCCGATACATTCGTTGGACTGGTACTCTGTACATTCCATTCAAAAACATAGTTACCATAAAATTATGTTAATCTCACATTGTTGCTGTCAAGGAATTTACAATTTATACAAGAATCTGTTGATATTATGTTCTCTGATGAATTCTATGTTTTATAATATTTTATAGAATTTTGTTAATTGGTTAAGAGTAACATGTTTAGAGCGACACCCCAGCTGCTAAATATTTATCCGTCCAATTTTATTAAATTAACAGAATGCAAATAAAGTTTTGTGATAATTATGCACGTTTTAATACATGTGATACACAACTTGCAAAGCCAGCAATGTGAAGATGCTGTTTATATACAATGTATATGTTTATCATGTATCATATTTGAATATAGTCTAGAATGAAACCAATTATATATCACTGAATGATTGTGTAAATTGAATAGTATATAAATATAATTTGTAATAAAAAGCATAATATTTTATAAAAAATAATGTAAATTCTTTAGATGTACATTATTTAAAGACAAATACATGTAGCCCTATTACATGAAAAATATCAGGTGTAAACTATAGGTCAATGTACATAGACGTTAATTAATTAACATCTGGTTAATTACAACCCCGGCATTTCAGTTCATTTAAATTCCATAGGCCCTACACTAGAAAACATGTTGATTATTAATCCGTTTAGCTCTTTTCAACTTTAGACATTTCGAAGCCGTCATTTTCCTCAGCTTCCAACTGTTCTTTAATTCTGTCAAACTTTTCGCCCCTGTATCTGCCTAATATACACATCAGGATAAATACGACCATTAGACATATTCCGTGGCCAACTTCAACGTACATCAGATTTTGAAAGTTTTGCTGTACTAGAGCTCCCGTCATGTATTGATAGATGAAACCCCCACAAGCGCCCCCCATCATCATGACGCAAGCTGCCGTCGCCGTCATATCCATGTACCTATTAGCCCATGCGAATCCATTTGGAAATATGGGTGCATACGCAGCGCCCAAAAGCCCAGAGAAGACCCATAGGATCGTATAAGGGCAAACATTGGACCATATCGCCAGCACAATTGCTACCGCTAACACCAAAATGTTATCCAAACCCATGAATATTTGGACGGGAATAAGGCTTGCGATGAGGATAGAAAGTGCACGTCCAGCGGTGAAACATGCCCAGAAAACGCTGTTTAATGTGGTAGCCTGGGCATTGTTCATTTTAATTTCGTCTTTGGCGTATGAAAAGAGGAACTTCCCATAGGCTCTTTCCCCGCCAGATCCCTGGATGAAATAAATGAACAAGAGGATGAAGAACACTAAACCGATACCCATATCGCCTTGGTTACACGTAGCTGGGTTGACAATATCCTTTATATCGGTGGTAACGTCATTAGCTTTAGGGGTACGCATCCTGAACCCCTTTGGAGGTCCCTTTAAGTAAAGACCCAACACCGCTACGCTCAAAATAGCCACGTATACGGCAATGCCTAAATACGGCCATTGGATTTGGGAATCATCCCACGAGCGACCTCCACCTTGTGACGCATTCATCATGGCAGTTGTAACAACAACATTATCAGTAATCGGATTGTTAATGGCAGAGCAATTTAATTCACCAGATGTACCAGTGTTCGCATTTTTATCCTCCATCAGGAATGGTCGCGCGAGCTGTGGCGCAACAATAGCGCCGATTCCAAAGCCGAAGTGGAGGGAGTGCATAGGGGCCGCCGCTCTCTCTCCCCAGAGGTTCAGCGTCATTGCATTGCCACCTGTAAATGAAGCAATCGGCTCAATCAATATCATTTTATGTTATGTTTAGTTTTAGGCTAGTCGGTTAAGGGTTTGGATCTCAATAGAAGAGGGTATCGTCTCAGAATATCATTGTCTGCATTGCTATTCTTCAAGGTCAGGGTCCGTTTTTGAAACCGCCATAACTTAGGATTTAGTCGCAAGTCATTTTTCATTAAAATGTAGACAATGGTTTTCTCAGAATCGTAAATTACGATCGTGCCAATAACGAACCCCGTGGTAACTATGACCTCACCTGCATTGATAACGCCCTCTGCTGTCCCTTGCAGCAGAAACATGACTGCCAGAAGACCAAGTTTGTTACACCAGGGTACGAACACTGTAGCAACAGCCGCCACGAACAACGCCATAGACATCAACAAATCTACATGGCGACTGAATCTGTCACAGAGATAACCACCTGCAATTGTAAATCAATAAATACAGAATCAATCGTGGACTCCAGCATATTGCATGGCCACAAGAATTTCAAGCCTATTGTGAATTAAATGAGAATCGCCCAAATCTGAACCTGTTCGTCTGTGAAGTGCGTGACGTCTTTGGGTTTTGGTTGTATTGTATTGATACGTGGGAGAGTGTCATCAAGAAGAACGTAAAATAAATCATCCGTTTCATTTGTTTTTCGTTAGGTAAAACAATAGTCGCTTATAGACCGAAAAGTAGTTGTTTCCTCCGCTCTTTCTTTCAAATTATTTCCTGAGGTCCATAATTGTTAATCTATAAATTCTCAAATAGTGAAGTTGAAGAAGCAAGTGTGAACATACCCATGATTGCCCCGACAAACACACCGACACTCTTCCCCGTCAACCCACGCGATATTTCCTCATAGTTCGAATCCACTCGAACCATGAGGTCCTGCAGGGCGGGCCCGGTGATCTCAAGGAACAAACCCTGGAACATATGGATCATATTATTAATGAAGGTAAAATTGATTTAATTCTTAAAATCTTTAGTGGTGACTACATCACGACGACAGGCCTATTGTTTGGACTCGTTCATATCCTCCATTGGCGTAAAGTAACTTATTCACATCAACATGGCCTGTATCCTATTTTTTGCATTCGTTCGACTTCACCTGTATCCTGGTGGACACGCAAATTTCCCAGGCGTTTGTCCGTAAAATAGGGTATTTCTGTTCCCCTCAATGCCCCTGGAAGGCAAACATGCTAGCCTGTACTATGCCAACTGGAACTGAATACCATGGAAGACCAACATTATAAATTATGCTGGTTTTGTAGTTAAAGCAATTCACACTGCATTGGTTTGCCATTATCTCTTAAAAGAGGTATTCATCAGGTGAACCCTGTGCTCAGGGTCAGGTTCAAAAGAAAGGAACAATGTGCAGGTTCTCAGGGACGGGTCCAAATTTTCAGGTTTGATATCAGATGCTGTATAAAAGGATAACGAAGCAATCGATGATATTAGAAGTCCTCATAAAGGCGCTAGTACATCTTCATCCTTGGGAAATAATTGGATTATGATATGATATAATGGTTGGCTAAGGAAAATGTCAAGGTCAAATTCAATAAAAGTGATATAATATCTGATCAAATATAGTAAGTAATTTAAGATCTATTCAAGACACGGAAGTATTCTTTATTGTCTTTATAGTTGGAATTGTCTCTATAAAATGTATCGTAATGTCATTTTAAGAATTTGATTGCGTAATCCGCTTAAAAAGCCCTTAATTGACCCGATTGCTAGATGCACTTAAAACATTTTATGAAATAAAGTAGCCTATGATAAAGAATTCTATGAGAAATGTAGTGCGAATATATAAAAAAGATGTTTTCTACTTACTATACTAATCCATATAAAAAACAATAGTATTTGTTTGCCAAGTCTGTACGCAAACGTTTTTCTTGTCTCAACAAAGTCATCGTCTGCATCGGCCTCCAACTCCTTTTCTTTGCTGGGCAATCCATTGCCTTCAACGTTAGCACTTACAGCATTAACAGCGGGGTTCTTTTCCACGTCAATTTCTTCATATTTTGGTGGAAGATCGGCTTTTCTGAGGTACGCATCATCTGATCTTAAGCTATACTTTCCGGTGACAGACATGATAAAATGTTTAGATACCGTATGTCGTCAATTTCTTTTTGAAATGTTTGGAAGATTCGTGTGACACTTCTCTCAATTGTCACTGATTATAGCCTGAGCAATAATTCGTCGTTTTACTGGTTTAATTCGATTTTAGATTAAAGTTATTAATTTCTTCGAATTAGACCATAACATCTTACCCTTAACACTAGTAGGCCTTGGTCAGTGTGGGAATGCTGATGATTACATGAATATACAGTCTTCTTCAAAAGGTTGGCCACACCTCCGATCGTGGTTAAACGTAATCATTTTGGGTTATCTTTTTATAATTTTCTCACAAACTTACATACATATAATCGGGAGTGTGTGCCCAGGCTTAATAAAATGGGACAATAATTAGGGCAATAATAATCCCTGCTTTATTTGTGTCACGGAATACATTAATACTTGTATCCATTCTGATACTCATAGCATCTTTCTGTTTCAGGGCTGAGAAGAAATGAGATGTCATGGTTTATCACGATGCTTGCATCAGTGATAGATGAACTTTTGATATTAGAGAAACGCGACATTGTGTAGGGTTGGCTTAGCTTATATGGTAAGCTCTAGATCTAGTCCCTAGGACTATGAAGCAGCTAGAACTAATCATAATCTTATAGGACTTAATTGCTGGTCTGTATAACTATTGACATGCATGCATTATATTAAATCTTTATATGTCCCCCTTTCGTCCACTTCCACCATTTTCAGATAGAGAATGGCCCAAAAGACATTTTACCTCCAGGAATCGAAAATCACCTGAAATTAGTTATCATTCTTTTGTAGGCGAGTGTGCGTTCAATTGTACATGAGATACACCTATTTGAAATATTTACAAAGTTGTATATTTGTCTTTAAACAATAGGAACATGTACTGCCTTCATTCATTATCAATAACACACTTACATATAGAAAGAGATAACAACAACAGAAGAACACTGAAACTCGAAGTGCGACCTTAAACTTTTAGACTTACAGACATTGAGAACATAAAGTAAGATAGGAGTGTCGTCCAGCGACAAATGACAATAATAAGTGATGATTTGCTTATTTGTTTGTTCGTTCGGTAATACGGCATTTATAGTGATATTTATGGTTAGCTTACCCGCCCAAAGAATGCACGTGTAGTTAACGGGTGTGTAGGCGTTAATTACGCTCGTAGATGTAAAATTACGCCCGTGCAGACGAAAAATTACGCCTGTGTAGGCGTAAATTACGCCCGTGAAGAAGTAAATTCTACGGGCGTTCAGAAAACATTTACAGGCGTGAACTCACGGCGTTAAAATTATTAATTACGGGCGTTAAGACGGTTATTTTACACGCGCTGAGAAACATCTTCACGCCCGTCGAGTTTATTCTTAGCGCCGTAAATTATGAACCAATCAGAACCTTACTTACATAATGATTTAATGCATCCTTGCTAAAAGAGCAACTCCAAGATCCTTAATTGCGCAAGTAAATAACAATCAGAAGCCTGCTTACATTTTAGTGTGTTGCATTGCAACTGAGGTCCTTAAATATTCGTTCAAGATTGAACTAGATTAACCAAAGAACTATTCGATTTTTAGAGCAAATTATATTAAAAGGCAAATTGAAGAGACGTGTACTGTGTTGGCAGTTATCAACACCCATTGTAGAAACGACAAAATTGTAGAATATTTTGAGAAGGTATACATGTTTGGTGTCTAAATACGATGATTTTTTGATAATTCTCCAATCTAGGCGTCGGCTTCAGAGGTAGGGACTTATTAAGCTCACACGCATTGCAGCTTACAGTCTCACTATACAGTCAGATCGCTAATGTATCCCTCTAAAGGATGTGTTCAGATACTAGAATTATAGTATCTGATCAACTGCAAATTGACTCAAGACTAAAGCTATATCCTGCAGATCTGGCATTTTTTGAAAATGTACTGAAAATGTCAGATGAGCCTATATACCTAGCCAACATATGTTCTTTGGTGTAAGGGAAATGTGTACTTTTTGGAATCTTTATGCAGCCGTCTTTATAGTCAGATGTTATTTCCAGGAATACATAACTCATTTAATAAATGATGTACATCTTTCGCATTTGCACAAATAGTGCACCGAGATACCCAGAAAAGAAATAATATTTCATAATATGCCTTCAATTGCAATTACAGTTGTTCCTGGCACAATAATGAGTATGTTAATTATTAACTTGCACAAGGATCTTGGAGTTGCACTTTTAGCTAGAATACATTGTATCATATTGTAAGCAAGATGCTGATTGGTTCATAATTCACGGCGCTAAAATGAACTCGACGGGCGTATAGATGATTTTCAACGGGTGTTAGATAATGTCTTGACGCCCGCTATTGAACATTTTAACGCCGTTAGTTTACACCTGTATTTGTTTTAACGCGTATAGAATTCACTTCTTAACGGGCGTAATTAACGCCTTCACGGGCGTAATTAACGCCTACACGGGCGTAAATTACGTCTGCACGGGCGTAATTTCACGTCTACACGGGCGTAATTAACGCCTACACACCCGTAAACAACACGTGCATACATAGGGTAGGATGGCAAACCATAAATTTATACCGGTGTGAAAGAAATGATGGTCCCCCAGGGATTATGGTCCCCTTTCTTAACGGCCCTTACTGGCCCTGATTGCGTATAAGATAATGAGGGAAAGAGTTGTATTTAGGTCACCATATAAATCATAGGAGAGTAGGACCATAATTTGATAGGACCTCCTACCCTTTTACACCGGCATCAACATATAATAGCCCAGTAGTCATTGTGATACTTGCAGAGCCTCTCTTACCTCCCCCGCCCCTCAACAACTTGACTACACACCTTCTCACACAGGAGGTGTGTATAGTGGGAGTTCACAAGGGCTTGTACATGTAGCTACATGTAGACTACTAGCACTATATTAGAAAATAAAGTGGTAATTTCTTTTAAAAAACAGTTTTATATTATTTCTTATCTACCGAGGTTATGTTGTATAAACGTGTATAAACTGCAAACATGCGAGAAAATATTGTTTTAAATGTTGTCATAGCTGTTACCATGGGCTCTACCAAACTTATGGAGCCCATGCTGTTACCAATAACAGTGTGCAATAAAAAAAGATGGTGTTTCGGAATCAGGATGCGACATCTTTTATTTCAATAGGAGAATATCGAAGTTTCAGAACGTTCCACAAACAATTAAGATGGCATATTAACTATGCTTTAACGTCTATTAAATACAGGGTGAGCCAAAAAGGGTAACTCCAAAAAAGTTCATAACTCAGTCATTCAGCATGGGTTTAAACTTGAAGTCATATTTGGCACAATTAAACCTTGTCCAATTTTATTGGTCCAATCATGGGCTTTCAACTCTAACTGAAAGCCCATGGTCCAATCAAAATGGTTACAATTGAATTGTACGGCCAGTTTACAAAACAGCGAGATTTCAAAAGCTATATAGAAACTCCTCCATTGTTTATGTGATAATGTCATCTCCAAGATTTTAGGCAATGTTTTATAGAGATTTGTTTATTGGTTAGAATGATTGAAGAACGAGACTACAGCAGCTACACTGGTGATCCACTTGATTAATTTGGTTCGTTTCGGTAACAAAATGTCGGAACATCGAAGCTACGATTTTTCTTTTTTCCTTATTTCACACCTTGTAGGCAGAATTCTCACGACTTTTTTAATACAAACGTGAATCAGTAACATATCTTTAAGAAAATGTACACATTTGCGAACAAATAGTTTGGGAGACAACAGAATCGTCGATTTAATTCCTCACTTAAGTTACAGAAACGGTATTTCGAAAAACAGTTAAGATCTGCGCTTTTAACCCAAAACGTTTCAGGAATTAAATTTACGATTCTGTTGTCTTCGGAGCTATTTTTGCAAATATGTACATTTTCTAAAACATATGATACTGATACACGTTTGTGAGAAAAAACGTCGTGGGGATTCTGCCTACAACGCGTGAAATAGGGAAAAAAGAAAAATCGTACCTTCGACGTTCCGACATTTTGTTACCGAAACCAGGGTAATCGAGCGGATCACCAGTGAGTTAAACATGCAACATCCGTCAAGTTTTATCATGTACACTCCCCTCCATAAGTTTGGCAACCTTAGCTTCCCCATTGAACTAAGTGTTAATGCCTCTTTAACTTTGAATTTTTATTTACTTAGCCTGCGATGAAAATACTTATACCATTAATAAAAACGTAATTTGACTTTATTTCCAATACCTCCAAATTTTCTCAATTTTTTCCTCAATTACAATAGGTGGAAAATTGATGACAAATTTGATGAAAATCGGCATTCCCATGTTAACCAATGGGACAAGTCAAGAGTTAATATCAAAAACATTCTACTTGTTGAAACCAAATCAATTTGAGTTTTTCTGAGATAATGAGGATTTCAGTAAGGGTGGTACTTAACATGGGGATATCATTAGGGGATAGATAAAAAATCCTCATTATCTCAGAAGAACTCAAGTTGATTGAGTCTAACGTTATCGTTACTTCGAATGGCAAGGATGCATTATACCAAGTATAAGATTCGACAATTACTTGCGGTGTATTTAACACATTATGATGATATCAGATCTAGAAAAGATTGTCGACACAGACCGTAAGTCACGCGCAGCTTACATGTAGAAGTTAGAGTTTATTGAGTATCTTCGATCTTGTTCCTTTTAACTTATGTACGCTCTCCTCCATAAGTTTGACAAACCGATGTCTCATTTTGGACCACTTATAAAAGCCTGTAAATATGTTTGACGATTTAAGTAATCATCAGATTTTGCGTCAATTTCAGAGCGATGTAAGGAATAAAATTAAGATTCAAACGTTGAAAGGGTTTTGCTATCCAATGAAAACGTCCGTGGAAACTTGTGGAGTGTATAATAAAATATCATACACGCTAGTCCATTTCATTGCATCATTTCAAATAATAATCAAGATCATATGCTTGTAGAGGCGACATTTTGGGCCTCTTGTTGATCACTGTCCGAATCAGCGCCATCACTATGGCCATCATCGTGATCATCGCCATCAGAGTCCGGTGGCTCGTTGTCGTTTTTATCAGTTTTTCTCGAGTTAAGATAATACATTGTTGAGAGTACCCCTATGCAAATGATGGCTATCATTCCTATGAACGGAAGGACGTAGTTCCAAGGAGGTGCCCCGGGGATGTCTGGATCTTCGAGAACGGGATCATCCTCTGCTATAGTTGGTACAAGGGTTTCGTTTATTTCCATGATGTAGTCAACCGTTGTACAACCGTTGAACACCAAGCCTTCCTGAAATGCAGAGATGAGATTGGACAGGCATTAAAAAGTATGTCTTCGCCTTCCATTCACTGTTGGTTGGCGACATAATATTTTTTGCCTCACAATGCATTCAAGGGATCAGTAAAATAAATTACCCTATATTCTTAACAAATATAACACAATGGCCTAAATAACTCAATCCATTTTACAAAATATCTCAGCTTCCTCAAACTGTTTCCTTGTCTCTAGTTGATTGCATTTTAGTAGATTTACATCTATATTTGCCGTGATTTGTATTAGGAGAGGCGCACTTACTGACGCATTGCAATGCAGCAGGGATCTTCTGATCTGAAGATACATTAGTATCGTTCGTTATCTTTGTCTCGTTTGAAGACGAAACAGGATATGCGAGGTGGTATCATTAATTTGTCAAGAAAACAAGTGATATGAATAATCATCGAAAGGGAATACTGAGTATAAGTGTACAAAAATACACTAAGAATGAAATTTCAAAATCAAAATTTTCATTGCGCTGGGGATTGATTTTGTGTAGTTTAGCTACAAGACCTTGTGACGCATTTGTCAGTTGAACAATTGTCAGTTCAGTCCAGTAGATAATGGGTCTTGAAGCAAGACTAAATTTTGTGAGAATCGGCAATCAGGCACATGGCCTTGTTATTGTTACTTAGAGTTGCCTCAGTTCTTTTGGGATGCTCAACACTCTTCATGGCGTGTGATGTGATAATATTGTCAATACTATTGTCGTCACGAGGTCGTGAGTTCGAGGCGCGTGCGCTCCTTGCGTTTATTCATTTATTTGAAGTCAAATATTGGTAAGACATGTGTTTTAAACAATAGAATACGTAATTAAACTACATGAAATCCACTATAAAGAAAGAGTTATGCGGTAAGATCATTGACAAAATTGAAATCATACAAAATTATATCATTAAATCAGAAATCAAAAAGTCTTTAGACTAAAATTAAAACTTGAAAACGTGGCTTCTTGTTACATGACACGGTGATCTTGTAACACATCGAGTCATAGTGTTATATGGTTAATTTCACCAGAATGGAATTTATCCTTCCATTTATCCTTCCATTCTGTTTCGATTTTTATTCCCTATATAGCTCACAATTGGTTCAATCTATTACATTGGCTCACATTCAACAATATCTAATACATACAAGCTACTCTATTGGTCTTTTGGGATCACTTAGTAAGCTAGAAAATTGAAGGAATGTTAGTGCACCTTATATTAAGGAAAACATGGGTTGATGCAATACAAGAGCACATTCTGATTCATCTCAGTCTCTTATCTAAAACTGTAGATGGTACTAGCTGTGGATCCCACAATGTGGGAACACATTAAGCCTATACACAGGGACTGTACCAAATTAAGCGTGGTAGTGAACGCGCGGGATAAGGTCGTGCAACACGAGGGTGATGAAATTTTAGCAGACTGATTTTTCATCATTTTAGAAAGATCAGGGATAGTGAACTCGACAGTGAATTTCATAGCTAAACCGACACCACACCGAATATAGTATAAGGTATAACGCGCAGTAACTTAGTTACAACACAAGGAATTTGAATTTGCGTTATATCGTACGAGGCATCGATCATATACCCGCGCGTTATGTCTAAAATATCTAGAAATGAGTCAAACGCCCACATACGAAAACTAAAGTCACGTGACAGACTATACCCACCGTGTAGAAACTAGACCAGATCTTTCTAAATCAATTAAAACATGAGTTTGCTCATCACCCTCGTGTTGTACCTTACCCTGCGCGTTCAACTGTCACACTTAATTTGGTACGTACCCTGTGTTATATCAAGTATGAGACTGATTTGGAAAATGTTACGATGAAAATGTGTCTTTATGAGTTATGACGTGTTAAAAGAAAAATTAAAGGAAGCGAAACATTGATCATGTAATATGCAATAAATTGATTTATCTCAAAATTACACACGTTATAAGTCAATTAAGATGTCCCTGAGGCATCACAAGGTTTCATTGACTTAGCAACATTTGGACTCCAATAAATAGAAAATGATTGTTCTTCAAGCTTTACTGAACAATGCAATTTAGAGAATCTCATCCTCTTGGATAATTACAAATTGCAAGCCAGCAACGGTTTCTATGTTAGGATATATTCGCATCGATTCGGTTGTACCCTTTTCTGAAATTATGAAGGTCTCATACTTTGTATTGAAGGTTAAAAGGTAGACCGGTGTGTGGAAACGATCTCTGTCATTTTCTTGAAATAAACACCTGACTAAATGATACCCATGCGTTTTACAAGATACAACTGTAAATCCCTTGAAATTCGTGACTGATATTTGTGCTGATTAATTTATTTTTCTCATCTTTCCCGTTTTCCCTTTCAATAGTTTCTTAAAAAAAGCTTCGTCCATACAGTTACATTTTGATATTTCTTTTGCGCTTGCTTTTTTCACCGTGATCGTGATTCACAAAATTGATATCAAAGAATTATTTTGCGGTGATCAAAGGAAGCTGAAACCAACATATCGGAGAAGCATTGTTCATACACCCTTCCGAGGGATAATCTTAGCTTTCACTATTCTAAATCCAAAGTGCGACCAATTTAGATATTTCGATTTCCAGTATTTGTTTTTGTTTCTTTTAAACTGAGATTCACCTACTCTGTTTTTCAAGGTAACAAGATATCAGACATTCTTTGGTCCCACAGCCCATAACATTTCTTTCGAGCGCAAAGCAGGAAAGTCTGTTATGGACATCCTCCCAACATGCCTACAGAACTCGTACTATATCTCGTAGGAAGGAACGTAGTAGATGTTATCTGGAGCCTTGCGTTCGGAAGATGATTTAAAATAAATCTGACAAACTTACCTCTCAATTGATAATATAGAATGATTATTATTCCTAAGCTGTCATTTCTCGTAATTCGCTTTAATCCAAGAAATCAATCCAAAATCTCCAGATGTATTAGCCGTAGGGTTATCTGTATCTATACTAGCTGCTAGTCCCTACATCAAATTCAATTCACAGCTCCTTATGATGAATAGCGTCAAATCCAATCTTTTATCTCTGGCCTAATTACGTAATTCCATTAATCCTGTCATTAAAAAGCATGTAAGGCTTTGATTGCCTCAATAGTAGTTACTGTGGTCGCATTTATTGGGAATATATACAGCCAAACGTACAGCCAAGAGGAATTGCTCTAATAGGCTTTTAAACCGATACACCTTTCATTTTATACATTATAAGCCATTTATATAGATTTACATATTTGTAGGCCTGCTGCAGGCCTGGTCTTGGTGTATTCTATCTGGGACTAACAGATTCTATTGAGAAACTTCTCATTCGAGGATGATCGCTTGCAGAGGTATAACATCAGTCGTAGAATTATTTGATCTCTTAAAAAAATCTCCTGAATGCAATATTATTTTTTCTCTAAAATGTGAGTACGCCGTCGCCTAGGTGGGTACTTAGCATTTATTCGGTTAACGTCACTTTAAATGATGGCGGGTCCCTTGTGGCTGAGGCCTACTCCAATATTGAAAATGAAATCTGCAATTCAAATGTCCTCATCATCACGCCGGATTGAGATCATGAGCCTATTCTCCGTGTTATTCTAAAAGTCTACATCCTTTTCTTACTGTTGATGTGTTTATCTGTCGGTTCCAGACCATAGCCATAAAGATTATCCCCTGCCATTACCCCTTATATTACCATGACATTACTGAGGCCTTATTACCCCCCTTGGTGAAAATAACAAGATGGTCGTGTTTTAAAGTCCAAGAATGACAGAAATGAGTCGAGCAGACAAGGAATAACATAAACTGGTCTGGAGTTCGCACTAAGAAGAAAACGAAAACCAGGTAAATCAAGTCTTTCGTTTTGATGCTGAGGGGAATACAATGAAAAAACGCGAAGAAAAAGACATTTTATGCAATATCTAGAGTGAAGAATGAAGATTACATTTATGTTCTTTAACTAGGCGATATCAACCCATTCTGATACTCGTCACATTTTCTTTATTACATGGTAGCTATTGTGAGAAATGCCATTTTATGTGATAGTTTTCATCACACTTCCAAAATTAGTTGTCTTAATTTATATCATGGGCTTTCAACATCTCTGTATTTTAGGCTCATTATTCCATTTTATGCCAGTTCATGGAAATTCCCTAATTTCATAGAATCAAACTACGATTTATATCGTATATCCACGTTGACACTTGTGTTTGGTCATTTTCATCCGGACATTTTCCATGTCACTTTGCCCAAAAAATGTGAAATTACTATTTTCCAGCGTTCGGCGTCTGGCGTCTATAACAAATGATATAGTATTACACCTTACAGGTGTATGTAATAATTTGCAATTACTTTTAAAATGGAGGCATTTTTTGTCATGTGCTTAAGCTCCTTGTTTATATATTAAACATATATATCCACATATATGTGGATTGCACTTGCACCATTTATCACTCATTAAGGTGTATTTTTGCATAAACCGCAAACAGCTCAGTCCAACGGTGGCCATGGTAACGTTTATATTTTGGCGCGAAATTCGAATTTCCCTAGTGGCTAGCTACTCAAAGTTGAATGCAATACATCTGATAAACGATAGGAAAATATCTGCGGCTATTGTCATACATAACATGACACAATCATCGTAAGAAAGAATATAGGACCGTGCAAATTGCAATTTTGTCGAGTTTTAAGTAACCATGGGCGGCCAGTCGATAAGTTCTTAGGCTACAATAAAGTAAAAGATGAGAACGAACAGTCCATGTGTCATAGAGATTATTGTCCGTTCGGGGATATTGTCCGTAGTCTTATTTGTAGGTCCGGGGGTTTCGCTGTATAAACAACTTTGACGGCCGTACCGGAACCAGAACCCTAAGTAGGCTACATTTATCTGATCAGAGACATAGATTTAGATTTTAGATTTATGAACTTTATTACACATTCATACCCATAAAAGGTTAAGTGTACACAAAGTAAACACTAATTTTACAATATATCAATACAACAGAAAACAGTATATATAACAACACACAAAATTAACACTTCATAATAAATAAATAAGTAAATAAATGAACAAATAAATATGCATCATGGATAAGCACATGAATGGTGATTGTGATACGCGTCCATTGTTTATGTCATATATCACACCCTTCTATGTTATATTACATTTATGAATAAATTCTGCTACAATTTCAATTTCTTTATTTTCACAAGACATACAATATTGGAAAAAAGTGAATCGTCCTCAATGTTGAAAAGGTGTTTAATTGGGTTGCCGTGTGATACAAGTTTATCGAGCATTTTCTTTCTATATAGACTGTATTTTTTACATGAACGCATTATGTGTTTTTCGTTTTCTATTAAATTGCAAACCTCGCAAATTCTTTCATCGATCTTTAATTTTGGGCGTTCGTATCTACCCGTTTCTATTTTTAATTTGTGGTTACTGATACGAAACTTTGTTAGACTTCGTCGTAAATGCCCATTTGAAATTGAATCTAAATATGGTTCGAACCTGAAATTGCTTTTAAATATTTTGTATGTATTCAGTTTGCGACATTGGTCGGAATTCAATTGATTTCGCCAATAATCTTCAAAACTAATTTTTGATTTACAAACAACTTCGGATGCGTCAATAGTATATTCTTTTACATCTAAAGTATTATTGATATTGCTGGGAGTATTTCCTGAAAATGATACTACCTCTAATTTATCCATTACACTTTTAAAATTCAGCATCCACGATGACTTGTTGATCTTTGATAAGTCATTTGATGTAGTAAGTGTTTCTGATAATAAGATGTATGACGTATTTAACATGTGATTATAGAAATTAGTAGCTTGTTTGAATATATTTATATATAGTGGGTATTTCCCAAGCTCTCCATAAATTGCTAAATTTGTTGATTTTTTATTTACTTTAAGAATATATTTACAAAAAGATAACAGAAGTTTCTCAGATGGAAATCGTCTGCCATTTGTAAACCATTCATTCAAATCTTTTGTAGAAAAGTAATTCGACATGCCCCATATTTCAGATCCATATAAGATTATTGGAACTACCAATTGTTCAAAAATCTTTATTCCTATTGAAGGTTTTAAACTTGTATCGCCTAGTGACCTTTTTATTTTATAAATTGCCTTTAATCCTCGGTCATACAGATAGTCCTTGGATTTACTAAACGTACCTGAACTACTTATGGTCAAACCCAAGTATTTATATGATTTTACCGTCTCGATCTCATCCCCATCAAAATAAAAATTTTCTGTACATTTTCTACCATTTCCAATAAATTTCATTATTTTTGTTTTCGATAAATTAATTGACAAATGCCATGAAACAGTGTTTAATGTCTCTGGTCTGATTCAGTAGCCTATGCTCCCATACCCTGTAAAAGTTCACCATGTTCAAATACTCCAAGTCATGTGGCACGCAGTTAGTTGATATACGTCCATCGGATTTAAATAACACCACAGCCATACCAAATATCCAAAAAGTGGTCATGCCAACAGTCTCCGGCAAAAATAAACCCCGGGTTTGTAGTGATACCTAGTGTGGCCATCCATTGGATGATGACAACCCCGGGGCCAAATTTCAAGAAAATGGGCCTTAGATTTTCAAAATTTGGACCCAATTTTTGATTTTAGGGGCCAAACATGTTTTTCAAATTTAAATTTGCCCACTTTGTTAGTTTCCAGATTCGACCCTGTTGTATGAGCCAAAGCCAATATACCAATACAACATGAAGTAGTCTTAACTCTGAAATCCCGGGAAAATGCACTACACTTAACGAAAAGCTTAAACGGATCCGGAAGTTCCAGAATTTTTCAATTCTCACCGTTTTCAACGAGGACGTTTTATACCTTTGTTAGTGAATCCCTATAATGTAGGAAACTGTTTATTAATAAAAAAAAAGCTCTCGGGGACTTTTAGGAATGCTTGGTTTTCTGGAAGCTAGTACTAGTAGGAGTGGCCATATTTTGAATGGCAAGGTAAGGGATAATTAGATCTTTACAAAAATTGGGCCATTCCATTTAAAAAATGTACGTGGGGTATGGATGCAAAATTCTGGGGGGGGGGGGGGTGTTGACCAAAAAATTCTGGGGGGGGGGGTAGGAGACCAAAAAATTCTGGGGGGGGGGGGGTGGGGTGTTGACCGAAAAATTCTGGGGGGGGGTAGGAGACCGAAAAAATTCTGGGGGGGGGGTATTGACCATGGAATATTCTGGGGGGGGGGGGGGTATTTGCAAAGGCATTATGAAGGGGGGGGTTAATAATAGGGGGGTGGTGGTGGTAGTATTTCTTGAGTATTTTGTGTATGGACTTGTCTGACACCAAATCTCGGTCATGTTTATTATTTCGAAATTTAATCCCAGCCAACAGAACAAAGTATGCTACAGCTAGCTGTATACAGGTTTTTCTGACTTTCATATTTGCAATGTATTTGTGATCCTATATAATGCTTAATGCTAAGATAAGGAAAACTTTGGTATGCTCTTGTTAAGGGTATAACTTTCTCTACAGTGTCATGGCTTTCATAAAACTCCTCTTCATTTCTGGAACAGTAAAACATGATTTCTCCAAAAACATGAAGAATCATTAAAATTAACAAATATGACATTTTTCTCTGAAACAGTTACTGCATATTATTTAAACATTTTTAAATTCAGACAATGAGAATTAGAATATCTTCATTCTCAAGTGAGATCAGTACATTTTCTAATTTATATCATACAGTAGAACCTGCTAAGTGGAACACCTCCGTAAGTGGAACACCTCGCAAGTGGAACACTTTTTCAAAGTCCCATTTTAAAAACCCATTGACTTAATGTTAATTGAACCTCTGTAAGTGGAACACCTCCAAACTTGAACAGTGAACACCCCATATTGGAACGGAGAATCGTATTTCCCATGATACATATAGTCCCAATGTTTGATCTTGTGTGTTTACAAATCCCCGCGAACTCAAAACCTCCGTAAGTGGAACACCTCCTAAGTGGAACGCTTTTTGGCAGAACGGAGGTTGTTCCACTTACACAGGTTCTACTGTACATCCTATATACTGGGGATCCACTTGATTACACTGGTTAGCGAAAAGGTTTGTCGGAACGTCGAAGGTACGATTTTTCTTTTTCCTTATTTCACGCGTTGTAGGCAGATTCCCCATGACATTCTTTCTCACAAACGTGTATCAGTATCATATGTTTTTGAAAATGTACATGTTTGCGAAAACATAGCTCAGAGGACAACACAATCGTTACCCTTTACATTTGTTTGACTTCACTTCTTAAAAGAGAGCTTCGTCTTCACTCTTTCAAACTAAAATAAACCTGTGAACTCACCGCGCCAATCAGTGTTCGTTGGCCAAATTTGACCGACGTTCTATATATGGTCATTTCTTCTGACGTCATCGTTGAGCCCGGAATTGTGTAATTTATGTTTAAGAAATAATAATAAATAATGAAAAAATATTGTAGTTACCAATGGAAACATTACATTTTAATTTTGATTGTGTGAAGTGAACAATGGTAGCGAGTTCAACTAACTAATTATGAAATATTCAGTTTTTATTTTTGCTTTTCATAATCATTTAGGCCTAGTCTGTTGAGAAAGTACACAGGTCATCTGAATATATCAGGATAAAACTATTACAACCTCAATATAACAAATTAGTGAACTTGTCTAGAGATCAGGATACATTACACTTATCCCGTTCCCGGACTATAGTCCTGCACTGATCGCATTCATTTGCCTGTACGATTACAACTTGGGAGAATTATCTACGCCCCTTACACTTAAGATACCTACCTCAATGCATTATAGAACTCAAGATGTAACTTCTAATATATTGGAACCGCCGATTGTCTGGGTATATCGGCAGAACGGGAACATTTTCTCTTTTTCATCGAGAGAGATTCCATCGCTTTTCAAAATGGCGGTTGGATTTAAAAGGGGAATCCCCCGTTTGGCTGTCCCGGATGAAGCCCGGAAGTACCAATATGGAGGAATTTGACGGTTGAAATAAGTTAAATGTTACACGCAAATATTGCGATCAAAAACGAAAATGTCTTCGTTCTGCCGATAAACCCAGACAATTGTGGATTCAACTACACGAAAAGAATGCTAAATTACCAAGGAATCTATTGAAGTAGGTATCTGAAGTGTAAGATCAGTAAAAAATTCTCCCATGTTGTAATCGCACAGGCAAAATATTGAGATGTTCACAGGACCATAGTCCGGGAACGGGATAACATTACACTAGTAGGCACATGACCTTACTCTGAATTGAGAGCTACAAGCAGTATATAGTACACTAAATACAAACAAAAAACAGTGTATGTGACAGTGACCTACATGTAAACTGCAATGTTGGAACTGCAATATATAGGTTCCAATCTGGCAATTACTTCCTTGTTCTTTAGACTTTTAGACAATTTGGTCGAATTATGCAACATGTGTAGCCTTCAAATATAACTTTATTCAAGTAGATGAGAGTATCTAGAACACTTTTGTTATAAGTTCATAGTATTATTTTCTGTCATGTCTGTTCCACATTTTGGGCATCTAATTTCAGTCATAAACTATGTGGTCACTTGCTTCACATATTGAACTTTTCATGTGTTTTTGAAAATATAGGACAGTAGTTTGAAAAGTAAACCAGTGAATATTCTAGTTATTCATACATTCTAAAGAATTGTGAACCGTTAATAGGTACACTAATTTCTGGTTGTCAAAATTACTTCACTCATTTTGTCTACATTATTGAGGAAGGTTACTTCAAACTACCAGCAATATTTTCAGACTAATTCAATCAGATTGTATCTTTGATACTATATACATACACTTTTTGTGCTAACTAGTATGTGAAAATATACTGTTGAGACTAGATGTCATCAAAACCACCATAGCTAAGGCAAAAAAAGTTGACCTAGAAATATCCTGTTACAGTAATATAAGCAATAATTCATTCTGAGCGTATGACTTACTGACATTCTGTTAAAGGCACGTGTATATGGAAATATTTTGAAAATTTCTGGTACAAAATATAGTATGAAGGCATGTGTTTTATTTCTTTGTTTTTTTTCAGGAAATTATCTTTGCATTGCCTTCTTTAAGTAACTGAGTAAAGAACATTATGTTATTTATCAAAAGACATAAAAGTCGGTGCTAGCTATGTACATATTTCTTACTTCAATTTAATCTAAAAACCAGCCTAAGTGTTCTCTCAAAGCCCAAAAGTTGCGGCTGTCTCAAATCGCAGACTTTTTAAATCGACCAGTATTTCAAAAGACAGCTGTAGCTTTGAGAGAATGTTGTGTATAGTGTATAGAATCAATTGAGTAGACTACATCCTCTAGACGGTATTTTTTGAAATTTAGTTGGAAATACTCAGACTGTAAACGGCCTATGTTAAATGTTGTTGTTCAAACATATCTTTTTAATGTAAATTATAATTCAAAGTGACTGATGTAGTAAATTAATTTGCATATTTAAATTATTTTTAAGTTCCACTACGTGTAGCTTTATCTCTTAGACTAGACAATATGCTGTGTTACTTTTTATGTCATTTAATTGTGCCTTACTACCTAATTAAATTTTCATAATGTTTATTTTATTGAAGTAATGCTTCCTCTAATGAATTGATAATTTTGTGCAATACAATTCACCGCAATAACCACACGGCAGAAAATAAGGATAACAAACTGAGTTCACACTCAGTCTGTTGGATACTAATCAATAATGAGGTAAGAAATATGTGCATAGCTGGTGCAGATATTTTTGGACTTGTGAAATATAACATGTGGTTCTATTGTATACACACCGATAACGTGGGTATTTCCATGAACATGTGCCTTTAACGCTAATTTGTAAATTCTGCAAACTGATTGCCTATTTCAATGGTAGGAGCAACTTATAACCTTTATATTGTTTCTCAAGGGGGGATTTTGCGTGTTTCGGGGGGGTATGGATGCAATTTTCCAGGGGAGAGGGGTATGGATGCAAATTTCTGGGGGGGGGTATGGATGCAAATTTCCGGGGGGGGGGGGGGTGGTATGGATGCAATTTTCTGGGGGGGGGGGTAGCAAGAAAAAAATTCTGGGGGGGGGGGTGTCTCAGCCTGTGCATCCATACCCCCCGTACATTTTTTAAATGGAATGGCCCATTCCTACAAAATTTTGTACAATAGATCTATTCCTAGGCTATGCCATACATAGATCCCGGCCAGATTCTTTTTTAGTAGAATCAGTATCTCAATTAATATTCCTCCAGATGAGACACTAAAAAAATTTCGAAATTTTAAAATTGTGATTGTGCAGCCATTTCCGAAAAGTATGAGACAAATCATACTTCATTCAAAGCTTCTCTTTAACTTTTTAATCACCAATGAACGTTATTCAAGCAATACTGCGTTGATAAGAAGCCAAAACATAGCCTTTCCCAATGGCCATGAAGGACTAGGGACATCTTGAAGTCTACTAAAACAGTGATATTTTATCACTGGGCTCTTGTCTGTCCAAATCTGAATGTGATGTCAGGATTACAATGATATTTAGACACACAAGAGCCTGGATCAAGTGAAAAATACTTGCCGTATTAAAAGTCAAATTACTGCATCCATAGGTTATTTACTTGAAACAAACAAGTAGAAATAGAAAGATGAAGATCTCAGCTATAAATTAAGTGCAAAATCTGTCAGGGAAGCAGGTACCATTTTGTATGAGGAATGTTTTGAAAGGTGGTCACTTGTTTTGAAATTTTCCAATTTAGTGACGCATCTTCTGAATTATTAATTCTAAGTTCCAAACATTTAAAATTTTATTATAGGCTAGTATTAGATCTAATTCTAAGGTTTAAAACTGCTTTCTGGTGATTCGATTTTCCTTCCCTGTCAACCTTTACGCATTAGGCGTGCTTGTCTTGCATTTGCTGGAAAAATTGAAATCACGCATCAATTTTGCGTGTATGATAAAATGTCACGCAAATCACACAGTCATTATGTTGATATTTAAAAAAATTTGGTTTTTATAAAATGCTGATACAGTAAAAAAAAACATTCATTTGGTTCGAAATAATTTGTACCTGCGGGAAAAATTGAGGTGTCCAATATTTTGACCAAGGTGTTCAGTTTTGAACCAAGGTGTCCACAATTTGAAGGATGGTTCAACATTTGTAAGTCACTCATGTTAGGTGTTCTTAAGTTGACAGGCCTGAATTTTGAACAATGTATGAAGGTCCATTCAAAGTCGCATATTGTTACTCGAGTCTCTAGCCAATTCTTGGCTAGAAGTAATTTCATCTTGAACCATTTTAAAAAAGCTGGCTGGCGTGTTAACAATTTATTAAATATTTTTAAAATTGCCAGATAAATATATCATGAATTAAAATGGAACTGGCTGGGCTCCTTGATGAGATATTGCATGATTTCGACAGGATTTCATCTAAAATTAAAACATACGGCTCTAAGAAAAATGGCGACAACTGGACGAAATCTCATTAATGTCTGACATTAGAAACTGGCTGTAAATTCTAAGTTAGCCATCCAGAAGATGTGAACTAATACATTGTTCACTTAATGTATGTTTTGGAATTTTTGGTGGTAATAAGACCAAAACTCGCAATTCAAATTGTGATTTTGAAAAATGGCGAACATTTGTTTTCAAATTTTATGATTACCACATGACCCATATACAGCGACATGACTCACATCCGGCAGAGTAAAAAACATGCAGGGATTTATCTTTGGACGAAGTCCACGAAATAGTGGCCTTAGAAGAAGGTTAGCCTATTGAACTTTATTGATAAAGTGCGCTCTGGCCTTAATTTTATAATTAACTAATGAGACACAATGTTCAAGATAATTCCTATTTATTGGTGGATCAAATTACCTTGTTTCTTTTACATAGGAGGTGGAAGTCTTTCTTTACCTGCTATACTACATTAATACATGTAATACTGTTCACTGGTGTAGTCAATGGGAGTTTGATTTGGACCTAGGGGTACTGCATCGAACTTTGACGTATGGGGTTACTTTAACGTGGGGCTGTTTCGACCATGGGTTGGCATGTGCCTTTAGCCAGGCAGCCAATCAGATTCAAAGCCGGTTTTCAATTTCTTTTAGAAACGTGGCCGACTGGGTAGATTGAAATTATACATGTAGGATGAAAATTTCAATGGTAATAGAGCGATTTTGTTCATATTTGATATGTGAGTACTCATAAGCTTAGCACACTGTCTTATGACATTTTGGGTTGTAGGCAGTCATTTATATGTGCCTACTTAAAAGCATATTTCTTTTTCTGATAACATCTAGGCTAGTGAGCAACCATTTTGATTGAAAATGGTGGCCTTTCTTGTGTGTGTTATTTAACGTTAATTGCTATATATTTCGTTTGTAAATATGCCAGCCATTGCTGTTCAATGGGATGTGCTACTCGTTGGTGTTGCTGTTGTTTAGTTTTTGGCAGGGTCAATTTAGGTGTTAGGTCATTTTATAGCTAAGATCTAGATAATTGATTAAAAAATGTAGTCAGAGGCTCAAAAATCCTAGAAACCAATTGGTCAGTTCAAATAATAAAGTGTCATGCAATGCTACATGTTTCCATACAAGAAAGTACTTTTATAGAGCCATTTATGTCTTGTTCAAGTAACAAGGCACCTGTCTTTTTCATAACAACGTTAACAATCAGAACAAGGAAGTAATGTGAAAATTATTTGACCTTAAAAATAGGGGCTTTAGCTACGAACATATTCAAGTCCTGGATTATTTGCAACTGCAGTTTCTCTTTTGTTCGGGTTTGTTTAATTTCTTATATATATTTCATATTGTATAATATACATGTAAATGAAATGTTGTTTTCACAATGTGAACTGATTGTTCAATTTTCATTGCAATTTAAATATCATTGTTAGCCACATTATAGAAATTTTGAGATGTTACAATCAAGAAAATTCCATTTAATAGTCTTCTAAGAAGCAGCAAAGAGCTTAAAGAGGGATGTAGTGATAGAAAAGCACAATTAAGACCCTCTGGACTTTTTTTGCATGTTGAGCTGTTTCACATATTTCACCTGTCTACTTACCAATGAAGAAGCCCTGAATCCACCGCTTTATTAGCTAATTTGCGAGTTGTGCTGACCTGTTGAATTATTTTGGTCAAAATTAATTATCTGAAACTGGAATAAACCGGCAAAATCCATGTTATCTGATCGGTAGTTAAATTTGTTTATCAATATGGTTGCGTGACCAAAGGAACTGTAAATGGCAGTTCTGGAAATTCTGAACGAAATTAAAAACGGCTTTGAATCTGATTGGCTGCCTGGCTGAAGGCATGGTATGTAAGATATAAACAATTATAACAGGATATCACTGACTCTCTGGGGGAGAAACCTCCCCCAGAAATACAAGAAAAGATTTCACATTTTGAATATTTAATGTAATTTGGTCTTAATTTTTTGCTAAAATCTGTTGTCAAAATATTTTTAAACAGCCAGTTAGTCACAGGTCAAGGTATTAATCATTTTCCTTATAAGTATTAAAACAAAGTAAGTTTGTCAGTTCTGTTCATAATATTTGATGTTATATTCAATCTCTTTATGTTTGATTGATCCAAAATTTCTTAAAAAGACTGAACACGGAGTCTGCAAAATCTGTTTGGAGAATGTTAATGTCATGATCAGCCATAGGTAATTTCGCTGACTGTAAGACATGCTTCATGTGCATGTTAACTAGTGAAAATTAAAAAACTGTTTTCTTCATGCTTCCTTCTCTATTGTCTATTAGAAGGAGGATGTGTATACCCTTCAATAAAATTGCATGATATTTGTTTTAAACATAAAATAAGAAGGAAAGGATCGAAATATAGTGAACACTTCATTCTGATCGGAAATGACAAAAATATGCAGCCATATTGTTCACCCAGTTAAGAGAATAGAGCAAAATGAAAGAGTCGCTACAGAGAGAATTACTGGAATGGGGGAGTATTAATAACAATATCCTGTAATTTCAGGTATATGGACTCATATATCCACATAGCAAACTTATGACATGATGTTGATATGGTAACAAGTGACAATAAACTAAGTGAGGAGGGATCAGCCAACAAGAATGCCGATACAGGCCCCACAGTGGACAGAGTTCCTGAGTTGTCCACTCTGTTACACGTTATTCGATGTGAAAAAACATAGGCCAATAAGCCTTGGCTGTTCACATACATTCTGTATGATATGCCTTGAGAAGCTGAATCAGTCAAAATGCCCCTTCGATCAAGTGGCGATATCGCAGCAATACACAAAGTTCCCCGTAAACTACGGACTGTTACAGCTCGTGGATGTCCCTGTGCCAACAGACCAGACCTGCCCCCTGGAGGCAAGCTTAGGAAAGGATAAGAAACATTATGCTGCATCGAGGAAATCCCTTGAAGAGCTTGCCATTTACCTGAAACCTCTCTGTTCAAGTGAGTAAATGTTTTGATTATTTATTTGTTTGTTTGTCTAATGATTTAAGAAACCAATATCATGCCACAATAAAATAGCCACATGACCTACTGTAGAGAAAATATTTAGTTATCAGAGGTGTTTTGAATCATTGGACCCAAATCTGGGAGTATGAATCAATTGGAGATGGTGAACATCAAAGATTTCATAGAGGCAGAAATCTCTGACATTTTACTCAGGTCCCCTGAAAACATAGCATACAGTAATTATCCCACCGAACGAAGTTCGAGGGGGATATAGAGAAGCCTTCCATCCGTCCGTGTGGCCTGGCGATAACTCCAATACCGGTTGACAGATTTGGTTCAAATTTTAAAGGCTTATGCGTTATGAGTGTAGGACTTCTGCTCGAGAAGGAATTTTCAATATGGCTGCTCAATTCAAAATGGCCGTCATTTTTTGTAAAAAATGTAATTGTTTATAACTGAAATACAAGTTGACGGATTTGGTTCAAATTTTATATGCTGATGCCTAGGGACATAGGAGTTTCGCACAAAAAGAGATTTTCAAGATGGCCGCTTAATTTCAAAATGGCAGCCATTTTTCGTAAAAATATGTAATCTTTGATAACTCAAATACCAGTGAACGGATTTGGTTCAAATTTTATATGATGGTTAAGGACACAGTAGCTATGTTCGACAGAAATATTTAAGATGGCCATATGATGATGGCTAGGGACACAGTTGCTTTGTTCAAAAATGAATTTTCAAGATGGCCACTGAATTTAAAAATGGTGGCCATTTTTTGTAAAAAAACATAAAATTTTGATAACTCTAATACCTGCGAACGGATTTGTTTTAAATTTTATATGATAATGCCTAGGGACACAGTAGTTCTGTTCGAGGAAGAATTTTCAAAATGGCAGCTGAATTTCAAAATGGTTGCCATTTTTCTTAATTCAGATTTTATGTGCTGATACCTGGAGACACTTATAGCTCTGTTCAAGAAAGATTTTCAAAATGACTGCAGAATTTCAAATGGCTGCCGTTTTTAGTAAAAAAGAATGTAATCTTTGATAACTCAAATTTTAATTTATGGATATGGTTTACATTTCATATGTTGATGCTTAGGGACAAACAAGCTCTGCTCAAGAAGGAATTTTCAAGATGGCCACTAATAATCTAAATATGTTTTGTTCGGTGGGATTTGCTACTCCGTGGAGTTGCTGTTTTTCTAGTTTGTACATGTTCATTAATGTTCATGAATACACTCTTGTCTGCTGCGGATGAAAACATAGTATACAGTAGTTCTTTGTACAGTTCATGAATATTCATGAATTATTTACACTCTTGTCTGCTTTATAACATACAGTGATTCTTTGTACAATGTTCATGAATACAATCTTGTCTGCTTTGGATGAAAACATAGTATACAGTAGTTCTTTGTACAGTTCATGAATATTCATAAATTATTTACACTCTTGTCTGCTTTATAACATACAGTAATTCTTTGTACAGTGTTCATGAATACAATCTTGTCTGCTTTGGATGAAAACATAGTATACAGTAGTTCTTTGTACAGTTCATGAATATTCATAAATTATTTACACTCTTGTCTGCTTTATAACATACAGTGATTCTTTGTACAATGTTCATGAATACAATCTTGTCTGCTTTGGATGAAAACATAGTATACAGTAGTTCTTTGTACAGTTCATGAATATTCATAAATTATTTACACTCTTGTCTGCTTTATAACATACAGTAATTCTTTGTACAGTGTTCATGAATACAATCTTGTCTGCTTTGGATGAAAACATAGTATACAGTAGTTCTTTGTACAGTTCATGAATATTCATAAATTATTTACACTCTTGTCTGCTTTATAACATACAGTAATTCTTTGTACAGTGTTCATGAATACAATCTTGTCTGCTTTGGATGAAAACATAGTATACAGTAGTTCTTTGTACAGTTCATGAATATTCATAAATTATTTACACTCTTGTCTGCTTTATAACATACAGTAATTCTTTGTACAGTGTTCATGAATACAATCTTGTCTGCTTTGGATGAAAACATAGTATACAGTAGTTCTTTGTACAGTTCATGAATATTCATAAATTATTTACACTCTTGTCTGCTTTATAACATACAGTAATTCTTTGTACAGTGTTCATGAATGTTCATGAATATACTCTATTACTCTTGTCTGTTTCAGATGAATCAGCTAGCTCCACACAGAACTATTTGAGTCGACCAATGATGCGTAAACTTGTCTCAATGGTTGGCTGCCAATTGTTTGAAGAGGAGGGCAGGGTGCGTATCATGAGGGGGGCGAGGTCTCTAGGAGAGAGGGCAGCTACAGAGTTGATATTACAGCATCAGAGCACACAGCAGCTGTCTTCGAATTTATGGGCAGCTGTACGAACCAGAGGTTGTCAGTTTTTGGGTCCAGGTAGGTTTTAAAGTACCCTTAATCCTTTTCAACTTGCCACACTCTCCTCTAACCTCAACATGGAATCAAGTTTGAACAAATCATAATTGAATCAAACTTGAAAAAATCAATATTGAATCAATTGCTTGATATTATTTGTATTTGTATATTTATTCAACCACCAATTTGGTGACAATACTTTCTTTTTTACAACATAGTTACATTACAAAGGAAAGAGTAATAAAAAGTATTATTTACACAATGCTACATGTACATGTATCTCTTGACTTAAATTAATTTAGTTCCTTCAATTTCACATTTCTATAGTTATACATATTGCATATCATTTTGCAGCTATGGAATCCATTTCATCATTTATACCTGGTATTTCTTGTAATCCCATCATGATATAAAACCTTTCAGTTTCTGATCTCATGTAAAAGTTATCATAATCTAGTTTAACAAGTTTTGCCTTCATTGTATTTCTAAACAAACATCTGAATCTAGTAAAAACATTGCACTGTTGTACAAAATGTATTAAGTCACCAACTCAAGCATTACAAAGGGTACATTTCCTATCTTCCCTTATGACATTGGTTTGGGTAAATACCTCTAATGAACATCCTCCAGTTAGTAGCCTCACCATTTGGAAACATTCATTTTTAACTATAGGTGCTCTTTTGCTCATAGTCCACCAAGCATTCACTTTGAACTTGGGACATACAATTCTAAAAACATTTAGTTTGTGACTTAACATAAGGAGTATTTTCCATCTTTCAATTACAAGCCTTTATACATTAGTTTTACATTTCTTTTTCCATATTTCCTTTGAAGGGATGATGTTTTGTTCAATAACATTAATTATCATATCATACAACTCATACTTGATAAAGGTTTGTAACATGTTATATACAATACTCCTGTTCATAATTACTCCCGTTATATTATCTTTCATTGCATGCATTCTCAGGAAAAACAGTTTTCTGCAGATTGAACTTGGATTTAGCATTACAATTGACCTAAAGAAGTACAATCCGAAGATCTATATAAGCGCTGAGTTCTAACCATCCCAAACAACCCAAACTAGCAATATCTGGTGTATTCATGGGTAATTTCTGAATTCTTTTGGCTATTTGCCTTTGTGCATCATTTAACAAATCAAGCTCAGCTTGTTTAAAATACAACACCTCACAGCCATAGAGCATTTTTGGGACTGCAACTGACCAGAATAATTTTGATAAAACAAGGGGATTTAAAATACTCTTTTCACATCTCACTCCACAGAGGGCAAAAAATGACCTTCTTCCCTCACTGATCTTCTTATTTACAGTATCAGTTTTCCTAGTTACATCTGTATTTAATGTCACCCCAACATGTTTGTAAGAGTTAACAATATTTATGCTATTATTTCCTAGATAAAATACAGGGTTCCCTACTCCTCTACAAGTATTATTAAGAATCATGATAGCACATTTCTTTATGTTAAAATCAAATCTCCAGCATCTGGAGAATCTATATGCAACATCTATCGATGTTTGTAAACTTATTCTGTGGAGTCCAAGGGCCACTAAATCATCAGCATATCCTAGAGCACCTATTGTTACATCATACATTTTACACCCATTTTTGTTCAGCTTATCTAACAAAGGGTCAATGAAGTACAGATACATTAACAAAGATGACTTTCCTCCCTGCCGAATACCTTGTCTAGACATGAACCCCGTCTGAAAATTTGCCATTAATTCGAACAACATCATGACATGAGGAATACAAATTCCTTAAAATTCTCCAACATTTTCCTTTAATGCCAACATGACTATATATCCTATGGAATAACCCATTTAACCATACAGTATCATACGCTTTCCTGGTGTCAAAATACATAATATATACTCCTGAACCCATTTCCATAAAATGACTAAATATTATGGTAGATTTAAGCTTGAAAAAGGTTAAGTCAATCCTCATCAGTCATCAACATTAATTCAACATTGAAAAATGTTGCTGTTCAATTAGAGGTGCTGTGCCAAAGATTTTAATGTAAGGAGAGATGCCAAGTGTACATATTCCATGATAATGTATATCATTGCAATAAATTTCAAATATATATTGCAGCAATGCAAGAAGAAGTACTCAAACTGATACTACTGGCACTAGAGGATGGCTCCCCTCTCTCCAGGAAAGTCCTTGTCCAGTTTGTTGTTCAGAAAATGGAGGTTCAATACCCACAGGCCTCGAAGACGGCCATAGGACATGTTGTTCAGCTGCTATACAGAGCTTCATGTTTCAAGGTAAGTGATTGTTTGGGAGTGGCTCTTTCCTGCAATCTGAGGATGAATCAACAAGAGTTTGGTGTATTGGATTTCTTCAGATAAAAGATTGGGTAATATTCTTGGTATGAAAGATCCGGAAACCCTAAAGGTGCATGGTATCATTTTTACAGTGATCATGATAACTTTTAGTAATCATATAGTCTCTGAAAGCCAAAGGCTAGATTGCATACATTTTGTTTCATAATTCAACTATTATTGCTATCTTGCCATTCAACTTTCTCAGTTAAAAATTAATCATGGTTGTCATTTTTTCCAGTGGAAGCATACATTTATTTTGAGATGGAAACAAAAACTGGTCATACACATTTATATGTTCCTCACTGCCAATTATTTAAAGCCTAAGATTCTAAGATTATTTAAAGCCTAAAATTCTACTCTTTTAATATGAATGCCCAATCAACAAGAGACATTTTTACTAAAATAACATATCTCATTTCTAATTTTGACCTTGAGTTATTCATGCATAACAGAGTTTTGATCCTGAAAATACAAATGTAGCCTTACTGTATCATTATTGGAAATAAGAACATTGTACTATGTAATTTTGATGATGCCAAAATGAACCATTATACAATGGCTGCCTATATTTATCAGCATCAGAATTTGGCATGGAACTGATTGTTATCCTCCTTTTGCATTGGATTAGAACATACATGTTGTTATCAAGGAATTATCGCTAACAAACGGTTAAAGTTGTCACACTTCGAAAAACATCTTGCTTCAATGAATTTGTTGTTTTGTTGCACTGAAATAAATAAATACTTTCTGACGGATTACAATACTTGTATTTTCCTAAATGTTCATTACTATGCTATTTCAGGTCACAAAAAGGAACGAAGAGTCCTCGCTGATGGAGCTAAAGGAAGAGTTCCGAATATATGACAGTTTACGACGAGAGCATGATGCTCAGATTGTGCAGATCGCGACAGAGGCAGGGTTGAGGATTGCCCCTGACCAATGGTCTTCATTGCTCTATGGGGATGCCATACACAAGTCACATATGCAGTCTATTGTTGATAAAGTAGGTTTCAGACCACAGTAATCAGAATGATTTCCTGGATTATTTGATAAATCTTCTTATTTTATTCTTCAATTTTTCCTTTTACATATTTGATTGCAAGTATCATAAAGGGAGATAGTAGTCTTGTTTTCAATATGATATATTGCCAAGTTGGCAAATGCTTCCTACCAAGGAACAGATATCATTTATGTTCAATGTTATATTTTCAGCTTCAGAATCCAGAGTCATTCAACCAAAGTGTTGATGAGCTGATGATAGTTTTACAGAGGTCCAATGACCCTGGAAACTTGACCCGATTACATGAGTACTTCAGGCTTCTAGCCAGTGTTGACCCTAGCCCTGGTAAGTACTTCAGGCTTCTAGTCAACATTGACCCAAGCTCATTCAAGTTCTTCAGGCTTCTAGCCAGTGTTGACCCTAGCCCTGGTACTTCAGGCTTCTTGCCAGTATTTACCCCAGGCTTGGTAAGTACTTCAGGCTTCTAGTCAACATTGACCCAGCTCTTTCAAGTTCTTCAGGCTTTTAGCCATTGTTAACCCTAGCCCTGGTAACCCTTCTAGCCAATATTGACCCTAGCCCTGGTACTTCAGGCTTCTAGCCAATATTGACCCTAGCCCTGGTACTTCAGGCTTCTTGCCAGTGTTGACCCTAGTCCTGGTAAGTACTTCAGGCTTCTAGTCAACATTGACCCTAGCTCGTTCAAGTTCTTCAGGCTTTTAGCCATTGTTAACCTTAGCCCTGGTAAGCCTTCTAAGCCAATATTGACCCTAGCCCTGGTACTTCAGGCTTCTAGCCAGTGTTGACCCTAGCCCTGTCAAGTACTTCAGGCTTCTATGTTTATATTTACTTATGTGTGTATCATTTGAAGAATAAATTGAAATATGAGAAATTGCACGTAGAGTGTTTTTCAAATATTTTGTGATGTTTCCATTTCAGAATCTCCTTCTCCATCATGGGAGAACCTTGCATTTGTGCTGCGGGCAATCAAGACAATTATACAAGGCCTAATCCCCTTCATGCAGACTTTGTCGTACAATAGACGTCATGAGCCTTCTTCTTCCCATAATGCAAAGTACAAAACAAATTATTGCCGAGACTATATGGCAAAGACAATGTGCCCAAGAGGAGCTCTTTGTACGTTTGCACACTCCAAAGAGGAATTGGAAAAGTATGTGAATTTGAGTTTTGATATTTTATTGTGTGTACATGTACATGTACAAATTTTGTTTGTCATACAGTGAATGTTAATTAAGAATTTCTTTGCATGGCATCTATAGATTCATTTCAGTTCATTTGACACCTTGGAAAACACCAAATTAAAAAGATGCCAATGTGTTTGATATGCAGAAATTATATATTTCCATATTTACAAATAATAAAGTATGAACCAGATAGTGTAATTTTAGAGAATCTTTGATTTTCTCTGTTTTTATGGAATAAAGTTCTAAAATTAAGGAAGAAACCCTGGACTATTCGACCACATAATATTGATACTTCATCTCGTAGGTACCGTGCTAAGAGTCGACGCATGGGGCCTCGACCACCAGATGCCGCAACATATAACAAGAGGGAGACTCCTGATAGGTCAATATCTGAGGACAGATTAAAAAGAGAAAGTGCAGAGAGTGATGTTGATCATATCTCACATGCTCAAACACCTGTGTAAGTACAGTATATGTACCATATGGCACAGGTTAATACTTCTCTGTTATGCACACTTAGTCCACTGCATTCACATTTAATTTATGAATAATTAGATTTATTGAGAACAATCTTGGGGCTAATTTTTTTACATTTTACTTGTTCAGTAAGGCAGAATCAGATATAGCAATTACTTTTGTGCACCTTCTTAATGGAAATTGTTTCAATTTTAGATTATTTTGGGTTCAAATCATTCAATGTCATGTCTATTTTCTAAAAATACCCCAAGAATATACTTAATTTGAGGAAAACTAGCGATTTTTACAATAATGCAATCATTTGTCTATAAGAATGGTTACCATTTTTATTAAATTGGGAGAATTTAAATATTGTTCCCCCATTTTTGCCCTTTAAATCTTAAATAACTTCACCAATTGCTAACATGTCACTGATCTTTTGAGAGATGTTATATTTGAGCTTGTGAGGAATACTAGTACATTGGTAGATCAATTGTACATATTGTTTGCAATTTTGTCACTCCCTATAGATCTGATTCTGCCTTTAATTTTAAACATTCCACATTTTACACATCTTCACACTCTCGGTCTGCGTTCAGACTGTCAGGAGCCAAGTGAACAAAGATGCATTTTACAAGCTGCAGTAGAAACAAGACAGTCATATTGGAATAATTTATAGCTAGACTTATATTGCATCAATTTAATTTCTTCTGTTGCAGGTCTGATATAAAAGCTAATGCTGCTGCAGGGCCCAGACATTTAGGAACTATGGTAGCTACCCCAGCAGTTAGTCAACCCCAAATCTATACAGGACCCAAGATAAGAATGGCATCTGTTGAGAGTCAGCATACGCCTCAACAAGAACAACCCAATGCTTATACATCTGCAGGTAAATGTCAATGACTTTTGATGTAATTGTTCAACTCTCATCTCAAAGTGAAACTACAAAATTGAGAAACAAGTGACTGAACATAGGTTTTAGATATCTTCAGGCCATATATCAGTGAAAGACCTGAGTAAAGTTAAAAGTTAATGATAAAGCCATTTGTAATATGTAATTTTTGTAAGTTTTTAACAGGACATTTTTGACCCAATCCTTTAAAAGAAGTGTGAATATTTTACAGCCATGGGTAAAAGAATTGCTGCAACTCATACGCCAAATCGTCCTTTACTAGCGCCAACTGAAGGTGTGGTACATCAACAACGTGTGGGAACAGTCATTCCCCAGGGAGCAATGGTAGCCCGTCCACAGGCTGTACAGATGGTGCCACAGGGTATGGTTCCAGGTCTTCCCCAAGGGGCAGTTGTACAACCAGGAGCTTTTGAATTTGCACAACGGCCCCCGACCCAGCAGGTGATAGTGGATGCCAATGGACAGTACACTCAGGTATGTGCAACCACCTGTATATGAAACAGGGGCCCACTACTAAACTCTGACCAAAACATATGTTCTTGAGATATTGCAGTGCTCAGGCTCAGATTCAGAGCAGCGCTTGCATTAGGTTAGAAAATTTGTGAGTCCCAAGGACGCAATTTTTTTAAAAAAGTGTGTCCTTTGAAAAAAAGTGTGTCCCTTATTTCTAGCCTGTTTTGAGGTATAACTTTATTTTAAAAGCATTTTTTACCAAAACACCTTTCAGTTTTTGATTTCTTGCCGCGAATTTAAAACGGAAGTAAACGTTAAGTACGGACTGAATAAATGCATGTTCGTTCATTCGACAGTGAATACATTTTATTTCATGAATAACCTAATATTTGTGTCTGAATAGGAAAAACTGTGGCGTGTCATGGTTTCAAATCTAAAAATAAACAAAGTCGAAAAAATTCGAGAGAATCATGATTATTTGTAAATATTCAACATGTTGAGCCTTATTTACGATTCAAATAAAGGTGAGAGATCATAATTATTTGTTTTTGTTAGGTATCGTTGTAAACACATTGTAGTATAAGCAGGAAGTCTGGCTTCAGGCTGAAAAAGTAGAGGTCTTGGGTTCAAACCCAGGTCACAGCACTTCTTGTGATTTGTCTTTGACCTATGACTGCTGACCTATACCGGCAATTACTAGAGTGCTGCTAACTCGATAAAAGGCTGGCGCTGGCTAGAATTGTCTATGGTTCTTGCCAGGATAAAGATACCAGTTCTTCAACTCGACAATGGGAAGAACTGCTCTACCTTAGTGACTAATATGTCATGATATGACATCTAAAGAGTCAATAAAAGATATATATATTGACCTAAAAATATTTTGCATTCAAAAAACTGAAATATTTTCATTTTTGCATCCTCCAAATTATTTTTTGAGTCCTTAACATGTACGGGACGCCGTTAATGCAAGCCCTGGATTCAGAGTAATAGCCAATATCACTTATAAGAACAAATTCTTTGCTTTTTTGCAAGGGTTAAACGAGGTCAACCCAAACTTCAATTTCAAATTCATCCAGGTCTGGCTGTTCCTATTGTAAACATTCTCCCTCTTAATCTCTTATGAAGCTTCATGTTCCCATAGTTCATATATCCATATATCCTTCAATATGAGCCAGCTAATGCATTCTACCAACATAACAAATTCCCCACCAATTTATTTTTGAGAATTACACAATCTGATTCTACAACATTTTAATACACATAACATTGTGTTCAAATCTCATATATGGCCATTAGCCAAAATTAAGAGGTAATACTACATTAACAATCAAGACATTTCTAACATGCCCATGCTCACCTCCAATCACATGACCCCTGACATCATCGGCAACATCATTAACTCTCATGAACTATGACAGTGGCTTTGCAAACAGAGGGTCATCCTTTGGTCCATTTTTATGTTTCAAGACCCTTTTTTCTGTCCCATATCATTTTTGATTGAATAGCTTTCATCAGAAATATTTTCAATGTTGAGAGTATATGTATGTTTGGAGTTCTTTAATCATTATACAGTGTTCATATATTTTCTGTAACTCATGAGTGTACAAAATATGGTCAGTTTTCTGAACTGTTGTAACTTACATTGAATTATTGTTTACCTGAAATTGCACATTTTCTAGGAATTGTAAGTTACGATTGTACAAAAATGGACCTTAAGCTAACACTGTTCTTGTTTATTAATGCTCAATGCTTCAGACTTCCAATTATAATTTCTGCAATAATTTTGTTTTACTTTTCCTTGTGTGATTTTCAGATTGGCCTGCCAAGTTTTACACAAACAGTTCTTAACTCTTATCAGTCTAGACCATTCACTGGAATTGCTCCTATTGTCTGCTATTTTTAATAACATGTTTTGAACATAGCATACTTAGCAGACCCCAGGAAAATTCCAGTTTTATGGGTATGTTAGATGGTGGGATATTTGTGGGATTTCATGTCAAAATAAAAACTGTTTTTTGTAACAAGTAAAAAAGATCATATTTTTGGCAAATTCACCCTTTCGGATGGTTAACAAATGGTTAACAAATTTTTGCTAATTGACTCAAAACAATACTGACTGTACAATGAATTATTTAAGCATCCTTTAACTAACTATTGAATAAAGTAAAAATCAGATCAGATATGTTTTTTATCCTCTCATGAATATTGATATCTGCACTCTCCCTTGCTACACTTGTATGTGTGCAAATATCAATATCCATGCATGGATTAAAATCATATCACTCATAGATCAAAGGATATCACTCTATATACAGTATATCTAATAAAAATTAAAGTCCAAAATATTTCTCAGAGAAACACATGGATAAGTATTTAATATCTTTTGAACTTAACATTCTCGATTATCCGGAATGATCCTTTCTTTTTGAGTCAAATACAAAATGAAAGATTTTTGATAGGACTGTTATTTATCTTAATTTTTGTTAATTAACCTCTTCAATACCAGAGCATTTTTCATTTGTGCTTGCTTTTGCCATATTTGTAACTTAATATACAATGTTTGATGTTCATTTTGGTAACAAAGAACAATGAAAAATTACACATATCTTTATCCATAATTTGTGAAAATTGAACAAAATTTCTCAATGTATTAGCCATTTTAGAGAGAAATTCTGTCACTGGTATATTCTGCACTCTGGGTATTCAAGGGGTTAAACATTTATAAAAAGGTATTAATCATTAATTTCTAAAAGAAAGAATCCTTACAGTTCTTACTGTATGAAAGATGGCTGTACCTTTATGTACTTTAAACTTGTATATTTATCGGAATTCACTGCTAATTAGCTGGCTGTACCAACAATGTTTTTGTTCTGCACGATTTATAATGTGTTGATGAGAAAAAATGTTACAATGGTCAAACTCTATCTATTTATGTTAAAACATAAATTAGAGATATCAGCGTTAAGAAGTTATGCATTTGAAGTTATGCCTAGAATTGCCTAGAATACAGGGTGATCATTAAGTTCTGGGAATTGGTCTTAGTGATCACCCTGTTAGGCATAATTGGATGGTTAACAGCGAAAGAAATTTAAGAAACAGAAAAAGTACTTCTTTCACATTATACAGAAGAGATGTGCAAATTGAAAAGGAGAAATCTAAATACAACGACCATTGTGACATTTTTATCTTGCCTAGAACCCCAAGTAAACAAGGCCAATGATGGTATTATGCTTGATTTCAACAGTCTGACTCAAATCAAGCCCTTTTGGACTTTGCATCAGACTGAAATGACTCACTTCTTCCAGTCTCTGTATTACTTTTGTTGGTCAGAGACTCCAGCTAATAATGACTAATGAGTCTTGAAAGCCATAAATCCTAATATAAAGTCTGGTGCAAGCTCACAGAAATACATCAAAAATAAAAATTGACCTTTGTTTATGAATGGCGGTTCGACACAACATTTCTTTACGCTTGTGAGTGAGGGATCATCTCAAAGGTTTCACAGTACATCCTACATAGACGACCTTCTATTGTGATCCTTGAGATGATCCCTTACATTGATTTTGCTGACTGGGGTGTGTGTTTCTAGGGTGACGTTGCAATGGGTCGGCTTGTTCATTACCAACCTGATGGATCCTACTACACTGTCAATGTGAGTGCTCTTTCCTTAGCCACCTTATAGCTTTAAGGGGTCTTGTTAAGGTATCATTATAGCCAAAGTTGATTTTAGCTTTAAGGGGTCTTGTCAAGGTATCATTATAGCCAAAGTTGATTTTAGCTTTAAGGGGTCACGTCAAAGTATCATTATAGCCAAAATTGATTTTAGCTTTAAGGGGTCTTGTCAAGGTATCATTATAGCCAAAGTTGATTTTAGCTTTAAGGGGTCACGTCAAAGTATCATTATAGCCAAAATTGATTTTAGCTTTAAGGGGTCACATCAAAGTATCATTATAGCCATTTAATTTTTTGAGGAGGAAGTGCATATATGAAAAGTTGAATAAAAGGCAGATCGGCATTTTCAAATTTCATTACATGAGGGAAAAGAAAGGGTCATATTAGCCAAAATAGTACAAATTTGGATATCATCACTTGGCATGAGATGTAAACCAATATACCATAGGCTAATTTTAATTCTTAAAGCTGCTTCATTTTTGGCATAAATGATATTTTAATTTGATACCTTTGTCTAATAAAGTCATTTAGTTATTTATATAGCTATTATAAAAGTGGCCAATTGTCTTAAAATACACCAAATTTTTAAAAATGCAAAACAGTTACCACTTGCAGCAGTCAAAAGAATATTGAAACAATCTTAAAATGTTACTAATAAATACATGTTTTTATTTGTAAAATTTTAAGATTGTTTCTCTTTAAAATACAATTACAACTTATACACAACAGTTGTAAGTAAGTAAATTGTATCTTAAAGATCAAACACTGTGTAAAACATTCCTGATTTTTAGAATTCGATATTTACAAAAATTGAATTAAATGACATGAAACTGCTTTAATGAGCCAGCTCAAATATGTTAGAATGCCACTTTAATTAGAATTCCACATTAATTAGAATGCCACTTTAATATTGCCTACATGTACAGTAAAACCTGGATATCATGACACCTCTGCCATCCCAACATATCTCAATGTGAATAGTTTTTCTTGGTCCAAGTTTTGTAGTATACCATGATTTACATATTGAGAAACCTTGAAATATGAACACCTGCTCATCTGAACACTTTTGACTAGTCCAAGTGATGTTCAGATTAGACAGGTTTTACTGTATGTCATGAGAGCTTCTTTAATTATCATTTAGCTTTGGTATGTTGAGCATATACTAACTGTGTGTTTTTCTAATGAGTTTGAATGATGTTTCATTTCTCATCTGTGTGATTGTTGTCTGGGATTTAACATTCCTGGAATGTGGAGTATTGTATTTACTGGAATCACACCAGTAAAATCAATTCACCTAATAGTGGTGTGATACCTTTACTGACAAAGATGTCTTATGCAATTGTTGAAAGTATTCCACAAAAAGTGATTTATAGGGACTGCCATTGAGGGTTGAGGGTTATAGCGCAAATTATTTTCCATCGTATCCATCGACAGGTGAATCTTACTATGCTAGTGTTCATCATGTCCTTGTGTTGTCCCCTCCCTAGTGATTAGGAAAATTCATGCTCTGGGCCATGTTAAAGCTAATAGTAATTAGCTTAGAGTATTCTCTAACATTCCCAGTGTTGGGATTCATTTCAATGGTCATTGCAAATGATTACTAATGCCTTTGTCACATTTGCTCCAATTTTCTCTACCGCGCCCGGCCGATTGAGTATTTTGTTCAAAATTGAACAAAATACTCAATCGGGTGGGCGCCGGCCGATGGATCGGAGCAAATGTGACCAAGGCATTAAATGAGAAGATCTTGAAAAATACCCCAAGTGTACTCAGTCTTCATCAAATGAACGAAATACCCTTAATTATGAATTCAACGAATTGAACCAATTTGTTTTTCCACAGGTCTCTCTACCTGCTGTACACAATGGTAACATGCTACCTAAGACGGGCACCCTCGAGGTCCTACATCAAAAGAAGCAGGAGATAGAGTCTCAACTTCAGAAGTTAGAGCAGAAACCACAAAACAATCCACCCGCAGAACAGTACCAAAGTGGGCACCCCCAGGCTTCAAGAGCCATGCCTCCAGGAACAGAAAGACGTGGGTCAAAGGTGGATTCTAACACACATAATCAGTCGCCTTTGTTAAATCAGGAAGATGTTATGACGACAGATGAATGTGTACGTTCATTTAGCGATAGTCAGATGAGCAGCCATCTTGTGACATCATTACAGGCGCAGCTACAGATTTCAGGTATTATAGCTGTGATATTGAACCGTTAAATTCAACATTCTTTGTTGAGAATTTGAAAATTACCTTGCACCAGAACAGAAATGAGAAATCTATTCACTGAGATTGGCAATAATTAAATATATCTTAAATTTTCAGGCAGCCATCTTGTCTTTTTCAAAGTTTTTGTTGCATTTCATACACTTGTTAGACGGGACCAAGTTATACAGTTGATCAACTTCTTGATGACCATTTTGCTTTCTGGCATCTCATTTTAGAAGTTTTGAGACAATTCTTGTCATTGCCATATCAGAAAAAAACAGCAAGTCAGATTTCCTTCATATTTGTACACATGTTATAGGCACTGATTAACTTTTGAGTGACCATTTACTAATTTAGTGTTTTGATTCTGTTAACATCATGCTAATCTTTGTCTTTATTTATTCCTTAATTGTATTTAGAGAGCAGGGGCAATGAACCATCATGCACAACATCATCCAGGGGCAATGAACCATTCTCAAGTACATCTACAGTTGACTCTGCCCTTGAATTTATGAGTAACGAAGCCCCCGATTATCAGCCATGGACAAGCGGAATTGATGCAAGTAGGATACTTGGCACAAATAGTTCTCGGGGCTCAAAGGTATGTATCTCATACTCAGATTAGGTTGGGATCATGGCTGGAATATTTGGTAAATATGGTCAGTTTAATGCCTTTCAATTTATTCATGACAATAGGATGATTTAGGATCTGAATTTATTATTAGGGATACCTTATAAAGCAATTCAATGCTGCAAACTTGAATGCATTTAATTACACATGAAAAAATGTTCCAGTTCAGATCTAATCATTCTGTAATCTCTATGTTCCAGGATTCAACCTTGACCTCAAGTGCGAGAGAGCCAAGGACTTTGTGGAAGACTGTATCTTCAACGCGGTAAGTACAAATGGGCAGTACAAATAAGAGAAATGTGATATTATTTCAGTTTCACTCTTTGTTCCACTGTACTTATTTTACATTACCTTAACTAAAATTCCAGTGACAGATGTATTGACACATGACACACACCATATAATGAATTAGAATTACAATACCATATTTGGAAAGGTCGAAAGATGAGGGTGAAGGTCAGATCCATAGAACATTTATTCTTTTGTTGATTGGACCTTGATAAAAAGAATTCACATTTCATATCATCATTTGTTGTTTTACCAGGTCATCAATATTGTTTGAGTCGGAAGATGATTTCATCCCATTCAACCCTGATGCTCCGTTTGTGTCTCGCTACGGCCCTATCTCAAGACACGCCAAGGCTAAGATGAAGTACACTGAGCCTGTCCAAGTCACTGCTGACCTGGTATGTTTAAATCACAGGGCAGAAATACTTATGATGACACGTGGGTTGATGTGACACCAGGAGGCGGATAATTTTAGCAATTCACTTTTATATCAGAACATCTTTTTTCAACCATTTTTGATTTCAGTAACAAATGAAGATCTAGTAAGATTTCATATTCTTTTTGCAAAAATATGGCTCTCCCCTGGTTCAGAAAGCTATGTCAATATTACCCTAAAATGAAACCGATTATCATTAACTTAGTTGTTTTTTTCAGGAGCTTGATACAAAGCCCACTATGTTGGTATCCAATGAAAGGCCACATGCTATTGCTAGTCAGGTTCCAACATATTTTCCGATTCAACGAGTTGAAACAGGAGGTGAACAACCACAATACACCATGCACATACCTCATAATGCTATTCTACCATACAACGCACCCCAGATTCAACCCATGGACATGACGCAACATGGGAATGATGATCATAGTGCAAAGTAAGTTTTATTATAAATAGTTAATCGGCATTTGTGAATTGAAATAATATGAAATAGAATGTAAAACAACTTAGAGGGAAAAGGGAAATTGTAAAATTATTATCAGATCTAGATAAAACATAAGAAGACTGCAGTATAATATGGTTTAGACTTTCCATGGGGTTGTAACTGATCATGTTTTTCAGGATAAACCAAATGAATGTGGCAGGTGTAGGTGGGTCAACAGCTGAGACAGAACATATACGTTATGAAGAAGAGTTGACAAAGAAACAATTAACACAAGAGTTGAATCAAGTAAAGCAAAGCATCAACATTGAGAAGCACCAGATTCAGCAACAGCAGACAGTAAGTGTTATTGTGATGAATATGTAAGCTGTTTGTCAAGTTTTGATGGACAGACGAAAACTGCAATTCGTTGGAATGCTGACATCTATTTTATGGATATCCATACTGGCAATTTACACCATTTGTTTCGGCTCCTATCTTTGCCTCTGTTTTTGAGAAATAAATTTTTTTCACAATGTGGACCTTCTCAATGTTGCCAATCTTAATTTTCATCTGAGTGTAAATAAGCAGTTGCTTGAAAAAAGATATACATAAATTGAAATATTGCAAAATTAATCATTTTGTTATTTTCAGTCAATGGTAAAAATTGTCAAAATCTAATTTTTATATATTTGGTTTTCGTTTTTTTAACTTGTGGCTTATTTTAAATGTAGATGAACAATATGCAGGCCATGTACCAGACCCCATATGGGGGAATAGTAATCCCTGCTCAAGATGACCATGGTATGCCTGTTCAGCCTGCGGAGAATGAGACATACATGATGTCTGCTCGTCAACCCCAGGTGTTTCATCAGAGTCCGGTCCCTATGTATCAACAGCCTGTGAGTCATTTTTGTTCATTCGTTCATTGTTTATTTTTTATTTATTTTTTTTTTGTTTGTTTATTTGTTTGTTTTTTGTTATGTCACCACCAAAAGTGGTGACATATTGTTATGGTCTCCGTTTTTTTTGCGACGGCGGTTGGCGTCCGGCGGTTGGTGGTTGGTGTCCGGCGGTTGGCGTCCGGCGGTTGGTGTCCGGCGTCTGTAACAATTTCTTACAACTTCCTATAACTTAACAAATACTGTCTCAATTTTTTTCTAAATCATCTACATGTTCTCAGAAGTTCAAATCTGACTTTAGATTTGACCTTCAATGACCTTCTCAAGGTCAAAAAGGTCTTTTTTCAACTTGCTTCACATTGACTAAATTTTTTTTCAAAATCATCTGCATGTTCTCAGAAATTCAAATCTGACTTAAGATTTGACATTTGACCTTCAAATCTGACTTTAGATTTGACATTTGACCTTCAATGACCTTCTCAAGGTCAAAAAAGGTCAAAAAGGTCTGTTTTCAACTTGCTTCAAATTGACTAAAATTTTTTTTCAAAATCATCTACGTGTTCTCAGAAATTCAAATCTGACTTAAGATTTGACTTAAGATTTGACATTTGACCTTCAATGACCTTCTCAAGGTCAAAAAGGTCTGTTTTCAACTTGCTTCAAATTGACTAAAATTTTTTTTCAAAATCATCTACGTGTTCTCAGAAATTCAAATCTGACTTTAGATTTGACTTAAGATTTGGCATTTGACCTTCAATGACCTTCTCAAAGTCAAAAAAGGTCAAAAAGGTCTTTTTTCAACTTGCTTCAAATTGACTAAATTTTTTTTTCAAAATCATCTACATGTTCTCAGAAATTCAAATCTGACTTTAGATTTGACATTTGACCTTCAATGACCTTCTCAAGGTCAAAAAAAGGTCAAAAAGGTCTGTTTTCAACTTGCTTCAAATTGACAAAAAATTTTTTTCAAAATCATCTACGTGTTCTCAGAAATTCAAATCTGACTTAAGATTTGACTTAAGATTTGACATTTGACCTTCAATGACCTTGTCAAGGTCAAAAAAGGTCAAAAATGTCTGTTTTCAACTTGCTTCAAATTGACTAAAAATTTTTTGCAAAATCATCTACGTGTTCTCAGAAATTCAAATCTGACTTTAGATTTGACTTAAGATTTGACATTTGACCTTCAATGACCTTCTCAAAGTCAAAAAAGGTCAAAAAGGTCTTTTTTCAACTTGCTTCAAATTGACTAAATTCTTTTTTCAAAATCATCTACATGTTCTCAGAAATTCAAATCTGACTTTAGATTTGACATTTGACCTTCAATGACCTTCTCAATGTCAAAAAAGGTCAAAAAGGTATTTTTTCATCTTGCTTCAAATTGACTAAATTTTTTTTCAAAATCATCTACATGTTCTCAGAAATTCAAATATGACTTTAGATTTGACTTTAGATTTGACATTTGACCTTCAATGACCTTGTCAAGGTCAAAAAAGGTCAAAAAGGTATTTTTTCAACTTGCTTCAAATTGACGAATTTTTTTTTTCAAAATCATCTACATGTTCTCAGAAATTCAAATCTGACTTTAGATTTGACATTTGACCTTTAATGACCTTGTCAAGGTCAAAAAAGGTCAAAAAGGTCTTTTTTCAACTTGCTTCAAATTGACGAATTTTTTTTTTCAAAATCATCTACATGTTCTTGGAAATTCAAATCTGACTTTAGATTTGACATTTGACCTTTAATGACCTTCTCAAGGTCAAAAAAGGTCAAAAAGGTCTGTTTTCAACTTGCTTCAAATTGATCAAATTTTTTTTTCAAAATCATCTTCATCTTTCAGAAGTTCAAATTTGACTTTACAAGTTCTCAGAAATTCAAATCTGACTTAAGTTTGAACTCATAATATTGTGAGCAACTAGGTGGTGACATTTTGTCATGTTAATGCCTTGTTTGTTTGTTTGTTAGTTTGTTATACTTGGTGTCCATAAATTCTCTTTACAATTTCAATACAAAATCTAAACCAAGAAATAAAATATAAAGAGACTGTATGGACACCCTGTATTTGTTTTATCAAACCTAAAAGAATATTTAATATTGTCATCATCTAGACCCGATTAGATTTTAGGGATGCTGGAAGAATTAATAATCATTAATTAATTATTAACCCCCCATTTGAAACATCAGTGGCTCATTGTTCATTATTTGAAACACAGATTTAAGTATTTGATTTATTTTCTTGCATTATACAGATTGTTAGTTCTTAAGTAATACAAAATTAAGAAAATATTCGAAGAAATAGAGTGGTTTCTGTAAATAAATCAAATTGGTATTCGATCTAAGATAAACTTGGGCTTCAAGGGGACATTAAATTCAAAAGAATAAACTTAAAACAGAATATATTTTTTGTCAAATTTTTTTTCATTAGATGCATTTGATTGGTCAATGCTAGAATATTTTTTTCATTTTGAGTATGCTAGCCAAGTCGTAACTACCAGAATTTTTCTTTAGGTGGAATATGCTTACACTGGAAATGGTGATATGGTTTTGGTGAATCATGCTCAGATGATGCAGCAGTTTGACCCTGATCAGGCCCAGAATATGGCAGTTCATGATGCCAGGAATAGAGGCTACATGCAACATTAGGGCCAGGAATAGAGGCTATATGCAACATTAGGGCCAGGAATGGAGGCTACATGCAACATTAGGGCCAGGAATGGAGGCTACATGCAACATTAGGGCCAGGAATGGAGGCTACATGCAACATTAGGGCCATGAATAGAGGCTTCATGCAACATTAGGGCCAGGAATAGAGGCTACATGCATTATTAGGGCCAGGAATAGAGGCTACATTCAACATTAGGGCCGGGAATAGAGGCTACATGCAACATCAAGGGCCAGAAATAGAGGCTACATGCAACATTAGAGCCATGAATAGAGATTCTGCTACATTGTAGGTCACCCTTACAAATGTGGTTATAGCCATAAATATGTCTAGCAAATGAAGATAGAGGGAGCTGTATGGAACATTGGGGCAAGATTTGCATAAAGTAGAGCTTCTATGATAAAATGGGAGACGAGGTAGCTCAGGTGGCCCTTAGGACAGATAACTATGGTAACTAATTATTGTATCATTGGGTCAACAGGTAACCATGGTTACCCATATATCTCTGTATATCTGACAATCATCCATAGTCATTAATAGTTAATAGTCTTCTCGACCACTGGGCAAATTCCTCTTGCCTTAGTGGAACTAATGATTAAAAGAAGGACATAGGGTAGATCCATATCATAATAAAACAAAAATTTAACCCCTTGAAGATCTCCTGATTTGCCCCTCACCAAAAAGCTAATGAGTAGATGCATGTCCTTAATGTGGCACTGGGATAGAGACTAAATGCAACTTGGTCACCCCTAGCCTAAATAAAACAGTGGCACCTATAATTTGTTTACTAATAGTACTTGGCCACTGAACCATATGTTGTTTATGTTGGAGGTCAGAGCAGCAAAATGCTGTAGCTTGGGCAAATGTGTACTGGAGCAGTGCCTGAGAGAACCTGCTAGATATATACAGGGTGCCTAAGTCTGGAAAACTGACAAAAAGTCAGGGAATTTCCTCAAAATTGATTATAATGGCGAGGACATTTGAAGTTGTGAAAATGTTGTGGGCAGCCCTTAGATTTATGTTCTGCAGTTGTAAATAAGAAAGAAGTGTAAATTAGTTTACTGAAAATATATATTATTTAGCTTATGCTTTATCAAAGTGCATCACTTTTAATAATAACACTTAATATTATGAGTACATTTTCTAGAATATTTACAGTAAATAACATGAGTAAAACCTGTGCAAGTGGAATGCCTTGTATATTAATAGTGATGTTCCACTTACATAAGTCCATTTTAATATATAAAGTCAGTGGATCATAGTAGTTATAAACTGTTCCACTTGCAAGGTGGTCCACTAACAGAAGTGTTCCACTCATGTTTTCCATTTATAAAGGTTCATTTTAAAACAAAGTCAATAAGTCCCAGGACTTAAAAAACTAGTCCACCTGCAAGGTGTTCCACTTACATAGATACTCCATTTGACAGTATGTACATATTAACTTGTAAGTATTTACATTAAATGTATTGTAGTAAACGTATTAATCAAAAAGTGCATCACTTTATTTTGGAATAATTCATCATGATTAATTTTAAGAAATACCATATCATGTGAATATGAGTTGAAGAAGTGCATCACTTTTTACAGTAATACCAGTATTAAAATTCAATTTGGTACAATTCAATCAATGTATAGACTACATGTACTTATTAATAAGAAAGTGCATCACTTTAAATGGAAATAATTAATTCTGATTAAATTTTAAGATATATGTGAATATGTGTTGAAAAAGTGCATCACTTTAAATCATTCAATAATACTGTGTATGTTTGACACTATTATATAGTGATGACAGTCTTGAATTCTATTCTGATAAAATGCTGAATAGCCATTCAATGTTGAATTCTATTCTGATTAAATGCTGAATAGCCATTCAATGTTGAATTCTGTTCTGATTAAATGCTGAATAGCCATTCAATGTTGAATTCTGTTCTGAGTAAATGCTGAATTGCCATTCAGTGTTGAATTCTGTGCTGATTCAATGTTGAATAGCCATTCAATGTTGAATTCTGTTCTGATTAGATGCTGAATTGCCATTCAGTGTTGAATTCTGTGCTGATTCAATGTTGAATAGCCATTCAGTGTTGAATTCTGTGCTTATTCAATGTTGAATAGCCATTCAATGTTGAATTCTGTTCTGATTAAATGCTGAATTGCCATTCAGTGTTGAATTCTGTGCTTATTCAATGTTGAATTGCCATTCAGTGTTGAATTCTATTCTGATTAAATGCTGAATTGCCATTCAGTGTTGAATCATGTGCTGATCCAATGTTGATTTGCCATTCAGTGTTGAATTCTGTGCTTATTCAATGTTGAATTGCCATTCAGTGTTGAATTCTGTTCTGATTAAATGCTGAATTGCCATTCAGTGTTGAATTCTGTGCTTATTCAATGTTGAATTGCCATTCAATGTTGAATTCTGTTCTGATTAAATGCTGAATTGCCATTCAGTGTTGAATCATGTGCTGATTCAATGTTGATTGCCATTCAATGTTGATAAGAGCTGAAAAAGTTTGCTTCGTAGAGAAACTGAAGATGCATGTTTCTCACAACATATCATATCAACAAAGTACTTACTGTAAAACTCTGTTATGGATTTCATTGAAAACTGTACATTTTTTATAATGTAATTATACTTTACTATAGCCAGAAAAAGTCAAAGTAATTGTGGTCTTGAAAAATATCTTCTTAATTCAAAAATAGTGGGATGGCAGGGAAATGAAATTTCGATAGTAAGAGGAATAATGCTAGAAGTAAGTCGGGAATTTTCCTCGCTAGTTTTACACTCTCCTGCTATTCTCTAAGCAAAAATCTAAACAAGGATCGTAATTGCAAGGGTACATTGTATCAGTATTGTATAGTCACAAAATGTCAAGCTCCATATTGGAAGCATCAAATAAGAAACTGTATCCATACTGGAACTAAGTTTTTGATACAAATAGAGATTTGAGAATCCATACTGGAAAGATATTTAAAGATGATTTTTGAAATGAAGTCGAGAAAATCCATACTGGATTAAAATTGTAAAACTGGTTTATATCCAGAACGAATGTACAAGTGCAGTATAATTCTGAGAATTTTTCATAGAAAGACTACATTCAATGGACAAGGTGTCATTATTAATATATGTGTAAAGCCTATTAAAGGCCCCATGTAAAGTTTAACCACTAAGGCTTATATTATAGTGTGCCACATGTGGGGTTCCATTTTTAAACACAGTAGTTTCCTTCAATATTGAGAGGGAAGAGATGACATAGTGTATATGTATATATTGCTACTTTGAAAATATAGATGAGTCTCATTTAGCTTCATATATAAAAAAAACAGGATGGTTTGATTTTGTATTTCTCTCGCCTTGTGTCAAATACATACACTTCTGAAAATGATTATACTTTTTGAACTGCTTCTGTAAAGCTCTGCTGTTGTCAATTAGTTAAAACTTTATAGCAATGAAAAATGTCACTGTCCATTTTGTATTGCACCTTTAATCATGCATTGAAAACTATAAATAAAACAGACATTTGGAAAACAGAAACAAAAAATTGTTTGTTTTATTGTTTATTCTTGGTTTAGTATTCCCAGGTTTATTATGCCATATCAAAAAGTCCTTTTCACATTTATTCTTCATCCTTGTATTCTTTAATTAGCCATCATGTTTTTGATTGTATTTTAAATAGATTTGGAATGCAATGAGCAATTACCCAAATGCGAGTAGGTAGTTACCAGTTTCACCACCAGGTGGCTGATTCGGGTCAATTAACATGGCAGGTATATAAGAAAGTTCCCTTAAACTTGAATATTATCAATTTAAGTGGCTCAATTTTCATATAACCCTTATGTGCCTGATACTTATACGAATGAAAATATGTTCAGTAAAGCAAAATATTATCTGTCCACTAAAAGAAAAGATATTTCATTTTTTGTGATTTTATAGCATGGGGTCTATGGGGAATCTCCCCGAGCTAGAAGTCACATTTTCAAAGAAAATTAATTTTTCAAAGTTGATAAACACTTTTTAAAACCACATTTCTAGAAGTAATTTTACATGTAGATTTCAAATATGATATTACTTTGACTGAATTTTGAATTTTTAATGACGTAAATCAAGATTATTTCTACTCGCATCTGGGTTATTGGTGGTCCTGTTCTAGTAATATAGAATAATATAGAATATAGTTTCATAATTACATTTACAAGAATTTAAAGGAAAACATTTGAGATTGAGCTTCTTTATACACAAACTCAACTGTTTTCATAAACCCTCATCATTTGACCAAGGCTAACATTGACTCAAAATCCCCTATATCACCAACAACAGTGATTCAAAACAGCTGAATTAAGGAGGTGTTGTTGCAAAACGAATGTGAAAAATAATTAACCAGATGCCCAGTCCAAGGGAACTAAACTGGAATTGGCAGTTAATATGAATAAATGAAACGTTTAACTCAATTTGACTGATTGTTTGAAATATTGGAACATTGACAAAGATAATTTCAACTTTTTGATTGAAAAAAAAACAATACAAAATTTATTTATAATTATCATAACAAATATTTTATTTTACAGCATACTGTATATGTATACAAAAACGATATATTGCAAATATACTACATCATTTAATAGAATTCATTGAAGCAGTTTGAGTGACCACTTTCCATCTGTACAAAGTCATTTAAATGACTACAGAGGATTATCCACTGCAGAGGCTGGTAAAGAAGGTTCATTCCATTTTTTTTACCTTTTACAAAATGATCAAAAAACAGATTCACAGAGTCAAAAACAGAATTTTAAGAGTGTTATTAGCATTTGCTGTTTAGGCATTCAAGATTATGTTATGGGGATTAATTGTATAGTTTCTAAATAGCTGAATAATGCTGACATAATAGATGTCACCCTTGTTTGTCTTTGATTTTCTTGGGCCAAACCTCCAGACCTCTAAAATTTGCGAAATATAATAGCCTCGAAATTCCTAGATTTCTAATTCACGAAATTGGAATCTTACAGCAAAATCACATTTTTTTAAAACTTTTTCAACTCCTCAATTTTTACTCCTGTCAAACTTAGCTTCCAATAATTACAATTCCTCAAACTAAAATTATCTACAGAAATATGAACTCATGTAAATGCTGTAGATTGTAATTAGATGCTCCATCATTAACATATTATGGTTACTAAGAGCATTGTTGTATTCAAAATATCAGTTATATACACAGTTATATACATCAACATACATTATAATATATACATCCTATCCTAGTAGTTTCCTGTGAAGGTACTGTGATACTGCAATATCAATTGAAAAGAGAATTCGATAACACTGACTATACTTACTTTCACATGTGATTTAGATAATAACCAAAACAAGTCATGTATTGCTTTATCTTTTGAGCAAAACAAAGAAAATCCATTATTTCTTCTAATTATCTTAATACAAACATACAAATTGCCATAAAACACCTCTGACTTGTACTGTGAAATAAAAAATAAATAACAAATAAGAACTTTGTTGTAACCTGTAGTTAGCACCAGATCTACCAGTTATTTAGACTGGTACTATACACATGCCACCATTATACGGCAAACTGCTCAAGCTCACAATAATTGAGTCATTTATAAATGATTGCAGTTTTTATCCATGTACCTATTTTACCCATTTATACTGTATCCTTATGGTATAATATCACAGGATGTTTGACCTCATAGTACCATTGGGGTTTGGATTATGGCTCATGAAAGACAGTATTCAGATAGAAAAAGAAAAGACCAAAAACAGGCAAATGAATATGAACTGGATATCAAATGAAATATTACATAAATAAGTCCAATTCAACTGTTTCATAGGATTGGGCATATTGAGGATTCTTCAACATAATAGATTAAGGTTGAGTATAGTTGAATAAGGTTGAGTGAAATGTATTGAGTATATAGTTGAGTTTATAAATTATAAAATTATTCCATTGGGCCATGTAATGCCGAGTATGGTAGACAGGTTTGCAACTATGTGTTCCCATTGTACACTCTGTATTTAGCCTGATTATTTATACCAAATTATATAAGGTTGAAGATATGACTTCATGACTTATGATTTCTAACTTCCTAAACCACCCAATGTGAGGCTTAACATATGGTCCAATGGGAGAGTTAGTGTTGCCAAACCTTTGGAGGGGAGTGTATATATACATATCTATATTATATGATATGGTCCATGTATTTAACAGGGTGCTCCTAATGTAAGTGTTCAGCTATATAATTTTTGGTCCCCCTGGCACTAGTGAGGAACCTTCTAAGCTTCCTTGGTTTTGTGAGAATCTTCAGTTTTTTCAGTTCGTCTTTTTTCAACCTTGAATCCACTCCCAGAACCTATCCTTGCCCTCTTGTGTACTCCACTCTGTAAAGTATAAAAGATATAACATGATTCAATTGTTACTGACTTCAAATAGTCAATAGCTTAGTCTTTGAGAAAATAGAAATTATATATTTGCTATGAACAGACCAGGCCCACTTTTGCCAAGGGTGTTCAGTTTTCAAAGAATTCCAGGGAGGTTCACATTTGAAACCTTTCATTTGAAAAGTACTCAAAATGGTGAAAATTGCATGATTTTGAAGGGGAGGTTCACTCTGACTGATAAACAGTATAATAGATGATGTCATTTTTTATTACTCCTATTGTGATGAAACATTCATCCTAAATCAATGTGAAAAAATACTGATCAGTAGTGCCAATGTCAACATTTCCCCTCATGTTATTGCCACTATTATTTTTGTGACCAGCATTCAGCATCTGTAGTAAGTGCCTTATGTGTCCTTTTGATTTACTGACTTTAAATCTATTTCTGAGTATTAGGCTACATGTTTGCCTTGATGAAGTATCTTCTATTTTTAAGATGGTTATAACACACCTTGAAACCACTTGATTATTTATCTGTCCTGTCACTATGTGGTGTGTCATTTAGGAAGATCTCGTGGCCAATCAAAAGTGACCAAAAAAATTTGTTTCACAAGCAGTCATCTAACTAACCCATCTCTATCCTATACAATGTAATAATACACCCTAAAAGAAACAAACACCTACCTCTGCTTTACTGGAAGCATTGGATAACTGTGATACAATCTTGTGTTTTGGAGTTCTGGATGATATAATTGTTGTTGCTATGGAAACCTCATCCTCTTCATCTTCATATTCATCATCTTCATCTGAAAATATTATTTAATTGATGTTTTTTTGATAATATTTAATTCCATGCAAATCTTACATTGAAATCTTCGGCACAGAATTTGCAAAGCAGATTTTATTGTATTGAGAGAATATCCAAAATTGCCATCTTAATGCTACCTAGCATGCTTAAAAAGTTCTGGACTTCCATACTAATACTAATCTCTGAACATTGGAAAGATATAGATGAGAATTTGAAGACACAATTTTGGTATGGAAAATCCAAAAAGACACCTTAAAATTTATTCAGTATGCTTTATATAGAATTAAATGATGATACTACCCTTGACACCAGTAGCAGTTTTGGAAGAATCGGTCAGACGCAATACAAGTGGATGTACAAATTGACAAACCAAGGCCAGCATTATCCCCACATTATCATCATTATTGGGGCCTTAAGAGTAATAATAGAGAATCATTACTTACCTATATCAGAGATGAAAAATTTGGCACTCTGTGGCTCTTCTATCTGTGAGACCATGGCTGCTAGATCTGTAAATGCTGCATTGGCTGGAACCTGCGTCTAAAGTTAGAAAAACATTTAAATTAAAATAGTGAGGAAAATAATGGCATTTTATTGGTACATCAATAGTCAAAATTTTCACCAAATATGCCACAACCCTTTAAACCAAGAAAATGTGCTTCATAATACAAATAATACAAACAAATGTTTTATAGCCTCTGGAGCTTGTGCTTACTGGTACGGCTATTATTTATTAATTTTGAAATATACTATTTATAATAGTGACACTCTAACACTTAATCAGGTGCATCCCACACTAAATGATAGTCTCAAGGACTGTTTAGATTCTCTGTCAAAAGAGATGAGGCTATCCTGCCCTCCAGACATATGTGCCCCATTGCCAAGAATAACATCCCACTTTGTGTCAGTGCTATACTAACCTGATGGCACTTTGGTTTGATTTTGTCCCTTGACTTTTCTTTGAACATATCTTTGATGAGGCTAGTATCTTTAAGTGCTCCAAACAGGGTCTTCCCATGGTTGTAGCCCACTTCCTGTATGGCAATAAGATTGAAAAAAATTATTTTAAATGCTCCACATATATATTTTAAAATGGACAGTTTAGTATTCATTTAATACACTGTACATAACAATAATTTACAAGTTTGTTTTCACACTGGTGTCTAATAACTGACATTAAAGAGGAATTAACTTAATCATTTTACCATATATTAAAAAATATATATACACAAAATTAAAAGTACTGGTTTAGACTTCAGCATTCTAAAATTTCAAATTAAATAACACAGTTTTAATATTAGAAGAAAACAATTCTACACTAAGGCTGGAACACGTACATTTATTTCATCAAAAGCACCAAATTGTAATGTCTTGTATTTGTCTATTGGAGGCCTGATGTATTCACAATAGCCTGAGTTCATCACAGCTTCCATCTGTTTGGCACAGGAGACATAAGCCAGCCTGCTCTGGACTTCATCCATACTGGGGACCTGAACATGTTGAATTTAAAGAGAGACTCAACAATTATCACTGTTTAAATATTTCTAGAGATATGATCTTTTTTAAATGACCCAAATTACAAGAAATAATCAGCAATTAATGGCCTAGTCACATAGCCCGGCCGATGAGGTTACGATGAGCCAGCGATGCAATTTTCACCGAACTCGACCGAACACCGGCCGGACATCCGTGGCGTTTGTTGCTCAAAACCACATCAGTGGTAGCTCGGTGAAATTTTAACTTCGGAGTTAAATTTCACCGGGCTCTCACCGAGCTCCCTCATCATGTCATGGCAGCCCCATCGTAACCACATCGGAAAACACGTCGGCCGGTGCACGGCCGAGTATCGGCCGGTGTCCCGTGCATCTGAGACAACCAGAGGACGAGGTTTTTTAACGGACAGCGGCCGAGCTCCGACCGTGGGACAGAGCATCGGCCGGTCACTGTTCAAAGCCCGTTAACAACCCGGCCGGCGATCGCACGGTGTGCTGTTACTTGTTCGGGTACCGGCCGTATTCCTTCCGATGTCCGGCCGACCTTCGGCCGGTAGTTGCTGCCACATCGGCAGAAAAAAACTACCATTTTGAGACAGACTCCGTACGGTCACCGGCCGGTGTTCGGTCGGTCGCCTGAAGATGTCCGGACAGAGTCCGTTCACGTCACCGAGCTCTGCTTCCGATGAGGAGAGCTCGGTGGCACCAAAAAAATCCACCGAGCTCTACCGATGCCGGACATCGGCCGGGCTATGTGACTAGGCCATAAAGGGAGGTACTAGATTCAATATTTTCCTATCTGGGAATGGATATAAAGAAAGATTAATTACCCCTCCCAATGTAAAGAATCAAAATTGTCCCCAGCCTTGCACCTCTTTAACATATTTGTATATTTTTACATATAACTCAACTACATGAGCATGTACTGCACCTTGACAGCAGATGCCCATGGATTCCATCGTTTCCATAGCAACCACCAACCAGACAACACATCGCCATAGTTAGTAAGATTGGCTTCATCCTGTGCCCCTACATCAATGGCAAATATTGTCTGTGCCCCTCTGGCTCGCATAACATCAGCTAGAATGAGATATTGTACAAGTACGTTTTAGCCAATCAGACGAGATTGATTCTAACTCAAAGCTTATGAAGGCAATGAGGTAGTATGATAATAATAATTCATCAACTAAGATTCTTTTTGAATTACCCATTTTGGGGCCACCTCACTGAGCTTTATCTATTAAGTACACAACTTTCTTAAAAAATAAAAATCCTGGTCATAAATCATAGATGAAAAAATTCTGCTGTACGATAAAATCTTGTAGGTGCTAACCTGGTAAATTATTAACGTAGCCGCCATCTAGTAAGAGATGACCATCAGTTGGATCACAAAGAGGTGGTAGATAACCCGCTAGGGACATGCTGGCTCTGCAATACCTCCAAAGACAACCTGAAGAAAAAAGACGCACATTAATTAATATCAAACAATACAGTGAAATGGCCGACATCGTAAATTATCCAGCAAGCCCACAATGTTATCAGATCTTGGTGCCAAGTCTACTTTTGCATCTGTATGTTAAATAGATTAACCTCTTGACTACCTGGAGTGACGAGATTTCTCGTCATCTCGGAAATGATCTTGAAACCCAGAGTGACGAGAAAATCCATCACAAAAATTTTCACTAAAATTGCTCTTATTTGAACAATTTTCAACCAATTTACACGAAATTGTTTTAAAATGTGTAGAAATGATATCTGCCATCTAATTTTACTAAGATGAGCATCTAAAGTTGTAAAGGTATGTGGTTAAATCTCAAAAGATGGCAAAAATGAAAAATTCTCTAGTTTCAATCGATTTTAGAGCCTGGTATTCAAGAGGTTAACAGTTTTCTTGAAATCTTCATGACAAAATTTTTGTGCCATCTGCATTGATGCCTGCTCTTCATCACAAGATAACCAAATATAGCACTTTTCAAGAGTGATAGAATTTATGGGGCACATCCCTGATAAAAATTTGAATACAAAAATAATCATGATGTTTATTCATTCTAAAATACCTTGGTTTTTACTTATCCTTCATAGTTCGTCCACTATGGACCAGGTCAAAACAAAAAATCAAGAATGTAATTCATGTGGGATTATGCCTGTGTCTTTGTTCAGCCAATAGACATTGAAAAATAATATTTCATCCATCAAAATCTTAAAGTCCCCGACTAAAGTTTGAAAATATTTTTTTATCATTCATTTACTATTTGTCAGGACTTAAAAAGTGATTTTAGAGATTTTTGAACAAAAAATTTTTTTGAAAAGAAAGTTGTGAGCATTTCATTTCTCAAATATTCAAATTTCCCGCCATTTTTCCAAAAAAGTTGAAATTTCTTAATCATCAAATATTTCTTAATGCATTTCGAAAAAGATTATCTTTTTAACACCAATGCAAAGATTGAACAAAGGACGCACTATTTCAATAATAAAATGCCATATTTAATGGGCCACTTCAATGTTTTAGCATATAAAAAATATTTTGAAACATTAGTGATGTCACTAAGGTAACAAAAACTTTTTGAAAAAAATTTAAAATTTTTTTTCGATGTCAATCTTTTCTAAATATGCTAGACTTTCATAAAAAAACAATGTTGATTGTCTAACCAGGTTAAAAGGAAGAATAAATTATGTTTTAGATATCATTGTACCATTGGTTTCTATGAGAACTAAACTTTTGAAATGCATTTTTCTCAGAACCATTTTCATGCACTGATAAGTTCATTTCTCGCTTGTTTATCAACCGATTTTCTTAATTTTTTCGGCAAAAAACATGGGAGGATGAATGCTATGCATTGGTATGAATTGTGGCTAATTAGAAGATATGAGTGAACTCTAAAAGTTGGTTTTAAATAAATTCAAAAATTTTGGAACAAAAAGTCTATCAAAAACCACTTTTTGAAATTAAAAAAAAAAGTTTCACATATCACACTTTGATAACATTGGGTAAGACTACAATATAAGCCAAAGTGGTTTAAACTTTACATGGGGCCTTTAATGATTTTCACCTTATACAACCATATTTACTGTATTGAAAATTAAACATTGATTTTTGACTTGAGCATTATTAAGATTTCACTTACCGCTTGTATGGATCCTCTCCTTGGAGGATGAGATGTCTGTTGTAACACAGAAGTATGGGAGCCAGAGATCTTCTATCTGGGTGTGTTTGAACACATCCTCTACAGCGTGGTTCAATGATGCACCTTGAATAAATATTATACAATGTATCTTTCAGTTAATGCTCAATCTTTTAAGTGCCATTTCTCTTGAAAAGTTGAATGAACTGTATGATTTTCTTGCATTTCAATACAATTTAGAGTCTAACTACATGCCTATTTATTTCATTCCTAGCTAATTTAATTGTTTCCTCTAAACATGTATTTCAATTATTCAAAATTTCAATAAGAACACTTTTTCTGGGTCCCACTTTTGTAATCTCACATTAACTTACATGTTAAGAGACCTTAAATTGTGAAGAACTGCCAATCCAAAAAATTTTGGCCAGGCCCAATGGAGTTCTGATTAGATATGTTTTACAGTTGTTTTAATAAAATGTGACTTCCAAAAACCGTTATACAGTTAATATTCTTTCTTACCTGAGAACATAGATGTGATGGGGTAGGTCAGGTCCAAAACTTTCTTATAGATCTTACCAAACTCCTACAAAATATAGAGCAGACACTTCAATGTTATTATTTTCTATTAATCTTGTTTTCACACCAATTGAAATAAAATAATATTTGATTTTCTGCAAATTAATTCTGCATTAATTTCTTGCAAATTCAACTAACTCCACTATATTGATTAACCAAAATGGCATTTTTCAGATATGCTTAGATATACACATGTTTTCTTTCAGCCCCAGGGAAAGGTTTTATAGAGGTAATAATTGTCAAACTTGAAGAGGATGAAGCAATGTTTAGATGCAAAGACAACATACCATTGACCATTCCCTGGCCTTTTGTGTGAATGTTGTAATGTTGCGTTCTGCACACCATAATCCCCCTAAGATACAATACATACATAAGTATTGGGACCAGTGCAACATACATTTTTGGCTAAACAGAACAAATATTATTGCAGGTGACATTGTATTATTGTAGAAAAGAATGCAAAGGAAAATAAATGAGCTATCTAATAATAATCTATCCTCATAATGTAAGGACCATACCACAAATCTCGTTATTTTCTTTCATCTAAATGGTGCTAGGATTCCACTATGCAAACCAGACACACACTGATAAATACATGTATCACACTTTTTTATCAAAGAAATAAAAATGGCCACCGAGTAATTTACTAACTCAAACAGTTGCAAACAAGAAGATAATATACTTGTTCATATAACACTTTGAAAAAGTGCACTGGCGTAGCGTCATATATGCATAAAACGCCATGGCGTACTCTCACATTTAGAAAAAGGTGAATTTTTTATATTGAATGGCATTTCTTCATTTTATTAGTCCATATTAGTCAGGATTTCCTATTTTAAAATGCCCCAGAACGCTTCAAATGCAATTTCAATTTCAAATTTTCAACCCCCCAAACCCCCCTCAAAGCCTGTTCGCTTCGCTCACTGGTGGCGTACATTCACAAAATACCCATGCATGCCACTGAAGTGCAATAAAAAGAAATTCTGTTGAGAACTCTCTTACCCATAAATGATCCTATACTTGTCCCTCCTACCATATCTATGGGTATCCCAAGCTCAGTCATTGCACGTATAAGTCCTACATGAGCACAGCCTCTGCAAATGAAATAATCCTTTTTATAGCAAGGGTGGATACTTAGACCTACAAGATATAAGGGGCATGTTGGAAAGAACCTTCTACTTATCTTTGACCCACTATGTAACACTATCTTTGACCCACTATGTAACACTATCTTTGACCCACTATGTAACACTATCTTTGACCCACTATGTAACACTAACTGTAAGAGATTAACAAGGCAGAGGGTGAATAATAATCTTGTAAAAATAAAAAGAAAAAAGAATCATAAAACATGTCCAAAAGATGGCCAGTGCCAGCATACACCCCCCTGCCATTTGCTGACAATGATATTTTTTAGGTACAAAAAGCCATAAATAGCCATATTATATACTCCTGTCCGACAATTTAAATATTCATGATTTTTTATATTAATATGAATAATATTTACCTAGCTCCGCCCCCTCCTAGTACGAGACCCACTGAGGTGCCAGTAAGAAATCTCGCAAGACGGGAAAAATCTGAATGGCAGTCTGGAGGTGTTTCATACAGTTTTTCATAAATTTCCATCTACAACAGCAACATATGTAAAAGTATTGGTATATTTTTCAATTGGATGTCCTAAATGACAATCTTTACATCTAAGAATAATATTGAGATCTGACATACACGTGAATCAGCATACACCAGGTAATTTATATTTCACACATCCCATAAAATCCCTGAAAAAATCTTATTTCCGATAAAAATCAATTTGATCTTTACAATAAACAATAGAAAACCAAACATACCATTTTGGCTTGGGACTTTTTACTAAATACTCTTTTAGGGCATTTGATGTGATGATGTGAGTTGCAATAGCCTCTAGCATTCAACCATTCCACCGTACGTGTTGGTTTAACTGACTCATCTTTGTGGAGTAGAACAAGTTCCTTCTGAGCCCTAACTGCCATATTCTCTACTTGTTTTTCCAGCTGTAATACAAACATCATTGATAAAGTGCTCCTACACACTGAGACATTAAAATGTAAGCAAAAATAAGCAATCAAAGGACCACTGTGCAATATTATAATTGACAGTATACCAGTAGTAATTATCATTATGGTTCTGGGAGTGTATGATAACATATTGGCGACGTGGACATTGTAGCTTGGCATGAGTCAACAAAAGAGAGTTGTCCGCTTGTAAATATACATTTTTTCTCATTATGTTCAAAGAAAAATACATTTAGATTTTAGATTCAAAACGTTTCTTAAAATCATTTCCCTAATATCTCATATTGAATATCCCATCATTGATATAGCACAAACATGAGGTAATATTCCAGATCAATAAGTAAGAACTTACTGGACTTTCTTTTGGCTCATTCCCACTACGTCCAACTATGAGTATACAATCAGCCTGTCTGATGCATCGTTGGGTCCATGCTGTCATTCTCTGGTCACACTGGTACAGGACTATCCTATGTATATCCTCCTGTTGACCAAGCCAGCTAAGCAGTCTATACTCATTGACACTAGAGAACAAATTTATTAAATTGGGAACACTTCAGATTGTATGAAATTGGAAAACAATTAAGATTTTATGAAATTAAAGAAAACACTGTAGACTGTCAAAGGCGTAGCGACCGGTACGACTTGTACGCACAGGTGTACCAGATGGTTGCAAGTAAACTCCAAATACAACCAAACTTCAAAATTTTCTGGGGGGAGGACCCCCAGACCAGCTTGAACACTCTTTTTTTGCTTTGCCCAACTTGTGTTCCTGTGGTGGCGTACATTGTACGACTAAAAATATAGCTCTACGCCTGTATAGAAACGCAAGAAACATTGAAGAGAATATAATAGGCATGGCAACCATTGCTGTTAATTTAATTGGCACAAAATAACTTACGTGTCAAGAGCATTAACTCCCAGTCTGTTTTGTATAATCTCACTAGTGAGTCTTAGGGTAGGGCCTACAATAAAATTTAATGTATCAATTATTTATCTATGATATCACAACACTTGTGTCATCCTAAAAACTATTTAATAAAAATAACCTCGAAATTGAAAAAATTGACCATGTTACATAAATTTTAGAAATGTAGAAAAGCACAGGATTTATTTCCATACAAGTCCTACCAAACCATACCCAGAGTAGAGAAGTTCTATACATGTACTTGCCTATAGTATTGAGAGCATACTGTAACTCTAGCGTGAAGTTGGATGTTGGAACGTCATCAGAGGCTCCTAGTATTGCCACTGTGGCAAGATTAGCCACTGCAGGTCGCAGATCAACATTTGGATGTTCTGAAAACAAGATAAAAAATGTGACACTTTTTTTCAAGATGTACACATAGATCAATTTGATTAAATACACTTGTTAATCAGTATCTTTAAAAACAAAATCCTCAAATATGCATTCCCTCAATATAACAAAATCAACTTCAACAACTACTGATCATCATCTTGCCTGATAAAGCCGATGATACATTTCTGTCCTGAAGGCTTCCCAAAATCCTTTGTCCCAATAAGTGGATGAGACGTGTAACAATTTGTGGATATTTACGCTTGATGAGATTGAGCAATTCTCCTGGCAACATGGCAAGCTCTGTGTCTCTGGAATATGAATGTTAATTGATCATTTCAATTAATTGTTTTTAATTTTGTCTTGTTTCAATTAATTTTTTATAACAAATCACTGTTTTATCAATAAATATTTTTTTAATTTGTGTTAGTGTTATTTGCCAAAACCAGATGAAAAATTAAATAAGATGGATGAACATTTTGAACATCTGATGAGAAAACATTCATTCATGTTCGTTATGTATTAAAAGCCAAAAACAGCAAGAAATGGAATAAACAGGCAAGTAGCCAAAACACGAAATTATATAAAAAAAACAGAAAATCAAATACTTCATTCAAATTTTGGAGAGAAATTGAGTAAAATAAGTTAAGCAGACGGACATTTTAGGTATGCCATCTATACAAATGTTGCATACCTGACTGCCATTACTGTAGTAGATCTATCAGTCTGGGTTAATATCTCTACCAGACCTACAAGTTCTCCTCTACCATATTCCCCTATGAGTTCTTTCTTCCCACTGAGAAGGGACACCACAGATCTCAATCTTCCATTCAGCACAATGTAAATGGAATCTGAATGGTCCCCTTGCCTAGAATGTATGTTAATTTAAAAAGTAAAAATATGTACAACTCATAAGATAAGGTCAGTAGTATGTTTTAAGGGCATGGGGCACACTACATTTATTGAACAATTTTAGTCCAGAGCATAAACAAAATACAGTGTACAATGTATTTTACTGACTAATAAAGGTATAAGGTCAAATGCAAATATAGCATGGTGCGTCTGACACCCCTAAATAATGTTAAGTGGTACCAAAGGGGTTCCACAGATTTTACTTTATTTTAAAATGTGGATCAAATTATCAAATCAAAACAGATGACACAATGGCTGATTCTAGATTTAGTTTGTAGGTTTACCTATAGAGGGCTCTCCCAGCCTCCATCTGGGTCCAATCCAGTGCAAAATCTATTTGACGCACAAATGGAGACATTCTTCTTAACACTGTCTCTGCAACATTCAGGACAATCCTTGGCCTCTCCTGCATTATACTGGAATTGCAAACATGTTCCTGCATATAACATAGACTAAACTAGTACATTATATTACATTACAGTACAATAAAGTACAGTACAGTAAAGTACAATAAAGTACAGCAAAGCACAACACAGCAAGATATGGTATGGTGCGGTACAGTACAGTACAGTACAGTATGATAGTACAGCCAATGGTATGTCCAAAATTGCACATTTGATGAGGGATAAAGTCTAATTGTCAACAGTTCAAAGGGGAGGGGGAGAGGGTATTTTGTTCAAGCAAATGTTGAAATCTTCTGATGCAAATAACAATTTCAAATTTTTATTATATGGGGTGGAAGTTGGTGAGAAAGCATTATGAAACTTACTTAAAATGTTGTAAGCTCCAATATCAAAATGGTCCTAAAAGATGGCACTTTAAAATCAAGAATATAGCCCATTATTGTAATTACATCAGCATTACCAGTGGTTGGATTTAGTGGTAAGTACATCAATGAAAAAGTGTACATGATCTGATGTGATGAAGTTGCACTTTATTTGAAAAATGTGACCTTTTTGACCTCCCTTCATCCGTCAAAACCAAAATGACAATTTTTGACATTATATAAATTGCATATTCAACAGGTGAGATTTTTTGATTTTGTGACTGACAGAGAAAATACTTGAGTATGATGGCATGATAACAAAACATGGCCAAAAATCAAATTTTTCTCTGAAAGACAGTTCATTTATATGGGGAAATGCATGTTATAGCATTTAGTTGTGTTCCACCAACGTTTTGAAACGTTAAACTCTGGCAAACTCTTGTACTACGTATATCATATGTAAAACGGTAATATCATTTCTCATATAGATAAGAAAACCACTCCAAGGTTTCAAATAGCATATCATAACATAGAAAGTATACCTTACAAATACCTTTGGAATTTGGTTAAATCAAAGGTGAAACCAGATCTATTTACGACATTTTGGATAAGCATACCCATTACCCCAGATCATGTGTGCTATTCCTTGTATTGTAGTTCATAGTGTTTTTATGGGCTAAATTATTTTGTCTTTCAAATATTGTCCTTTGTGCTTTCTCAGTGTTCCATTTCTGTGTTTTACATACATGAATAGGGTTATAGTGACACAGAATATTTAGAAAATAATCAAATAGTACAATGGCCTATAAAGTGACAATTATAAGTAAACTTATATTTATGACATTCACTTTGGAGGTCACATGAAACATAAGAGGCTATATAAATAACATGTAATTTAAATATACATGCAGCGACACTAAGGTTCACAAAGCAGTAAAAGTGAGAAGTAAAACTCTATGAAGAATATTGATAATCAACAGTGTATTAACACCAAAACTGAGGAATCCAGAGGAAGTAATAATGGCAGTGAGGCTATTATTACTAATACTGCTTATTGTACCCTCAGTTCGGGCCATGAAGGTACTTCTAATTGTCGAAATCGCTGTTCCCTCTTCAAAAGAGGAGACGCGAAAATCTTTCCTTATAAGGTCAAAATATTTCCCATGATGCAGTTCGCGGAGGAACAAATTTATACTTCCTTGTTTTCCCTCATAGGTTTAACATGGGGATTTTCACACCTATTTTTCAAACGATATATTCGTTCATATCCCCGTACGAGGGTACAGAAAAAATTATTATAAACGATTGATCTCTTATTAATCTTAATATAACAGCTATTTTTTTCATTGTATTGATTCATAGCGTGGTGAAAACGATGATTGAAAAGTGAGAAAATATTCCGGAAGAGAAGGTCACATGATCAGTTGACTAGTCGCCATATTGGAAAAAACAATTCCATTCGACTTTCAATACCTTCATGCCAATCTTACCGCACTACAAACTGCAACATCGATGCAACAACTGAATAAAAGTATTCATCTTCAAATTACATCATAGAATTACGTTGAAAACCAACAAATAACTGAGCAGTAGACCAAAGAAGAAGCGTCGCTATTATCTAGGTCACTCTGTTCAGTGGTCCGAAAGCAAAGCTATAGTACTCGTTTCCGAATTTTGTTGTTAATTGTACAATCTTTTATTGATTAAACTCCGTATACTGACTATTAAAGCAATGACAAAGAAGAATACTTCCGATGTTGTCATTGTTTTATTTAGCGTGCGGGTGTAAAAACAAAATTGCGTAATTAATTTGATTTTGAACTTCCGGGTCACGCAAATAGCTACGCGAAATGCATAGTGAGAAAATATTGACCAATCAAATTTTGTCCTTTTTGAGTGCTTTTTCAGTACATATTTGCGAACGTTCTGATTCAAAGAGCGAATCGCGAAATGTAGAATTCCGTCCCCACATATAGCCAGTCACCTGCTCTATTTCACTCCTCTGGGGGAGGAGCTACTGGAACAAGGACATCAGGTGAGAAATATTATCTATTTTAATTGGTGTATGACTGTATTATTTAGCCTCAATTTTGAATGGTTGATAAAAAGTCTAGAAGTTCTGAATTTATGTTTTGGGATGATTCTTTGTTTTAAGGCTATCTTGTAAAACAATTGAAATAGAGAACTCCTTTTTTGATTCTAATGAATTCAGACTTTTTAAATTTCAGTAAAATTTCATTTTATTATGCTATCATGTCTATATGAAGCAGCTACTTTTAATATTCAACTGATGTCCCAAAATTTTCAATTAGCCTATTCCCTATTGTCAAAATGACACATTTTTTCATAAAAGAAAAGAAGGTTAAATGACTGTGAAAATATTAAACTGACTAAAGATACGAGTATGTAGTCCATGATATTTAAGCAATTATTAAACTGATTACAATATATGTTAAAACTGAAAATGTGAGCCCTTCAATGGCCTTCATGTTTTATATGGAGGAATTATCTACTTCTACTTCAAGGTTGGGATAGTAGTAACCCCACCATTACGTAACAGAGTACCAAAAGGGAGCAAAGGAACCAGTATGACAACACATATAATCCCTACCAAAAGGACAGACGAGGATTTAACAGGACTTCTTACAGAGTTGGGACAGATACAGGCAAAAGGAAAAAGCGTTTTGGAAATGTTCCCAATCATGAAAGCTTTAATTGATATAGTCAATGAAGCTGTAGCTGATTTACTAGATGATGGGAGTGTGTTTCAACCACTCAAAAAGATGAAGTATGACGTAGCTGTAGTGGATGGATCTCCATTCTTAGATAGTCTTTATATTGTGCCGTATATCCTAGATATCCCATTCTGTTCTCTCGCATCTAATAATCTAAACAATTTGATGGGTACCCCAGCTCTGCCATCATTTGTGCCAAGTACAGCTTCATTATACACAGATAGAATGACATTCTTAAAACGTTTATCAAACTTTTTTCTAATTATCATCCTAGAGCAAATAACTACAAAATACAATTTTAATGAAGCTGAGGGAAATGCACTTATAAAGAAATATGCTCCAAATCGACCCGCAATATACCATGATCTAAAGCGCAAAACCCTTCTCTGGTTGATCAACCAAGATAACTTGCTTGAATTCCATGTCCCATTGATGGAGAATGCCATCCAAGTTGGAGGCTTGTCCATTATGCCAAACAAACCTTTACCAACAGAACTTGAAGACTTTCTAACAAAAGCTAACAATGATGTCATATTAGTTTCATTTGGATCAAAATCAACAGAAGTTTTGGACCCAGAAATAATAGCTAAACTCATATTTGTTTTCAAAGCAGTAAATCAAAGTGTGATATGGAAATATAACGGCAATTTTATTGATTTACCATCTCGAATCAAACTATTGAAATGGATTCCTCAAAATGATCTGCTGGCCCATCCTAAGGTGAAACTATTTATTACTCATTGTGGTAGTAATGGCCAGTACGAGGCACTGAACAATGGAGTCCCCATGCTTGGATTACCTCTGTTTGGCGACCAACCACACAATGCCATCAGGATGCAGAGTAAAGGATATGGGATTGCGATGAATGTACACGATTTAACTGCTGACCAGCTTTTACATAACATCAAGGAAATTCTAGCTAACAGTTCATACAGAGATAACATCCAAAAGGCTTCGAAGATATTCAGATCAAGGAGGAGCCCAAGAAAGAGAGCTTTCGAGGCATTAGACCATGTAGTAATGTTTGGAGGAGAACATTTGAGACCAAGTTCAGTTGAGATGCCTTTCTGGCAACTCTGGATGATAGACATCTATGCTTTCCTGACCTTAGTTATATCAGTTATCTTCTTCATTTTGAAGATTGTCATATTGTTTGTATGTAGATTTGTGACAAAAAGGTTCAGGAGTAAACAAAAAGTAGACTGATGGAATTCAATATTCTATAAAGTTCAATGTGGCTCCACATATTGTACACGTGCATATATAATCTAATACATCACGTTTTATAAGCATAAAGCCAATGTGTTATTCTCAATGTGTTATTCTCTTATTCTCAATGTGTTATTCTCTTATTCTCAATGTGTTATTCTCTTATTCTCAATGTGTTATTCTCTTATTCTCAATGTGTTATTCTCTTATTCTCAATGTGTTATTCTCTTATTCTCAATGTGTTATTCTCTTATTCTCAATGTGTTATTATCTTATAGTATCTATTGAGCTGCTGTTGATTTTCAAATGGAGTGGCCATTGTTAGCTCACTGGGTGAACTATTGTTAAAACTTGGTGGTCAAATATGACCATTTCATATTCACACATACCACCTGTTGAACCCACGAACCTGGTTCATTTGACCACCATTGCAATAATCGAAATACCACACACTGACTACATGCCTGTATATCTCGTACCTGTGTATGTTTAAAGTCACACTTGTCCCCATATTCAGGATCCCAGTGTCTCTCTATGCCACCTGTTGCCATTTCCCTAGACTCCCATCATCTCCTTAACTAGGTAAGGATTCTGATCCCATCTGTGTACTCATAAATTTCTACAACTCACCCATAAAAGTCATTCTTAGATATCAGGATGATCCTTGCATCAGTTCTAGCCCTTGTAGTGAAGAAGGAAGGTTCTCCTGTAATAACAGCCAAAGATCCAACCAAACTTACCCATAAAAGTCATTCTTAGATATCAGGATGATCCTTGCATCAGTTCTAGCCCTTGTAGTGAAGAAGGAAGGTTCTCCTGTTAGTACAGCCAAAGATCCAACCAAACTTACCCATAAAAGTCATTCTTAGATATCAGGATGATCCTTGCATCAGTTCTAGCCCTTGTAGTGAAGAAGGAAGGTTCTCCTGTAAGTAAAGCCAAAAATCCAACCAAACTTACCCATAAAAGTCATTCTTAGATATCAGGAGGATTCTTGCATCAGTTCTAGCCCTTGTAGAGAAGAAGGAAGGTTCTCCTGTTAGTACAGCCAAAGATCCAACCAAACTTACCCATAAAAGTCATTCTTAGATATCAGGATGATTCTTGCATCAGTTCTAGCTCTTGTAGTGAAGAATGGTTCTCCTGTTAGTAATGCCAAAGATCAAACCAAACTTACCCATAAAAGTCATTTTTAGATATCAGGATGATCCTTACATCAGTTCTAGCCCTTGTAGTGAAGAAGGAAGGTTCTCCTGTTAGTACAGCCAAAGATCCAACCAAACTTACCCATAAAAGTCATTCTTAGATATCAGGATGATCCTTGCATCAGTTCTAGCCCTTGTAGTGAAGAAGGAAGGTTCTCCTGTAAGTAAAGCCAAAAATCCAACCAAACTTACCCATAAAAGTCATTCTTAGATATCAGGAGGATTCTTGCATCAGTTCTAGCCCTTGTAGTGAAGAAGGAAGGTTCTCCTGTTAGTACAGCCAAAGATCCAACCAAACTTACCCATAAAAGTCATTCTTAGATATCAGGATGATTCTTGCATCAGTTCTAGCTCTTGTAGTGAAGAATGGTTCTCCTGTTAGTAATGCCAAAGATCAAACCAAACTTACCCATAAAAGTCATTTTTAGATATCAGGATGATCCTTACATCAGTTCTAGCCCTTGTAGTGAAGAAGGAGGGTTCTCCTGTTAGTAAAGCCAAAAATCCAACCAAACTTACCCATAAAAGTCATTCTTAGATATCAGGATGATCCTTGCATCAGTTCTAGCCCTTGTAGTGAAGAAGGAGGGTTCTCCTGTTAGTAATGCCAAAGATCAAACCAAACTTACCCATAAAAGTCATTCTTAGATATCAGGATGATCCTTACATCAGTTCTAGCCCTTGTAGTGAAGAAGGAAGGTTCTCCTGTAATAACAGCCAAAGATCCAACCAAACTTACCCATAAAAGTCATTCTTAGATATCAGGAGGATTCTTGCATCAGTTCTAGCTCTTGTAGTGAAGAATGGTTCTCCTGTAATAACAGCCAAAGATCCAACCAAACTTACCCATAAAAGTCATTCTTAGATATCAGGATGATCCTTACATCAGTTCTAGCCCTTGTAGTGAAGAAGGAGGGTTCTCCTGTTAGTACAGCCAATGATCCAACCAAACTTACCCATAAAAGTCATTCTTAGATATCAGGATGATCCTTGCATCAGTTCTAGCCCTTGTAGTGAAGAAGGAGGGTTCTCCTGTTAGTACAGCCAATGATCCAACCAAACTTACCCATAAAAGTCATTCTTAGATATCAGGATGATCCTTACATCAGTTCTAGCCCTTGTAGTGAAGAAGGAGGGTTCTCCTGTTAGTACAGCCAAAGATCCAACCAAACTTACCCATAAAAGTCATTTTTAGATATCAGGATGATCCTTACATCAGTTCTAGCCCTTGTAGTGAAGAAGGAGGGTTCTCCTGTTAGTACAGCCAATGATCCAACCAAACTTACCCATAAAAGTCATTCTTAGATATCAGGATGATCCTTACATCAGTTCTAGCCCTTGTAGTGAAGAAGGAGGGTTCTCCTGTTAGTACAGCCAAAGATCCAACCAAACTTACCCATAAAAGTCATTTTTAGATATCAGGATGATCCTTACATCAGTTCTAGCCCTTGTAGTGAAGAAGGAGGGTTCTCCTGTTAGTAATGCCAAAGATCAAACCAAACTTACCCATAAAAGTCATTTTTAGATATCAGGATGATCCTTACATCAGTTCTAGCCCTTGTAGTGAAGAAGGAGGGTTCTCCTGTTAGTACAGCCAATGATCCAACCATCTCTCCAGGGTGAGCTATGAACAGTGTCCTCTATAAAACAAAATTATGTGTGGATAAATCAAGAGGAACATACAAGTCCTTGAATCTTAGTATTTTTATCAGGGGTATTATTTGTTACCAGGAATATCCTTACAAAGAGTCTGTACTATAAAGGACATCCTAATCATCAATCCTCACGTTTAAAACATCCCTTTTTCTTGTGTAGCTTTTCAAACAGTATTTTTCCAAATTTTTAAAATGTATCCAAATATAGCTGATAATATAGTATAGTAAACCTGTAAATTGGAACACCTCTGTAAGTGAAACACTTTCAGGTTCTGTTACTCATGAACTCATGAAAATAAACGTATAGGGAAAACACCTCCAAGTACAAAAATTGCTCCACTTACATAGGTTTTACAAACAGTTGTTAAATACCTCTTCATTTTCATTGCCAACCACCTGTTGTAGGACTTGAAGGGTGCCTGTAACAACAAACACAAGGCTAGCATCTTGGTCTCCCTGCTTGGTGAGTGCCCTTCCAGAGCGGAGATACTTCAACGTAAGCTTGCCCTCCAATAACTCTTCATCCTGAAAAAAAGCAAAATTCTATTTATTTTATTTCTTATTTTACATTAGTGTCATACTACTGGATCACCCTGTAGCTGTAGAATCTTTTTCCAATACCATTGGACTGAAGTAAATAAAACAACATGTATCTAACTATGTCACTAGTATACATAAGCATAACACATATAATAAGTTTTCCCTGAAAATAACTGCTTTCAGTAAAAAGTACAACCATCTCTACTTTCTGTCCTACTTCACATTTAAAGAATTTTATTTTCAATACAAATAAATGTCTCCATGTAGAGCTGCAAAGCAGCATCATTGGATGGAATAATAATAGACAGACAGACAGATGGACAGACAAGTGAGGGATTACAATAGCCCACACCATATGAGCTAAAAAGGCGTATTGACATTGAAATTTGTTTTGATTTTCTGGATGTTTTGTTCAATCCGAGTAGTTTTATTCTTAACTGAAATACATTGCCAACAAGATGCCAGAATGTGACTATAAACAACTAAAAAACAGTCAATCCATATCTATTCTTAACATATTTATTATGAGATCTCCCCCAGCATTAAAGCAAGAGGGCGCAGCATCCACCTGAGATTTTTAAAAATAGGCTTGCACCCACCTGAAAATCCATTTGCTCCCACTTGAAAATGAGAAAAATCATGAAAAATTTGCATATTTTGACAAATTTTGATCTGAATTGGGAAAATGAGGTGTGAGGTCTAAGGTGTGAGATCCATCAAAAAAGGTGCAACTTCACCAGCGTGCAAAAGTCAATTTTTTGTTATAAATTAAGGAGTTTATATCCAAAAAGGTGGAACATTTTTGATTCAACTAGTATAATCTGATTGAATTCTAAAAAAAACTGGTTAGATCCTGACCCATCTTATTTTCAAATACCTTCTTTCTACAGGGTGGTCCAAGGAGGTGGAACACTTATATTACTGTATTATCTAATTACATTCTAAGAAAACATGTTAAGCAAAAATACATACATCAAGGCCTAATATCTTCATGAGGTCCATGCGAGCCAGCTCAATGATCTGGTTGTCGTCCATGTATGTCTTAAAGCCATCAGAATCTAATGGAGCACTACTACTGTAAGTCTGGTCGGGGAGGCTGGTTATCTTTCTGGGGTTGCGGTTATTTTTATTGATTTGCTCATCAGATGTCTAAAATGTAATAAGAAATTTGAACTACATGTATTTTTAATATTAAAATTCCAGTCAAACGTGTCGCATCCTTTTGTCCCTTTCAAATAAAATCAAATAAAAATTAAATTAAATATTGATCTTGATTTGATCATACCTTATTCTCAATCTACTAAATGAATCACTAATTACCCCATCAATAATTGATTTTTCCACATCTGTTAATACCTGGCCATTGATCCTTACCTTTTTTGGCAAATGTACTGGGGAACCTGTCTGGATTCCAAGATTGGACTCTTCTGTAAGCCTTGCCTGGGCAATAACAGCATCAAAGTCAGAAGGAGAGGCTTCTGCTATTGTTCTTTCCTCAGATTTACTTCTATGGTGGTGATAATTCACACGTTTTGAGTTCTCTAAAGAAATAAACAGATCTGAGATCAGAGAAAGAGGGACACAGGTTTTAGCCATTTTCTCTGAAGTTGAAGTTGTATGAAGTCTTTTGGATTTCACATTCTCCACAAAAATACCAAAAATTTCAACATGATCAAAGTCAGAGATAAATAAAATTGTAAGCAATGTCATATATTTGCAATACTTGAAAGTACAGTATGTAAAAATTCAATGACAATTTGACTGTGTATATTTAACAAAATACCAGCACCAGTCTTGTTACTTCTGGAACACACTGTGTAATTCATGAAAACATTAACATGGCAAACTGCTATCATCTGGGTGTAATTATCGAAGTGCTGGTTGCAAAAAATGATGCCATAACAATATGTCATAACTTCTTTGTTGCGATAAAACAATAGTTCCATGATATCTAGTGGTATTAAAATGTGCACTTGATTTATATGGGGTAAGCTATGGATATCCTTGGCCAAGAATTCATTATTATTTACAGAAAGAAGTAAAATCTTGAATAGGGCAAAATATAAGGACATTTTACACACAACTTTAAAAACTAAATAAAAAAGTGTTAAAACTCATGTTAACCAGAATCCAAAGTGCATATGTACCTTAACACAAGAGGGTTACATTATAAGGGTTTAAAACATTAATGCCCAACTCACATAAGCTCCGATTCATCGGCCGGCGCCTGTACAATTGGAGTATTTTGTTTAGAATTGCATTCATTTTTGAACAAAATACTCAATCGTACAGGCGTTGGCCGATGAATTAGAGCTTACATGAGCTAACAGAACCATACATGGTATGTCTCTGGGATTAGCTAAACTACAGGTAGACAAATACAAAAGTGCTGACATTTTTTCACCATTTCTGCCTACAAAATAGACCATAATTCACAATTCACAAACACACACAGGAGACTAGTTCCTAGTAATGTATTTCATACAATGGTTGAGTGTAATGCTTGTGTGTAATACTTGAGTAAAAGACCCCTCAATTCCACAAATTTTAACTTCCTCACTTACGTTTACCATGGTAACTCATACGTCTTGTATATTGAGGTCTCTCTAAATAAATAAAATTGAAAATCAAGAGAATTGTTGTTTTTTGCAAAACTACCCCGATCAGAAACAAGTACTTCAAATATACATTATATTATAATATTCTAAATTCATCTATATGTAAAGAACAGAACATATTGTCATAAATAAGATGTAAGAAATAAAATGAATAGATTATGAGAGCACTCAGCCTCCCCCTCCATGATAGGGACCAGTCATACAATACACCTTAAAATTAGCCCTCAAAAACATGAAAAACCAGCATAACTACATCTTGTGAGTTTGGGACATAAGCCTCGGGGAAAATATATTACACATTTCTGTACAAAAAAATAGATACTTTGTACCAGCATGTATTTATACCATCAATAGGTAAAATTAGATATACTTTGTACTAGCACGTATTTATACCATCAATAGGTAAAAATAGATATACTTTGTACTAGCACGTATTTATACCATAAATAGGTAAAAATAGATATACTTTGTACTAGCACGTATTTATACCATAAATAGGTAAAGATAGATATACTTTGTACTAGCATGTATTTATACCATCAATAGGTAAAAATAGATATACTTTGAACTAGCATGTATTTATACCATCAATAGGTAAAAATAGATATACTTTGTATTAGCACGTATTTATACCATAAATAGGTAAAAATAGATATACTTTGTAGTGGCACCATTTATACCATAAATAGGTAAAAATAGATATACTCTGTACTACCACGTATTTATACCATAAATAGGTAAAGATAGATATACTTTGTACCAGCACGTATTTATACCATCAATAGGTAAAAATAGATATACTCTGTACTAGCACATATCTATACCATAAATAGGTAAAGATAGATATACTTGTACTAGCATGTATTTATACCATAAATAGGTAAAAATAGATATACTTTGTACTAGCACGTATTTATACCATAAATAGGTAAAAATAGATATACTTTGTACTAGCACGTATTTATACCATAAATAGGTAAAGATAGATATACTTTGTACTAGCATGTATTTATACCATCAATAGGTAAAAATAGATAAACTTTGAACTAGCATGTATTTATACCATAAATAGGTAAAAATACATATACTTTGTAGTGGCACCATTTATACCATAAATATGTAAAAATAGATATACTTATAAGTGGCACGTATTTATACCATAAATAGACAAAAATATATATACTTTGTATTAGCACGCATTTATACCATAAATAGATAAAAATAGATATACTTTGTAGTGGCACATATTTATACCATAAATAGGTAAAAATAGATATACTCTGTACTAGGATATATTTATACCATAAAAAGGTAAAAAGTTTTTTAAAATAAAAGGAGTTTTTTATAAAATAGAAATTGAACATCTTATACCTCTAATTCTATCGATCACAGGGATGTCAATACCCCGAGCATTGAAAGAATCCTCCGTGGTGTAGTCTACAACATTGAGCACTTTCTCAGTGCTGCCATCTTTAGAGTCCTTACTGTACTGCTTCACAGGGCTTTGCTTCGCTCCGATGGTGTGAACTGAGAATGTACGATCACTTAAATTGTGCTGAAAATAATAATTCAAATTAATTTTGAAAAAAAATTATGCAAACAGTACTTGTATATATTTCTTTTATTGACAATTGTATCAAAACATGATACACTAGTCTATGTACAAACTAGACTAGACTCAAGACAATACTAAACTATTAACTAAATGCTAGACTATATTGTATTGTATATTGTGATTGGGAAAGTTTTGACTCAAGAAAACAAATTCATATCTACTGAAATGGTTTGAAAAGCGAGAAACATGATTGTTGTTACTTTCCTTGCACTGAAACTATTTGTTTTGAATTCACCATACTTACTGGGTTAATAAGCTCATGGGTGAGACCAAGATAGTTGTGTAAGGCCATAAATGTTACCCTCTGCAGTCGAACCATAATGATCTAAAATGGGAATTTGTAATTCATTCAAATCAGCTCATATAATATCACATTCAAGATATCAATCCCAGGAATAATTATTAAAATAACTGAACTGCGCTAAATAGTCAGTGTGGCATGTATTAAGATGTTACTTAATAACTGAAAATTGCTTTCAATTTTACTTCAGATCTTATCTTCTTAAAATATTTTAGATGATTAGGACATTACATACATGATTAATGCTTTATTTTTATCTGTTTTGTGCATTTTATAATAACTGTTTCTTCTTGACCATTGTGTTTTTGCAAGAATGTTTAAAACTGCTTTGTGGTGTTACATCCTTATCTTATTGAAAATATAACAAAGGTTATTTATTCATAAACTATACATATTTCTAATATGTGCCTTAAGTACCTGAACAACTCTAACCAGAGACTCTGGAAATCTGTCAAAAAGTGTTGCAAAGGCTGCTGCTGGCAATCTACAATAACAACAAGAATTTACAAGATATATCTATTATTCAACCTGATTTATTCACCTTATGTCATAATAAGTATGGGATAAATGAGTTTATCCTGAGATATATACGAGTATGTATTACATACCTAGCGAAGAATTTGTATTGAAATCAATAGGAAAGTTAGCGGGCTACATCCACCGATATTGGACGATTACCCCGATATAGCCCACTTTAACCTTGTTTTGATATTCGATTTCTTTAATAACCATGACAATATCACAACCACCCATTACAATTAATTTATCAATACATACATTCATTATCTCACAAATCATAGTGACAAATATCCTGGTAAAGAATGCCACATATTTCACATTATATACCTTAGTACAGTGGTGTCAGTTGCAGCCACTATAGACACAGTTTTATAAGGGGCAGGGTGGTCAGTTAGGGCATCAAGAATACTCAATAGAGTATTGGCCTATAGGTCATATACATATCTTAGCACAGTAGTATCAGTTACAGCCACTGCAGACACTGTTTTATAAGGGGCAGGGTGGCCAGTTAGTGCATCAAGAATACTCAGTAGAGTATTGGCATATAGGTCATATACATACCTTAGTACAGTAGTATCAGTTACAGCCACTGCAGACACAGTTTTATAAGGGGCAGGGTGGCCAGTTAGGGCATCAAGAATACTCAGCAAACTCTGAATGCTATCTCCCTGACAGACCTCCTTCACTATATGCTCTGAGCCATCCTGAATAAAAATAACAATGATAAGCAAGTACTGCATATATACCCTGCAATCCTATCAGCATGCCACATTATCCTCTTACTATAACATATGACCTTGCAGTTTTAATGCTGATATGATATCAAACAGACTCAAATACAGGTTTTCATAGGCTTTTATGAGGATAAGAGTCTAAAATCAATGTTAGCTACATTTGGGACTGGACAAAGTGAAAGGAAATTAAGTGTTCACTTTTTAAGGTGTTCAGATACACAGGTTAAACTATAATTTAAAAGGTTTTTATGCTCTATCTAGTAAGATTAACAAATTATTACTTGTTCACAAGCATTTCAATTCTCCTTTTCGCGGTTCGCTCTTTGAATCAGAACGTTCGCAAATATGCACTCAAAAAGCACTCAAAAAGGACAAAATTTGATTGGTCAATATTTTCCCACTATGCATTTCGCGTAGCTATTTGCGTGACACGAAAGTTCTAAATCAAACTAATTACTCAATTTTGTTTTTACACCCGCACGCTAAATAAAACAATGACACCATCGTAAGTATTCTTCTTTGTCATTGCTTTAACAGTCAGTATACCGAGTTTAATCAATAAAAGATTGTACAATGAACAACGAAATTCGGAAACGAGTACTATAGATTTGCTTTCGGACCACTGAACAGATTGACCTCGATAATAGCGACGTGTCTTCTTTGGTCTACTGCTCAGGTGTTTGTGGGTTTTCAACGTAACTCTATAATGTAATTTGAAGATGAATACTTTTATTCAGTTGTTGCATCGATGTCGCAGTTTGTAGTGCGGTAAGATTGGCATGAAAGTATTGAAAGTCGAATGGAATTGTTTTTTCCAATATGGCGACTAGTTTACTGATCACGTGACCTTCTCCTCAGAAATATTTTCTCACTTTTCAATCATCATTTTCACCACGCTATGAATTAATACAATGAAAAATAGCTGTTATATTAAGATTAATGAGAGATCAATCGTTTCTAACAATTTTTTCTGTACTCTCGTACGGGAATATGAACGAATATATCGTTTGAAAAATAGGTGTGAAAATCCCCATGTTAAACCTATGAGGGAAAATAAGGAAGTATAAATTTGTTCCTCCGCGAACTGCATCATGGGAAATATTTTGCCCTTATAAGGAAAGATTTTTGCGTCTTCTCCTTTGAAGAGGGAACAACGATTTCGAGAATTCTATGATAATTCACATTCACTTCATAACAACACACTTGAACATAAGTTATCTCCTGCTGGCTATGTATAAATCCAAACACCCTATTTAATTTATCCAAGGAAACTCACTGGTTCTGTAATGAATACATTGACGTTCCCATTCTGCACCACATATATGGAGTCATCCACGTCACCGACCTTGAATAGAAAGCTCCCCGCATGTATGAATTTGGAGTCCATATGTTTGCATAACTCAAGGAAGAGAGGTCTCTCAAAGTGTCCAAACACTCTAAAAATGAATTAAAATTATACAACTAAATTTTATGAATCACCCTGTACAAATACTTCTAATCTAATTACGTTTGTATTTTTTCAAACGTTTGGTTAGCAAGAGGGAAAAAGAAGACTTCAATTCATAATACAGGATAGTGGTAAATTGTTTGAATGAGTTTGAATGAATTTCATATCATGAACTACTGTTGTATTTAGCATGTACCACATCTATGTTATACCTGACGCTTTTCAACATATATAACACCTCCAATGGTAGCCTATAGTCACTCTCATGGAATTCTGGCCAATCAGCTTCCAGGAAAGCTGGGGGAGGTTCCTTGTAAACTAATTGTGGGGAAGATTCTTTACGTAACAATCTGAAAATTAAAGAATGGGTTATTTTGGAAATATTTTATACATAGCAATCTGAAAATTAAAGAATGGGCTTTATTTGGAAAAGTTCTATTCTCTTTATATACATATATAGAGTGATTCATGATGAAAAGGCCCTAATCAACAATCAATTCTAGATCACTTGACCCCATAGTTTATATATACCATAATCATAAAGCTTTTTCAATTCTGGTCTTATGTGCCAAATATTGGCACGACTGGGAATCTTTTGTAGAGAAATGCAGCAAGTTGTTAAACTGTTGAGCCCAATCTTTGTTTTGTTAAATCCAGATTTGAACAAGCTTTCATATGATATATAACATATGGGGGTATGCTATTTAGGATTGGTGGTTAATGAGGGAATGGTCATTATGAAACACCCTATATGTATAATAACCATTTATTTAACATGCTGATCAAACATTCATCCATTACAATATCTATTTGTTTATATCCTGAATTAATATTAACATTCTCAAGAAAGTTCTTGAGATGATTAATGCATAAGCTTTATGGAACAAGAAATGTAATACTAGCACTTCAAGGTTGTGATCAATATTTAACACTTTGTATTCTTAATCATTTTGATATCCAGAGATCTTAGTCTTTAAGCAGTTTCTATGCAGCTTTAAGAGAGGCTTTTTGTGTGTTTATGTTGATTTTAATTATTTTTGCATTGACTTTTTAAGAGTGGGTCTAATTTAATGAACAATACTTACTTTTTAGCAAATGATACTAGTTTTTTCCTTTTAGCTCGAATTGTGCTTCTTCTAGGATCTACTTCCTTTATTGTATTTTTTGTAATGGACCTCACCTAAAAACATGTCACATGTGAGAATGTGGCAAAGAATGGGTATTGATATGGCGAACTTTTTGAACACACGTTTCTCTTAAACCAGACATCAAAAATTTCTGAAAATCTAACAATTTAATGGTCATCTTTTGAACAGTAACAATATAATTTGAAATAGATATACATACTTTCATCTATATTGTTTTAAAAAACACATCAAACACTTGTTTTGTTCTTGGTATCATGTTTCCAGAGTGAAATGAAACATCTTTCCGAACCTCATTGGAACCAAACGACATAAACACAACATGTTTAGGTCTTTCAATATTGTAATTGTACAAAGGAAATTTTGGTTGATTTTAAAAAAGTATCTTGTTAATCTTTTTATCTATTTTGAGGGGATTTTGTTTTAATTTTTTGAATACTTTTTTAAAATTAACCAAAAATTCCTTTGTATAACTTTAATGTTGAGAGGTCTAAAAACATGTTGTACATGCTATTTTGTTCCAACAAGGTTCGGAAAGACATTTTATTTCATTCTCAAGAATTGGTAGAAAGGAGCAAAAACAATTGCACTAAAAAAACAAAAAATGTTAACAAAAACAGTTATATAAAATATTTCTAAATAATTTTCGCATTAAATTGTTGCCAATCAGTCAACATTACATAAAATACCATGTTCTTTTACAGAATGTTTTCAATGATTGGTTTAAGAGAAAAACATTGTTGAATTCAGTTCTCCATATCGATACCTATCCTTTATAAGCATGGCAAAATTATAACAAGAGATAACTGAAAGAGAGCAAAGACAGAAATGTGGCAAAAGTGAAAATGTGGCAAAAGTGTAATCATGGCAAAAGGTAGAATAACATAAACTGAAAGATAGAAAAGATAGAAATGTGGCAAAAGTGAAAATGTGGCAAAAGGGTAATCATGGCAAACTGATAGAGATCAATGTGGCAAACGAGAAAAAATGTTGCAGATATATAAATCAACTAGTTGCCCAATGGTTTTTGAAATATGAGTACAATATACAAAAACTGTTATATAATTTCTCTCACATCTATGCAATCAATCTTATTTTCCAGTTCATAATGTACATCGAAATAAAGTACTAAAAATGATAAATATATTATTTTAAAATGTACCTTTCTAAATATCTTCCTTCCATAGAACATTACTTTGTCCCTTTTTCTGAATCTGTATTTGAAGCCAAGTTTGTCCCCTACAGTACTAGGTTTTACTGCAAAAGAAAATAAGATTAAAAATGAAATGACATAAATATTCACCATAAAGTACAATGTAACAGGAGTCCGTTTTTTGGAACCGTCATAACTTAGGATTTGGTCACAAGTCATTCTTTCAAAACAACCCCATCTCTCCTCTCTCTAGTTCTAACTGTAATTTTTGGTTACTTTTCATGTCCAAGCAATTACAATGCATAAGCGTAGCTGGCAACACTGTCAAGGGTGTGTGTGATTTTTTTCATCCCTGAAATTTTTTAAATATTTACATTGTATATGGTACATTCTAAGCATTTGTGGGTCACACCCATCACCCCCCCCCCCCCCCCCTTGGCTATGCCAATGCAATGTATACAGTCAAATACTAAAGCTACTATATTATTCTGTTTGTACTTCAGTACAAGAGAAATTGATACCTTTTGGCATTTTTAGGAAAACATTCCATTTGTTTAATTTTAATTCCATGATTTTCTACTTATTGCCGCCCCTACCCACTCATTTTTTTATACTATAGATAATAGAATGCTTTTACAGGTCCAATCAATATATTTTGTTTAGTAAATACATGTAGCACCGTTAGCTCAAATGGGAGCAATTATTTAACCTAACAATAACTATTAATTTTATACTAATGACTTATTAATTATCATATATTTCAGGCTCTAACTATAAATTAATAGAGAAATATGCAGATTTATAAACTTGGAAAAACCTTGTCAATTTTAGAACTATAATTTCTTGCTATGAAATACAAAAGGTCACCATGTGAGCCAAAAATACACAGTAGATCGAAAGTAATTACTTTCACTGTAATTGTAATTCTCGAAATCGTTGTTCCCTCTTCAAAAGAGGAGACGCGAAAATCTTTCCTTATAAGGTCAAACTATTTCCCATGATGCAGTTCGCGGAGGAACAAATTTATACTTCCTTGTTTTCCTTCATAGGTTTAACATGGGGATTTTCACACCTATTTTTCAAACGATATATTCGTTCATATTCCCGTACGAGAGTACAGAAAAAATTATTAGAAACGATTGATCTCTTATTAATCTTAATATAACAGCTATTTTTTTCATTGTATTGATTCATAGCGTGGTATAAAACGACGATTGAAAAGTGAGAAAATATTCCGGAAGAGAAGGTCACGTGATCAGTTGACAAGTCGCCATATTGGAAAAAACAATTCCATTCGACTTTCAATACTTTCATGCCAATCTTACCGCATTACAAACTGCAACATCGATGCAACAACTGAATAAAAGTATTCATCTTCAAATCATATTATAGAGTTACGTTAAAAACCCACAGACAACTGAGCAGTTGACCAAAGAAGACGCGTCGCTAATATCTAGGTCAATCTGTTCTGTGGTCCGAAAGCAAATCTATAGTACTCGTTTCCGAATTTTGTTGTTCATTGTACAATCTTTTATTGATTAAACTCGGTATACTGACTATTAAAGCAATGACAAAGAAGAATACTTCCGATGGTGTCATTGTTTTATTTAGCGTGCGGGTGTAAAAACAAAATTGCGTAATTAGTTTGATTTAGAACTTTCGGGTCACGCAAATAGCTACGCGAAATGCATAGTGGGAAAATATTGACCAATCAAATTTTGTCCTTTTTGAGTGCTTTTTTAGAACATATTTGCGAACGTTTTGATTCAAAGAGCGAACCGCGAAAGGGAGAATTGAGTTGTATTTTTGTTTCAATAACACAACCACTTAAAATAGATCTATAGCCTAATGGACCCTTATTTTATGGAATAGTCTACTGGTTATGCCATAACATGAATAAGTCATTAGTTTCTATCGATGTTCCATTTGTTATAGAATATACAGCATCATGAAAACATGTATACAATTACAGGCAATTATTTTTCAAAATATACGAGGAATGATCCACAAAATCTATAACAAATATTGGTACTACTAATCTGCCAATTTTTTTCACCAATATTCATCCTCATTACATCGAAAATGAATCGTTCCAAATCATTTCATTGACTTTATCTGACAACATTGGTATGCTGGGCATAAGAATTGAACCTATTTTGCCCAAACCTCATGTTTACTTCAATGTTCGACAAATAGTAATAAAAGTCTGAGATCAAACGTCTGAGTGTTATATATTTCTTAATCACTTTTGATGACTCATTTGATGAAATATAATTGATTATTTTATAGATGTTATATTTGGGATTATTGTGTAAGGCATCTAAGTTCAAAAATCATGGATATTGATTGCAATTTTGTAACTTCTAATTCCTCTGACCACAACTGCTTTAGAAAGGAAGGCTAGGAAGTTTCATCGGAAATGGTTAGGAGTTTCTGTATCTTTTAGCTCAGTCAACCTGCATAACACTTAATCTCCAGCTGAACTTTCAACCTCATCCATAGTTGAAAAGTTCAAAGCAACCAAAGTGCGAACACCTTAGCAACTCAAAGATTCCAAAGATCCAACAGCAAAATCAACTGAAGCCATGAGTCCTAAAGGGAGAAAATGGTCTACCAAAGTTCCTACCACTTATGTAGAAAGCAGACTCAGACAGAACAACATTGTGAGAAATGCAGCAGAAGGCTGGAAAGAACTTGGAAATTAAGGGAGGGACCCATGGTCAAGAGCAGATCTGAGAACAAAAACGAAGATGGTAGCTGGGGAATAAGAAAGACTGAGAAGGCCAGACTAGTCAAAGCAGAACAGAAATGAGCAACCAGGATACATAGCTCACCTGGGAAGCATAAGAGAGCAGAAGGCTGACTGGGAGAGATCTGATACAGACACTTAAGGGGACTCATCTCTAACCCTTACGACAATGGTGATACACCTGCCAATTACAGAACAGAAAATAAACATCTCCAGGAAAAGCTTGTTTGTTAACTTCACGTTTGACAAGTGTTCTATAATTAAATGTTAATGACGCTGAATGACGGTATGTGACACTTTACGACATAGTAACTCATAGCAACTATGAGCTCCTCACTCGAAGCAGTGTTTTATCATGACGTCATATAACACTCTTGTTCACGAATTCTTGGAATATGGTACAATCATCTGTGACGTCAGTGACACATTGCCCCATCAACAATTAAACAAACAAATGATCTATACGTCACTGATTTCCCAAATAATTGCATAATTTGGGTGTTTGCTATGTTTTCTTGTATTCGTTCAAGCTTAGTTCGCTATATTCCAGCAGTATAACAAGCGTGCAAATGTTTTACAGACATGGCAAACCAGCATGTAACTTGTTTTTTTCTTTTTTCCGCTAAATGCCATTTGTGTGAGCAATTTATATAAGGTTTCATCATATATTACCTTTGAAATCAAAATGATAAGTATCCCATATATTACTGATGTATAAGAAAATCGTTTTAGCCGACGGTATAGCCACCGAGTTGTGTGCCTCTTAATAACATCTAAAATAAAAAAAAGTTTCACCATTGATTTTTTACTTCAAATAACATCAAAGTTTATTGAAATAAAGAGGCGATTGAAATTCAACATGGCGTCAAGAACCATTTACAAATGTTAGTCTTACATAAGGCTTTAATTTATTTACCCTCATTTGAATTTTCTTGAAATTCAAACTATTCAGATGATAAAAGGCATTGCATTTGTATCATTTTAAGCGATTATAAAATAATTCGCATGCCCAATAACACGTATAGCGAGATCATACCGTTTCGAACAACAAAAAAATTGTTCGTGATAATCGATGAAATTCTTGAAAATATAAGAAAAAGCCGAAACTCCGAAAATAAATAACAGAAAAAATCGACGGTGGAACCTTTTTATATTTCCAAATGTTATTTAGGGGTATGTGAACTATTGTTTAAAACAATAAAAACAATATGTCAATGTTTTAGTTTTTTCCTCAAAGAATGTCAAAGTTTATGAAAAATGAAAGTCAATTAAAATCTGATATGGCGTCAATTGTACTGTCGACTTTGGGTAAGGGGTCACAGGCCTTTACAAAGATTGGCATAATAATGCTTTATTTACCTCGAATCGAATTATCTTGGAACTCAAACTCTTCAGATAATCAAACTGAAGTTAATCAAAGACATTTTTAGCAATTGTATAATGATTCACATGTCTTATACGCGTATGGCGATACTATACCGGTGAGCAATGTAAACATTTCTTGTTGGAGATGATTGATGAAATTCTTAGAAATATCAGAGAAAGCCGAAATTTTGAATCTAAATAACAGAAAAAATCGACGGTGGAACTTTTTTTATATTTTCAAATGTCATTTAGGGGTACGTGAACTGTTGTTTAAAACAATAAAAACAATATGTCAATGTTTTATTTTTCTCCTCAAAGAATGTCAAAGTTTATGGTAATAAGGTGATTTAAGTTCGACATGGCGTAATTTTTATTGCCGAACTTGGGTGAGGGGTCACAGCCCTTTACAAAGGTTGGTTTTATGATGCTTTATTTACCCTAATTTTCATTTTCTTGACATTCAAACTATTCAGATAATAAAAGGCATTGCATTTATATCATCTAAAGCGATTGTAAAATGATTCGCATGCCCAATAACACGTATAGCGAGATCATACCGTTTCGCACTAAAAACATTTTTTGCTGGTGATAATCGATGAAATTCTTGAAAATATAAGAAAAAGCCGAAATTCCGAAAATGAATAACAGAAAAAATCGACGGTGGAACCTTTTTATATTTTCAAATGTTATTTAGGGGTACATGAACTATTGTTTAAAACAATAAAAACAATATGTCAATGTTTTAGTTTTTTCCTCAAAGAATGTCAAAGTTTATGAAAATTGAAAGTCAATTAAAATTTGATATGACGTCAATTGTACTGCCGAATTTGGGTAAGGGGTAAGAGGCCTTTACAAAGATTGATATAATAATGCTTTATTTACCCCGAATCAAATTTTCTTGGAATTCAAACTTTTCAGATAATCAAAGTGAAGTTAATCAAAGACATGTTAAGCGGTTGTATAATAATTCACATCTCTTATATGCGTATGGCGAAACTATACCGGTGAGCAATATAAACATTTCTTGTTGGAGATAATTGATGAAATTCTTAAAGATATCAGAAAACGCCGAAATTTTGAATCTAAATAACAGAAAAAATCGACGGTGGAACCTTTTGATATTTTCAAATGTCATTGAGGGGTACGTGAACTATTGTTTGAAACAATAAAAACAATATGTCAATGTTTTAGTTTTTTCCTCAAAAAATGTCAAAGTTTATGAAAATTGGAATACAATTAAAATTTTATATGGCGTCAATTGCACTGCCGAACTTGGGTAAGGGGTCAAAACCCTTTATCTAAAGCTGTTCTTATTATGCTTTATTAGTACCCATGAAAAATAATTGGCATCAAAAGTCTTCAGCTTATCAAATGCCGTAAATTAAAAACAATCTTGGTGGCCGTGTGACGATTTTCCTATCAATCATCGATAAATTGAGAACGTGTTGCTTTTAAAGCAAGCGTATTCTAGTGAAGCGGGTAAATTGAGGCGCTTTTTTCCGTAACGTCACACCCATCTTTCAGACGATGTATTGAAATATTTTGATGGCTAACATCCAATGTTTTTTACATCAAATGAAAGCATATATGATACCCTTCAGAAAAAAGAAACATAAACAGTGCGTGCAGGGTATCCCAAAATCGGCTAGGTTAGAGATGAGTCCCCTTAAAACACTGCTTGCTTTTCTCCCAAAATCCCTAAGCGAAACACTTCCCACACCAACTAATCTTTCACTCTGGGGTTTGATCGATGACCCAACATGTACTTGTTGCAAAGATCAACCAGCTTCTCTATAGAGCATCAATCTGGAGGCATGATTAGGTCTTGAAAGAAGATGTCAGACAAATAGATATCAGGACTGTTTTCAAAACCTACCTCCTTGCTAAGGAATGAACACAGTGGATATGTTTTCTAAGAAATCAGAATTAAACTCGGCCAAAAGCTACTGTTCTCCCAAGACATAGCTACTACTATATTATGAGCAGACATTGTAATGTCATTAGATCAGATGCCAAGAGGTGTGCCTTCTTAGTAGAACAATCTGTCCCATGGGAGGAATGGATTGAGGTTATGTAATCAACCAGCTTCTCTAAAGAGCAACAATCTGGAAATGAATTGGGTCAACAGCCCATCAGTGTTTAATTCATCTAGCTTTTAACAGAATTATGATCTTGCACAAGATTGCTTGTGTTAATTACCAGCTGAAATAAAATCTTAGTGAATTAAGCCATTCCAACAAAATATTGATCACCTATTGTGTAAAGCCACTCCATAGCAATACTCAATATTATTGATCATACTTAAAAGTATTTGTTGAATAATTGCGATAACTAATTAACTTCAAACTTTTAATTACTTAAACAAAAACTCAACCGAGTAGCAAATTCCATATACCAACAAACAAATTATTCAATTCAATTAAATTCATTTATTTCATAATTTCTTATATCTATGGATGAGGCGTCTAACTTCTAATGGCAAGATCTTGGGTTCAAATCCAGGCCTTGGCATAGATATTTGACTTGTCTGCTATACCAGATTTGAACTTCACTAAGTAGCAAATCCTTTATCACATTATTAATACCATTATTATGATTCCCAAAAAGGTATAAAGATATTAGCCATATATTGCCATTTTAGAGATATAATTTTGAAATCTCATAAGAATGTACAATAGTACATTTTTGTATTTGGACAGCCAGCACCTTGAATTTCTCAAAGCAAGCATCTAAAAGGTTGTATAATATAAGAGTGGTAATCTGCTATAAAATAATCTTGATATACATTGAGAGCTTTCAAATTGAGCCTAAATTCCTAATTTTTCAAATATCTTATATTCAATCTTATATTACTTTGTTCAAGAATGAAAAGTTTTAATTTGGCTCTTGGTATCTTCACAAAGTCGACATTGAGGACAGATGGACAGTTGGATGGAAGCTTCACAATATCCCAACAGAACTTTGTTCATTAAGACACTAATAATTAATCAAATATCGATAATCAGATATCAATCAACAAGAAGCCATCAAGACTTGTAAATTGATGGAATTTGAGAATGTAAACCACTTGTGCGTCATAGAAACCTTTTAGTCCATGGATTAAATCATCCTGAACCAATTTTACCTTAACATAGTAATAGAACTCCGGACAGCTACTTAAGAATCATGTAATATCTTTGGCTTTTCTTCCTCAAATTCTTTTCAAAAAAAGCTAAAGGAATTTCATCTGAACCAAAATTGGCCATTAATATTCAAAGATTTGATAAATATTGAGATTTCACTTTTCGAAGAATTATTTCTTTAGAGATTGATATGTATAAAGATTTATATTATACATTAGAGGAAAAGTAAAGTGAAGACTACAAAATAATTTGAGGGTGAATAATATTTGCAAGAAGTGCCACAAGAACCGAAAACAGGGAAAGCAGCACCAAGGGACTTAGATGAGCAAATATTTGATAATACAGAAAACCCATAAAGTGTTTCAACAATGGAATCATAGTGAAGATAATAATTTCGTGTATATGGTTATCACAAATACAATACTCAGATGACTTAAAAGCGCTATAATTGGAATTTAGGCAACTTCAAACTTTAACAATAAGGACAAAGAACATCAAAAATATTCAAGAGATGACAGTAAAAAGCTTACTGAGTGACTTTGCAAAAACTACAACTGGCCATGGCTGGGGAAATATTCATGAGAGAAAATCTATGTGTACAAAAGTAGCATGGTTAATTTTCTGTATAGCAAGTACACTTGCCTCTGTGGGCCATGTCACATCAATCATCTACAGGTACAGTCTCTTTGAGACAAAGGACAGAGTGTTAGTTCAACGCCAAGATCTTTTATTTCCCTCGGTGACAATATGTCCACTGACCCAGATGTCTAAACAAGGTATTTTGAAATATTTTGAAGATGTCAGCATTGAAGAAGATGAAACAATATCATCTATGACTGCATTACAAAAATTACTTGCAGATATGGGTGAAATAGATCACAACAAAACCTTATTAAGTGAGGTATCTTCCGAAAGACAACAATTCTATGAAAAATTCTTCAACAGACTGTATACCTATAATGGATTTTATGAAAATGTACCAACAGTCACAAAATATGGCCATAATAAACATGATTTTATCTCATCCTGTACGTATCAGGGAAAACCCTGTTCTGATGAAGATGTGCATTCACTAATACATAGTCATTATTACAAATGTTTTACATTTAATGACATCAATACCACACTTTCTAACCCTTATAGCAATACAACTGGACCGACAGGTGGCCTTTCACTGCAATTATTCCTAGACACTGACGAGAATATATATGCAATATATAACCCAGAACACCCAACTTCTGGAAATCAAGGTGTGAGAGTTGTCATACATGAGAAAGGGACACTACCAGATCCAGAAAATGAGGGATTTGAAATTGAACAGAGTCATTCAGTTAATGTGGCATTGTCTGTTACTCGACGTGAATTGATGAAACCACCTTGGGGCGAGTGCACTGAACACCCTCTATTAGATGAAGATGGATACACATTCAACACACGGGTTTGTCAAATGAGATGTCTCCAAAAGATGGTTTATAAATCATGTGGATGTAAACGTGGATCATTACCAATGTACCCAGATGTTGAAAATGTACAATTCTGTAACAAAATTCAGTATAACGAATGGATAAAGAAAAATCCAAATATAACATCACTACTCTACGATTTGGAGAAGCTACAATGTGGCATGACAGAATACAACTTGGATGTTGTACTTGGCCAAGATGACTGTCAATGGAAGGACAATTGCAGCTACAACACATATGACATGACACTCTCACAATCCCAATGGCCAAAAAAGGGGGTAGAACTTGACTTTTATTGCCGTAAGATTATACACCTCCCAAATTATAACAACTCCAGTGTTTATAAAGCTTTTCATGACCAAATGGAACCACTGTGCACAAACATATATTCTGATTCTAATTCTAATTTCACAAACTGGAATGGAGTGAAACAAGAAGTTGGAGATCAGCTACGAGAAAATTTTATCCGCTTAAATGTATACTTCAAAGATTTAGAGACAAAAATAATTAAACAGGAACCTGATTTTGCACTTGGATCTATGATATCAGAGATTGGTGGAAGTCTTGGAATATTTATAGGAGTGTCTATAATTACCATTGCTGAGGTTTTCATACTTTGCTTAAGTATTATAAGGGTATTAGGCGAAAAGTCAAAAGTCATGTCAACACCAGATCCAAAAGGTGTAAAACAGTGGCCATAGTTAAGCTGAACGCTAATATTATGATTATGAGTACATAACATTCTCATGTTAATAAATGTTGTAATTTATCCACATTGATTTGAGGAAAGGCATTGGGTATTAGATGTGGTGAGTGACATCCATTCAGGGTAAAAATGTTTAATATATGTGTAATAAAGTTTAATAATGATGTTTGGGACTGTTTCAAAAAACTTGTTTTGTCATATTTTAAAGGTTTACATGAAATACACACAAGGGTTTGATTTCTCAGTGGTTTGAAAACCAATGTCATCTGTTAAAAGGACATGTAAGATGGAAATACATGTAGTAACTTTCTAATATTAAGTTTAAAACAGGCATTTACCATAGTATTGGACCAAAATGAATAGGTTTGTAAAATTGTATTTTTAAATTATAATTTATGATGTTCGTTGTTTGATTACATGGCTCTTACATGACCAATTTTGTTCTTGTAAAAATAACATTAGAATGATAAAAATGTTCTAATGGTGTAATATCAGGGGAATGCAAGCCTGTCATGTCAGCTTTCCAATAATACAAATTTTGCCTTTATCAATGATATATATATACACAGTGTATATCTGGTGTTCCAAAAAATGAATCGCCTTTTGACAAGTGTTTTCTCAGCCACTGATAGCTCAAATTCATCGAAAAAGTTTCTGGAGTAGCCTTAGGGTATCATAAGTAATTTGTAAAAATATAAAAGAGATCAAAGATATTATGTGAGAATAAACAATTTAAAAATGGATATAAAAAACCAATATCAATGGAAAAAACACTTATTTCAGTCTGAAAGTAGCTGTTTTTCCAAGCAGAAATGCCTTTGTGTATTTTTCCATAGATATCACCTCCAATAACATAATTATCTTATTCCTTAATGTATGTTGGATGTACTGCATTTTTGTTCAAACGTTTATTGACAGTAGCATGACTCTAACTCTTGCCCTCAATTCCTTTATGATTGATCTTCAGACCAAACCTTTCATCTTGGAACAGTTTTCAATAGTAGCCTTATCCCTTATCACTCAATGACATTGTTTATCCCTCAAAACTGAAATTTCGGGACAGATCATATTTTGGAAACCAAAAATAATGAAACAAATCAATAAACCTGACATACAGACAAGCTGTTTTGAGACTAAAACTGATTGATAGATTCAATCACCTGATACCAGGTATTTTAGCTCATTGCCTGGATAGAGAAACATTTTGTCTTAATTCCGCTGAATGGATGGATGCAAGGCTTCATAATATCCCTATAGAACATTGTTCATTAAGATATTAATAATTGATCTAATATCAATAAAAAGCCATCAAGAAATATAAAATGGTGGAATTTTATTGTTGCACTCCTGTGAATCATGAAAACCTTTAAGTCAAATACTTAGTAGTAAAGAGTTACAATTCAATATCAGTAATGGAGAGTCAGAAACAAACTCAATATATAACAGCCACATTTCAGTCCATATAATATAAGTGTTAAGCTTATGCTGATATAATCAATTCAAAGTGATGTGTTTTAAGAACTCAAAAGCTTTAAGAGATTTTACCTGACACAAGAATGGGCATTTATTCAAAGATTTGAGAAATACTAAGATTTCAGATTTCTAAAAACAATTTTAGTATCTGTAGAGATTGATATGAATAAAGATTTACAATAAGCATTAGAGGGGATGTGCAGGGAAGAATACAAAATTATTTGATGCTGAAAGCATCATAAGGGACTATATACAAGAAGCACCACAAATCTGTGAAATAAAGAAAATAAATAATTGGAAATTCCAAACAGCACCAAAGGACTTGGATGAGCAAAAAATTCAAAAGTGAAATCCACACACTTTGACAACTAAACAGAATCAAAATTAACATTATGATGTGTCAGAAACCTGAACCTGCCTAGCCATGGTTTCTAGGATAATTTACTTGTTCAAGACAATAATGTATTTATTGATTGTAGTCATATAAGTGACTTTAAAGCACAATGACTAGAATACAGATATATTTCAGTTGAACACAAGCACAGGGACCATTGAATAAGAAAGTGTGGCTATTATTCAAAAGCCAAATGGTACAAATACTACAGTGCCTTCTCTCTAATATCGACTTATTACGTGCATTAAATATAAACTTAGTGATATGAACATAGTGATGACTTAATCAATACAAATAACAGTGTGATCATATTTTACACAAAAGCTACAGGAAGTTAATCTTAATCAAAATTGGCCACATATTTAAAGATTTGAGAAATATTGAGATTTCAGATTTCTAAGAAAAAGATTTACAATAAACATTAGAGGAAAAGCAAAGTGAAGAATAAAAACCATCTTATGATGAATCATAAGTGACTTTGAGAGAAGTGCTACAAGAACAAAAAACAGGGAATATAGAAAATAAATTATTTTATTTCGCAAGAAGGACCAAGAGACTTAGATGAGGAAATATTAAAGGATAAGTGAAACCCATAAAGTGGCTTGACAATGGAATCACAAGTGATACTTATTGATGACTAAAATTTACAAGTATATGATTATCATGATCACAATACTAAGTTGACTTAAAAAAGCACAATAACTGGAATATAGGTACCTTCAAGTTAAAAACAATTGGAACAAAAAAACATTAAAAACACTCAAGAGATGACAGTAAAAAGTTTACTGAGTGACTTTGCAAAAACTACAACTGGCCATGGCTGGGGAAATGTTCATGAAAGAAAATCTATGTGTACAAAAGTAGCATGGTTAATTTTCTGTATAGCAAGTACACTTGCCTCTGTGGGCCATGTCACATCAATCATCTACAGGTACAGTCTCTTTGAGACAAAGGACAGAGTGTTAGTTCAACGCCAAGATCTTTTATTTCCCTCAGTGACAATATGTCCACTGACCCAGATGTCTAAGCAAGGTGTCGTGAAATTTGCTCAAGATACCACAGATGAAGATGAAACAGTTTTATCTATATCTGCTTTACAATTGTTTCTTATAGACATGGTTCAAATAGACAAGAACTTGTCCTTATTAAATGAGGTATCCTCAGAAAGACAGCAATTTTACGAAAAGTTCTACAACAGGCTGTATACCTACGAGGGTTTTTATGAGAACATACCAACAATCACAAAATATGGCCATAAGAAACATGACTTTATCTCATCCTGCATGTATCAAGGAAAATACTGTTCTGATGGAGATATCCATTCAGTTATACATAGTCATTATTATAACTGTTTTACATTTAACGACATCAATACCACACTTTCGAACCCTTACAGCAATACAACTGGCCCAACAGGTGGCCTTTCCCTGCAATTATTTCTAGACATTGACGAGAATATATATGCGATTTACAACCCAGAATACCCAACTTCTGGGAGTCAAGGGGTTAGAGTTGTTATACACGAGAAAGGGACACTACCAGATCCAGAAAACGAAGGATTTGAAATTGAACAGGGCCATTCTGCTAATGTAGCATTGTCTGTTACTCGACGTGAATTGATGAAACCACCTTGGGGTGATTGCACTGAGCATCCTCTATTAGATGAAGATGGGTTCACATTCAACACACGGGCTTGTCAAATGAGATGTCTCCAAAAGATGGTTTATAAATCATGTGGATGTAAACGTGGATCATTACCCATGTATCCAGATGTTGAAAATGTACAATTTTGTGACAAAATTCAGATTAACGAATGGTTAGATGAAAATCCTAATACAACAGCACTACTCAATGACTTGGAGAAGCTCCAGTGTAGCATGACAGAATACGATTGGGATGTTGTACTTGGCCAAGATCACTGTCAATGTAAGGACAACTGCAGCTACAACACATATGACATGACACTCTCACAATCCCAATGGCCAAAACAGGGGGTAGAACTTGACTTTTATTGCCGCAAGATTATACACCTCCCAAATTATAACAACTCCAGTGTTTATAAAGCTTTCCATGATCAAATGGAACCATTGTGCACAAACATGTATTCTAATTCTACGTATACAAAGTGGAATGAAGTGAAACAAGAAGTTGGAGATCGGCTACGAGAAAATTTTATCCGCTTAAATGTGTACTTCAAAGATTTAGAGACAAAAATAATTAGACAGGAACCTGATTTTGCACTTGGATCTATGATATCAGAGATTGGTGGAAGTCTTGGAATATTTATTGGAGTGTCTATAATTACCATTGCTGAGGTTTTCATACTTTGCTTAAGTATTATAAGGGTATTAGGAAAAAAGTCAAAAGTCATGTCAATACAAGATCCAAATGGTGTAAATCATGAGAAACAGTGGCCCTAGGTATCTTCGTGATTGTGTCTACATCCATTTTCATGTTAATAAAATGTTGTTTTTCCAGATGAGGTTTGGTGGAAGTTTGAGAATTTAACAGATTTCAATCAGATTTAAACAAAATCAAATTCTGCAAAAATTTTGGACAGCAAAATTTTGAGATTTTTCTGTGGTAACGCATAATAATAGAATACTAGTGTATGTATAAAATATAATTATCCAATATCGAGAAAAGTTCAATCATGTTGACTCCTTCATTGCAAGCTGTTGATATTGTGCTTTTTTAAATAGATCTCACACCCTAGAAGCAGGCCAGTTCTGCGGTAAGGAGGTAAGGATTCTGGACACCTGCTTTTAGGAACACAATATGATCAATCATACATCTGTGCAAGACTGTAAGTGTTTACCAGCTGAAATAAAATCTTAATGAATTTATTAATCACATGCCCCACTTTATATTGATCACCTATTGTGAAAGTTGTAGCAATACTTAATATTCTAAATCATAGTTAAATGTGTTTGTTAAATAATTGCGATGACATAACTTTAAGCTGTTTAATAGCTTCCTTGGACAGAAGCTCCACTGAGTAGCAAATCCCATATCCCAACAAATAAAATAAGATTCCAAATAAGGTAATTTCCAAATGATTTCTTAATATATAGTCAATACCATTTTTGGGATACACTCTTGAAACCTTTCATACAAGGAAGAAAAGGTTGAGTTTTGCATTTGAACAGTAATCTTGTATTTTACAAAGCATGGATCTATACAAGAGTGCTAATCTGTCAAAAATACCCTTGACATGCGTATAATATAGGCATAATATCTGCAATCTACTTTTCTTGGATATCTTTTATTTGAGAATAATGAAGATATACTTTGAGAGCTTTCAAAATGAACTTATTCCTCATTTGTTTTATGTATAATATACATCTCACATTACCTTGAATTAGAACAAATAAAGCAAAAATTTTAAATTGCTCGGATGTGGCGCCAAATTGAAAAAATCTAAAATTGTGACAATACATCTGAAATTTAAACATGCAACAATTAAAATCAGATCCTGTATGGTAGGTTGGTTGGTAGAAATTACACAATTCCCAACTTTTAACGAAACATGAGGGAACTGGTCTTATACATGTAGTATTTCATGATCAGCTATTGACTGAACAGACAGACATCTTGTTTTGAGTGGTTGCTCTTGGTATCACCATTAAGTCTAAATCAAGGACTGGTGGACAGATGGACAGAACGCTTCACTATATCCCTACATGACTTAGTCAATTAAGATATTAATAAATAATCTAGTATCAATACAAAGCCATCAAGACATGTAAAATGGTGGAATCATTGTAGAATGTTCCTGTCCTGTGCGTCATAGAAACCTTTTAGTCCATTTATTCAGAACCAACTGACTAATAATCATTTAATAGCTAATTAATGAAATATAAGTAAGAAGTGAGCTATTATTCAAAAGCTTTGGTAGAAATATAACAAAGTACCTTTCACTAATAGCAACCTATTATATGCATCAAGTATAAACTAATGTAACTTAACAACAGTTTAATCAATACACAAGTTATCATGTTTTTATGAACTCACTCTAACCTAAAGGGATTTAATCTGAAACAAGAATGGCCATATATTCAAAAATTTGAGAAGTATTGAGATATCAGATTTTCAGGAATTATTGTATTTTCATTAGAGATTGAGTTGACTTAATATTTACAATAAACATTAAAGGAAAAGTGAAGTGAACACAAAATCATGTGATGGTGAAAGAATCATAAGTGACTTTGCAAAAAGCAAACAGGAAAATATATGAATTGAAATTATTGGAATTCCAAAGCAGAACCAAAGGACTTGGATGAGGAAATATTTCTTTGTTATAAGTGAAACTCATTTGCTTTGACAATAGAAGCAAAGTTAGTATCACCTGACAGCAGAAACAACAACTGTGTGACATTGGTTTCTCATAGTGATACTTATTGAAGACGATCAATAATCTACAAGGATTTGTGGATCATAATCACAATACTCAGGTGACTTTAAAGCACAATTATTGGAATAAGGGTACTTTTCAATTTTAAAGAACAATCACAAAGAACACTGAAACTATTCAAGAGATGACAGTAAAAAGTTTACTAAGTGACTTTGCAAAAACTACGACTGGCCATGGCTGGGGAAATATTCATGAAAGAAAATCTATGTGTACAAAAGTAGCATGGTTAATTTTCTGTATAGCAAGTACACTTGCCTCTGTGGGCCATGTCACATCAATCATCTACAGGTACAGTCTCTTTGAGACAAAGGACAGAGTGTTAGTTCAACGCCAAGATCTTTTATTTCCCTCAGTGACAATATGTCCACTGACCCAGATGTCTAAACAAGGTATTTTGGAACTAACTCAAGATTCCATCAACGGTGAAGATACTTATTTATCTATATTTGCATTACAAACATTACTTGCGGATATGGTTAAAATAGAGCAGAATTCAACATTGTTAATGGAGTTATCCTCAGAAAGACAACAATTATATGAAAAATTCTTCAGCAGACTGTACACCTATAATGGATTTTATGAAAATGTACCAACAGTCACAAAATATGGCTATAAGAAACATGACTTTATCTCATCCTGTATGTATCAAGGAAAATCCTGTTCTGATGAAGATGTGCATTCAGTTATACATAGTCATTATTACAACTGTTTTACATTTAATGACATCAATACTACACTTTCTAACCCTTATAGCAATACAACTGGCCCAACAGGTGGCCTTTCACTGCAAATATTCCTAGATACAGATGAAAATTTATATGCCATATACAACCCAGAATACCCAACTTCTGGGAGTCAAGGCGTGAGAGTTGTCGTACATGAGAAAGGGACACTACCAGATCCAGAAAATGAAGGATTTGATATTGAACAGGGCCATTCAGCTAATGTAGCATTGTCTGTTACTCGACGTGAATTGATGAAACCACCTTGGGGCGAGTGCACTGAGCACCCTCAATTAGATGAAGATGGGTTCACATTCAACACACGGGTTTGTCAAATGAGATGTCTCCAGAAGATGGTTTATAAATCATGTGGATGTAAACGTGGATCATTACCAATGTACCCTGATATTGAAAATGTACAATTCTGTAACAAAATTCAATATAACGAATGGTTAGATAAAAATCCAAATAGAACAACACTACTCTACGACATAGAGAAGCTACAGTGTGGCATGACAGAATACAATTGGGATGTTGTACTTGACCAGGATGACTGTCAATGCCAAGACAACTGCAGCTTCCACACGTATGACATGACACTCTCGCAATCTCAATGGCCAAAAAAGGGGGTAGAACTTGACTTTTATTGCCGCAAGATTATACACCTCCCAAATTATAACAACTCCAGTGTTTATAAAGCTTTCGATGACCAAATAGAACCACTGTGCACAAACATGTATTCCAATGCTACTACAACAAAGTGGAATGAAATGAAACAAGAAGTTGGAGATCGGCTACGAGAAAATTTTATCCGCTTAAATGTGTATTTTAAGGATTTAGAGACAAAAATAATTAAACAGGAACCTGATTTTGAACTTGGGTCTATGATATCAGAGATTGGTGGAAGTCTTGGAATATTTATTGGAGTGTCTATAATTACCATTGCTGAGGTTTTCATACTTTGCTTAAGCATTATAAGGGTATTAAAAGGAGAGTCAAAAGTCATGTCAATACAAGATCCAAACGGTGTAAATCATGAGAAACAGTGGCCATAAGTAAGCTGGAAAAGCTAATTTCTGATGTTGTGTACATTATACTTTCATAAATGTTGTACTTTATCCACAATTTCACATTAGTTGCAAGGTATGGAGGGATATCAACAATGTATAAAAATGATGATTCAACAATTAAAATGATGGCAATTTTGTATCATTGCGAAAATTTTAGACATTATGGATATCTTATAAAATCAAAGTAGTTGGCTTTAATATTTCAATTCAAATTGATTATACTTTTGGAGGAATTTGGCCCTTGTGCTTGGATATTTATTTCTGTTGTTGTCAATGTTGTTATTTTCTTTGTCCTCTTTTTCTTTCTTTCTCTTTTTAGTTTCTTCTTTCTTGGTCTTCTTACTTCCTGTACTCTTTTCCTTGGTCTTGCTTTATTTAGGTCTTTAGGCTTGTAATTACGCATTAGTGGATTAATTGAAAGCTTTTTATACCAGTAAACCTTCCCTTCCCTTTTGTCTTTATCCATGTTTATTTTTGTTATTTTTTCTTCCATAGTTTTACTTCATTTAGGAAATAGACAGATGCACAGACAAGTGGGTGATAACAATAGCTCATCCATGTTAGCTAACAATAATTATAAGCCTTCGTTTAGATATGTTAAATCGTTAAAATTGATTATTCCAATTCATTTTATTCAATAATTTCTTATTGTAATAGGCTTCTGACTTTCTTGCAAAGCATGTTTGAGATGTCATTGCATGTTCTGGTTCATTTTCGCTGCAAATATGCAGGTTTAGTATTGTGAACATAAAGTTTTCTATTTTATGGTTATATTATTTGGGAGAATTTAAACAATTTTTTCCCATTTCGGAAATTTAAATCCTTAATAACTTCACCAATTAATAACATATTGTGGAACTGTAATAAATATTTAAAAAAAATCTTTGGGTTGTTATTAATATGCATTTCAACACATTTTTGAACTATAATCAAATGCAAATAACAGCTACCAGATTAACCAACTATTTTATGATTTTAACTCATTTAAATACAAATAATACCTGCCACTATTCCATTGATATTCAAATGAATTAGCAATAAAGTATTAGGTTAATACGGTAGCTAACAGCCATTGGTTGCATTCGCAAATACAAGCTTAGTAAATTCGAAAATTATAGATTGTTAGCAGTGCTATGTATAGAATACCAATGCATCTTAGATGTATGAAATGTTTTCCTTAAAATTTACTTTTTAAACAATGATAATTCTTTAAAAAGTTAAAAACATATTTCACAAGGTCTATTCAAAATATCCCAAAGGGGCAGGTACGTTATTTCAAGCTTTTCTAGACAGCTCTTTCTTAGTTCTAATAATAATTTGACCACAAAAACAAATGTGTTTGGCCAATATGTTATCTTCAATAAGAGGCAATGGAATGAAAGTAAAGTCAAATGGATTGTCTCATTAGCTGTCACTAATCCACCCATCATCACCAATTTTCCACAATTATGAGCCGATTTTCACCAAAAATGTCAATTTTTACTACTAAATAGAAATGTACTATAAGTCATGATTTACCTCTGACCTTACCTATTTTGTTATTTTGGAGATCAATTATGTAATATTGGACCTCAAGTTTCCATTGTTTTCAGATTATCCTAATCCCAAGGGGACTCACTTTTCCTTTTCAGAGGTAAATCATGACTTACAGTACATGTACATTTCAATTAAGTTGGTGAAAATTGGTGATGATTGGTGGATTAATGACAGCTTATCTCGCGGCTGCGTTTGATACTGTTCCGCATAAACTACTTATTCATAAGCTCAGAAGTTATGGTTTTTGCAATAATCTTATAAAATTGATTAGTTCTTACCTCACAAATAGAAAAATTAGAGTTTCTATCAACGGCTCCTCAACTGAATATTCAAATCATGATGATATAAATGCAGGTGTTCCCCAGGGATCAATCCTGGGACCTTTGCTCTTTCTCTTATACATTAATGATTTGCCAGACAATTTAAACTCAAGAAGCTACATTTATGCCGACGATACGTCCATTTACTTCACCTATATGAAACATTCTCCAAATAACAGCAGACTTCTTCAAAATGACTTAAACACCCTTGAACAATGGTCTCAGTTATGGAAAATGCACTTTAAAGCTGAGAAGAGCAGAGATTTGACCTTTAGAACAATAGGAACTCCAAAGCCAGTTCACCAGCCTTTGACCCTCTCAAATCAAAACATTCCTATAGTTGATAGCCACAAACACATAGGTTTTCACTTGGACGACACACTTTCGTATGAAGTTCATGTAAGAGAACTAACTGCAAAGGTCCAGAAAATGTTAAATCCCTTAAAGGCCATTAAAAATAAAGTAAAGTCAGCTCACCTTGATCTTATTTACAATTCTTATATTTCTCCACACTTCGATAACTGTGACATTTTATACCACGGCAGTAACAAAACAACCTTAAAATTGCTAGATACCTTGCACTATACAGCTGCAATCTTAGTATCTGGAGCTCTGCATGGATCAAATGGCGACAAACTTTTGAAAATTCTAAACTGGCCAACTTTAGAAGCCAGACGATTATCACACATAGGTGTGTTAATGTTCAAGGTAAAACATAATATGTGCCCTTCATATATCAGACTTATTTTTAGACTTTTGACACCTGTACCAATAGGAATAGAGTTAAGGGATAGGCCAACCTATCACATCCCATTACATATTTCTACCAGGTTCAAGGATAGTGGAGCTATCCTTTTTTCTAAAATTTGGGACTCCTTACCATTACAGCTCAGGCAGGTGCCTACTATCTCTTCTTTCAAAGGCCAAATCAAAAAGCACTTCCAAAATTTTCAAAATATTCAGACAAATTCACAAAATTTATCTCTTCCCCGTAATTTAGAAATCAAACTGAACCAATTACGTGTTGGCCTCTTGTTAAATGCACATAAAATGGCCCACTCTTTTACAACTATCGATTCTGATGTATGTAGATGTGGTTTAAAACAAACCACAAAGCATTTCCTCTTACACTGTCGCCTCAACAATGATATAAGACGCCAAATGCTTGACAGGCTAAATGGATTATTTACCATGCATGACATAAATTTCTCCTTTAACAATTTAAAACAAGATGATAAATTGAAACTCTTTTGTATGGAATTAACTTTTTAAATATTGAAACAAATAGAGAAGTTTTGTCTATCACAAGTACCTTTATTAATGAATCTATCAAACTTGTTGAATAAGATCATGCTACCTATTCTTTTCACCTACTCCAACCAAACTACCAACCAACCACCAGCAGCCCATTTTTGTATTGTCAAAATCTGTCTATTTTTGTATAATTTTATTGTAGTGTGTTTATTTGTATAGTTGCCAATAATGTTTGCTTCGGCAACTTTTTGAAAAATCTTTGTAAAAAAAATTACCATGATAATAAAAAACAAAACAACAAAACAACAACAATGACAGCTTAAGAGATAATCCGTTCGACTTTACTTTCATTCTATTGCCTCTTATTGAAGATAACATATTGGCCAAGCAAACGCATTTGTTTTTGTGGTCAAATGATTATTAAAACTTAAGTAAGAGCTGTCTAAAAGAGCTTGCAATAACAAACCTGCCTTTTTAATATAAAATTGACATTGGATGGTGCTCAAAGACTTCTTTGGCAAATGAGGTGATTTGAAGTAATTTTATATCCAAATTGGAATAAATTTGAGAACACTTCCAGGTAGTACATGCTTGGCTGTAGCCAGCTTTTACTAAGGGGGAAGCTTTTTTCAAGGGGGGTTACAGTTTTGGCTAAAAAATCATGGGAAAAATGCTCAAAAAACTGCATGATTTTGGAAGAATTTCCAGCCAGGGGTAGAGCTACCGCTCCCTCAGCTCCCCCTTGGCCTTGGACCTGTACATGTACATGTATATGACAAACAGGATTATATAAAATCCAATATATATGCGGAACATATTCACTGGAACTGTAATCTTTACACTACATGTAGTTACTAAATGGTTTCCCAAAAATCATAAAATATATACTTTTTCAATCAATTTATGGTTGGTCTTGTATAAGTAGAACACAGTTGTATCCCATCTCCTTGCTTAATGACTTATTTCTAAATACCCATGTCAACACTTAAGTTTAATCTCCAATAGGTTTAACAATATAGTTTTCAAATCAAATCAAATCAAACATTAGGCATTAATCTGCAAAATTTGCCATTTGTTACAGATGCCAACCGCTGAACACCAACCACCGACCGCCTACCACCATCCACATTAAAGTTGGAAACTATACCAATATGTCAATGGTGACATAATAATCACATCTAATGACATGTTGAAAGAAAGATATAAGCATGGCAAGATATGCTGTAATGCCAATTTTCAAAAAGTAACTCTCAAATCATCTACAAGTTTAAGCATTGTAACACTTTCTAATTACATGATAATTGATGAATGAGAAATAGTTTCTACAATTGTTATATATACGAGGGTTGTCCCAGAAGTAATGCACTATATGCTCTAACTTAATCAATAATTGATATTTTTCCATGAAATTTTCAGTAAATCTTCCTTAGATACATTTTGATTATTCTACAAATTTTCATGTTGACTGATAAAACTATATTGATGTTATAATAAAATCAAGTTGGTGTGTTTGGGTAGGGCGGGGCAGGTTATACAATCACGTCAAATGGAATAAAAAAAATTGAAAATATGAAATAATTAATCAACAATACCATTTTGTGTAGCTATAAGAAGTTGGCTCAAAAATATATTGTAAGATACTAAATTTCTATGAGCACATCTTAGATTTAATTGATGAATATTGCACAGTGTCCCATTTCATATTTTCTCAAAATATTGCCCTTTGCATGTTATGTACTTTTGATGCCTGTCAGGTCAAACACTCTTGGCAAATTCTTCCACTTTGACTTGTGGAGTTTTTGTCTCCCATGTTTGGAGTTGTCATCCAGGGCCCAGTCATCTCTTTTAAATCTCTTCTGCCACCTCATAATTGTAGTTCTATCTGGTTTATACTCTTAAAATAATCTTTTCATGGTGGCATAAGTTTTGCGTGGCTTTGAGTCCAAGTAAAGTATGAAATTAGGCCACTAAACGCAAATCCTTCTGTTATCAGGTGAGAATTGCAGCCATTTTTGCAATTTCTTGACCTTGACTGTATTAGAATTTGTGACCATTGAACTGTTGTATTATGACATCACAGTGCTAAATGTCATTATTTGTACTCGGTAAGCATCATGTTGAATAAATTTAACAATTTCTCAAACATTTTGATCATTTAGATGAAAGAAATATTAATAAAATAACACTTTGAATCTTTTCATAATTAGAAAAATTGGTACCTGCCCCGCCCACCCCTACCCCCATGTTGCTATAGCAACCATATTAAGACTTAATACTAATGTTTGATGCTGAAACTTCAGGACAGTATAGATAAAAATTCAATTGTTATATACATAAAATTTCAGCTGAATTGAAGTATATTAAAGAAAGTTAGAGCATATAGTGCATTACTTCTGGGACAACCCTCGTATATTTATGTTAATGTGTTGTCCATACCTTTTGATTTGATTTTCTTGGCTGCCAGATAAAGGAACAGCACAATGACTAGGCCACCTATAGCCAAGGTAATCATAATATTCTGAAAGAAAAAGAAAATTATTAACATAAAATGTAAAATAGGTGAAAACCCTCAGACTTCATTTTATTCTATGTAACAACAGTTTGATATCCAGATTTGCTATATGGCTATTGGCTCTCTAGCCAAGTTGCTAGAAAAAAAATTGAAGCTCTAGCTACAGCCATTATCTTATTAAACATGTTAATCTCTTAGATGGAACAGAATGCAAGTGGATGACAGGGGCATTGTTTGATACTTTCATCATTCTCATTTCTTAAAGCTAAACATTTGCAGCCTTCGATAAGATTGAGACCTACCATGATGAAAGAGATACTCAATGATACTGGCTAATGATTGTCAAATCTCTTCGAGATGCATGGAAATATACAAATCACCAGGTCTTTCTACAGGTCCAAAAGCATTTTGAATTCTTAACTTTTAAAAAGAATAGCTTTGGCATTGAAGACGAAAGTTTTAATTACATCATTGGTAGAATCATCTTTTTTATCTTGAAAACACTAGCTATAAGCTTATGAAACTGCCAAACACTGACCAAAGTGAAGACATTATAAATTCATGGGAAATCAAATCAAATCAAAAAGATATCACCATTTGTCAATTTCTGGTATTGCACAAAAAGGTGAACTGTTGTGATGTTCCAATTTCATTTTGTTGAAATAAATGTTAATCATTTTTCAATTTTTCGTTTTTACAAAGACCCCCCACGAAGTGCGGTTCTTTGTACCTTATTCCGGACATGGACCAGTGGATCGGTCAAGTGACCTAAAGACCGCCTTTATTACCTTATATGGCAAATTGTCAAGGGAACTACTAAGTCGTCATATGACGCGATTACGGATCGATTGTGTTTCCAAGTAATGTCGTCATGTGACGTAGAACGCATTGTCCGCCATTGCTCTCAATTTTGTCTGAACGGGTAAGCGTATTTTAACATTTCTGTCATTTAAAGCCTGGTTTTCAGTATTTATAATCGAATTTCACTTCAACTTGATTGTAGAAATGAATAGAATTGTAACTTCTTATTTTACTGAATCATTATTCGAGTCAGAAGTGGCCCAAAATCAATTTATGAACTTGAAGAAATTTAGTTACTCATGGTTCAACGAGTTTTTCAGATGGTTCAAATAGTCAACACTGATTCCTAATGTTCTGTAAATGGTTAGTATGATGCTATGCTGGTCGCAAGGAGAGGTATCAAAAGTTCAATGTCTGATAGGAAGCTAAATTAATCTAGTTTTGCGTTTGACCCCCTCCCCCCAAAAAACGTGATCATCGCGGACTTTTCGCGTGTGGACTTTCGTGGATTTTGGATTTTCATTGGGATATTACCATAACGTATGTAGGCTACAATTTAGAATTCTTAAAACATGTGACAACAACAGTAAACAGCATTTGCAGAAAACATCAAATAAACTCTTTATTTTAAAACCATTCAAAGGAATTCTGATCCGAGTCAAAATTGCACAAAAATTGAAATGTTAAAATTTGTCTGATAGCAAACTGAAATGGCTTTGACCCCCACCCCCCTTCTAGATTTATTTAGTTTTATAGGCTTATCCGTCGATATTGAACCTTAGATGCCTCCCGCCAGACTTATGTCACGAGACTGGCTATTACCATCTACATAAGAAGTGAACGATAGTTTTTTAAACTGGAAGGTCAAGGTCGGAACTCAAATGAATATAGACTGCCCCAATTCATTTCTTTTTCAGAAGAACGCCAACAACAACAAGATCCTATGCATACGACCACGCACACCAACAACAAGTGCAACAACAAATAACGCAAACAATTATAAAGGTTATGTCAACAAAGACATTATATTACAAATCAGATGTGAAATCGGCAAAACTTGGGCATCTAAGGTTCAAGGTCGGAACTCAAATGAATATAGACTGCCCCAATTCATTTCTTTTTCAGAAGAACACCAACAACAACAAGATCCTATGCATACGACCACGCACACCAACAACAAGTGCAACAACAAATAACGCAAACAATTATAAAGGTTATGTCAACAAAGACATTATATTACAAATCAGATGTGAAATCAGCAAAACTTGGGCTCAGTAGACAATAAAAAAGTTTACTGTAGAAGTGTACATGCTAAGGTGTCAAGGTATGTATCAAATCAAGAGATCAAAAGACTAAAAGCTAATGTATATTTTGTAACAATAGAGAGGTAAAGCAATACCATTTTTATTACATGAACCACAAACGTAAATTTATACATTACCGTTTTCGTTCTGTGAACGTGCTACTTTAAAAACGGAGGAAACGTAATTTGTAGGTCTTAAACTTAAAACTGGTTTATTCCTTTTTGCTAGTGGTCTCTGTTTTATTTTCTATTTATGACAAAGTAATAAGAGTGTTTCGACCCTTCCAAGCCGCGGTTTATGTTGCAAGAAGTACTAATACAATAATATTGTATTTAAAAAACTATTAGTATGAACTGTATGAATACATGAAATATCTACATCCAAAGGTATAAATGTTGTACAAAGACAGGCAGGAAATGTATTGACTAAGGCCACACATATAAGATATGCTTTTATCTCATATTTCCAGGGCACGGTAATAATAACAAAGGTCAAGAAGGATGATGTACATTAGAACTTTCCACAGAGTCCAAATGATGTCACGACAAGATCCAATGAGTTTCAATCAGGGTCCAGATGTCATTCACTAGGGATTTAATTGGACTTTTTGAGATTTGTTGTATATTTTTGGGCTATAAGACGCCACAATATACTGAAATATGTGCTTAAGTTACATGATTGTTTTATGTCACCGTGTAGAGATGGTGACATAATGAAGTTTGTTAGAGTTTATTCGTATATTTAAACTTTTTCTTGGTAATGCAACACTGCATCAAAACACAAAAAAAAAACAGATATAGAAATTGTGTTCACAGTTTGAAAATCTGATTTAAAACTCCTTGCAAAATGAAACATAACGTAAAAGAGCACGAAGCGCTATCTATATTGTTCTTGGTAAAAAAGTCATTTACAAAAATAACAATAGAGTTCCTTACTTGTAAGTCACCCTATACCAGTATACCCTATACCAGTCACAGTATACCAGTAGCCTAATAGTATAAGTGGCGCTACATACTTCTGTGACAATATAACCATTTACTTAATAGATTCCACTAAAAGCAACATTTCACTATCACTCCATCTTTTCCGCCCCTTATACCTAACTTCGGGTCTTTGTAGTTTTTCAGTGATTTTTTCACTGGATTATCTTGTTGAGTTGGCACAATCTGCCCATTTTTAATTTTCAGATTTGCTTTTATTGCCCATGTGTATACTGTACATGTATAAATAAAAAGACTTCATTCAAAGATAGCACTGCTATTCTAAATGCAGAGATCTATCCAGCATTAAACAGTTCAGGCAAGTGGATGCTGCACCCACTTGAATTTAAAATTAAAAGGCTTGCACCCACCTGAAAATCAATTTACACCCATGAAAAATATCATGAAAAATAAATGTAGGTAAATGTAGGTAAACTGTGAAAATAAGATTCCGATGAATTTCACTTAAAAATGTGATGTCATAGTTTATATGATACATGTATGTCACCTCTTTGAATCACAATCACTTCATATGATGATGTGTTAGTTGCCTTGAAGATTTGCCATAAAAGCTTGTAAGGGTTGGACTTAGGTCTCATGAATGTTTCAAAGCCATTCCATAGTAAGAAAAGGTCACCGCCCATGGGGGGCCTCTGTAAAAAACCTTTCTGATCATACATCAATAGGCGGTGACAGGTCATCTCAAACCCAAGTCAACTCAACCCCAAGTCAACTCAACCCTATAAAACTCAATCCCAGTAAAACTCAACCTCATTCATTTCTCCAATGTCTTTAGTTCTCTTGTTCATTTACTATAATAATCTAGCTTTTTACATGTTTTAATAAATGATACTTTGTTGAAATATTTGGCAGAGAGACAAACATCTTTTAAAATCAAGTTTTAGGAAATACAAATATGATATTTACCAATGTTAATGTATTAACAGAATTATTAAAGATCAATAGTATCAACCTGAAAGATATTAAAACAAAACAATCTTATTAATAAGATTCAAATATAAAATATGAAAAATGACATGATGATGTGAAATAAAATTAAATCACTCTTATTCCCTGTAATAACCCCTCGCTAATCATTCAGTGTTTTGCAGTTGCTGTTATTCTATTAGTCCCACATATTAATCCTAGCATGACCATGCTGACAGTTTGGAGCTTTGGAGATCACGCTCATTATTAACTATATATATAAGGCAGGTCTTAGATCAGAAATCAAAATTTGAAAAAAATTATTTTATTCAACAAACTTGAATATCACATAAAATCCGAATTTGTCAGTGCTAAAATATATCGGGGTTGAGTTTTACAGGGGATGAGTTGACTGGGGGTTGAGTTTTCCAGTGGTTGAGTTGACTTGGGGTTGAGTTTTAATTACAGGGGTTGAGTTGACTTGGGGTTGACATGACCAGGAAGCTTTGGCTATATTGCTACCTTCATTATCTTGTTTGATAGAGTTTCACAATGTAACCAGTATTTTCAGTAGGTTTGTCCAAGATTGCGTCCCTGGGACGTAACAATTTTCAAAAACTGCGTCTCCCCTCAAAAAACTGCGTCCCTTGAAAAAATGTTCCCGGGAATTCAAAGTCACGCTTTTACACTGGACGAAATAAAATTGATGAAATTTTGTATCACTTTTGCTATTTATCGGTCTAAATCAGTGTTCTAGCAAGTCTAGTATGTCATTGAATGATACAGATACCATCATTTGTGAGGTATAACTTATATTCAACCATTAGAAACACATTTTCTTTGCGAATTTCGAAGCAATTAGGGACTGATTTTGCAAAATAGTTTAGGGGCAATCAGCGTGAGGTTCAATTTTTTAGTTCAGTTTCTTGCGCATGCGCATTCTTAAATAATGATCTGGTGATCGCACTTGACCAATAGAAAATGGTTTAAATCAAGTCTTCAGCTAGCGGCCAATCGTAGGACTCGTACTGATTACTGCTTGGAAATCGAGAAATGGGCAACTATTTGTCCTTTCACATGCCAGACTCCCAAACGTCAGCTAACTCTTATATTTAGCATGTTAGCGACGAACTCAGGCCATGAAAAAAAATCTAGTTAAACAGTAATTTAGTCTAGGGCGAAGGGGTGTAACGTCGACACCATTTTGGGGTAACTTCGACATGTGGGGTAACTTCGACTCCTTGTTGTTTATTTGATCTAATTTCCGATCTAGGGGGAAGCCATGTTTTTTTTCGCATGGATCGAGATCTCGCGAGATTTTAATTTTTCCAGAAATCAAACATGGAGGAAAATGGAAATTCTACTTCTAATACGTAAGTGTCGAAGTTACCCCGTCTATTATGTCGACATAACCCCACACATCGACATTACACCCCTTTGCCCTATACTAGGCAGAGGGTAGTTCATAACTAGACTCTGCGCGCAGGGTAAATGTAACCTTGGGTGTCAAAGGACCTATCGCATACTTGTTAGCAGACATGTGGTGAACATTACATAGATATATTAATTTTCAGTCACAAAATTGTCAAGGATATTGTAAGGAAGAATGTGATAACTTGGCTAAAAAATTAACGTTTTCACATTTCACAAGGCTTTCGTGGCAGATTATGAATAAAACATCGGCAGAACTAGCACATCGTATATTCCGATAAAGTTATATGCGTATACTTACAACAGTTATCTCAAGAGCGGACAGAGTTTCAGGAATTTGTTCCAACTTTTCACGGATTTTTTCCTGGACGTCCGCCATGTTGGATGTTTTGGAACACCGTCCAAATTTTATCAAAAACAATCGGTAGAAATGAAACTTTTATCAAAGCAATTTGATTGAATCATATAAACTAACAACTCAAATTCATTTATCTGTGGTAATGAGAAATGAAATATTGCCAGATCACTTTCTGAAAGTGACAAAACCTTACAAAAATAAATAGAATGTGTATTAGGTACACATCAATATGGAAGCTGACGTGCGAGTTATATTTTTTATCTTCTTTTTATTTACAATTTCTAGTGTAGTATCAGAAACTGTAGAAGGCCTTTATGACAAATCGGATCTAATAACATGTCTGAAATCAAATGACTTCAACCAAACCATATCAAAGTCTTCAAATCTGTGGTTGGTGGAGTTCTACTCCAGCTGGTGTGGGCATTGTATCAGATATGCTCCAACTTGGAAGGAACTTGCAAATGACATCAAAGGTAAGATACGTTTAGTTAGTTTGGAATGGATGATAACTTGAATATATTTTCATATACTGAGACTTATTCATGATTGTGATCCCATTGTTTTGGCTTATATGACATGATGGCCATGTCCTTCAAAAATAATCATTCATTGGAGACATGACAAATTACATGCCTACAAACTACTAAGATTTTCGACATCTAAAAAGTCACACGACTTTTTTGCAAAAAAAACTTCCAAAAAGTAACAGTCGCATGAATTTACATTGTCGTACTTACAAAATGATCCACCGCCTAACTTATGCACCATTGAACTCGGTAATATTGTACACATAACTATAATTACGGTATATTCCCATAGAAAACTGGGCTTGCTTTTCAACATTTCAAGCGAAAATTCTCTACGGAGCTTTTGTTTTATTGACGTAATTTTTCCAAAAAATAGGTGACGTCAGTGACGTGATAGGTTCAGTTCATCTTATTTCGAAAGGGGTGTCATCTATTTAGAATATTTATTTTCATCTTGCCCAGTCCTATATATAGCCCTTATCTTTTTTCGCTTGTAAAACCGCGTAGTAATGTTAAAATTATGAAATAGATTCTCTGAGAGTGGGGACATGTCTTCATCTCTACCATTTTGCGTTTGACACCCCTCGTTTGGGTGAGTCCAAGTAAACCGCACATCTGGGTGATTTGAAAAGGGACATTTTTTAAAAAAATCGAGCGGCAACAAAGATACTTCTGGTCAAACTGAGTTTATGACGAAACTTATGAAAGAATCAATAAAATGTAAGTGTTATACATTAGGCGGATGCCAAAAATTAAACGTGGAGCCAATTTGAAACTTCAGAATGCTTTCTGTGATTCAGATCACAAAAAAGTCGAGTGACTTTTTAGATGTCGAAAATCTTAGTTCCTTAGATCTACTACGAAATAACTTAGTAATAGGCCATTTGGGTATTTGTCACGCATTTGCTGGAAAATTTGAAGTCACAAAAGTTTTGTTTGCGTGACTGAATATGTCACGCAAATACGTATTTTACCTGATTATTGTCAAGCAAAAATATTCTGGAGAAAAACTTCAAAAAGGGATTGCCAATACAGCAAAAAAACTAACGCCGAAAAAATAAACGCATTGACATTTCACGCGGATACCGTATATGGTGTATTAATGTCACATATTTTCCTCAAAATATTTCGTACCTTCTTTGAGAGATTATTGATGAATGATGTCAACCTGACAGTGAGAAAGGGAAATGAAGAAACATAAAAATACATATTCTAGAACAAAGTAAGCCACAAGAGTTTATATAACTATTAATATACAGTTTGGGCTATAAATAAATGGGAGCTCTCAAAGAGCGGGCAGTGGGGTCGCTTTTGTCACTTTTAAAACTTCAAAATTCTCACTTTGTCACTGTTAAAATTTACTTGTCATATTTTGTCAGATTCGTTCCATTTTAGTCAGTCAAAGTATTTAATGCACTAAATAGTCTGTTATAGTCTGTTGCTGGTTAGAATAAGTCATCTTAACTTGCATCAATTTACATCCAGAATGAATTATCTATTTTTGTCACTCTCAAAACACTTGTCAGTCCAATAAAATATGTACAAAATTGTCACTTGCAAGGATTGATTTGTCACATTTGTTTGTTTTTAAGTACCCCAAAGTCCCATTTAGTCACATTTTTAGAGGCCAGGTCGCCTCATCACATTCTCCTTGGGGAGCCAGGCCTCGAAATTAGCATTGCTAAGGTAGTGATTTGCTACCTGTTTTTCCAAAAACACTACTTGTCAATTCCTCCAACTAGCTAATTTCACTAATACCTCAACTAACTACTCTCCATGTGAAAATATACAGATTTTCGATTGATTTGCCAATCAGCTGATCTTTGTTAATTCTTGTTCGAGCTGAATCACAACTTTTACAATTGCGCGAAGGCAGACCAATCATAGTTGACTTCAGTCTTTAACGGTCAATGAAATTTGTATGCAAATTGCCTTAAACCATTTACAATGTAATATGTTATTATTGCACTGCTAGGTCATAAGACTAAAGATAAACTCTCATCAAAATTATCACTACCTGCTTCTCTGAATTAGCTACCTGGAAAATTCACCAAGTAGTGAAACAACTACCTGATAAAAAAAAGTTAAGCGCGAGGCCTGGGAGCCCCTAAATGAGTAGTCAACTTTCTATCACTATTTCCAAATCATGGTGTTTTGAAAGCCCATAGTTTCCAATAATGTCTGGATACATATCCCCTAAAATTTGCTTATTTTACATTTTGGATAATCCCTTCCATTGATGTATGGTCTCTCTAAAATTCTCATATTTTTAACATGGAAAATCCTCACTTCAGCAAATCCATGACTAGGCCTAGTTATTTATTGCCCAAACTGAAGAAGCATAATGTTTGGATATAATACTATATTTAGAACTCATCTAACTTGAATGAATACAATTGGTATTAGGTAATCACAAGATTTAAATTAGTTACATAAAATCTGTCCCAAAATATTTTTAAAGCTGTCATCTAATTGAGATCCTGTTGAAAAAGAGTGAAATTGGTATTTTCCATGTTGTTCCACATCACATTCTAATATATGTTATATTCAAATATTTTTTAGGTTGGCACAGTGTTATAAACATTGCTGCAGTAGATTGTGCCCAGGAGTACAATACCAAAATATGCTATGAGCATGACATCAAGGCATTCCCAACGATCAAGGTATAAGCACATATTTTTAATTTGTCTTATTTATTTGAATATGAATAAAGAATTAATGTTTTAGTAAAAGGGTTAATAGATCTTTAAAGGATTCTGGTTAGAGCTACATTTGTGAAAGTTTGATTTTTGTGGTCAAAACATCCACAATTGAGACAGACACCCATCCCTCTGTTTAGATCAATCATTATGGACGAGTCTTCTCATTTTTTTGAATAAGTCTATTTATCTGAGTATGCCACTATGTTACTTGGTTAAGTCAATTCCTTGAATCAACCCCTCTGTTGCTCAATTTCTCATAATTCATTAGATCTGTGCAGAAGACTGGCTTGTCAAAAAACAGAAAAATTACATAGAAAGATTTGTTTAATTGAAATAAAGCATAAACTTGTTTATATTGTTTGAAAATATACGAACATGTACAGCGAAATCTCTAAGGTAGAAAACCTCAGAGAGGAAACCCTTTCAAGTGGCATGACTTCAAAAGAAAAGAACACAAAGTTCAGTTACCAATTAAGAATTTTTCAAACTGCGTGGATAATATGCCAAGTAGGGTCACACCGGAATAGCCTGACTACGGTAAAGTCAGATACCGTTGTCACAAATGGCGGACATAACCGTCGCTTCAACTGTTTAATCACTTGGTCCTCATTTCATGGGATTTTATCGTCGCTAATTCTGTGCATGTATTAAGCTCTTGTGATGATGTTTCATATGAAATCCCAATTTCGATCAAATTGGGCCAGAATATAGCGTCTTCGATATCGTCAATGACAACGGAATCTGAATTTGAGTAATTAAGAAAGACAACGGCATATGGTAATTACAGTGTCCCTTGTCCCGTATCTCATTTTGATCGGTTAAATTAAAGACTTTATTTCGATGGAAGAACATTATTAACTGTACAATGAGTATAAAAACACTTTGATTGATTGTTGTTCCAAAGAAATTTAGTCTAGGTGCTCTATTAAACATACAGTTCATGAAAATCTGATTGAAGTGACGGTTATGTCCGCCATTTGTGACAACAGTATCTGACTTTACCGTTGTCAGGCTATTCCGGGGTGAGGGTGTCATCCACTTGAAAATGTATTATTCTAATCTTACTATTGGAAATAAATAAATGAATAAATAAATAAAAAATAAATAAAAACTTAACGTATAATATCTCTTTATAAATGGAACACCTTCCACATAAAATATTATTTTGAAGAATGAAAGGTATTCCATTTAATATACAGATTTTATCATACTTATTTTGGATTGTGTAGAAATTTCACAATACTGATGCATAAATTACTTCCATTTGTTGATTTTTAATCTTTATTACTCATTTATAGATTTTTCTCTTCATATGAGACATGCAAAATGACATGTATCATGATGTATTGTTCTAATGCTATTGAATAAATGTACTTAATAACTCATGATATAGAATATCAGTTGAATAGTTAACTAGAAATAACTTTTGATGTGTTATTGTAAAGTACTTTTACTGTTTTACTTCAAATATTTATACAGTTGATCATTTATGAAAACTGAATATAAATGTTTAATTTTGATACAATAGATGAAGAGGAGCATTTATTTTAATGTGCAATTAAGCGTAAAATGTACTTATCATGTTTCCAATGAGGCATCAGCATATTGTGATACATTGTTGTATTTCTGAAGAATGTTTTGACTGAATTTCACTTCAATTATTTAAATGGAATCAATATCCCCTTTAGACAAATGAACGAGTATAAGTCACAAGTATATTTCTGGAATTTCAATATCCGAGATGCGAGTAGAAATAATAAATAAATTCACAATTCAGTCAAACTGATGTCATATTTGGAATCTACATATAAAATTACATCTAAAAATGTGGTTTTGAAAAGAGTTTATCAACTTTGAAAATTTAATTTTCTTTAAAAATGTGACTTCTAGGTCGGGGAGATTCCCCATAGACCCAATGTTGTAAAACTACAAAAAGTGAAATATCTTTTTTTGTGTTGGGCAGATAATATTTTCTTTTACCGGACATATTTTGTATAACTATCACATACATTAGGGTAATTTGAAAAGTGAACCACTAAAACTGATGCATATTCAAGTTTAAGGGAATTTTGTAATACCCTGCCATGTTATTTCCCCCGAATCAGCCACCTGGTGGCGAAACTGGTAACTACCTACTCGCATCTGAGTAATTGATTTAGTGGTTGAGTAATTAATTAAATTATTGATTGTTTATTTTTGGCATTTGTCATTTTGTTAATTTTTAACTTTTGAAAATGTGACTTCTGTATCTTCAGCAATGATGTCTCAAGCAGAGAAAATTTGGAAATTTTTCATGATGCACGCAGTATACAGATCATGACCATGACACACCGAAATTAATCATACATACATATTTTTATCTTGAACATTTTCACAAATAATCATTTTACCATTATCTGAATTTTTGTGGACTGAACTGCAATAATAAAGAAAATTATTATTAATAACCACTTCACTTGACATATTGTGCATGTCTTAGGACTAACATTTTTAAATTATGCCACAAAGTCTCAAGATTATGAAAATTTAATATAAACATTTTAAACTTAAAATTCTAAAAAGGTGAGAAGTTACCAACTTCACCATACATGTAGGTTTAAAAGGTGAATCATAGAAGGACTAAAATTTACATTAAAGAAAGAATTTACCTGAGTATACATTAACTCTTCACTTATTTTCAGTATTTCAAACCACACACAAAAACCAACATGAACGGATTCATAATTGACCAGAAGTTCACAGATGCTGACACCATAAGGGAACATATACTTGACCTCATTGAAAGGTATCAGAACTCCACAGAGTACAAGCAAGATCCTCCAGAATGGCCAGTCCTTCGCAAGTTGAGGTAAAATAAATGGCATCAATACCCTCTACCCAGTTTTATTCTTACAGTGTATCTTGAGTCTAATTATCCCACCAAATGAAGTCCGGTAGGGATATAGAGAAGCCATCCGTCCATTCGTCCATCTGTTCAGATTAAGTTCAAATTTTATAGCGTTATGCCTTCTGGATTATGTAGCTGCCATTTTCGTAAAAAAATGTAATCTTTGGTACCATTTATGGAATACCTAACTATTTTCAGAAAAGATGAGGATATTTGGAAGACAGCTCCTAAAGGCACAGAATTTGCTGTTGTGATTGTGGAAGAAAAATCTCCTGTGTCACTTACTGGACGACAGGTATGTATTGCCTTAGGGGCTAACCGTTACGTCAGTTATGTGCCTAAATATTTTACAATTAAAATTTCTGGGCCCGAAGTATGAAGGAAAATGATATTTTTGATTAAATTGGAAACAAAAATATAAATAATTCGAACATGACTGTATTCACACATTCTATAAATTGTGAACAAAGTCAACATTTTACCCGGGGTAAATTCTTGAAGAATACCTCTGGTAATACGTATAATGTTTGATGTCATAACGTTGGGTCGTAGTAATGGCGGACCATAATGAATATTCGAAACATTTTGGTGAGTTCATGCTCGAATCGTAATATAGACCTCAGAGCAGGTTTAATATCGTCAAATACACCCCTTAGGGCTAGGCACAAAAGCTTTCGAAAGCTTACAGAAAATGTTTGTGCCTAGCCCTGCGGGTGTATTTGACAATATTGCCCCTGCTCTTCGGTCTATATTCATTAAATATAATATACAAGAGCGTAGTCAGCTTTCAGTCAGGGGGGGTGATCGCCAAAAAAAAACAAAAGCTTTTTTTTTAGAAAAGTTGAAAAGTCATGGAAAATGATTTAAATAACATTAGAGTATATATCAAAGTTTTATTGTAAAAAATGTTTCACTGAATTCAAATATGCTATTAAAAAAAGGAAAAGTCCCCCCCCCCCCCCCTCTTTGCATTTACTATTACAGTAGAAACTCAGTAAATGAAACACCCACTGCCATGGTTAAACAAGTTCCTTTTGTACATGTGTTACTTACAGAGTTGGTTCATTAACATACAGTTCAATGGGACTATTCCATAGAGAGTGCCCCATACACAGAGAGATATTCCATTGAACTGGTTATTTTAATACAGGACTTCTTGTTCCATTACAGGTGATGCTAGACTTGTCTCAGCACAAATGCCTACATGTGAGATATTCCATTGAACTGGTTATTTTAATACAGGACTTATTGTTCCATTACAGGTGATGCTAGACTTGTCTCAGCACAAATCCCTACATGTGAGATATTCCATTGAATTGGTTATTTTAATACAGGACTTATTGTTCCATTACAGGTGATGCTAGACTTGTCTCAGCACAAATGCCTACATGAGAGATATTCCATTGAACTGGTTATTATTTTAATACAGGACTTATTGTTCCATTACAGGTGATGCTAGACTTGTCTCCGCACAAATCCCTACATGTGAGATATTCCATTGAACTGGTTATTATTTTAATACAGGACTTATTGTTCCATTACAGGTGATGCTAGACTTGTCTCAGTACAAATCCCTACATGTGAGATATTCCATTGAACTGGTTATTTTAATACAGGACTTATTGTTCCATTACAGGTGATGCTAGACTTGTCTCAGCACAAATGCCTACATGAGAGATATTCAATTGAACTGGTTATTATTTTAATACAGGACTTATTGTTCCATTACAGGTGATGCTAGACTTGTCTCGGCACAAATCCCTACATGTGAGATATTCCATTGAATTGGTTATTTTATTACAGGACTTATTGTTCCATTACAGGTGATGCTAGACTTGTCTCAGTACAAATCCCTACATGTGAGATATTCCATTGAACTGGTTATTTTAATACAGGACTTATTGTTCCATTACAGGTGATGCTAGACTTGTCTCGGCACAAATCCCTACATGTGAGATATTCCATTGAATTGGTTATTTTAATACAGGACTCATTGTTCCATTACAGGTGATGCTAGACTTGTCTCAGCACAAATCCCTACATGTGAGATATTCCATTGAATTGGTTATTTTAATACAGGACTCATTGTTCCATTACAGGTGATGCTAGACTTGTCTCAGCACAAATCCCTACATGAGAGATATTCCATTGAACTGGTTATTTTAATACAGGACTTATTGTTCAATTACAGGTGATGCTAGACTTGTCTCAGCACAAATCCCTACATGTGAGATATTCCATTGAACTGGTTATTTTAATACAGGACTTATTGTTCCATTACAGGTGATGCTAGACTTGTCTCGGCACAAATCCCTACATGTGAGATATTCCATTGAACTGGTTATTTTAATACAGGACTTATTGTTCCATTACAGGTGATGCTAGACTTGTCTCAGCACAAATGCCTACATGTGAGATATTCCATTGAACTGGTTATTTTAATACAGGACTTATTGTTCCATTACAGGTGATGCTAGACTTGTCTCAGCACAAATCCCTACATGTGAGATATTCCATTGAACTGGTTATTTTAATACAGGACTTATTGTTCCATTACAGGTGATGCTAGACTTGTCTCAGCACAAATGCCTACATGTGAGATATTCCATTGAACTGGTTATTTTAATACAGGACTTATTGTTCCATTACAGGTGATGCTAGACTTGTCTCAGCACAAATCCCTACATGAGAGATATTCCATTGAACTGGTTATTTTAATACAGGACTTATTGTTCCATTACAGGTGATGCTAGACTTGTCTCAGCACAAATCCCTACATGAGAGATATTCCATTGAACTGGTTATTTTAATACAGCACTCATTGTTCCATTACAGGTGATGCTAGACTTGTCTCAGCACAAATCCCTACATGTGAGATATTCCATTGAATTGGTTATTTTATTACAGGACTTATTGTTCCATTACAGGTGATGCTAGACTTGTCTCAGTACAAATCCCTACATGTGAGATATTCCATTGAACTGGTTATTATTTTAATACAGGACTTATTGTTCCATTACAGGTGATGCTAGACTTGTCTCGGCACAAATCCCTACATGTGAGATATTCCATTGAATTGGTTATTTTAATACAGGACTCATTGTTCCATTACAGGTGATGCTAGACTTGTCTCAGCACAAATCCCTACATGAGAGATATTCCATTGAACTGGTTATTTTAATACAGGACTTATTGTTCCATTACAGGTGATGCTAGACTTGTCTCAGCACAAATGCCTACATGTGAGATATTCCATTGAACTGGTTATTTTAATACAGGACTTATTGTTCCATTACAGGTGATGCTAGACTTGTCTCGGCACAAATCCCTACATGTGAGATATTCCATTGAATTGGTTATTTTAATACAGGACTTATTGTTCCATTACAGGTGATGCTAGACTTGTCTCGGCACAAATCCCTACATGTGAGATATTCCATTGAACTGGTTATTTTAATACAGGACTTATTGTTCCATTACAGGTGATGCTAGACTTGTCTCGGCACAAATCCCTACATGTGAGATATTCCATTGAACTGGTTATTTTAATACAGGACTTATTGTTCCATTACAGGTGATGCTAGACTTGTCTCAGTACAAATCCCTACATGAGAGATATTCCATTGAACTGGTTATTTTAATACAGGACTTATTGTTCCATTACAGGTGATGCTAGACTTGTCTCGGCACAAATGCCTACATGTGAGATATTCCATTGAACTGGTTATTTTAATACAGGACTTATTGTTCCATTACAGGTGATGCTAGACTTGTCTCAGCACAAATGCCTACATGTGAGATATTCCATTGAACTGGTTATTTTAATACAGGACTTATTGTTCCATTACAGGTGATGCTAGACTTGTCTCGGCACAAATCCCTACATGTGAGATATTCCATTGAACTGGTTATTGTTTTAATACAGGACTTATTGTTCCATTACAGGTGATGCTAGACTTGTCTCCGCACAAATCCCTACATGTGAGATATTCCATTGAACTGGTTATTTTAATACAGGACTTATTGTTCCATTACAGGTGATGCTAGACTTGTCTCGGCACAAATCCCTACATGTGAGATATTCCATTGAACTGGTTATTTTAATACAGGACTTATTGTTTCATTACAGGTGATGCTAGACTTGTCTCAGTACAAATCCCTACATGAGAGATATTCCATTGAACTGGTTATTTTAATACAGGACTTATTGTTCCATTACAGGTGATGCTAGACTTGTCTCGGCACAAATGCCTACATGTGAGATATTCCATTGAACTGGTTATTTTAATACAGGGCTTATTGTTCCATTACAGGTGATGCTAGACTTGTCTCAGTACAAATCCCTACATGAGAGATATTCCATTGAACTGGTTATTTTAATACAGGACTTATTGTTCCATTACAGGTGATGCTAGACTTGTCTCAGCACAAATCCCTACATGTGAGATATTCCATTGAACTGGTTATTTTAATACAGGACTTATTGTTCCATTACAGGTGATGCTAGACTTGTCTCGGCACAAATCCCTACATGAGAGATATTCCATTGAATTGGTTATTTTAATACAGGACTTATTGTTCCATTACAGGTGATGCTAGACTTGTCTCGGCACAAATCCCTACATGTGAGATATTCCATTGAACTGGTTATTTTAATACAGGACTTATTGTTCCATTACAGGTGATGCTAGACTTGTCTCGGCACAAATCCCTACATGTGAGATATTCCATTGAACTGGTTATTGTTTTAATACAGGACTTATTGTTCCATTACAGGTGATGCTAGACTTGTCTCCGCACAAATCCCTACATGTGAGATATTCCATTGAACTGGTTATTTTAATACAGGACTTATTGTTCCATTACAGGTGATGCTAGACTTGTCTCGGCACAAATCCCTACATGTGAGATATTCCATTGAACTGGTTATTTTAATACAGGACTTATTGTTCCATTACAGGTGATGCTAGACTTGTCTCGGCACAAATCCCTACATGAGAGATATTCCATTGAATTGGTTATTTTAATACAGGACTTATTGTTCCATTACAGGTGATGCTAGACTTGTCTCGGCACAAATCCCTACATGTGAGATATTCCATTGAACTGGTTATTTTAATACAGGACTTATTGTTCCATTACAGGTGATGCTAGACTTGTCTCGGCACAAATCCCTACATGAGAGATATTCCATTGAATTGGTTATTTTAATACAGGACTTATTGTTCCATTACAGGTGATGCTAGACTTGTCTCGGCACAAATCCCTACATGTGAGATATTCCATTGAATTGGT